AGAAAGGGTGTCACACCAAGATGTCTTTTTCGACACGTTGCTCGCCACCAGTTGTGGTCATTCTGACCTGTGGCTTATCGTTTGTTCTTCGTCTTCCCTCTCCCCTCCCCACAGATTGCCGATGTGGATAGTATCACGGGTACACAGAGATCGAGTAGATACGGTCGCCACGGCCCCCTACTTACCTACCTTAGTTAAGTGCCCGCCTCGTGGCTTACTTTTAAGTTATCAGAAACAGGGCCAGGATTGGAGATGAAAGTTAGGTAGATACACCTAGCCTAGCGCTTCCGTCTACCTAAGGTAATCCCGCAACGCGATCACCGTTCATGAGGAGGGCAGGTTTCTGACTGGTCGAAATGTCGACTCCGCGATCACGACAAAGAACCCTAGAGTTAACTAGTTCTCAATAGTTGACTGTCACGTTTACCAATGACGTAAGGTCTGTATGGCCAGTCTGGCGGATATATCATATGGACTGGACTATGGGAATAAGGTGTGTGTACAACACACCACGGCAGATGTCTCCTCTGTGACATATGCTCGTCATTTCGCCGGCATATATGGACGTGATACGGTGTAGATCACCTCAGATAACCTACCTGTCTACTAGTAAAACCAGAACTTATTAGTCCGCTAGCAATGATGACTTCTCACAAGGTAGTCCATTGTCTTCGTCCTTGCCTAGGTATTATATCTGATATCATATAGTATGACCACATCATTAGACCTTACAACGCTATCCTTCCAGCATCAGTCGCTGAGGTAAACTACCTAATTTAGTGAGAACCACCTTTTCGCATATAGGAGCAGGATCTTGATAGGTAATGGGGAGTAGAGTACTTGACTGACTTGATATGACCGATCACCAAATACGCCATTAGCATCAGCATCTGATTAGAAATCGTAGGTAGGTATTAAACACACGCTACTCAGAACCAATCCGTAGATCTATCTGTCTCCCAAGAGGACGCGAGACCATGCTTGCTTCTTGGAAGAGGCGAATTACCTTACCTACCTTACCTAACTTCCAAGATAACGCCGCCAATCGAGCTGGGATTTGATTACCAATTTCCAGGACGTCCGGGCTGCACGAAGCACCAAGCGAGACAGCATGCAACTAGGCAACTATTATATCTACCGCCGCCGGACTAGCTAGGTACCCAGCTAGGCTGGCTTAGACATTCCACCCAAACCCAGGCGCAATCGCATAGGTAGGTATCCTGCTGAGGCTAGAATGTCCCACGATGGGGTCTTTCTTATATTGTCCGCCCCGAAAGTGCCGGCGTTTCGTGTGTCTGTCTTGGTCTTGGATACTTACCTACCCAGGTATGTAGAAGGGGTGCGCAACAAAAGGGTTTCTCGCGCGAGATATCGATATGCGACACTTTCGGTATGCCACCATGTAGACAGAAATAGACCTAGGTACCCTATTAGGTTCAGCCAGGTGAAGTAGTAGGTAACCAAGGAGAAGTAGTGAAACAAGCCTGACGCCGCGGACCAGGCCGATGGAGAGACAAGGTTTTTTTTTTTCTTACTTACTGAGACAAGACACTCAACTAATGGACCCTATTGTTTTACTTCCCGCCCCTCTCCTCGGCGCCACGAGGAGGGGGGGGACCCCTCCGTCCCGAACGATAGTTTAGGAAACAAGCTTTTTTTCCGGTTTTTATTTTGCTTTTTTGTCTTGTGTGATCTTGGGGACGCGATGAGACAAAATCCCATGCCCACATGTGGTAGGCTAGATAGGTACCTATCCTTACCTAGGTAGGTAGGTATCTATATTAGGTACTTATGGAATTCCGCGTGTTCTTGCCTTGAGCGTGAGACACGACGAGACGGATAATGCGGAGTTAGGAAGAGGTACCTACCTAGGTAAGGGTCGGGTTTCGTGATGTTGATTTGTCCCGCTAAGTCCCGTCGGACGGGGTCGTGGGTTACTACGACATTCGTAAGCGTGTGTTAGCTGGACCGTACCTACTTATCGCCTGGCGTTTTTTAGGGCGAGACTTTTCAGCTTTGGTGGTGAGATATTTTCACTACTGTCAATGCGGTTCAGTTCAGTAATCGTCAGTTTTGTAAGAATGTCGAGGGTCTTTGGATAGGCAAAATCTTTGCTATAGCGTGTGTGTGAGTGTATATACCAATGTCTTAAGGGGCAATAATAACGCTGCTCGTGTGCCATTGGTATAAAAAGCATTAGGAAAAGCCTCCTATCTTAAGAAACATGAGTTGGTCGAAAGCTTGGACAACGGGTTCTCGACTTTCACTCAACTCAACTCGTGCCGGCTATTAATTGGTAACCAGGCTACTGATATACATATGTAGCCGCAAGGTGAGGCTCTATTATGAGGGAAATCCGTGGTTGATTGTATTATATACATACCCAGGATGGGTCAAGGTACACGAGTAACCCAAGTTCTACATCGCCCCATATGTTTCACTTATTATTAGACTACCCTGTTAATCAGAGGAGGAGGGGGAGGAGTCAAATCCATTGGAAACATACTGTTATATGAAACCTTCGTGTGTTATGAATACTTTGTCAGAATAGGTGTCAGGAGTCTCAAGTGAGACTCCTTGAGAACAAAGGAGACGTTTGTATATAGCTTTGGCTTCAAAGTTATCCCAGTTAGAGTTCCTCGCGGAATAACGAAGTTGTTTTCCTTAGGTTAGGTACATAATACTCTACGGCGTGACAATAGGGGGTGAAGCTAGGTATCTTTGGTAGAATGTACCTTCAGTGAATTCCTAGAATAAGACGCAGTTTGCAATGTCCTTCTGAATTTTCCACGTTTGTGTTGTCTTATATTTAGTGTATGACACTCTATTGCCATATAGTTGGGGGATTCCTTCCGGTTGTATTCGATAATGTATCAGCACGGTATCTGGGTAGTTTTGAATAGGGGTTCTGGGGGGTTAGAAAATTGAAGTACAAGAGGATTGCCCTAAACACGATACCGACCCATCACGATATTCATTTAGAAAGCGTATCTAACGTATTACATTGCTTTATTATGCTGGCACTTGGAAAATTAACGTTAAATAGCTACCAAGTAGAGATATTTAGGTCATGCAATGGCCATATATATGAACTGACTACGGGACAATAGCACAATAATTCATTTTCTATGGTACGAAGCTTCAAATAGCCAATAAAGCAAAATTTTTGCCTCGGCTTGAGAATTAAATCTCATCCCAAGACAAGCTTAGAAGTGATAGTGATATTGTGTCTATATAAAGCGTACTATGGGTATTTGCTTTGCGAAGTAAGCTCGATCTGGAAGAGAGGAGCTAAACAAGAAGAATTCCTTACTCATGATGATAATTTGGCCTACCTGACTTGAAGTAATATCTACATTAAAATGGGCTGTTGAGTTGGCATAATCTATAATAGGTATCTATAGGTTAGGTAGGGTCTTGATAGTTTCTCGCTATCAGTGTGAACGACGCCTTCATATTATGTCTACGGGACTCCCTTTACAGAGCCAAGCGGCCTGTAATTAGAACTGAATTTAAGTCTTACTGATGTATTCAAGCAAGCATGCAAGGCATATGTGGTTTGTTTGCCATTACTATTATATACAACATGAGCGTATCATAACTTGGACATAGAGAATCCGTTAAGTGCCTTGGGCGTGATATAAACAAACACGCAGGAATTAACTCGAAAAAAGGAGTGTGATAGCTTTACGTTAGGCTTCCTTGAATCAGGAGTGGAAGTACATTGGTACATGCGTTATCTATGATCCAGGTGGCAGAAAGTTGCCAGGCAACATTATCACGTACCCCGCCGTCGACTTAAATGGCCCCTTAGGCAACCAGTCTTTCAGCCTTGGTCGAATCCATGAACCAAAATGACCGTGGTGTAGTGGTGAAGGTGCTGGGTCAGAAATAACTCTTCGGGGTTTTTCGCAAGGCTCGGGTTCGATTCCTATGAGAAGCATGCAGAAGGTCAACTGTTCAGGTCAATTGATTAGAAGGTCGAATCGACAAGTCTAGCTTTTTTTTTCTTCCTTCCCTACCACCACCGCCTCCTGATGTCCCTAATCCGGGACTCTATCACAAGGTAATTCTTCAAGTCTGCACCTGGACTCGACCTACTTTATTCCACAATTCTCATTATACTTGGCAAAATGTTCCTACTTTAACTGGTAGTTTAACCCATATTATATCTTGATTAGATTCGAGACCTTCTCTGCGACTGCGTATACAGTAAACTGCAAGTTATCTGGGCGAAGCAGCGGTCCAATTCTTGCATCAATAACACGAAGATTATCTACCCCGTACCCCTTAAGATTGGCATCAACAACCCCCCCTTCTCCTTAGGCAGCACTTCGCACATTCCCGCAAGGAGCCATGTTGAGATACTACGATACTGGATTTACTTCTTTACGCTATCCAAGCCCGTGAAATAGGCTATCGAAGGGGAGAGAGCTTTATCGGCTATTTCGATATGCCCTTCAAAAACTATAATACAGCGAGATCATAGATGTAAAGCACGTGCTCTGCAAGAACCTTAACGTCGATCGGGCTTGTCAAGCACTGCGGAATGATAACGGGAGCATCTGATGGTATATTTGGGTCAAGGAAAGTACCTGGGCATCCTCAGCTATGTCGTAGTAAGTAAAAGTTCCACCTTGTGTTTTCCGCAGTTGGCCGAACCGCGTCGAGCATCTGTTTGAAGCATTCTTCCCTAAGGCACAGACATCTATCAAACCTGAAAAATATAACAACCTTACTACGGCTTCCGGCCGCGTCATCTATTATCTCCTATCTACGTCAAGCACATACCTTGATACAAGGTACCTAACCTAATATATACCCTAGGTAGGTAAGTATATAATAGTTGAAGCTACTACAAAGACAGCGTATATTGTCTTATGGATGGGGGAACGGGTGAGAGTAGACTTTGAATCAATGGAATTAATCATGACAGTAATACATTTCCAGAAACATATAAACTATGATGATCTATATCCTCTCGTAAGAGGCACAGCATGACCATATTTACGTAGGTATTCCATAAAATAGGAGAGGCATCGGCAATCGGTTGGCGGATCTCGGTCACCCAGATCCCGTAGCGAATATCACTATGGCACTTGTATTTATTCTGATGTAACGGCTCGCGAAGCGACAGGAGGAGAAAGAACAGAGATGGTTACTTAGGTGTTTAGTTGTTTTTAGTGTAAATCGTCGAGTTAAAGTTGGTTGCCCATAAATGTCTTGGTCTAGCCCAATTATGGTGTTTCCAGTTTTTAGTGTTGTTATTTACCCTATATATTTGTATCATTCAAGCTAACGAAGCTTCACCAAGCTTCCCAGACATGCTTGGTCAGTTAGCCTTTGCGCTTGCGCCGATACACGCAGAAGCACCGCATTTGATTCTCGTTCTCTCGTTTTCTCGTTGCTGTTTAAAATAACGAAAACAACCCACTATAAAGTCGTGCAGTGCAGCGCTGGACGTGCAGCAGGAGGGGAGATGGCCTCCGCCACCGGCCGTTCCCCGACCGTGGGACCCTCTCTCAACTCACCCGTACCAGACCGCTCGCTATCGCTATCGAGGCTATCGTCCGAAGAGAGGATCAATGCTATTCTCGAGGTTCGTGCGTATTATCCTCGTATTGCTTTGTGGTTCTATTATAATCTTCTGTCTCGGAGAAGGGAAGAAAAAAGAAAAATAAAAAGGAAAAAAAAAGAAGAAATAGTTTAGCTCTCAACCCATGCAATTCGTACTTTACCCTTCCAATTGGACCCCCTTTGTGACAAAAAAAACTAATCTAGGTATTTGTTATATTAGACTGCCAGAGAGCGTGCCGACACATTTGGCTCGCAGACATCCGGCCGGAGCGCGAGGATGAGCTTCCAGCGTTTACCAGAGCGCGACGGCGACGGCGATGACGTACCCGACGAAACGACCAGAATCGCGAACTCGCGCGGCAACGCGACGGACTACCAGAGCACGCGAATGTCGCCCAACCCGAGAAACAGGCGACCCCCGCAGCAGCAGCAGCAGCAACCGGAACTCGATTGCTCGGGAATAAACGGTACGAACGGGGCATCTGCCCACGCGGACGAGAAGAAGAATTGGTTAAAACATTACCTTAGCGGCGTGTGGTCGGTGGAATTAGAGAATAAAGGAAGCGTGGCTAGGGATCATTTGGCTCTGGGTAGGTTTGGGGTGTCAGCTTCTCCTGATTCTATATATATACCTTATATATTTCTTTTCCTTTTTTTACATGCGGCTGACTTGTTCTAAAACCAGAGCGGACATTTCTCGCGTGGCTTCGAACATCGCTTTCGTTCGCGTCTATCGGGATAGCCATCACCCAGCTATTCCGTCTGAACACGGCGATAGGACCGGACGAGCAGCATTTCGAGACGATCCGTCGTGTAGGCAAGCCGCTCGGATCAACGTTTATCGGGATATCTATATTGATCTTGTTGTTGGGATATCGGAGGTATTACCAAGGCCAGCAGTGGGTGATTAAAGGGAAATTCCCCGCCTCGAGGGGAACGATAATAATAGTCTCGGTGGTCGCATGCGCGCTTATAGTCGTTAGCTTGTTTGTGGTTCTATTTACATAGGTAACCTGGGTACGGGTGATGCGATATAGCGGTTGGAGATGGGGGAAACTGGATGAAGAATAACTCTTTGGAAATCAATAATTTATAATGGTTTTTCCTCTTAGTGTGTACCTAACCTTAGGTAGGTAGGTAGGTAGGTACGAGATAGGTACCTCTATATATGCCAGGTAGGGTACCTATATTATACAAAATCCTAGCTGAATTTGATCATCAATAGGCGCCCAAATTGAGCCTAACTCCATCAAACTGCTGCACCACTTGGCATTTACAACTTTAGGTACATCACAATCTTATTATTAAACAAGAAATTTATCTAAATTTCACTTCCATTTAATAATTTTAGTACCTACCTCTATTAATCCTCAAGCTTGACAACGCCCTGCTGCGCTTTCGTTTACACACCTCACTTACCACCTAGTTGGAGTGAGATGAATACGGCTTACAACCCACCATGTCGCTCCTAACAAAGTCGGTCGACGTACCGGCTTTCGCCCGGACCCAGCTAGCGCTCCTGGACATCGAGCTGCAGAGCGAGATCAGCGAGACCAGCGGCCTCATCTCCGGCACCAGCCCCGCGTCCCTGCAGCGCGCCGGCCTCGCCATCACCAACCTGGTCGTATCCTCGCAGCGCACCGGTCTAGGCGGGCGCACCGTCCTCGAACTCGCCCCGGACGCGGCTACTTCCGGCTCCGGCTCCGGCTCCGTCGGGGAGCTGCCCGAGCACGGCGTGCGCACGGGGGACATCGTGCTGGTGTCGGAGCAGCCGGCGGGCAGCGCGAAGAAGCGCGAAGTCAAGGACCTCGAGCGGAAAGGGGTCCGGGGCGTCGTGATCCGGATCAAGCGGGACGCCGTAGCGGTCGCGGTCGACGAGGACAAGGAGGAGAATGCCGCGGCGACCTTTGCGGGCCGCGTCTGGCTCGTGAAGCTCGCCGACGACGTCACCTACCGCCGCATGAAGCAGACGATGGAGCGGCTGGCGGACATGCCCGAGTCCGAGTACTCGGCCTTCACGCGCGTGCTGTTCGGCCTGACGACGCCGTCGCTCGTCCCCGCGGATCTTGCGAAGGATCCGGAATTCGGCGACGGGAAGATCGAGTGGTTCGATCCGACGCTGAACGATTCCCAGAAGGACGCTATTCGGTTCGCGCTCGCGTCCAAAGAGATAGCGCTGATTCACGGCCCGCCTGGGGTGAGTGCTCTCTCTCTCTTTCTCAACCCAGGTGCCTAACCTAGGTACCTCTGACCTATACGTACCCACCCCTATTATTTTTTTATTCTCTTGTCGTGGGCTCCCATCAGGATGTAACCTACCTAGCTAACTGGAATACCTACTCGCGTTACCTCCGCCAGACGGGAAAGACGCACACGTTAATAGAGCTGATCTTGCAAATGGTCAAGTGCGGGCTGCGCGTGCTCGTCTGTGGACCATCCAACATCTCGGTGGACAACATCGTGGAGCGGCTGTCCCCGCACAAGGTGCCCATCGTGCGCCTGGGCCACCCGGCGCGCCTGCTGCCCTCGGTGCTGAACCACTCGCTGGACGTGCTGACGCAGACGTCGGAGGCGGGGCTCATCGTGAAGGACGTGCGCGCCGAGATGGACACCAAGCAGGCGTCCATCAAGAAGACGCGCAGCGGCCGCGAGCGTAAGGCCGTCTACGCCGACCTCAAGGAGCTGCGGAAGGAGTACCGCGAGCGCGAGAGGCGGTGCGTCGGCACCCTCGTCGGCGGGAGCAAGGTCGTCCTGGCGACGCTGCACGGCGCCGGCGGCAACCAGCTGCGGGGCGAGAAGTTCGACGTCGTGATCGTCGACGAGGCCAGCCAGGCCCTCGAGGCGCAGTGCTGGGTTCCGCTACTATCGGCCTCCAAGGCCGTGTGTGCAGGCGATCATCTCCAGCTACCGCCTACGGTAAAATCTACCAACTCGAAGACGAAGTCCAAGGTTGCTAAGCCTAAGGAAGGGGCTGAAAAGGAGAAAGACAGCGGCGTTGTTATTAAGGGTGCGAGTCTTGAAATTACGCTTTTCGATAGATTGCTTAAACTTTATGGGTCGTCTATCAAGCGCATGCTCACGACGCAGTATCGCATGCACGAGAAGATCATGCGGTTCCCGTCGGACGAGCTCTACGAATCACGACTGGTGGCCGCGGACGCGGTGAAAGAGCGGCTACTGCGGGATCTGCCGTACGAGGTACAAGACACGGAAGACACGAGCGAGCCGGTGATATTCATAGATACGCAGGGCGGCGACTATCCGGAGAAGAACGAGGAGGAGGAAGATAGGGAGGGCAAGGACAGGAAAGGGGGCGGGAAGAAAGGAAGTATCAGGTCTCTGTTCGGCGAGAGTAAGAGCAATGAGATGGAGGCTGCGCTCGTGAAGCAGCACGTCAAGAAGCTCGTCGAAGCGGGTGTTCGGCCGGAAGATATCGCGGTTGTCACACCGTATAATGCCCAGGTATGTCATACCTCCTCGTTCCCAACTCCCCTTTTCCCTTACGATCTAGGTCTTCGGCCCCCTTTTCCAACGTTACATTGCGTAAATTTTAGTCCTTATTTATTGGACTGGGGGGCTATTCTTACTAAAGAGTCAATAGCTGGGCCTACTAGCTCCTTTGAAAGAAGCATTTCCCGGGATCGAACTCGGGTCCGTAGACGGATTCCAAGGCCGAGAGAAGGAGGCCGTGATTGTCAGTCTAGTGCGGAGTAACCCCGAAGGAGAGGTCGGCTTCCTAAGCGAAAAACGTCGCTTAAATGGTATGTCCAAACAATATCCTCCACAGCTTACTTACAGACAGACCATGGGATGGATTATTAACAAGTATGCTCTTGCTACACGATAGTCGCCATGACGAGGCCTAAACGCTCGCTAGTAGTAGTTGGCGACTCAGAGACTGTTCGACGGTATGTTCAGCATCCGGCACCCCATCGCAAAATCCCTCCCGTCTATCCCTGATTTTAATTTCGTGTGATAATGGCTCGCGCTCCGATTTTCACCCACGTGGGGAATTTCTAGAAGCTCATTTCTGACTCGAAGCTTGTTTTTCATTTTCTTTAGGGGCAGCAAATTCCTCAACAACTGGATGGACTGGCTCGAGAACAATGCCGATCTCCGTTACGTCGACGCGGCTTCGATAGAGGCGTAAGGTCAGGTAGGTAAAAGGTAAATACTACCTAGATATGTGACGAACCTGCTGCTCATGCATTGGGGCCCCGGCAAACAGACGCTTGTCCTAACACCGAAATCCTTGGAATTTGGTGAATGGAAGGGTACATACGTAGTACCTAGTAAAGCTCGCCCGAAGTTTTAACACGAGCGAATGGTAATGGCTGGATAATGCGGATGCAACTCTACGATGTTTACCGAACCCGACCTACCTACGTATATCAAGTCCATCTAGTTGTAGCCGTTTGGCCTTTATTAAGAAGGCGTATTATCTTACCTCACACCATGTAGATCATCTCGTCTTGTCTACCTCGAAAGGGTTCCCTCTCCCGCAAGATTTGCATCTGCGTATGTATATTCGTACCTAATATCCGACGGGCAGGGAGGCGAGGTACTAATAAGACGGAATGTTTTGCCTCACTTAAGGGACAAGGAGTTCAATATTTGGACCGGAGCGGCGGGTAGGCGGCTTCTTCGAGAGGCCGAGGGTAACCTAGGTCCTAGGATCCCCAAAGTTTTCCTCTTACTAATCAACGGTATATACCGAATAGCGAGTTTCCATATAGGGATAATGTGAATATGGGAATGAGGGCTTCGGCTGTAATTAATCACTTGTTGAGTGGTGGACTGTGTATTGAGAAAAAATTAAAATAAGAAACTAGGACGACAATGAGTTGATGCTGTGACGCTGTGCTAGGTTAAGTTAGGCCTAGGTTAGGTTAGGTACGTACAGTAGCTCGAATCCCTGCTGTTTCAGAAATGCTCTTTGTGGGGGCGGACCGTTCGAGATCCACAGGGCTACTTAGACTCGAAGCGAGAAAAAGATGAATTCGCGTACAAAAGTACATGAGTAGGTACCTAACCTAGGTAGATACGTATTCGTATATTTCGTATACTTGTATGAAGACATCAGCTAAAATGGAAGTATATCTAGCCATCAAGCTAAACAATACCTATGATATACCTAGGTATGTTTATATATACGTATATATATTGGTTAGTAGGGATTGGTTAACTACTATATCGTGTTGCTGGCACGATATAGTAACTATCACCTAATGATATAAACAATTGGGTGATATCGGTGTTTACATCTTGGAAGTTGGAAGTTGGAGCAAATCCTTGGCCAAAGTCGATAGGAAGAGAGAGCAGAGTGCCATAATGCAAGTGCTAATCTGTAAAACTTAGCACAACCTCGATCCACTAAATTACCTAGGTCCAGAAAACCTCAGGCCATAAATGTGTTGTACCTGCATCACTAGCGGCTCGGAGATATTCTGCGACTCTGGGCCTTGGTTGGTTTCTCGACACTTACTCTCTCACACATGTACCATGCAATGCATACCTCGTGCATTTGTAATGCAGTAAGGTAGCTTTCGACAACATCCAATGCAGCAAATGAATGCAAGCTACAGGAGACGCATTGGATGTGAGCTTTCTGTTCATCCTGCGAGACTAGAGCCGAAATCCTTAAAGGACTACTTAGGCGAATACGTGTCCCGAGCTGCAAACTCAAACCGGCTTTATTCGAATCTTGCGATGTGGTGCCAACAAAACCCGGTATGCCTATCAATTGTTGTGATACCTCGCGGCATTCATTTTATTAGCCAGTCGCACAGCATCCAGCATCCAGCATCCAGCATCCGCACCGCGGCGCTGACGTCTTGCTTGCGGACCAAAGACGGGGAGATCTTATTAAGGGAGATCCCAGCCCATAGGATTTCCGTTCCCCAAGATACCCCTCGTAGATCAAACGCGGCAAGCGTCGATGTGTCGCGTGGGCGTGTCATGGAACTCTCCTCCTCGTATGTGTCTTACAGCAACTTGGCATCGATGTTAATAGATCAGGTACTGGTAAATCTGCGGATGAGCCGGAGAACGAACGTGGTGCAAAATAACAGGGACGAGAATGGAGAAGCGGCCGCTACAGAATTTATGACATGCAATTTAGTGCCCGTGGCTCAGGATGGGTTTTTTAGTCTGTGCTCGCGGTGCTCGGCTTTAGACTTATAGGTATCTTTGCGGATATGCGGGCCACCCTCCTCCTGACATGAGGTTTTATGTGCATAGTAAAAATTTTGAACGTACTGTGATACGTGAATTTCATGTTCATGCTGTAGATAAATGCATATAGGTACTTCATGCTTTCTTGAGAAGATGCGCTGGAGTATCTGACTGGGAATGGTAACGTCCGAATGCGATAACCTTTTGGTTTAGAAAATAACCCGATGTACTATTTTGGGTTGTACAGGATATGCGATTTATAGCCAACGAATCTGTGTGTATATTTAGCGTGAAAAGAATGATACGATAATTTTTTTTATTTCTTTTTTAGGTATACCCAAGGAGAATCGCGTCAAAAAAGATGCCCCATCCCAAATCCAAATACAATTATACTACTACAACTTCAATTAAATGTAAAAAAGTCAATTCTAGGTCAATTTAATATCAAAAATTATTATAAGATAGCTTTAGTATTATTCTGCAGATTTACAATATATTAAATTAATATGTTATGTTGCTAAAGCGTTATTGGCAATGAAAATAAGAGTATGTTTTGGAATATTAGGTACTGGCTAGGGGGGGCATCTTTTTTGACGCGATTCTACCAAGGTATTACCTACATTATCCATCGAAGCACGTGTGCCTGCCTAACCTAATATAAGGTCTAATTCGTATACCTATGATCTAATGTCCTAAATAATAGTAAGAAAAAAGATATAAACAGCGAAGAGAGATATATGGCGTTGACACTTCATATATCTTGAACGCCTCGAATCTAATTGTAATTTACGTACGTATATCTCATAGGTAGGGAGGCATAGGTATACGGTACAAGTTGAAGATTAAAATTGAGGGTTAGTTTGCGTGAGAAGCGCATGTTTAGACGAAACGGTTGTAAGCCCCCAATCGGAAAGAGCCTCCGTACATAGTAACTTGGTTCAAAGTGAAGGATCCAGACATGGTACATCTATGTAGATGGCGTTTGGGCGTTTACCTCATCCTATGTAGTACTATGAGATCGCGGGTGGCTTCCCATTCCAATGCGGGACTATGCGTCTATCCGGTCCTACCCCTGCAGGGGAAATGGAAGCAACTCTTAGATGAAAGTTAGTGGTTGCTTACCTCTAAGTGCTGCTAGTGTATGCTAACCTAAACCGTAGGTAGGCCTAGGCAAGTCCACCTAATTTTGTCAAGGCCTGCTGGTAATCCCTCTTCTTAATTCACAGAATATAATCCGTATTGAACATTTATCATAATTATTAGCTTACGACACCCTTACATCATAGGTACATTTAAATTATTATTTATGTGTAATTCTATGGCCCTCTATGGCCCTCTTTGGTAAAATTAACTTCAAGACAACGCGCAGTACGATGTAGTTGGCGCTCCTCATACATAGTACTAATAATACGTTGCCCTGTGACAACTCACAACCTCGCATGTCAAAAGTCAAAAAAAAATCTTATTCCTTCGCAAGACGCACGCCAATCAACTTATTCAGTCCTTCGAGACAATCTCAGCCAACACACAGACGGATGAACACACGGACCTCTCGAATGCACATGCAGGTTCGAGCAGGGTTCATCCACTGCGAAACCCCTGGGGCCAATATCAGCACATTCCAACGCCCTGGTCCTTCGTCATCCCGACCTATTCAAGCTATCCTGGTCCCCTCCGGAGCTCTCTTGCGGATCTAGAATAGCTCCTTGTTGCCCTCTACCACTTCTGTTACTTGGAGCCGATCTCTCATTAGACATTGTTGCATCAGTCCAGTAAAACCAGTAAACCCTCCCCCCCCTTCGCACCGGCGCCTGTGTGCATTTGTAGCTGTTTCATGCTGGGGACTTGGACTGGACTTATCCATCTAGGTACAATATAATACAATACCAGGTAGCCAGCTAACCTAATACTAATGTTTACCGCCCATCCGCCTGATCACCCCGGAGCCTTACCATCCTAATCGCTCATTCACTACATGCATGAGTGTGCGGCCGTCGCAGGAACACACATTCCAACATGTATGCGCTGTAATGGCACCGGGGCCTCTCGTATCCCACCTCTTAAACTAGCTCGGCTGCTCAGGTGTCCTTGCAACCTATCCTTCCGTTTGTCTTTTGCCACTGGCTTTAAGTAAACAACAGACGAGGGCGACATCCCCTTCTCGACTTTTGATTCGCATACTCGACGCTCCAACGTCTCGTCGAGCTGCATTGCTGGCGATGTGAGATACAGGAAGCGGTTCTCTACCCAAGCAAAGTTGGCTAATCGTAGACTCGGATTTGCTATATTTTAAGAAAAAGAGACATGGATCGCTGGTCGCCCTTATTTTCCTAACTATTACCTAACCGTCTTTTTTTTCTGCGTCGTTCGTTACATCTGTCATCTACCATCTAACATCTCTATGAAATCCGCATCTTGCTTTCCAGGCAAGATGGGCATTTTCAAGCCCACCACCGGTCTTGGCCGACCGAAAACCGCTCAACCTGATCAGGCTACTATTCGTGGTAGAATTAGCGGCCCTATCCCAATAGACGATGAGTTTCCCATTAGAGGAACTGGGTCAGCGGTGATTCATGAAGGTAGCCCAGAGCAACTTGAGCCTCATATCGAAGAGCGACCTCCTTCGAGACCTGAACGTACCCCTCCCGAGGTCCCACGGGCGGAAAAGCCCGATTCTGTAACACCGTCTGGGCCTAGCCAAGCTTCAAACGCCTCTACGAGCCCGCAACAACAAAGGACAATCCGATCTAGCACCTTAAGGTATTCTATGGTTAGCGATAGCGGTGGTGCAGAGCTAGATAGGCTTCATCGGAAAAAGTCTACGTTAAAATCTACACTTGGTAGACTATTCAAGAGGAAGAAGAAGAGTACGAGTGAAGCATTTAACCCAGAGTCCTTTCCCGGGCCGGCCGGATTTGCATTACACGAAGATGTAAGTGTAACTATAAATTACTATCGGGCTCTGTTAAGAACGGGCAAATTCTAATACTTCCTTGTCTTTAGGACCAGGTGGCCTCGAATATGGCCCCAAAAGAAGATGAATCGAAACGGTCCGTCTCATTACCAGTTACAGATTTCGACAGAGCGTTGAGGTCGCATTCTATCGGACCCGACGACATGCTAGCAATTACTAGCGCCCGAAGTTCAATGCAAATAGATCCCGTATCACTTCGAAGGAGGGCTGCATCATCGAACAGGATCCTGAGTGGACGGATAAGAGATTTTGACGGGGAGTTAATAGGCTTATCCCCTAGACCTGCTAGCACTCATGGACGTGGTGAGCACGCAACTACTGAAGATGACACTGATGGAATTGGCCGCGCCATCACGAGCGACAGCCTTGCACATCGCCGTAGGTCGAGAAGTTTATCGCAACTCCAGGATATTGCGGTAGGTCACCTCCAAGTTCGGAAGCGGAGTGACGAGATCCGCTACTGGAGAGAAAGTTTTAATACGGCCATTCGATCACCTAATGCGTCTACTATAAATAACGAGGATGCCGGCGCGGTAGGAGTGGAAGAGGAGACACCAGTTCGCTCCCCTGAGCAGCAGTTCTCTCCGCCGACACCCTTACAGCCCTTTAACTTTGGCCCAATGACGGGTATGAAGATAACTCAAGCAGCTGGTCTTGAAGACCGAATAGCTACTCTGGAAATCCGTAACCAGAAACTAGAGAGACTAATGTCTCAGTTATTCCAAGTGGTTCCGGGTGTGAGTAACTATATGCCTCCCACCCCAGACCAACCACGGCCTCGGGGTTCTATAGGAGCATCTATTACATACACACCGAAGCGTCCTATGACAATGGAAACGTCAGAATACATAATATCCTCTGGCGATGTTGAAGAATCATCTAGGCATACGCGATCTCAACATTCGAATGACTCGTTTGGCGATGGAAATACGTTTATCGGATCGCTGCCTCCCTCGTCGGCGCCACCGCGACGCCCGCGGCCTACGTCCAACTCTACTGTCCGTGGTGCCACAAGTCTCCCTACTTTACTAGGGGAGAATGTGGGACCATTTACTGCAGATCATTACGTGACTCTGAAGGCCTTATTAGATACCGAGAGAGACGCGCGGCAAGCGTTGGAGGCTAGGGTGACACAGCTTAGCCATAGGCTAAACCTCATAGCCCGAACTCCAAACAAACTTGAGACCGGTTCTACTACTTACTCTACCGTATCTGCATTCGATCACGATGATGACGACGAACCCCTAACTGCTGGTGTCGATACCGAATCAGAACTATACAAAACGCCGAATGAGGAGCCTGCTCATAACTTTGGCGCTTTTGGCGAAGAGCTTCGCGAAGACGAAGAGGACGGCTCAAGGAAAAAGGCTGCTAGAACTCTTTCCCTGAGTCAATTAACTCTAAAGAGGCCCATTCGGCCTGGGCAAAACGCCAGTGTGGATTTATGACTACACGGACTCTAATCCCACATCAGCCTATTTATCTACCTAGATAGATACCTAGATAGGTACCTAACCTTACCGAGAGACATGGTAAACCCTTGGGTGGTTTCCGTAACTTTTTGATTCGAGCTTGTTGCGCATTTTCAAGGACGCAATTTGTTTTTTTTGTTTTTTTAGGCATAAGCGGGCTTTCTTTTCTTTGTCTCTTTCTTAACGACGTTTGAGCACGGCGTTTTTGAGATGCATGACTGTACGATACGACTAAACCCTCCCTTCATCTGCTACATCGCATCTTACCCTTCTAAAACAACATCCCTCCTAAAGTCAGGCACTGGATTGGATGAGCTTTCCAGCTGACCTCTTTTTTCAATCATGCTGGGCTTTTCACCAATTCAATCCGAAACCCTTCTTGATACTCTGACCAAATTTCTTTTCTCTTTATTTTTCTTATCTTCAGCCTGCTATTTGATACCACGTCATACCGGGGCGCAACGCCTTGCATTGCTTGGGTTTTCCATTATTCTTCGTTATTCTTTTTGTTAGGGGGGGAGGAGGCTTTTTGTCGTTCCTACATTGGTAGATCGCGAGATCTATTTCGAGTAGAACTCTTTGGCGCGTATGATACCAGGGGAAGGAGAGGAAAAGAGGAGGGGAGATTCAAAATTAAAATATCATTGTAGTGGTAATTTATTCAATAGATGAAGCGCGCATGTTGCGGACGCATAGTACCACCACCACCACCACCACCACCACCACCGACGATGTCCAACGGACTTGTTCAGGCTTGTTCATTTAACTTGTGATTGATATTGTTGTGAATTTGTTGACTACCATCTCCTAAGACACGAGCTGTGTCCTTCACGCAATATTTTGATTAATTTGCCTATGACACTTGATTCGACAAGGATAGAAAAGCACCTATATAGGTAGTATACATACCTTTATCATGCCCAAGTGCATACCTACCTAACCTACCTCCTAAGTAGGTACTTTTCATCTATAATTCCTCGCCACTCGTATTTCCCAACGGTTTAGAATGATACCTAACCTACCTACCTACCTCCTACTTTTCCCCAAACTGCGTTCCAATGCCGCCGCCAACCCCTCTTCTCTCCCCTCCTGCAGCCGTCCTAAAACAACCCAGCTTCCAGATCCAGAATAGCAACGAAGCCGCTGCCAAGTCCTGCAACCCCCATTTTAGCGGGGGGAGCTCGCCACAGCGCCGCTGCTAGTAGCTGTATATGGACCTGTATGCATTATCTACCTCCTACCTGTGCATATAGAATATGCCATCGCTACCTCTACAGAAAAGGGAAGCTCTTGCGTGCTTGGTGGTGATTGGTTGATTGTGTACCTGTCTGTGTTAATCAGAGACTAGAATAGAAGGTCGGGGTTGCGATTGGAGTTGGAGAGGTTAGGTCGTTGCTATACAAGTACATAACCACCTAAGGTAGAGTCTGCTTGCTTGCTTGCTGGCCTGCTTACTGGCCTGCCGGAGCGGAGAGCAGCGACTAGCGATGGTGATATCGACGGGGACAATGATGTCTGTGGCGAGCGAGATATAGTGCTGTAGTAATGCCGGCATCGCAGTATAATGCAGATAGTAATGGGGCTATTCGCAGGAGTTTTGGACTATATTTGTTCTAATATCGCGTGATATTGTATTACAACTAAGTTAATTAATGGTTTATACCCGATGAGATAGTTATTGTTGTTATTGGACTACGTTCGCAGTTCTATACTCTATACGGTGTCTCCGAGTATATTGCCTGCTAGTATGAAACTTACCTTCCCCGCCGTGGTTGCCGCTGCGACTCTCGGCGCTGCGGCACCGTTCACCTCGAGGAATCCAGCCAACGTGCTACTGAAGCCTAGGATAGAAACACCGTCTGCATTGACATGTCAGGCATCGAGTTGGCCTCCGAACACGATAGGCGGGCCAAACCTACCACAGGCACCATCTGCGGACCTCGAGTCTATACTTGCGCAGGTTGATCCGGCTAACATTGAGGCTACGATCCGGAAATTGGTGTCGTTTGGCACGCGGCACACGTTATCAATACAGAACTCGACGACTCGCGGGATAGGAGCGGCGCGTGACTGGATCCACGCCGAGTTCCAGAAGTACGCCGACGCGAGCGACGGGAAGCTAACGGTGGAAAGTGTAGGGTATACGCAGGAAGCAGATGGCAGCCGGATCTTATTCCCGGTGCTCATCAGCGACGTCGTTGCGACTTTGCACGGGACTGAGGATAACCGGTTGTATGTTGTATCTGGGCACTACGACTCTCGGGTTTCGGACCCGTTGAACTACGAGAGCGACGCGCCTGGCGCCGATGATGACGCCTCGGGAGTTGCCATCTCGCTTGAGCTGGCGCGGATTATATCGCAGCCGCAGTACCCTCGTCCCAAGGCGAGTATCGCATTTGTAGCCGTCGCGGGCGAGGAGCAGGGACTGTACGGGGCGAAGTTCTTAGCTCAAACGTATGCTAATGCTACGCCGAGGGTTAATGTAAGTCTGCCATTCTTTTCTGGCCCAGGATGAGTGCATCAGGTGTAGAAACTCGCAACCTCCAAGATACACTTGTTTCTGTTTGAGGTCGGGCACATGATATCCCTTGAAACTCTGATGTATATTGCAATTTTATATCCCTTCGTATGAGATAAACCCGATCACGGGAGGAAATCGACGCTAATCCACGCTCGCCCCCTTAAAGGTCGAGGGCATGTTCACGAATGACATCGTAGGTTCGCCGAAAGGTGGGACAAACGGAGAATCCGTAGACCCGTATGTCATACGATTGTTTGCGCAAGGCTTGCCTGGACTCGCGATTGAGAATAGCACGACGCGGGAAACGCGTCTGACGATCGGCGGTGAAAACGACACGCCGGCGCGGCAGCTAGCGCGCTTCGTCAAGGAGACGGCCGAGAACACGGCGACGGGCATGAACGTCTCCGTGGTATACCGCCTCGACCGCTACCTGCGCGGCGGCGACCACCGGCCTTTCCTCGAAGCCGGGTACCCCGCCGCCCGATTTACGGAACCTCACGAGGATTACGCGCATCAGCACCAGGATGTGCGCGTTGATTCCGACGGAAAGCAGTACGGGGATCTGCCTGAGTTCGTTGATTTCGAGTACGTGGCGCGCGTTGCGCGTGTCAACGGCGCTGCGCTATGGAGCCTTGCGACAGCACCGGGGACGCCCCAGAACGTGCGCGTCGATACGTCGGCCCTGAGCAGTAGTACCACGCTGTACTGGGATCCGCTTGCTGCTGGACACGATGGTGGTTACGAGGTGGTATGGCGTCCGACGAGCGCGCCCTTTTGGACGGGTGTACTTGACGTGGGTCCCGCTATTGAAGCTACGGTGCCACTGAGTAAAGATGATGTTGTGTTTGGAATCCGGGCTAAGGGCGCAGACGGCTTTCGAGGTGTTGCTGTGCTACCCTTTCCCGGGAGCCGATAAGTGGTTACATACCTCTTTTCTGTGAGCATGTGAATATGAACAGTCTTGGTATAATGAGTTTTACAGCCTTGTAACATTTGAGCCACTTGTAGCAGCTGAGGACAGACAAAATGAGATGTGCCCTGTTGTATTTCGATTATCTGAACTGATTGAAACAAGGTGAGAACACCCGTTTCGTATTATCGGAATATGACCGAGACGGCCATCTCACATAAAAGTCCCCGACGTTGAGGTCTCTCAATTGTTAAGGTACCTAGTATTACCCGATGTAGCCCACCTTATTGAGATCGACAAGTGACCTAGATTGATAGTCATCGTTAACTCAGTTGAGATATATAGTAGTGAGTGACGTTTAAGGCTTCCATTAAATTGAGTTTCGTATAGCTGAATACCTAAGGTATATGAAAAAGCGATGAATCATTAGACAATTCAATTTGAAGGAGAGATCCGAATTTAAGTATAATACGTGTTTCGTACCTTACCACGACGGGATTACATAAGATTAAGCGGGTACGTACCTAGGTACTTACGTGGGGTGCGCATCACTACCCGAATTTATAGGCGACTTTCAGGGGAAAACGAGGTTTAGAAACACCTTTTCAACAACAAAAAAAGGTTTAGCTTCAACCCTCGCTGTTTTTTCCCCCTTCGATGCCTTATATAGCCATCTCATCTTTTTCTATCTATTTCGGTACCTAAAACAGCTAGCTAGCTTTCTCGCAAACATGATATTGCGGCGACGCGTCTGGTTCCCCTTCGTCATCGCGACCCTGCTTCTCTTTTTCTACTATTCCTGGGTCACTCAGGACAACTACAGGTTGGCCGGCTCCAAAAGCGTGCCCCAAGACCCGGAGTCCATCGCGAAGGCTATAGAAGATGATAACTATTTCTGGCGGAAAGTCCCCACTCATTATCCAGTCCAGGATATGAGACAGCTGCCCACGGGAAAACCACGTGCGCTGCCTAAGATCCAGAAATCCTTCGGGAAGGAATCAAGTAAAGATGCGAATATTCGCCGGTCCCGGCGAGAGGCCGTTAAGAGCGCGTTCGCTCGCTGCTGGAATTCTTACAGGTCCAAGGCCTTCAAGAGCGATGAGCTAGGCCCTATCAGCGGCAAATCCAAAGAGTTGTTTGGAGGCTGGGGGGCTACGTTGGTCGATAGCTTGGATACCCTGTGGATCATGTCCATGCGGTCCGAGTTTGAGGAGGCCGTGAATGTTGCGGTTCGCATTGACTTTACGAACTGCGTGATCGAGACTGTAAATGCTTTTGAGACCGCCATTCGCTATCTGGGAGGGTTTCTCGCGGCTTATGACCTAAGCGGCGATCTACGGTTGCTACGCAAGGCTAGAGAAGTCGGAGACATGCTATACAAGGCGTTTGATACGCCTAACCGTATGCCTATTTCTCGTTGGGATTTCGATAATGCCAAGAAAGGAGGGAAGCAGGTAGCCCCCGAAATGGAATGGCTAGCTGAAGTCGGCTCGTTCAGCATGGAGTTCACTCGTCTGTCCGTGTTGACCGGGGACCCTAAATGGTACGACGCCGCTGAGAGGATTAGGATAGCGCTCGAGGAGCAGCAGAGCAGCACCCAGCTGCCTGGCATGTGGCCTTTCGCGCTTAATCCTCGTGACATGAACTTCCATAGTGATAATACATTTGGGCTCGGGGCGCTTGCAGACAGTACCTACGAGTATTTACCGAAGATGTACGCTTTGATGGGTGGGCTTATCCCCTCCTACCAATCCATGTATGAGAGTTCGATGGACACTGCTATCAAACATCTTCTCTTCCGGCCCATGATTCCGGATACGGCGGACATCCTGATATCAGGCGTGATGCACATAGGAAGTGAAGAGGGAAAGAAGGCTCTAAATTTGGAATACCAAGGCCAGCATCTTGTCTGCTTTGCCGGAGGGATGCTTGCAGTCGGCGGGAAGCTCTTCGAGAAACCGGAACATCTTGAGGCGGCTACGAAGCTAATAGACGGGTGCGTTTGGACGTATAACGCGCTGCCGCTTGGAATAATGCCCGAGAACTTCGCCATGGCGCCTTGCCCGTCAGACAAGGAATGCGAGTGGGACGAGCGGGCATGGAAGCGTGCCGTCCTGCGGGAGGCGGGCGAAGACGATTTGGATAACATGGAAAAGGCGGACGAGATCATTGCTCAATCGAGGCTTCCGAAGGGGTTCACGAAGATCACCGAGCCAGGCTACCTCCTTCGGCCGGAGGCTATAGAGAGCGTGTTCATTCTATATCGAATTACCGGTCGCCCAGACCTTCTCGAGTCGGCCTGGGTCATGTTCGAATCCATCCAGATGAATACCAAGACGTCGTTAGCTAATGCGGCTCTGGGCGACATAACGGTTCATGGCGATCCCCCGAAGAAGGATTCTATGGAGAGTTTTTGGATGGGCGAGACTTTGAAGTAAGTTTTTCTTCTTCTCTTTTTACATTTTTTTCGTTTCTACCTACTTTCACCCTGGGAGTATGAACAGTGTCAAAGATGGATCGTTGCTAATGAGAAAACTACCTAACCTATAGATATTTCTACTTGATCTTCAGTGAGCCGGACCTCATAAACTTAGACGAATGGGTGTTTAACACGGAAGCTCATCCGTTTAGGAGATTGCTTTGATCTATATATATTATGTCGTCGGTCGTGTACTAATATACAATCTATGGTAGGGCTTGGGATATGGGATATGAGATGAGGGTAATGAACGGGTATGAATAAAGCAACGCACATGTAAGCCAGACAGAGGAAAACAATCTAGGCAATTACATGCGGGAAGCCTCCTGGGAGCACCATATGCATTTGTCGACCAAACTCTACCTTAGGTACCTTAGGTACCTGTCATGAGCTCTTCTTTTGTAGGCTGGATTTACTCGATGTGGCAATGTAGTCCTTGCCAGCCTACCAGCGTATTAATTACAGATCGTAGATTGCAGTCAGCAGTCTCGATAAGACAATTCAAGCAAGAAATTCGTACGTATTAAATTCAAATACAATACTTCCTTTGGGGAGCTTATTTTGAGGGTATTCACGGATTGGCTTGGATATCGGAGACACTAAGCTATTTTGGGTATGCACTGCCACGTAACGCCACACAGAGCTAGGCATTGTGGCCCCATATTTAAAAACGTTACCAAATCAACATCGTTTACTACCATCAAATATCCACAGTACCTTATAAGAACATTGCACATTGCCTTCTTCATGCACCATGGATGTAGTACAACATCCATCCCTCCTAAAGTCGGGCAAAGCAAAATCTGATCATGTCAAATCAAATACAAGTCTGGCCTGTTGAGACCGCAACGTTACGATGTAACGACAATAAATACCTCGTTCATCACATTCCCATGGACCGCTGAACCAAAGAAAACAGAAGGAAACCCAGGCCTTATGCACGATATTATCCTCAGCAGCCAAGATTCAGATCGTAGAACAAGTTCAATGGGATCGGCACGAAGTAATCTAACAGCCGCCGCAGACGAAGCTGTGCCTACTTGGGCCACGCTGCTTCGAGACCTTGTCATTCTGCACATTAACGAGTAGGTAGGCTGAGGCTGCGGTCCGACATGCTCGCTAGGCCGATTCGTTCTCACGCATATTAATGCTGTAAGAGGCTTCCATGGCGCAGCCTGTAAGATTTGGGATTTTGTGTAAAGATGCCACCGCCGTGGCAGTCTCCCAGCAGTGGTTGGCGAATGATCATCTATTATCCCCTTATATAGGAGCTGGGAACTATGTCATATATTCATGCCCAATCTTATAAGGCCTTGCTTACGTCGCTCCTAGGATTCTTCAAAAGTCGAATAACTTGATTCTGTAGGGGAATTTCGACAACGCTATCTTATCATTCACGAAAAACGTATCATCGCCAACGATATTTGAATCTCAGATTTAACCCTACAACACCTACAGGTTCATACTCTCTAACTATTACGAAATCATCTTTTATAACACATCCGTATTCGCGGTCATGGAAGGCGCCTACGGAAAGTTATGTCACAGATGTAAACGCATTTTCAGTGCTTCCGTTACGGAGACAGTTGATTTGTATCGCAACTACAGGGAGTTTCTCGCAAGTAAGAACAACGGGTGCGTTATCTGCTCTTTGTTATGGGCAGCGCATAAACCTCCAGCCCATAATAAGCGAGGTGCAGAGAACGTCGATGGCGATTACGAGTTTGGGCAGTTTGATATCTACACCCGTGGGTCCTGCAAAACCGGTGGAATGAAATTTGGTTCAGTTCACTCTCCTGAAATTGGTTTCCATATTACAACTCAGTGGGCTGAAAAATCAACGATGTATCGTGGGTTTAACCTTGACTAGACTAATCAATGACCTGTACTAACGAGCTGTTTAGTCGATATAGTCAATATAGATACCCAAATCGAAGACTATATCTCCTTCGTGAAATATTTCGCAGAGACAATAGAACTTGACCTTGGCCTTGAGCTTGAGAACTTTATTTGGGGACTCGTTGGTCGTAGCCCAAGGACAATAGAGCACAAAGTTGAGACCCTTCCTTGGAGAGTCCTTGGTCCTAGCACAGGGTCTGATGAATCCCTAATAAAGATACGCGAGTGGGTTTCGTCCTGTGAAGCCAACCATAAGCACTGTAACCTTAACCGGAGACATCGCGTAGCTCCCAGCTTAGGAGCTAGCACATTCTTTCCCTCTCGAGTGGTTGATGTCGAAAAGGCCGATATTGGCATAATATCTTTACGAGATCGAGCCGAGGTATTGGCTCAATTCGGCTCTAAGAATGATGAACCTCCTGCCTACTGGACTTTATCTCATCGCTGGGGAGAAACTAATGCGATGCCACGACTTCTCAAAGAGACAGAGCTCAGGCTACGTGAAGGCATCAAACTTGACGAATTACCGCCAATCGACAGGATGTGGCCAGCCTTTCGCGATGCGGCCCTCCTTGTAAAACGCCTTGGTTACAGATATCTATGGATCGACTCGTTGTGCATCTTTCAAGATTCGGAGACTGAGTGGCAACGAGAGGCTGGGATGATGGTAGACATTTACCGTCATTCATATTGTAATATAGCGGCAATGTCTTCATCGTACGACCCTGAAAATATCGGTCTCTTCAGGCAAAGGGGGGGCTCACCTCCAGGCTCTTATATCCTTTTATAATAAATGGAGATGACGACAAGCCATGGTGCCTCTTATGGTGTCGCCCATCGTGGAATCACGAAGTTGAAGACGCGCCTTTGGCGAGTCGCGGCTGGGTTGTGCAAGAACGCTTCTTATCTACGCGGACTGTTTACTTTACTGATCATCAGATTTTCTGGGAATGCTTGGAAGCGACCGATTCTGAAACCCAGCCGAGGGGTGGGGTCTTGCAACAAACCATGTTTTTAATTGACAGAGAAAACACTAAGCAAGATGGTAAATCAATGGGGCTGGGTTTTTGTAGGCGTAGGCTGGAAGAAAACACTCCCAAGTTACACCTCCACGCCTCTAACACACAAATGTCGAAGGAAGTATATGACGACTGGGATCGTGTTGTGAACTATTACATGTCCTGTGGGCTTACGAAGGAGTCTGATAGATTAATTGCCATTTCAGGTATTGCAAAAGCCTTTCACGAAGCGACCGGCGACACGTACCTAGCTGGTTTGTGGAAAAGCAGGCTTGAACAGGAACTACTATGGTGCATAGAGTCTCCCAGGGAATACCGAATCCAAAGTCATGGGCATGCTCCGTCGTGGAGTTGGATATCACTCACGAAAGCAGCGGCAAGGCCCTACGATAGACGTCAGTTGTCTCATGATAGATACACGTCATGTATCAAACTAATCGAGGAGCGAATCGTGCCTCAACCGCCCAACGGAGACTCGTTCGGACTCCTTCAATCTGCAGAGCTCGAAATCGAGTGTACGCTGTTGTATCTTCGATTGGGATGGGAAAGCTTCTATGACTACCAGAACACGTTTGAGGTATATTACGACGAAGCTCAAAGCTGGCGTTTTTTCGAATGTATACCACGCCGAAATATACGCTATGAAGTATCATACCCACATACATGCTATGATACATCAGACTCGCAGGACGGGAGTAAAGGAAATAGTTTCATACACACCTTTATTCCAATAGCTATAGACGAACGACCAACGGGCTATCCCCAGCGTCGTTGTGTGCATGGTCTTATAGTGGAGTGTACAGAAAATAATAAATTTAAACGAGTAGGGTATTTAAAATGGACTTTCCGGCGTTGGAATACTTACCTCGCTGACGGATGGGTTGGTCAAAGAAATCGCATCACACTGATATAGAGCTTTAGATAGAGCCTCACTTTTAATAAGCATCATGAATTTATCTATCACAACACAGTAACAAGCATAATTCATGAACCTTGCAGATTAAAATTACTTCAAATGTATACTATACCTGTATCTTGTAGAACAAGCTCTACAACCCTTGTCTTCCGACTCGTTTGGGATGTTAGTACTTTTAGCACAGGCAAATTTTAGGTAGGAAAGCATGTACCAGATAATAGGTACCTCCTTAGGTACTTATACACACCACTTTTTATATTTGCATTAGGTACATAAACTTGTCCCTTTAAATACAACCTCCACCTTAGCTGCTTACCTAGGTCACGTACAGATAAGATTTCATCCATCTTTTTCAGCTTTTCTCCAGCCACGGCAAACGCGCAATTATGACATGCGCATCTCCTTAATCGATTGTCGGTCAAGCTCATAAAAAAAAGTGCACCAACCAACTATTCTTTTTTTTTTCCCCAAGTCAAAGCTTCAAGCTCCACTCAACCTCTACCTGTCGCATCCGGAGGGCCAGATATCGCCAATCGCAAATAAAAAGAGAGACATATATACCCATTATCTAGGTACACACACACACCATGGCGGACAAATGGGTTGATTGGAACAAGACGCCGAGGTCCAAGGACTATCGCGGGTCGTCGTCGTTCGCGACGTTTATGATTATCGGGCGTACGTCTTATCTCTGAATGTCTTTAACCCCGCCGGCGCAAGAATCAACGCAACAACCTATATAGGTACCTTAGGTACACAAGGTAATTACAAACAACGATGCTAACATAAAGACTCTCCAGCGACCTGCTTCTTCCTCGGCATCCTCTTCGCCATGTTCCCGTACGACTTCCCGCTGCTGTGGACCAAGGACCCCATCTCGGCCGCGTACCTGGACCAGCTGTCGACGCACCTGCGGTTCATGCACCAGTCGCCCCCGCTCATCGCCCGCATCCTCAGCATCATGGTCGGCGTCGGCTTCCTCGGCTTCTTCATCAAGCTGTTCCGCGCCTCCGAGTCCAACATGCTGTTCGACGGCGCCTCCCTCGTCCTCTACCTCATCGGCGTCGGCGTCTACGTCGCCAACATCGTCAAGGGCCTGCGGCTCGTGAGCGCCGGCGCCTGGGATGATGACATTAACGGGGTCTTTGATCCGACGGCCGTCGGCGTCGGCAGGCCCGGCGCCGGCGCGGGAGACCCGCTGACCGGCGGCGAGATCATCCTGGGCCGCGAGGATAGCCTCAAGGTGCTGGCCGCGAGCAACACGATCCTGGCGCTGGTGCTCGTCGGCGTGCTGGTGCTGCAGGCCGGGCAGTGGTATGCGGAGCGCAAGGACAACGAGGAGTACGAGAAGTACCAGAAGATGGAGAAGGAGAAGAGTGGCAACCCGTCGAGTCCGACGGCCGAGAGGAACAAGAAGAAGCAATAAAAAAAAAGGTGGGAGGGGGAGAGAAGAGAAGAAGGGCTTCTTTTATTTTTATTTTTCTGTCATAACATGCTTATCATGTAAGGCCCATGCTGCTTCGGCGGGTTGGGCTGCTATTGGTGGTGTTTAGTTAAAAACACACGCACAAGATAAGTACTTGGCGGATTGGGGTTTTGGATTTAGGTCGTGCGGGTTTGACGGCTATTATCTCGAGATGTATGAGTTGCTGATGGTCGATTAATGGGGGGGAGGGGGGCATAAGAAAAGGGCAGCATGCCTTAGGAAGGTAACCCTTGAGAAGGAATCCGGGATACTTGTACGAAAGAAAAAAGAAGTTATTATGCTATATTATCTAGTGTAGATTCGGTTTTGGATGTGTGCATGAAATAAGATAAACTGGCATTGGGTTCTTGAGTTTTGCAGCAGTTGACATATCAGCCTGGCTCTACGCTCCATATTGCTCCAGAGAGTAGAAACCTCTTTCTAGCCCGTCTTTGTCTTGCTCCTCACGTAATAATATATCCAACCTTTGTTACATTACCTTAGAGTACTAGCATGCGTATAATATGGTAGCTCTTAAGTCCAGGACAACTCATTATATCTCCGAATTTACGATTAAACACGACGACACCTTTGTCAACGAGTACATATCTGCGAAATAGAAGCGGATTTGATATTAACCTATGCGTAGGGCACGCCCCGCGCAGGTGCTCAGTTAAAGAACATAATCATAGCTTGATCCGATCGGAGCATCCCGTCCACCTCAAATACCAGGTATGTACCTATATACCACGACATGCTCTGGTCTCGCGGTAGAAAGGGGGGATGTGTGTATATAGATACACGCAAGCATTCAGACTTATTTCTCCCCTTCCCTTCCCTTCCCTTCCCTTCCCTTCCCCTTTCAAACAACAGTCAAATCAAAAGCAACGATGCCACCAAACGCCATACCATGCAACCCGCCTGTGCTTGTTCTGCCTGCCCCCCGCCCAGTGGTATCACGATAAAAAAAAGTCCCTGCCGAATCCCATATTTTGTTGCTCGGACAAAAGAAAAGAAAGATAAGCGACCAGCTTAGCTTGAGAGAGAAGAAGATAGGGAAAAAAGGTAAATGCCCGCTTGGCCATGGGTAGGTGGTAATTAAATTATCACGTTAGAAGTGAAGAGATCATCACCTCCATCTAGGAAGCTGATCCCCTAACCTCGCCTGCCCCCTTGTCGGCGGCGCGTTGCCGTTGTTGCTATTAGTGTCAGCCCGCTGCTGAATACGAGACCACGTCGTCACGGAGCTGTCAGGCCTGCCGCTTGCTACCTTGCGCGGGTCCGCAAAGACATTAATGCTCATGCCCTCATCCTCATTAAACTGAGCCCTCTCCTTCCCCTTTCCTTTGTCCCTTCCCTTTATCGTTCCGTCCCGCGCCGGTGTCACGGTTACCGTCGGCGTCGGGCCGGTAGAAAAGTTGTCCATACCATTGCTGCCGCTACCCTCGCCGCTGCTCTGCTGGAATTGGTTCCAGCCCGTCAGACTCCTGAGCCCGCCAATCTCAGCCGAGGCGTGATAACTACGTGGCGCGTCTGACATCTCGCTGTCCGGACGACGGGCATACGGTGAATATGGAGAGTTCGGCGGCATAAATCCAAATCCGCCATATCCCTCGTCAGGTTTACGATGACTGTTAGGCGATGCCACGGCTGTTGGAGATGACGGCGTAAAACTCCGAGGCGAGCTAGACTGAGATTGCTTCGCTAGGAAATCTAGGCGTTCGTTCGGGTATTTAGCATGAGGCACCGGCGCACTAATGATGTTACCGAAGGATGAGGTCGATTCATGGCGTTGCAATTGTTCCCGTCTCTGGAGTTGCTGCTTGCGCTTGTATCGTGCAAATATTACGGCTAGGATGACGAGAACGAAGCCTGCAACGCCCCCGATAACTCCTCCAACGATTTTCACTGTTTCTGCCGTGGTTGAATTCGATGTTGGTGGTGTTTCGGTAACTGGCTCGCTAGTTGGCTCATTAGTTGGTACGCTGGTTGGCTCGACATCCGTCTCTGTAGGTGACGCGGGCGGTTGCGTAGTGGATGTTATCTCGCTTACAGCCACCGTCGTCGTCTTTGATGTCGAGGGGTTTGTACTAGTAGGAGCCGGTGCAGATGGGCTTGCAGAGCTCGGTTTCGAATCAGGCTTTTTGCTCTGGTCGGTATTTTTTACGCAGGTTGTGCCATCGCAATGATAACCAAACGGACAACACGTCCCCGTCCCGCACGTCTCGAGAACTCCATCAAGTACCGTCGTCTTGATCTCCGCCTCGGGATTTTCGACAGGATCTTGTAACGCAAGGTCGCATGTTATGGGACTTATCTTGTTACAAGTCTTGCCTTCCGGGCAGCATAATACCGTCGTGTTGCCAGCCAGGGCTATACACGTCGTATTCGGTTCGCAGCAGAAATTGTCAGGTAACCCGGATGAGGAGCATCTCGTGAAGTTTACGGCACATGTGCTATCGGCTCTCTCGAACAGAGTATTCGGTCTGATGTATGCGGCTGAAGCAGTCGTCGCAAGCACCGCTGCGAGACTTAAAGCCCTTCGAGGGCCCCAGAGATACGCCATGGAAATGATTAGTTATGATAGGATACGATGTGTTCCAGTTTTTTCCTCCCTTTTTCTGATGTGTGTTTTTACAATGCTGAGGTATGATTGAAGGAAATAATAATATAAAAAAAAAGCCAAGAAATAATTATGTAGTTAGAATGGGAAATCGAAAGTATGTACTAGGAAGCGGCAGAAGGCAGTATCTATGGTAGGAAAAAGAACAAACTCAATCACGGTGAAGTCAGTCAGACACCAAGAATAAGACAGGGGGGTGAGTTAGAAATAGCAACAAGTATAAGCAGGCGGAGACAATGAATACGTTCGAGCAATTCAGTCAAATGACTATGAAAGGGTGCAAGTGAATAAGACGTGGAACAAAAAGAGCGAACAACGCAACGGCCCAGCAATGGCCTAGTAATGACAAGTGAATTTCGATGCTCGGCCTATGAATCACGCTTCGTTTTCCTTGACGTCTTTGTTTCCACTTTGTTCGACCATTGTCCGTTTCCTTGGCCCCCGCGGGCCTGAACTGAACAATGTACGGCATAGCTGGCAATCGTCGCGATCGCGTGACCTAAGTGACGACGATTTCTCTGGTCCAACAGATGCGACCTGATGGGGTCTAAGTCATGACGCCCGATGTAATGCGGCAGTGGAACGGGTGATCGACTGGATATCTTCACCCAGAGATGACGATCATGGGTACCTAGGACTTAGATGCAGAAAGATGCAGAATAGATCTGACCTAGCCGCGACGTAGATTACGTAGTGCTACTCGTTCAAGTATACCGAGTGGACGCCAAAGCTTCTGGGCGAACCCCGATATGTTCGCGATGAAGCAATTCGGGTATTCGGCGACAGAGCAGGCACCCAAACGAGAGGTCCTCATAAGGCGAATCGCCCATAATCGTGCTGGGACGTCGTACTCATTGGGCGGTTACAAGGGGCGCCAAGTTACGGCGGTTGTGAAGGAGAAGAAGTTTGGAGAAGTTCATTGGTTCTAAAAAGTATTAGTACTATTAGTACTATTAATACGACTTTCAAGTTAGGCGCGATAAAGTTGGAAACACGTGTCTGATTGGTTGGATTGTTTGAGAGTTTTCCTAATTTGGCTCTGCATCTGGCAAAGTCTAGATGCTGATTGCCCATAAAACCCCGACGGATATCCACTGTAAAGATTAGATCCTAGCAGAATGGCGTCAAAAAAGATGCTCCATCCCAAACCCAAATACAATTATACTACTACAACTTCAATTAAATGTAAAAAAGTCAATTCTAGGTCAATTTAATATCAAAAATTATTATAAGATAGCTTTAGTATTATTCTGCAGGTTTACAATATATTGAATTAATATGTTATGTTGCTAAAGCGTTATTGGCAATGAAAATAAGAGTATGTTTTGGAATATTAGGTACTGGCTAGGGGGGGCATCTTTTTTGACGCGATTCTGCCTAGTAAGCGCGGGGGGGTTCCTATTGTGAGGTACCTGAGTACCTAACACAACACAGTACATCACTCCGAGACCGGGTGTTACCGGTTGGGATCTATTATATTGCACCTAATAATACCTACCTCATAGGTACCATACCTTAGGTACTTAGGTAGGTACAGTAGAATCCAAGAGGTGCAAGTCACCACCACCACTACACACACATTTCTTCTTCTGTGATGTTGGAGCATAAAAAGAAACCAACACTCCGGGCCGTCCTGCACCTAACCTAACCATAATCATGACGTGCGCCTCATTTCCTTAAAAAAAGAAAAAATGCAATGCACATGAGCCGCTCAATCCTCAAGAATCTATCGACGGGAGGCCTCATGCACAACATTTTCCTCTACCAAGAATCACAGCCTACCCCGACCCTTCGAAGCGAACGACCTGGTTCGCGACCTTACCGCAGGGCTGTTGGTAGAATATAGAATATGTACCCAATATAATGTAATGCTATACAGCAACTACAAAGTTAGGTAGCAATTCTTTTTTTTTTTCTTTTTTTTTCAAACCGTGAGGTCTGAACTCAAGGCTTTGACAACGGAATGCAACCCTTCCATTCCGTCCTCGAGGAACGCATCATTCTCCCTTCTCACAGCGTCCATATCCTCGCTGCGGTCGTCCGTCCAGCGATGCACGTACACCGTACTCATGCCGAGCGCCCTCGCCGCTCTGAGGTCGTACGCGTGGGCCGCGACCATGACGGCCTCGTCCGGCCGGACCCTCACCAGCCCTAGAGCTTTCTCGTAGGCCTCCGGCGCCGGTTTGTACACGCCCAGAAGCTCGCTCGAGAACAGCAGGCTGAAGATGCCCTCTAGGCCGGATGATCGGACGAGGTCGAGCTGCAATCTTGTAGTCCCGTTGGCGAGCACAAATAGCTCCAACCCTGGCTCGTGCTCTGGCTCGTGCTCGCTCTTCAGCGCGGTTAGTGCAGGGCGAACATCCGACCATGGGGCTATATTATGCCACGCACGCACAGCGCGCTCGACGGCGCCCGTCCCGGCGTCCGGGGGACCAGGACCAGGACCAGGAGCAAGAGCAGCAACGTCTGGAGATGCAGACGCCCCATTACCACTGCCAGTATTATTACTATCAGTAGTATTATTATTATCGTCGAGCCCAACAAAATGCCGGCGCTCCCCCTCGTAGACATCCCAGCCGAGGATCCTCAGTAGCGTTTTCCGATGCGTGATGTCAATGTCCTCGGGAGGCAGTCCCAACAGGGACCGAGCGTGCAGCTCCCCGAAGAACTCCTCGCGCCAATCGAGCGCCAGCCTCGAGCGGGTTGCCTCCGCTATGCCTGCCGGCAGCGCGCTGGAGACTCCGCTGTGCCAATCTAGACACGTTCCCATAAAGTCGAAGAAGACGGCTTTGATTCGCCTCTTCCGCGTACCCGGCTGGGTCGTTGGTATCGTTACCAACGATAATGATTTTTCTTCTCCTTCTCGCATATGCGACATTTTGTACCTAGGTATGTACACTATTGTATTGTACCTGCACAAGCTTGCTTGCGCTTTTTTTGGCCCCAGTTTTGTGATTACCTTAGGTTATGTAAGTACCTAGAGATTCCACCAGCGCCGCCGTTCCAAGTGACGATCTTCCGCTGCAGAAGTTTCTGGCGTGCGGATTTACATACATTACCTTAGGTAGGTAGATTTTGCTCGAGATCCCATCAGGTGCAGACCGCCTCCCGTCTGTATGTACATCAGCTAGCTTTTCCGGTCGCCGTGCGGAGACGTAATCCCATGGCCTCATTTTCGGCCGAAATGACAAAATCCTAGCTGTCTAAACAACAGCTACTTACCCTATTCATATGCCGAAATGTTCCCTGTCAGAGAGCCAATAAAAACAACAGCGTAGTGTAGGTATGTATTTTCGTCTTGTAGTAGTAGTAGCTATAGTATAGGTGGAGGGTATTTTGCGGTATGGACCAAATGCCGTGTGTATGGCCGTTGTTAGCTTCGCATGTTTCAAAACATCGGATGGGAAAAGAAGAAGAAGAAGCTAGGTTAGTTAGCTTGGTTAGGCCATCCGTCTCTCTCAGCTTGTCAAGGGTAGAAAAAGAGCGGACGAAGTTGGAAATATACGTCATAAGCTGCCCAAGTAGCAACAGGAAGCCCCTGTCCGGACGCATTGATTTTGGCCCGCACAGCCCAACTTAGCATAGCAATGGACCACCTAGATCTCTAAATTCGCATGTGGTTTTTTTTCCTTTTTTTTTGGGCATCTACCTTGACATGTGATAGGAACAGTAGTAGTTAGGTTAGGGGTTGGGTTAGGTATGCATATTACTATGAAGTGATAATTTTGCCCAATTTCACGCGACACCAATGCCACGGTCTATGTATGTTATTCTATTCTATTCTGCCTTACACTCCGTCGTATGTAGGTAATTTTAACTGTCGAATGGCAGCTGAAAGTAAAACTCCACCGTAGCTCTGCTTGCTTGCTTGCACTTCTTTTCCACTTTATCTGCAACGTTTCCGCCAAGAGAATTTGGACTGGAACAAAAAAGAAGAAGAAGAAAAAGCCGGGTTGCTACATGCGGTAACTAGCAGCCAGGCGGGCCGCCGCGCGCGCGCGTGTAGGGCAAGTCCAGTGTGGATCATGATGGGATCTACAGCATATGCGTGTGTGCTCCATAGGTAGTTAGAGCACATACATATCAAGCGTTAGGTACCTACATTAGGTATGGGAAAGGCACAAGAGGAGAAGAAAAAAAAATGAAGTGAAACCCGATATGGGATCGCCGGCCGTTGAGGAGGGGGCGTCGAAAGCACCTGACTCACTGATCACGAGATCCCCATTTCCTCCTCTTCCTCCTCCCCTTCACCGCTCTGCTATCTTGCATCTGCATTTGCATTTGCTATTCCCAGTTGCCGGAGTCGATGGATACCCAGGTCCCAAGTCCCAAGTGAAATCCGGTGGAGTATAGCAAGGAAAGAAAAAAAAAATTTGCTCCTGGGGTTGGTGAAAGTGTCCCAATTTTTTTATTTTTAAAAATTTCAAGGCTTTCTTTCAGACAAGTTAGCGAGCGAAACCAAACCTCGTAAAAAGAAGGCTAATTAAGCCGAGATCAAATGTCTTTTGTTAGCCGCGAGTTACTTAGGAGGTAGGTTAGGTAGTCTAATGCAAGTATGAGTCAAAGAATAAGTGTTAATGTTCTCGGTCTGGTTAATAATAAGTTAACTAGCAAACAAACTATAGTGAGGTAGATTCAAATCACTAAAGAGAACCATGTAAAAGACTCAAGTGAAGATGGGCAAGTATGTATTTTTAAATTTTGAATTTTTATTCGATATTAGTGTGTTATTGTAATAATAACACTACAACCAAAATATACTTTCTCCTACTGCCCTTAGGGTTTCTAGTTCTCCTAAGAGCCATGAGAGGCGAGGAACAATCATATCGGTGTCCCCCTAATGAACCTGTTTATGTCCCTTTTTCCTTCCAGGGACAAAGCGATGCTAGGCCTTTATATATCCAGAACCAAATGCTGAATTCATACACACACACACACACACACACACACACCCGCCAAAAACTCCAAATGTCCCTTTCTCTGCCAATGCATGCAATGGTATATATAGAGCAGACCCGATAAATGCCGTAAAACGCGTAGGTAGGTAGTAAAAATGAATCCAAAAATAAGAAATTCGTCATCTTCTCATAAAGCCATAGCAAGGTTCATTACCTCCCAAATGTGACGGCCCCCATCTCTGCCGTCCGTTCTGTTGATATATCCAAGCTCCTTAAATCTTCCGCCTATTTCCAAGTGTCGTTCCGGTTGCCTTGCGGCATCCTCTCTCTAATGGGGTATTATGATAGTAATAAAGTAAAAGAAAAAAAATTGTTGTTAGCCAACCGTAGTCTCAGTGCGAAGGGGGGAGTTGGCAATTTCCTGCATCGCCCCCCCAAGAAGGCTACCCGCAGATGAGGAGAGGGGACTGCTCTCCTCGAGACCGGCTCTGAGGGATGCGATCAATTTAGATCAGCAAGTAATCCAATCCCCTCATCTGCATAACGTCTCTCCAGGAGACGTAGGGCGCTTCTGTGGACCCGTTCGCACTAGGACTCGGCTGGCTGTTGTCGGCCTGTTGCCAGACCTCGTGTAGCAGTGTTACCACGCCACCAAAGCTGCCGTAGTTAGCGGCATCGCCTAGCTGGGCGATGCGGTCGTTGAAGAAATGCCTAAAGCTAGAATTCATTCCGCTGACGGATCCACTAATGAGGTAAACCCAGGAGAGGCTTCGGTCGAAGCCGCCGGGACCAGACGGAATAAGATGTAGCACGGTAGTGAGCTTCTCAACCAGGCCAACACAGCTCGCCTGGCTGGGGGAGAAACCGGGAACTAGACTGCACAGGTAAATACGAGCTGCCAATCGGAAGGCGCTTGTGATGTTCTTGCTGAGTTGTTTCGGGCTAAGAGAGCCATTGGCGTTGAATGGCATTTTGGGTGTGCTGTCATGGGTTTCAGTCAACCCAATCTGGTCGCCAAGAGCGTGCACATGCTGGCAAAGTGTAATGTCATCCATTCCTTCCTTCTTCAGCGCCTCGAGACAAGCGATCTCGGAAATGAGGTACATGATGTGGTCATCGCAGCCCATGAGCTCGCGAAGTCCAAGGAACGGGTTAGTGGTAGATAAGTGCTTCTCGCGGTAAGTGTGCGCAAAAACTGGGGCCCTCCCTTGCATAGTTGCTCCAAGGATATCGATCCACGCGGTCAACGTCATGTTAAATGGCGTTTGGGTGAGCTGCTCGTTAGCGTCGGAAACCAGACGGGGCAACTCCAACTTTGCAACGAGAGAGTTCACAGCCTGGAAGTGCTGGTGCCACGGAATGTCGGGGAGCGAATCATCATATCGGCCAACGCAGGACTGGAAGAAGATGAGACCCAAAGTTGCCTCGAGGATCTGGTGGTGGTTCTCATCATTGTTCAGGGCCTCGCAAAGAGCGACGATAGTAGCGTGTCGGTGTCGCATGATGTCGTTGTCAATTTCGTCTCCGTGGACGTTCATGGTTGCCTTGTAGTGTTGAGCTGCAATCATGAGACAGCAGTGGAGGTAAGCCTTGTTGTTCTGCAAGTTAGGCAGGACGAGGTCAGAGCCGACGGAGCCATGTTGGTTAGTCTCCAGGATTGGGAAAATGGTTGGCAAGACAAATTGAATGAAATGCTCTAGAAGTCGCTGGTCGTTCTCATCCAACTCAATATCAACTTGCGTAGTGTTGGTAGGTAGTCCGTGAGAGAAGTCGAAGAAGTTGTAGTTCAAAGTCTCCTCAGCTAGTGACTCGCGGCGTTCCTGGAAAACTTGCTCCGTCCACTCGCCGTCCAAGGGGTAGGACGGGAGGACGGTTCCTGGCGGCGGTGGCGTGTGGAACGTGCTGAAAGTGGACACCGTTGATTCCCTTAGAGTAGGGACGTCATTAACAAACATTTGTCGCTCGGTCTTGACGTCAATCTCATAGGGAGACATGTTGAACATGAAGTCGGAATGCGACGGGAGGATGTGTGGGTTGTATGCCCCATAATCCTGCACATTAGGCGGGCTGTTGAAGTTGAAGGCGAATTGCGAGTCGATTGACGCCGACCTTGTTCGATCTAGAGGATCCGAGAAGGTTGCGGATGTAGGAAGCGAGTGAGACAAGCCAGGCGGCGAGCTAACTGAGGTCTGGATGGTGTGGGAGTTCTTCTCGCTGAGCTTCTTTCGCTTGATGATCACCTTAATGTCGTCCTTGTGCTGTCGCCTATGGTCGTTGTTGCTCCACCACATCGGCCGCTTATATTCGCATGTAAGACCGAGGTGCTTGCATGCTGAGCACATAGGAGTACCCTCATCGCACTTCTTCCGTCGTAATCTGCAGGTGTAGCAGCCTGTATAGAAGGTATCATGTTAGTGTTGTGGTTCTAAGCCGACTTACACGCACCAAAGCCGGGCCGGTGCAAGTGACCCGGTGTAAGTCAGTTAGTTGTATTGGGGAGGTACCAACCTGTTCTTGAGCGGCGGTGCATCTGTGTCTTAGCTTTAGGGTTGGCATTGTTGTTTTGCTTCGAAGGAGCCTTCGACTTGGTCGGTTGTGCAACGGCCATGTTGACGGTTGATGCTCTCATGAGGTCTCCCTGGGGGTTGGGGGGTAGAGATGACATTTGTATCTTATGTCGAGTTTAGGTACCTGCGTCGAGATGGTAGTGCCCAGGTGGTGGGGGGGTGTGGTGTGTATGCTGGTCAAGCCGAACGAAAGCGGGAGGGGGACCAAGGGGAGACAGGGGCCCTAGTTCTAGGTCCAGGTCGAGATTTGCTAGGGTCTGCCTAAAGAGTGCGCCTCGAAGCCAGTAATTCCCCAAAAACGCTCAACGCTTGAGTTCTCGTGCCCGGCGAATACCTAAAGGTACCTAATAACCCGCAAAAGGTGGAGATAAAGCCGGCCGCGGAGTAAATATTCGGAAATCGTCAAAATTAATATTATTTCTTTCTCGTCGAATGAATGATAGGATCCAAGCAAGTACCAGCTTGCCTTTCACGTTAGTCGAGTTTAGCGGGGATAAGGAGGTAATAAGAGAGGAAGAGGGTTAAGAGAAGAGAGAAGGGTGGAGAGAGGATGAGAGGATGAGAGAGAGAGGGAGCTAATTAAGAGGAAATGGAACGACACTTGATTGTTTTTAACCCTTCAACGACTCTATCTCGAAAAGAAAAGAAGGCTTCTGTGGATTGGACATGTTAAGACTTATATCGTGGCCTCGTCCCCTTTGGACACCACCTTTACCACCTTTAGCTGCGTCGTGAACTTGGTGTAGCGTCGACGGCTGTGTTCAAAAATAGCAACACGCGCGATTTTGGGGTAATTCCTTTTTTAACCCATCACTTTTCTGGCCTAATTTACTGGTCGCTGCAGGTTACCACATATGCAACCTCTGCAAATTAACCCACTTTGGGGTAGGACGTGGTGACTTGAGCCGGATATGCGCTTGCGGATGCCAATGAGCTTGGCCGGTTCTATGGACCGCGGTCGAGTCACCCGGATGAAGGTGGGCATCGTTAACCAACTGGACCAACCACCCTCCTTCAAGAAAAAATAGCGGTACAAGGGCATTGTACCACTCGGTGACACTGGCGGAAGACGGTGGGCTGCAAGCAGAGGGCAAGGGTTATTTGGTAGGGTACCAAGCAACGTCGAGCGACTAAAACAGGCAGTTCCCATACGTGGCTTGCCGGCCATTGGCACGACCTCTCGAAAGTCCGATCCACCGTGATGCATCCCCCCCATGCATAATACATAGTGGAAAGACATGGGGTCTTGACAACCACCGCCAGCACTTGCAGATTTTCTAATTGTGCGCGCGAGTGTGTTTAGTGTGTGACCTTGCGAGCCCTGTATCCATCCTTGCCGTCTGCAAGCCCTGCAAGGCCCGGGGTCTTCAAGTTTATTGAAAGCCGCAGGGATTTATTAGCGTCGATCGGGTCGAGAAAGAGGCACGGAAAAGAGAGAGATAGAGAGAGAGGAGGGTTTGCGAAATGTGGTACTTTTACGAGAGAGAAAGCCACATGTACTTTTCATAGTACTGCTCATACCTAGTACTGCTTATAGTACTTCTCCTCCTCGAGGAACTCCCGTCATGCCACTTCCCATCATCGAGCGGAGACGGTTGGGCCGTGTCTTGGGCTTGTCACTCCCTCTTTGCTAAGTTTGCACGTTGATGATAGACATGCTGTGCGAGAAGAACCACGAGAGAGGAACCCCACGTGTGGACTTTTCGATGTCGAGCGAAATGCCAAGTGTCGACTTGCTCAAGACAAAAAAAATAATAATATGTATGCAAGGAGCCATGGCAGCTTGCCGATTGCCCTCGCATTGACCATTGGAGTACGGATTGTGTGGTTACTCTGCATAAGCTGACCGATAATCATAGATTGCTTTGCTATCGGGTTGCATATGCAGCGTAGGTATGCAGCATACATAGAGAACCCAAATCCGTACGCATGTATACTACTACGTTATGTCCAGTCCAGAGGTAGTATCCAGTAGTACGTACCTAGTTCAAGGTAAGGTGGAATTGAGGTACCTCGTACAATTCGTACAATACGTACATCCATACATACGCCGACCCTAGCTCATTGCTACATTTGGATAACATGTCGCCGAGTGGAGAGCTGCTGGGCTGGAGTAAGAAGCAGCTCATTCTGTAATTTAGGTCGAATTTTGCGAACTCGGAGTTGGGTCATCGATCGCGAGCTTCTACTCTCTCTGTATCTCTGTGTCTTTTGCTCTTCAAGGAAGGAGGAAGAAAACGAGACTCTGTAGTATCCGTATAGCATAATTACTCTATAGCTTAGGCGTTCATTAGGAACAACTTCTGCCCGCCAATGGATGGCGAGTCTTCGAATACAAGCGTAGGATTGGCCATCAGTATAAACTAGTGGCCGTCCGGGCAGAGGGACCAACGGGGTCCGGCCTTTACTAAAAACCTTGCACACGGCGGGACGAAGAAGTCGGGACTAGGAATCGCGCCGATTCTAAAGTCCCCTTCGCAGCCGAGGAATAAGTTAAATGTAAAATATTTCCCAATGCTCAGGGTCAATTTCGATAACAATCCACTCGGGTGGGCATGGGAAACACATGTTTTTTTTTTCTTTCTTTCTTTCAAGCCAAAGCCAAGTAAGGTTGGACCTTTTCCCTAGCTAGTCCGAACGTTGCTGTGGCACCGGCGAAATATTTTCGAATTATGAAGATGGGCTTTTTTAAAGTAATAGCCAATCATATAGATAGGTTATGTAAATCACGATTCGGTCCTTGGAAGAAGTTAGGGAAGCAAAAGAAGTCGTTAAGCTCTCTGATTCGAGGTTCTGGGAAAGTTGGCGCCAGTAGCGGGCTTAACCGAAATCTTAGTTGATGTGACAAAGTAAGGGTTCACACTTGGGATTGGCTCAAGCTCGGAAGCTAGTCCCTGCTTGGCCGGAATTAATTCATGATGGAGGGAAAGATTTTAGCCAATCTTTGGTCGAGGGCGGCAAGCTCCCATTAGTGTATACAGTGGATCTTGATGGGGTCTATCTGCTAGCGTATGCAAAATCTCAAGGATCCCCGGGCTGCCAAGACACGGCATCAAGGGGGGCCCTCTCTTTCCCTTTTGCCCTTCATCCCAGATGAGGTCAGCAACCCAGGACATGCCAGGGAACTAACCCTAGCTCAAGGTGGAGGTAGCTTCGTAGCTTCCCCATGTTTCCCTTTATCAGCCGTTATCAAAAGAGAATCAAGCCGTGGTCCATGCACCATGTAAGCTGTAAAAGCGTAAGCTTCAAGGAAAGAATACCTCATGTATTAAGCTATGGGAAGGCTGGGGTGTGGCTTACCGGATTTGCTCACGATCCGGCTGTTGGACGAAGATCACCCGATGCAAAATAATTCGTGATGGGCTAATTTGGCCAACGAGATTCTATAATTATCCCACTTCGCTTCCTCTCTATTGGGAACTAAACTTGGGTTAAGTCATGGCTTAAGCTACTTACACTTTTCCATGCAAAATGCAAGCCGGGCGCTAAAAGTGTCGTACTCGTTTGCGACTATTGATCTACAATATAGTAACATGCACATCACAGATAATTATTCTATTTTTGATTTAGCCCGTAATCTTTTTGGTCTGTGTGATGTGAGTTAATTTGGGCTAATTTGGGTTCTTACATTTGTGTGTAATAATTCAATGGTAGTTCTCATTAGGTACTTTGTACCTAAAGTACTTGACTCTTTTTTTCTTTATCTTCATCTTCATTCATGCTAGCGATCCCGAGATTGGGCCCCATGTAACATCGTCACTTCAAAATGTTGTTAAAGCCTTACCCAGCCATGCGATCCTGCTCGCAAGCATCCTGCCGACAGTCCCGGCAGCATGGCGATGACGGCAGAGTTAAGACAAAGTGGCTCTGCTAATGTGTTATTTTATTTTCCCAAGATATATTGTATTATGCGTTATGCTATCCTCCAGATCGCAAAGTTTGGCTAGTTGTCACTTTAATATAACTATGCTATACTACTACTATTATACGTGTTGCTATATGTGCTGTAAAGAAATGGGGGCTATTCGTTATGTTATGCATGTCTGTGATGTTGGATGTTAGCCAACATTAAGAAGAAAAATGTTACAAGGATGGTGGAGATACCTACGTACGTAAGTATGCCCTTATTACAAACGGGCATACCCATTCTGTGCCTGACTTTTGGGTACATATTATCCTGGAAAATTACCTGCCTTGGACGTGATGAAATGTATGTAGGTATATCCAGCTTACCCTGCTGCCCTGCAAAAGTCGTTACATAGTAGATACTACAGCAAGAAATTGAAAAGTCTGTGCTGTTGCCGTCATTGGTAACCCTGTCTAGGGAAGCTGATGCAAATCATCATAAAAACAAACTCTCACCCGGCAGCCAAGCTGTTGCGTCCCGGTCCATCTTCCGCCGGCTTACAACAATAAGACTAATGCGTGCAGCGTGCGCAAGCTTGTGATACATTCCTCAGCGGACATGGGAACTAAGAGGCTAAGTCCAAATCGAGCTCCCCATTAACCCATTCACGATCTACTATTCATCCTACGAACCGGGATGGCTTCTTGTGTAGTCTGTGCTCTTCAACCAGCTAAGCACACTATAGTAATAGTACTATAGCACTATTACGGTATGTACGTTCAAGGGTCCTGGACCCTAGTCCCGAGTGAGATTACCTGCATTCGTGAAGTCTTTCCTCTGTCTAACCCTATTCGCCAACTTCGTCGAGGGGGGGTTATCTACGGCAAATTTGAAGACTTCAACACAACACAACACAAAAAAAAAAAAAAAAATCAAAAAATCAAATCAGAGCCTCTAGATGGACATCTTACGATAGCACAGATCTTCATTCATGCTACGAGGACTAAGCTCTGTCGGGATAAAGGAGAATCAACCATCCACCAAGGAGCTGGGACTCGCATTAAGGAATACTCATGTGATGAGTCCCGAAAACCTATTCTCGGCACGCGATTGGGCCCCGGGCCTCTTCAAGTCAACTTCGCTTAAATCGGAGCGTGCTCTTTTTTTTTTTTATGTCACAGGGAAATAAATCAGCCCCATCCCACAGCTCTGCCCAAGTTGGGGAATAAAATTGAGATGCTTGTAATGATGAACCTCCGAAGCTGCCCAGCTGTGGTGGGCTAGCGGTGATGTTAGTGTTAGGGTAGAGACAGGCCGATGTAATACAATTCCTTCGGGATTAACCAAATGAACAAGTGATAGCTCGCCGTCCACTGATTGATTCACCGCCGCCCGGATCTAAGTTCAGCAAATTCCTGGATAGAGCAAGCAGAAGCCATTCAGATCGGATATACTCGGGAGCGACCATGTTCACAGATGCCCTTCTTGTGAGTCAACGCAGCCCGAATGTGGATCACAAATTATAGTATCTACAATTGTAGTAGGGAAAGTTAAACGTAGCAGAAGCTGCCACTTGTCTTGATGGTAAAGTGATAACAACGGAGACAGGTAAATCCATCGTATGAGTCTACATACGGTAATATCTTTGTCGGTCACCGACTCGTAAAGCTGTTGCATATGATGGGCTCTAATAAGAAGAGAATCATATTGTCTTAGATCTCGGTTTGCTCCCTTGATGGATCCATTTAGTCTGTTGACGATCTTGCATTGGCTTCATCACTAAGGTATATCAAACTGTCGGTGTATTCCGTCGGATTGTGCTGGGCGGCGCTAAGGTGGTAATGTAGTATGTTAGGTAGTATGTAGTACCTACTATGTATGTGGTATGTAGGAACTCGCTTCGCGGGGAGCAGACGGACACGGCTCTAAGCTGCATACCGTATGCGGGAACCTACTGCTTCTATGCAGCGCTGTAGAACGAGTGTGACCCCCGCCACATGCTGCTAGGTACTACTGCTGCTGCTGTTCGTGGAGGTTGAAATTACCCAGCCAACTGCCTTATTCGCTCTTGATCGCTGGGCCGATAGCTCCATTTGAATTGGAGATGGAGAAACCAGTGAGCCTTTTCTTGACGACCTACCCAATCTTACGTAGGCTTTCCTTCCTTGTCACAAACGGTACCGAACGATTGAAAAGAAAAGCTATTCCGCCAAGGCACCGAATGGAGAATTATAGCTTCTCCATTCGCATTCGCTCACCTTCTTCCTGGGACTGAGACTGGGTTATCTACGTTCCCAGCGTCATTGGTATTTGGTTGTCATGTGTCCGGAACCAGGTCACGTTGACTTCGACGATATGTCAATCATTGGGTACCAAGCCGAGGTGGACCAGTTGCAAGGGACCGTGGAACGTTCGAAAACTTGTTCCTTCGACACCGGTCGCGGACGCATCGAATTCGAAGATTGGGTAGATCCGTAAACCAAAAAAAAACAGGTACCTAAAGCAAGCCGGTCCGGTTCAGAAGTCCAGATCTTGACACAATCCCATAGGGAGGCGTTTGTGGCATTATCCGTCCCTCCTCCTCCTCCTCCAAAAAAGAGGCGCCTCAGAGTCGGGATCCGCCACTGGCCCTCTTGATATCTCGCTATTGGTGAGGGGAGATCCTGGTTTTTCCGAATTGGCTTTTACTTGTAGAGATTAATAAGACGTCTTGATTTGGAGACACCAATCCCATCGTCTTGCAACGTGCTACAAGAGAGGGGGTTTTCAAGGAAAAGGATAAAAGAGTGCTGTACTATGTATGTATGTATGGTTACCGCATGGTAGCAGCCACGAATACCCTGGTTCTAAGAGAGCACACAATACCAATATGCTACTACAATACCTAAGCTACAGCTACGATAGCAATACAATAGCCTCTGATTCTTCGTCTGCTTGGTCTGCTTGTGCATACCCAGTGGAGAAACTACGGTATAGACCCCTGGCTCAATGTAGGATTATTCTCTCCGTCCGTCTATCCGACCATGGCCGGATAGTGGGCCATCGTGTCTGTTTTTGTCTTTGGCTTTGTCTCTGTTTCTCTCTCTCTCTCTGTGCCTTTTTTGACTAGGTCTCTGACTAGGTCTCTGACTAGGCCTCTTACTAGCATGTGCACGCAAACCGCAGGCTTGCAGAGTGCAGGGCTTGCGAGCTTTGCAGGGCTTGTAGACCGGACCTGGGGCGAATCCGCTAACGCTTACTGCTAATTGCTAATACTAATGCCCAATGCTGTCGGTGATCACTCGAGAGGGTTATCGTATCCCGGTTTAGAGAGGATCAATTAACTTGATCCGCCCCGTCCTGCCCGTCGCTCACGATAGGCTGGCTTCCGGGTCTCCTCAGGGATCACAAGCGAAAGCGTTACTCGCTCGTTCGCTCACACCCACCTCTGACCGCTTCCGCATGTAGATCAAGAAAACCATCTGGGTTCGATGGTGATAGATGTAGTTGGGTACGCCGTAGCACGGGTTTCCTCACCCGTTGCACGAGGACTCGCGGTGGTACCTGGGAACTATTGCTACATTGCACAGCTTATTGCGGAGAAAGATCGAGATGCGAATTAGAAATTTTTCACATGGGCTCCAACCGCAAGGGATGCTCAACATCCTTATGTACTATGTAATTACTATGTCTTGAGGCGCCCGTTCGACATTCCCCTGTAGATGATGGGCAGATAATGGGATAGATACATATGTTGGTCCCTCCGTACAAGTCGTTAACTTGTTTAGAACGCGCCACTTTTGCTAACGGTTACTCTAAGGCGATTCCCAATCTGGATTCCAAGTGAAGCGGACTTTGGAAAACTTCATCCCTGTTCAACCGTGCTTAGGCTGTCCGGCGCTTAGAAGAAGGAAATGTGCCGGGGTCGCAGCAGATTACAGCCAATAACAACTCCAGAAAGTCCCAGTTTATTTCCCAGCACACCTCATCTGTTTCTGTCCAACCAGCCCTCTGCTTTCGGGTTGCTTAACGCTGGGTATTTGGTGGGGGAGCATTCTGGGCTTCGTGGGATTTTGGGGCCCTTTCACACATACACATACACATACACAGGCACAGGCACAGGCACAGGCGCAGACGCGAGAGCTATTATTGGGGATTCATGGATAGAAAAAAATACGGGCGCTGTAATAGGTGGCTCTAGGTCGGTGACTCTCCGCGCCGAACAAATAGAGTGTTACTGGCCTTGCTGTGTGAAGTCCCGAGAAACAAATCACATCGTGGCATTGCTCTCCATTATCACAGCGTATCACTTGTTTCTCCTGCATACTTAGTACTTCTGTTGCGATCCGGGGCTATACTACACCATACCTATACTATACCGTATATCCCGTACATATACGTTCCGCAGGTGCCCGCGCTGTACTTTTATCCAGTTTCTCCTCTCCTTTGCGACGTCAAACCTATCCCTCGACTACTCACAGCGAGGTTATTATATTGTTATTTTCCTTTTAGTATTCGCATATCTCGTATACCCACCCCTTTGGTTTAGACGGAGAGGAAGAGAAATCGTAAGGCCGGCGACGGCAAAACATTATTATACCAAAAAAGCGCATATCTTTTTGCATTTTTCCAACTTTTCTATTTTCCAAAATGGTAAGCTTATAAGTTCCGGCTGTAGTCATCTCATCTTTCTTACCCCGGATTTATCCGCAATCTCGAGCGGGCAAAGGTGGCTGACTTTCTCTCCCTTCCCCTTTTTTTCCATGCTGTAGAATACGCAATCGCTCCGAATAAGCGAGCGATCGCATAGGGAGATGCGCCAGAAGAGTCAATTACATGACCCTTTCTTCGGTCTAAAAGGGTTCGACCCACGTCCGACCTCAGTAGCGACGGAAATTGTAGATACCGACTGGGACGAGGAGGACGATATCGTTAGCGAGATAGAAGACGACGACCCAGACTCGCCGCGAATAAGTTTAAACTCGGTAAGCCCACGATAATCTTAAACCCCCGATCTATCACTTGGTGGCGTCCGCAACTAACCCAATTGCCAGTCGGGCCAACCGAGTTTTACAACAGTATCATCATACGATGAAGTACAGACGCCTAGGTCGAGCAGAGCTCGCAATGCGTTTCCGTTTAACTTTGACTCGTCGAAGCCGGTGGAGGGACCGAGGGGGCCGCATCTGTTCCGAGCTTCGATGACAACATCATTGAACTCGTTCGAATACCAGGAGGCCCTCAGCCTATCGCCGATAACACCCAAGACCAAACCGTTAGAAGCGGACCATCGGTTTGCTCTTACTTACGAACCGCCGCCACCTCGTTCTCGGAACAGCCCATTTCAATTTACGCACGAGAAATTAGACCCGGGTGACCTTGCAGCATGGACGCCGGAGAAGGTGGCGCAATGGATGCTCAATGCTGGCATTGAAGTCTCAATTGCCGAGAAATTCGTCGAAAACGACATCAACGGGGCTATCTTAATTACGTTGAAATTCGAGGATCTGCGGGAATTAGATATTCAGTCGTTCGGAGTTCGGACCAAGGTGTGGGAGGAGATCCACGTCCTGCGGGACCGCGAGGCCGCTGCATCTTCGCCCAGACTCGACACCCCGATAGAGGAAGAGGAGAGCAAGGAAGTAAAGAGGGAGCGGAGAAGAGAACAGATGACGGACGAAGGCAGTGGGGAGCATCGTAGCCAGAGCGTCAAACGCTCCAAGAGCCAGAAGCGAGGCCAAGGCGGGAAAAAGCCATCCCACGAAGATATCATCTCGCCCTTGGAGTCGGTATCCATCGTCGGGATCGAGCAGATGATGCCCAAGCCACACCACTGCTCGAAAGGAGAAAACTGCGCCAAGTATAGGAGACAGCAACGGATGATCGAGGCTTTCAAGAGAGATCACCCCTTTGTAGACGTCGAACAGGGCGGCATCATCATGGTTGCCGGAGACCCAGGAAACCCAGAGACAGCACCGGCCATCAACCGTCCCTCATCCACTGAGGCGCTGCGTCCCATGTCTGATGCCGTGCCTTCAGTAATCGCGTCGTCGGACGTTCTCGGCCCCGGCATGCCCCCTTTCCAGTACCTGCAGGAAGCCGCCCTTCGCAATCTTCAGACACGAGACCCCCTGGACAACGTCCGCCAGTTCCTCGACTTCCAGCACCAGGACTCCGCCGCCTGCTCCAGCGAGGTGCCCCCTACACCTCCCTTCGAGATCCTGCCGCAGGCGCCTCACGAGGGCTTGCGTGCTCTTCCGAAGCTTTCCATCCCGGGGTCATCAAAGCAACAACAACAGCAACAACAACCGCAGCGCCCATCGCCAAAATCGCGCGTGGACGCCAACCGAACTCCGCAACCCTCTCAGTACCACTACCCGCAGCGCATGGAGAGGGCCGAGGCTCTGTCGCCCGAGCTACAAAACGCCCCCTACCGATTCGGCACGCCCTTCTCAGACATGGACGTGCCGCTGACGTCCGTACAGCTGGGCCCCGTCGCCCGAGACGCCTCCCAGTCCGTACCGCCCGACATGAACTACCGCGCGGGCCCCATCGCAGCAGCCGCAGCAGCAGCTCAAGGACCTCGGTCGCAATCCCGAGCTTCGCGGCGCCCTTCCCTAGCGCCCGTGGAGGAGGACTCCATTACTACAGCTATTACTGATACTACTCCCGTGGGCCGCGTCGCTCCCCGGTTCCCTCACCACTACCACTCCTCCTCCATCTCCCCCAAGTCCTCCTCCCCGCCTAAGGTCCCCTCGCGCTCTCACCAACAGCAGCCCCTCCAAGCCCCTCCCCGCGCGCAATACCCCTGGTCACCCATCTCCTCGTCCCGCGGAGCTTTTGAGCGCGCCCTCCCGCCCCTACACACCAGCACCACCAGCACCTCGGTCAACGGCATCGCGGGCCCCCGCTCCCCGCCGGTCGTCAAGGACGCCGAGGGCATCACGTACCAGGGCCCGGTCAAGAAGCGCAAGACGCGGATGCTGCGGCACGAGTGGCACGACCAGTACGCGACGCTGAAGGGGACGCGGCTGGCGCTGCACCGGGACGCGGCGAGCAGCAGCCGCTCTCGCGCGCTCGAGTACATCGACATCGACGACTACGCGATCGCGTGCTCGTCGCTGTCGACGGGGTCCAAGCTCAACGCCGCCTTCAAGGCCATGAGCATCAGCCGCGTGAAGCTGCACGGGCGCAGCCCCTCGGCGGCCGACTCCGACTCCGTCGCGGCCTTCAGCTTCCAGCTGATACCGCAGGACCCGGCGTCGAAGATGATGGGCCGGCTGCGCAAGCGCGACAGCCAGAGCGTCGGCTCGAACGGGGCTCTGACGATACCTTCCGGTGCTGGTGCCGGTGCTGGTGCTGCTGGTCCCAGGTTCGAAGGGGCGGTGAATGGCACGGGGAAGACGCACCATTTCGCCGTGCGCAGCCGCGACGAGAGGATCGATTGGATGCGCGAGCTCATGCTGGCTAAGGCCCTGAAGCAGAAGGGCGAGGGGTTCGAGGTTAGCGTTAATGGGAACATGATTTAGACAGATATACGCCTATATATCCGTCCGTCCGTCTGTTTGTCTGTCTGTCTACCCACACGCTCACCACCCACCCACCTACCCACCACCATCTTTTATATATTTCCTTTCCTATCTTTTTTTTATCATCACTCTATTACGTTTCCACCCACCCTAGCCACTTACCACGCTATATATATATATGTTCACCACGCGAGGATACATACTATCCTGTGGTATATACTCACCTCCCTATCCCGGGTGTCGCAAAACACTTTGCTCATGTTACCTACCTATGCCTGCCTTCGGCATCCCTCTTTCTCTTTCTCTTTATCTTCTTATAAGGCGAGGAAGGAAGGCATAACAAACCCTCCCCTCTTCTAAAACCCGGATCTGGCGAATAAGTCGGATTTTGACGATATGAATGACGAATCTTTTTTTTTTTTTTAAGCAATCGATCGAATGAGTTTTTGGTTTGGTACGGTAATTACCTACCTAGGTGACGAATGAAGATGACGAAGACGAAGATGAAGATGAAAACGAGGGCTGCGATAGCCATGGCAGGGTTTTGATATCCAGGCGTTGGCCGTTTGCGAGCGAGCACGATTTTTTTTTTCTTGTTGTCCGCATTCTGTTCTCTTTCTTTTTTTTTTTTTTTTCGATGGGATGATACCTGATTCCAGGCGTATAAACGCGGGGATTGAACGGATATTTTGCTTGACTCCCCCCTTTTTATTTTGTTCTTGCTTTAGGTATATGCACCTGGGTAGTTGACGAATACACCAGCGGCTGGCTATGGGCTCTTGAGATACCAACAAGCACGCTCCTTTATCCGTTATGTATGTTAGCTTAGGTTAGGTAGCTATGGAAAAGAAAAACGCGGGAAAAGGAAGATTGATAAATAGAAAAACAAATACGTTAGTCCATGATTCACAATGCTCTTATTAGATTAGGTACTTAGACGCAACACAATTCTTAAACTTGATGGTGATCGTTGAATAATCTACCGGGTATTTTATCCAAGCGCCCAGTTACGAGTCTTAAGACACCAGGAGCATATCCCCCGAGTGCTTGGTAGTATCAGATATTTCCTCATTTTTTTCTTTTCTGTTTTTCTCACTGCACTAGCACTTTACCGAAAGCCGGGGTGTAGTGAAACTCATCGTTTAGACGCTGATCGTCCACCGTCTCAACAAACACACCACCCTCTGGTAATATCATGTACATTTTAGCTTGTATAGCACATGGCCTCCCTACCTAGGTAGATTTTTGGAAGAGGTTGTTGAGTATCATACAAATCGGACCGCATAGGAGCGGAAGCGGAAGTTTCCCCCCTCTTTCCTTATTCATAGCCCTGGATTTCTGTTTTTGTTTTGTTTTCTTTTTCCTTATGATTTTATCAGTTCGGGCCTTTGGATATTTGCTGCGTCCTCAACGTTGACCCAGTTGATGGTATCCCACCAGTTCTCGACGAACTGCCTCTTTCCTCCTATGCCCCTGGCGCCGATGCCGTAGTCTCGCAGCCATACGTGTTCCCACGTGTTCAGGCACAGGAGCGGGATGACGTCGGTGCCGCCGGGCGCGGTCTTGTTTGAAGATATGAACTTGGACCCGATATCTGCGCCGGCGCCTACCTGAGTGCGTTCGAGGAAGCCCCTAGCCGGGCTATCTGCTGTGATGGACTGCGTGTTCATGTCGATACCCTGGCGACGCCAATGTGCCGCCGTGTACGGGCTACCGGCGAGGTACGTGGTCAGGATGCGCATTTCGGTCGACTGCGCATTTTTGACCAGCCACACAAATCCGGGCCCGAACATGGCCATCGCCGTGACGAGGAATTCGCGGCGGAGCGTTTCGATCGAGCTGAACTGCTTCTCTAGCTGGATTTTCAGCGCGGGGGGGATTGTTTCTCCACTGGTAGGCTCCGAGCTCGCTTGGACGCATTGTCAGTCTTGCTCCGTCTTTTAATGCTCCTGTGCCCGCCTTCATAACTTACTCGGGTCGCGCTTATAGAGTAAGTTCTTGAAAAAGAAATGATTGTTATGTGCCATAGACGCATAGTTGAAGATAGGAGCTTGCGCAGGCTCTCGCGCGGCGGATTTAAGGATAGCCAGGACATCCTGCTGCTCGTAATCGGTACCAGCTGTTAAGGCATTGAGTCTCTCTACGATAAGATCTTGGTATTGAGTCCACGCGAAGTCGAATCCTCCGGCAGAAAGAAAACCGGGAATTCCCTCGGATGGGTCTACGCCATCTAGCAGAGGAACACTATGTAATGGGCGAGTCCATACTGCTGCTGCTGGACGCCATAGCCGGCTCGCCCTTGGTATGCGTAATCTGGGTCGCAGCATTGTGGCTGTGGAATGGGGGATATTTCGATATCGAAATGGGTATAAGAGAGACTATTTCATAGCTTCCGTCACTTTTTTTTTTTTTTTCCTGGCGTAGCGATGGGCGGCAAGTAGCGAAGCTTGAGAAGTGCCATGACCTATGTTGATTGGTCCAAAAAAATATTCGGTAGGGGAACATTGAATTCCCCGTGCGGGCCCTACCTAGGTAGGTATGTTAAGTACCTAGGATATAGTGATTCTAGGTACAACAGGCACTAGTTTATCACTAGTATAACAAGATACAATAGGAGGTAGGTACCTATTCCAACACTCATTACAAGTTGACGGTTCATTTTTTTTTTTCCTTTTTTTTCCTTTTTTTAAAAAAGGAGTAATAAAGAAATAAAGACTTGTTAAGTAAATCCCATGAACCAAACCCCAAAAATAAAAATAAAAATATCTCATACAAGATAAGATCTAAAATAACCATGGTATTCATCTATCGGCTCCTAAGGGCTCCAAGAAAATGCAAGGCACACCATTTTTTTCATGTGTTAGCATCAGATCTATCCAGTCTCTGCTACAAGACAAGGTATCATAAGGTATCATCATAACTTGTTTCTATTTCGACTCTTCGCTTCCGCCCTCCTGCAACTTCAGCTGCTCTGCCTTGGCCGCGAGCGCAGCCGCACGCTTAGCCGGGTCGCCCTTATCCTTCTGCTTCTTCACCTTCTGCTGCTTTTCTTCCGGCGGGTAAGCCAGCTCGGCAACCTTCTGCCATTCCTCTGACGCCTCGAACTCCTTTCTGATAGGATCTAAGAGCTCGTTTAGCGCTTTCGTTAAAGCGGCCTTGAGAAGCTGGGGGGTGAGCTGTATAATGGTGAGCACTTATCACGTAGAGAATATCGCGTTGCTGAGAGGTTACTTACTATATCGGCCTCGTAATCAGCCTTTAACTTCTCAATGTCGTCGTAGATGAGGGGCTCTCCTTCCCGCCTCTCAACCGTAAAGTGAGGCTTTCCTCCCGTCTTTATAGCCACTACCCGGAAAATGACGTGCTCTACGAAAGCCACCACGCCGTTGCCCTCGATCTTCTTAGGCACGCACACGGCCTTCTTCAACTTCTTAGCCACCAAATCGGCCGAGTCCAGCAAGTCGATCTTGGAATCGGGCTCGCTGGAGCTCATCTTTTGCGCCTCTCCTAAACCGGGAACCATTGAGTGCATCAGATGCGTCCTGACCCTGTAGCCGATCTTTGGTAAGTTCTCCAGCGCGAATGTGAAGATCTTGCGCTGATCCAGACCGCCGAGCTGCGCGTCGACATCGAGGTACTCTTCATCCAGCGCTTGCATGAGGGGGTAAGTAAGACCACCCAGGAAGGGGTCGTTGGTCTGCTTGACGACCTCGGCGCCAGCCTTCTGAGCAACCGATATCCTAGTCATACCCTCCAGCTTGAATCGGTCCATAGTGTAATTCTCGCTCTTCTGGTAGGAACTTCCCTTGATGAACTCCAGCTTTGTGATGTCCACGCCCACAGCCCTCAGTAAGCTCTTCACGATGTATTCGTAGTACTTGACTCTTTGCTCGATCAGTTCGAGGGGGGCCTTCATGTTGTCGAGATAAGCGTGTAAATCGGCGAGAAGGATTTTGACGTGGCACCCGGCGTGCAGAAGTTCTGCGATCTTCACCATCGCGACGAAGTAGCCGCAGTGCGGCCGCCCCGTCGTCGCTGTTCCCCAGTAGACTCTGAGGTCTCGTTTTTGATTGAGAATAACATCGTCGATGATTTCGGGGTTGAGGACTTCGGTCAAACCGACCTTGATCAAGGCAATCGACTCCTCGGGGGTCATTTTTTTCGAGGGTTTGCGCTAAGTCGGTATATTGGTATGTGTTGCGAAACAAAAATTAGGAACGCTCTCTTCCGCTTTCACACTTTTTTTTTCTTTTTTTTTTTGGTCTTTTAATTGAATTGTACGTAGTTCAGTAACGTGTAGTATTATTTTAGGTACCTATTTTTGAGTCAGAGGGGTAGGAGGGGCACCGATTCAGGGACATGTGGGGCTTGTCCCGCCGGAGATATCGGCATCTAAAATTGGAATAAACTTAACTGCGCCTTTGTACTGATGTATCTTTGGGTATGTGTCTTCACGGAGCGGCCGATGAATATATCAAGGTACATCTATCTACTTTTATCTAGATTAAGTACCTACCTCTAGGTACTTGTGCTTGATAATTTATTGGCTTGTAGTCTTATTCAAGGCACACGTTTCTCTGTAATTATCATACCTACCCGCTTATGCCTATACAAGTCTTAGAGAGTAGCTACAATTGATGTTGCGCGCTAAATAACAAGAATATAGCCGATAGTTTATCCATGATATAGCCACTGGAGATTGCTTACCTTTTAGGTTACGTAGGTATATCACTATGGTATCTTTGGACATCCTCCTGGATTCTCGCGAATTCACTTCGATCCGAGGGTACGTACACATCATACGAAGAACGAGGACCTTAGACTCTCGTGGCCGTGATGTCAGACTCCTAACACCGACAACAATGACGTTGTGGTCTCCCCGTCTTCTATTTAAAGAATACTAGTATAGTACCTGTACATACAAAGATTTACGGCCGTGAGTACCTGACCTAACCTAACCTCAGGTACCGTACCGACTGGATAACTTATTAGGCGGTGAATACTGTTGTGTTAAGGGAAATGGGTCTGACAGAGTGTGTCGGATCGCCTTCATGCGGTTCCAAAACTACCTACTTGGCAGGGGAGAGGGGCCGTATACACCGCTGGCCGTTTAGACCAATATATAGGAGAGTGATAGTGGGTTTTCTAAGAGGATATCGAAAGAGAAAAAAAAATTACCATTCCGCTTTTTTTTTCCACTTAGACCGACGAGCTTCGACAAGATAGATAGATAGACGTGTCGGTGTATGTTTTTAAATGTATGGTACTGTACGGTAGAGTCGGATTTCGTAGATTTTCGAGCCATGGAAAAAGACGGCAATAAATATACCTAAATCAGACTTGACGGTGAGACGATGAGTTGTCTCATATAGATTATGTAGCTATGCAATAAGCGATCACGAACAGGAGGAGTTAAGTTGAGTGAGTTTGTGATGTAGCTACAGAATATTACCTAGCTGTAGAATGCTAACGAACATGTATCGAAGGACCTCGGTTTTCTTCTCTAATTGAGGCCGATGTACGATGGCGGGGTATACTGAATCTACCAGCTGGCAAAAGCTACATCATAAGGGAAAAGGAGTGTATGTAATGTTGTGAGCTGTTATCGATGTTGCGTGTGGCTTGACAAATTACGAATCGTTAGGTGGAATTATTTTATTATTCAGCTAAAAGGGGGGGGGAGGAAGAAGAACCACGAGTGCTCCAATCAATTACTTAGCGCACCGCCAACCAGTAATAGCGGCGGGTGTGAGTGGCCTGGAGTGGGTTGACACCTGGGCGGTGGACTGGCAGTGGGTTTTTTTTTTTTTTTCTTTGGCGGGCAAGTACATGTACCTAGGTAGGTACCTAAGGTAAGCAATCAAATGGTTTAATGATAGAATAAATCCAACCCCCGAAAATAGCCCCTCATTCAATCAGACCGCGCATCCCTATTCTTTTTTACTCCTTTGACATCTGAAGCTTCAGACTAAAAATCTCCCCTAAACACGCCAACCGCCAAACTTCCTCCTCTTTGCTTTTATTCTCTCTTCTTTCTTCTTTCTTTTCCTCTTTCCATCTGCGCTCGCATAGAACAGAGACTTCAACTTCTTAAGCAACGATGTCGTGGCAAGGTAAATATGAATTCCCCCCTCCTCTCCTTTTGTAAACTTATTCAACAACCCCACCTTTGTTAGGGGGGGAGAGAGAAGAATAGGGCTGATTCTCCGTCATAGCCTATGTTGACTCCAGGTAATTATCACCACCACCACTACCAAACGATCCGAACGGCTGTCGTAACCTACACGCCAAAAACCTATTTAATACTAACCGTTCTCTTTCGTAACGAATAGCCTCGTCGGCAGCGGCCATGTCGACAAAGCAGCCATCATCAGCGCAGCCGGTGACAGCGTCTGGGCTACCTCCAGTGACTTTACGGTAATTTTTTGATGATCCCTGTCTTTTTAAAACTTATCCCTCAACACCTTAAGTCGCAAACTAGATACGACCCTAGTGTCGGGTATATGGATGCGCAACATGTTACCTGTTATCTATATACGAGAGGGGGACTTTGACTAATATCATCATGTCTTGCAAATAATAGATTAAGCCTGAGGAGATGAAGAACATCGCCGATGTCGTAGCCCAGGCCGGTAGCGCCGCTGACAACGCCCGAGCAAATGGTATCCACGTTGCGGGCGAGCGATACGTTGCTTTCCGAGTTGAGGACCGAAGTGTCTACGGACGACAGGTGCGTTTAACAGAAAAACTATTTCCGCTCTTAATAGAATGAAGGAGCAATAGTTGTTGACTCAAATATAAAACCGCACAGGGCCAAACAGGTGTCGTCATCGTGAAGACGAAGCAGGCCATCATAGTCGGCCACTACCGCGAAGGCCAGTTAGCCGGTAACGCGACCCAGACCGTCGAGGCGTTGGCCGACTACCTCATCAAGGCCGGATACTAGAGTGGGTGTGTATTGAGGAGTAGTGGGATAAGGGCGCGAGTCTGGATGCGCCAGGCCGGCTGAGAGTATGGTTTGGGACTGCAGAGCGAGCAGGAGTGAGAGAGTTTAGCAAATTTTCTGTTGATGGACATATTCGACGGGCGGCTTAGACTGTTTCGTCGCTTCGAGGCAACCATTTCCGGGCCGTTCCCCCCCTAGATTCTGCATAGGCACCAATGACAATGGCCTTATTTTCTTTTTATAATGTAGAAAAATTACACCAACGCTTCCTGCCCGTGACAAATTACCTATTACCTAGGTACCTATTTATCACAACCTTTGCGGGCTTTATATCTTCTAGTTTGCTTCTGAGTATCCCCGAACCTAGCTTTGGCACTCCCCTCCTAAGATCCTCTATACTGTCATGTACACACAATATCAATACAGAAACCCCCCTCTTTTCCGTCTTAACGCCCTCTCCATGTGATCCGTGACTGTCATGGCGCTTAACATCGTAATTAGAATACCCTCCGGCGGCGTGGAATATAGAAGCAGATAGTCTTCTTAGTCTTGAGTTGTAATAATTAGGGGGTTAGATAAAGTGAGCCGAAAAAAAAAAGGCTCCTTCTCTTTCAAACGGGCAACTCAGCATTCCTTCGGCCTCCGAAACCCGGGATGCGGTCGATAACGAGGCCGATGTAAGGACCCACGACGGGTGTGTTCCGCGCGAAGCTCGCGATCGTCCCGAGGAAGTCTCCGAATAGCACCACGATACCGTATAGCTCGACGCAGAACCCGATCAGCGCCCATCGCATCAGGATTAACGTAAGTCCCAGGAAAAACGCCGCCGTGCCCTTGGCCTTCTGTTTCCGCGCGAAGAAGAGCAGCGTCTTCTGCGGACCGATGATAATCGTTAAGCCGATTAGGAAGAGGATCTAGGGGATTGTTAGAAGCGAACGCCGGCGGGAATATAGTGATTGAGTTTTTTTTTCTTTTTCGGGCATGGAACTCAGAGGAGGAGAGGACGGCGTTAAGGAGAGGAGTAGCATACATTGCCCATCGCAAGCCTGTGTGGTCTGTATTAGTGTATTGATGCGCAAGACTAGCATGCGGGTGTCTGGCACTTACATGGCGCGGTCGAAGAATAGCATGACACCTCCAATCAGGAAGAAGCCACCTGTAGAACCAAACAGACTATATCAGCACCGCCGAAGAAGACATCTTGGTATACCTCGCGCATATAAGCCTGACCTATACACATAGGCACGCGAGCGCAGAACCAGCTTCGATTACTACTACGTACCGCCAGAGCAGAAGGCAACCCCAATTTCTGCGCGCAGCCTCAATGGTTAGCTCATATAGTTCCTAGGATCAACACTTTTTTCATTTTTATATATAACTGTTCTTACTTTGGGCGTCTGATAACCACATCGTAGGCATCTTTGGGAGCCGGGCCGCCTACCGCGTGACGTATGTATGTGTCCCTTAAAAACGGGCGACAAGAAAAAGGACAATAAGCTCCGTAGGTAGTATGGAATGGAAGTAAGCTTCAAGCTCTAGGTACCTAATAGTGGACGAGGCTTCATTCGACGGGGTATAGGGACAATTGGTGTTTTTAAGATACTACTACTAGAGGTAGATACCTGTAATTCACTAAATAACTTTTGGAGGTTTTAGGTAAAAGATAACTAGCTATAACTAACATAATGGGGACGGGACTCGCGGAATTGAAACTAATACACGTTAGGTACATGGTATTAACCTTCCATTAGAACCCTCCCCCCTGGTAATAACAGCCCGTAGAATGCGCCTAGCAGCTGGCTTACAACTGCCAATGCGAATATGGTTTATCTTAATTCAAAAATCGATAAGAGAATTTTGGTCCTCTTCTATTCCTCTTTTTTTACACTACAAAATGCTTCTCAGGTTAGAAGTCATGTAACACTTCGTGAAGCGCCCTATTAATCTACCTAGCCAAGTTGATGATGATTCAAGTCCTAGGACATCTACCGAATCTCGTTGATTTGTTACATCATATCATATCTTAGGTGTTGGCGATTCTGTTACTTAAACATCACACAGCCGATTCGAAGGGAGGTAAGTAAGGAATCAAGTGAATGACAAAAATGCTTCTCAATCAAGCACCGGCGGATCAAATATCTGGAGAGCCCGTTCACGTCATTGTCACTCAACAGACCGCTATAAAGCCCTAACCTCTTAAAAAATACCATATCATCCCGCCGCGGCGTCCCTAGCTCCTAAGCTATGGTCACTGAGATCGATTCCTCCTCCATTCGATCTCGGTACCCGTCATGTTACAGGCGGAGAACAAGATCTCAAAAACTTATTTTTTTTGTTATTTCCCGATCACGATTAAGCCGGAGCGTAACCTGCTCATTGGTCGCCGAGAGGTGACTGATGCATAGGATAGGCTTGACTTTGTTGGCCGGACATTTCCCCCATACCACATCACATGTACCTTAACCGAACCTAACTTGACGATTATAATTATTATCCCTTCTGGCCTAGGGACCAGCCCCTCTTGTCGTAAAGATGTGAATATTCCCTAGGCTGTACCGCAAGGCTTCCTCTACTCGAGCTACATATCTAACCGTATGTATAAGCGGCCCGACCATTGTAGTACGAGTCGTAGTTATAGTAGTTATAGTAGTTAAAATAATAGGTATAACAAAGCCATGACAACCGCGCTGTACTGTCGACTCTTGTGTAGTGAAATAAGGATCTCGTACACCTCCTCTATGATATCTGCGATATTGCCTTAGGCCCTTCCTCTTGCCCTCCTCCTCTCATTTCAGAACGGTATGCGCGCCTCGGACCTCGAGATACTGCTCGGCCGCGCCCTGGGGCAGGGTGCGGATGAAACCAAACACCTCCTTGCTGTGATACCGCAACCGGCTCTTTGGGTCGAGGTAAGGCGCAGGGAGGCCCGTGATGTCGCAGTACCGCTTCGTGTGCGCGAGCGAGGGCGCCGACTCGATGTTCGTGTACGTCGCGCTGGGCGCGGCCGAGACGACGCCAGCGCCGCCGTTGGGTTTCAAGCTCTTCTCCAGCACGAGCTTCGACAGGCTCCGCGAAGCCTGCGCGAGGTTAGGCTGTAGGTTGTTGGGGTTGTTGGGGTTGTTGCCGGCGCCGGCAGCGGCAGACTGCTGAGCGGGCGTCGACGACCCGCTCGTGGAGAGGCCGTCGCCGTCGACTCCCTGCGCGGGGGTCGCGGCGCCGCTGTTGTCCTGGGGGGTCACGATCACGGAGGCTTCCTTGCGCGAGGCGTCGCCGAGGATGGTTTTGATGTTCTTGTTGCGCCGCTGGTTCGGGCGCCAGTGCGGGTTGCGGAAGTTCTTGTGGATGGAATGGATGTCGAGCTTGTCGATCAGCTCTTGGTGAGCGATCTGGGCCTCCGTCGGAGCGGCCATTTGTTGGTGATATTCGGTGTAGATACGTAGTAGATAGGTATGTTTAGGCGTTGGGAATGAGAGTTGAAATTATTAGATACGGGGTAGCTGTGACAACCTTTTCGGGAGACGGCTTTGTTGCTGTTTATTATGTCCTGGGCTTTGTGAAGATGGATGATGTTTGTACTGATTAGCCCCAAAGCTGGAGTTCAAGGCGCCTGGACTTGCCAAGAGTTACTGCTGCAGAGTACGTAGAGATGCATTTGGCATTATACGCTAAGCGTATAATGCGGTATAATGCGATATAATACGCATAATAAAAAGTATTATGCGCATGACGGAATACGGACCCTCAATAATACGGCACGCTAGTACCCAAAAGGGTCAAGCATTGTAACGAAGTATTTTAATCGAGCTAGAGCCACTACACAACTCCCTCGTATAATACTTGTAAGCGACTCTCCTTTGAATTGAAGTACCTTGATCGATAGGCTCGAACTGCCGGAGTGTTTCGATATCTCTTGGAGGCATTTTAAGTTGATTTTCTAATTTTTTTTTTATAAATTAATTTACGTGTTATATATGTTAAATAATATTATATTTTAGTGGTTATAAATTTTTACATGGGGTTAAACTAATATGGCATTATACCATGTGTATAATGCGGCATAATAGATCTATCATACGCATTATGTGCATCTCTAAGAGTACGTATTTGTAGCGTTGTCCGGGGGCCAATTGCACTTGTCGTCATTTATGTACTTCTTATCGATTCTACTTACGCTTCACTAACAACATTGAAATAAACCATTCATTCAACATAACTTTCACATTAATCCGAATTTAACCCAAAGATAAAGATCAACTAGATGGTATTATTCGTATTGCGCAAATGGATTCATCAAGAACTATTCTAATGAACAAATATAGGAGAGCCCTCACGAGCATCAGCAGAATCTACTGCTATCGCGTATCATCACCAACGTTGTAAGTGGCACTACTCTTAACCCCTTCTCCTAATCAGCAGGCCTAGATGACTTATATGCAACAATTATAGGAAAAACTCAACGAGTCCATCGTCGTCATGAACAAGAGCCTCCAGGAGATCAACATCCAGAACATGAACATTGAGCTCGTGGCCCAGATGTTCAAGAACTACCAGTCTAACGTCCTCTTCCACCTAGAAGGTAATGAATGTCATATGTCACCCCGTTACGCATCGGAGAAAGTTCTAAGTTTCTAACCTACTATTGTAGCTACGGACAATCTGAAAGAACCCTCATGAGTTTACCTCTGTCCTAAAGCATGATGGTTCAAGCCATGTGATGTTATGCGGATTATATGGTCAGATGGTATACTGCTATGGAAGCAAGGTTTCTATCTGCTTTCAGTGCAACTCATTATCTACCCATATTCATAGAATCAGGTAATAGAGCTTGATGGCATCTTATAATAAAGCCACCGCAGTATCATACATATGTATTATCCATACGTACTATTCATAAGGGTCGTATAATAGAAAAAAGATGCGATGTCCACTATTACGACTAACTGTACTTCGTACTATGTATGGTAAGAGAGCTTAAATAGCCTTACATTACTAGTTGGCCCCACCCATCTTTATCCAGCATCTTATCGGATTGCCTAGGCACAAAGCTGCAGCATAAACCAACAAGTTTGTGCCAATGAGGTCCCCGACGTCCGATAAAGCAAGGGCAGCTTGTTTGGCGGTATCCTTGCTTGTCAGCCTCGCACCTTCAGAAGAGAGAACCTATGTACAAACCTACAACAATTTTATAAGCAACACTTTTTTTTTAACGCCACAGGATACAGGATAGACAAAAAAACACATTTCCCAGAATTTGTCAATTAAATAAACTATCTTAATTATTCCAACGCTTTAGCCCAACAAACTCAATCTAGTAAAACCATCTTCACCATGCGATACATTGACTCCCTATAAATACTAAGTCACGTATTCCAACAACATGGCGCCATCAGCGACCGACCTTCCAGCCCTTCCCGTGCGACAAGAGAAGACCTACCCGCCACCTCGAATTTATAATGTAAAAGAAACGAAGTTCGAGAAGCCCACCCCGGCCCAACCAGATGGTCGCGAGGAAGCTCTAGCGAAACCTTCGGGTAGCGTCGCCATCGTCATTGACAATGGTGCGTCTTTGAAACATCCCCTCATATTACCAGTATACTAATATGGATATGTGTTTATAGGCTCATCTGCTGTTAGAGCTGGATGGTCATTCGAGTCGAAGCCGAGATTCAGTATCCCACCCATCATGGCCAAGTACAGAGATAGAAAGCTAGGCAAGACGTACTCCTTCGCTGGTTACGACTGTTACTCCGACACAACGGCCCGAGGACATATAAGAAACGCTTTCGAAGCTGGAACTGGCATTATCAGTAATTGGGATGTGGAAGAGCATGTACTGGACTGGACCTTTCTAAAGCTGGGCATGAACAACGCCGACGGAGCTATTGACCTGCCCATTGTCATGACCGAGACGGTGGCGAACCTACCATATTCACGAAAATGTATGTTCCCAACCTTGCTCTAGTTTGTTGGACCAGCTAACGCGACATAGCCATGAACGAAATCATATTTGAATGCTACCAGGCCCCTTCACTCGCCCTGGGTATCGATTCTCTCTTTTCATATCGCTACAACAAGGGACGGACGGGCCTAGTTGTCTCTTCTTCTTATAGCTCTACGCATGTCATCCCCGTCTTCGACTCGAAGGCCATGCTAGCTCAAGCTATCCGACTCAATTGGGGTGGATGGCACGCTGCCGAGTACTTACTAAAACTCATTCGTCTTAAATACCCCTCGTTCCCGGGAAAACTCAATGCGTCGCAGGCTGAACATATGATAAGGGAGCACTGCTACATATCCAAGTCATATGACGAAGAACTACGGTCATACCTGGACTGGACTGGACTGGAAGACCGGGATGTTGTGATCCAGTATCCGTTTACAGAAGAAGTAGTAGTCCAGAAGAGCGAGGAAGAGCTCGCCCGGATAGCCGAGCGAAAGAAAGAGAGTGGGCGACGATTACAAGAACAAGCAGCTAAGATGCGCCTAGAGAAATTAATGCGAAAGGAGCAGGAGTTGGAATATTACAAGAAGCTGCAGGAGAAAATCAACGATGCAAATAAGAAGGACACTAAACGTCTTCTTGATGCAGAGGATATGAAGGATGAGCAGCATCTTGAACGCACTATCAAAGAATTGGATAAGTCGATCAAGCGCGCTCGAACGAAGGATGTGGGTGGCGATCCTGAAGAAGAGCAGGAAGCACCCGACTTCAGCCTTCTCGAAGTACCTGATGACCAACTTGACGAAGCTGGCCTGAAGGCGAAGCGGCACCAACGGCTACTAAAATCTAATCACGAAGCACGAGCGCGTGCTAAAGCCGAGAAGGAGGCCGAAAAGGCACGCATTGCGGAAGAAGAGCGGTTAGACAGAGAACGTCGTGAGAACGATTTAGAGGGGTGGCTCGAGGAGAAACGAGTTGCTCGAAATCTTACATTACAGAAGATGAAGGAGCGGGATCGACTAAAAGCTGACCTTGGAAACCGAAAATCCCTAGCTTCTCAAATTCGGATGAAGTCAATTGCAAACTTGGCCTCGGATAATCCTCGAGGGAAGCGCCGGCGAGGTAACGACGACGATAACTTCGGCGCGAACGACGATGATTGGGGTGTGTACAGGCAGATTCAAGTTGGCGAAGGTGGTAGCGACGATGAAGAGGGCGAAGAGGATCTTGAAGGAACCCTCAAGGCGCTCGAAGAGGATCTACTTCGCTACGATGAGGGATTTACGCACGAACACACATGGGAAGCGCAGAATGATTGGAACAAAAGCCTTCTACACGCATTCTTGCGCGGACCACGGCCCTTCAATCCTTCTTCCCAGGCAGAAATCCATCAGGTACATCTCAACGTCGAACGTATACGAGTACCCGAGGTCATTTTCCAGCCTTCTATTGCAGGAGTCGACCAGGCAGGACTTGTTGAGATCGCTGGCGATATACTTACACAGCGACTCGTAGGTATACCGGGTCTAAACCGCGATGACTTCCTGAAGGATATCTTCTTGACTGGAGGCAATACTCTCTTTGAGGGCTTCGACGAGCGCCTTCGCCAGGGTTTGACCCCGTTGCTTCCTGTGGGCTCGCCGCTCAAGATTCGTCGTGCAAGTGATGCGATACTTGATGCTTGGAAAGGTGCTGCTCAGTGGGTTGGAACGCCCAGCTGGAAATCATCTTTAGTGACGAAAGCAGAATATCAAGAGAAGGGGCACGATTACATAAAGGTACGTCTTTTTCTTTTCTTTTTTCTTTTCTTCGGGTTTTCGGTTTTGTTACTTCCACTCGTTCGTTGTATCATGATGACTTGGCTGTACGCCACATGCTACGCTATTATGTAGCAAAAGCAAATGATCTACGCTATGCCGTCAACCGCAGGTGGCTCGCATAGTTGTCAGAAGTGCTTTGCTTGTTTTTACCTCAATAACACAAATTAGAAATGCAGTCAGCAGATGGCTCTCAGCTACGAGTGTGGATCTTAAGTAGCTACCTAAGCCAACACTTTATCCTATCCCATCCTAATAGCGATCAGTCTTACCCAAAAACGTGTATACAAAATATTCCGTTCAGCTGAGATAATATTGTACACTAACCCGTTTTCGCTTTGTATAGGAGCACGACATGGGCAACTCTTACTCATGAGAGCTTAACCGTCGTTACACAAGTACGGCGTTCTTTACCGCAATGGACCTAGACGCGCTCGACGTAACCCTCCTCCCCCCCTTTTCCCTTCATTACCTTATTAGTTCTCACGGCCCGTGTAACCCGAACTAGCACGTGGGTTTATCACGGCGTTAACGAACTGCTTACTTACTTTTACCCGTTTACCTGCTTCTTTTACCTCTTTCCCACAAGGTGCAGGCACCACTACCTACCTAAGGTCGGGTAGACATACGCAGGTACCTAACTTAGATGAAAAAAGACATATTTTGTATGTGTGTAATGTGCTATATCAGTTATCAGATTCGTTAGCAGGCGGACGATAATGGTTATATTCCTACCGTGTTAGATGTCACACGAACCGGGACCAGGAAGACGGAGAAGAAAAAGGAAAGGAAAGGATGAGGATTAAGAAAATGGGCAGATCCTATAATCACTTGCGGGCTTGGCGTTGGCAACATTCGGCAGCTAACTGCTGCTGGATAGGTACATCCTATGCCATGCTATGCTATGCTAGGTATGCCCAATGCCCATATCCATATAAGATCTCATGCTCGCTTCCTCTTCCTTCGGGCTTGCGCCTTTTGTACTACGCGACGACGGTGGAGACTATGTGACAAGGACGAATGGAAGATACGTTACTTATTACTTATCCTACCAACTACGTTAGCAGTCGGCCAGCCAGCCAGCGCGTGGGTGATGATGACGATGACGATGGGGATGGGTTGGGAAGCGAGGGTAGAGTAGGATAGGGTAGGATAGGGTAGGATAGGTAATAACATGCTAAGCATGCCTACATAACAAAACATAACATAGGCGCAACGCAGACGCGAGACAATAATAACAATGACAGTGGCAATGGCAACATTAACATCATCATCAAATAGAAAACAAAGAAAAAAGAAAAACACGCGATTCATGCTCGGTCTAGGAAACATTATGCGATCGGATTATACAACTATTATTACATACATTATTATTAGTACTACTACTATAGTATACTACGCTTCATCCATCCTATTCGTAAAGATAGCAATTATCCAGCTAGCCAGCTAGCTATCGCTAAGCTAAGCTGGGTCAGGTACTACCATACTATACCATACCATACTGTACTATATTCTACTCTACTCTAATTACAGTATAAGCTTGGTTAGGTACCTACCTAAGGTAAGTATGTAGATAGGTAGGTAATCCCAAGTAGTTACCTACCGTACCTCTTCTCTTAAGAACGAAGGAAGTAAACGTGATTTGAAGCTTATATATATATATCTCTCTCTTATATAATATGACCCATGAAAACACAATACAATACTTAAGTTACCTAAGTAGCAGCGTAGCGCGCGGGCGCCGTGGGTTTTACCTATTCGCGAAGCCGCGAAAGCGAACGAAGCGGTCAAAGGATTACCTCTTACTTACTATGTACCTGTCCCATCTGTCTGCATGCCAAACTTTGGTTCGTGTAACTAACCTAAGCTACACTTCTGCGCCTGCGTTTAGAGGTCACACAGATGGGAGGACTTAGGAAGGAAGATCTTACTTAAGTTGAGGAAATGATAGTGGGGGGAAAGGGAAAAAAGGAAAAAGGAAAAGAGGGTATAGGGGTGGTGGTTATGGGAGTGGATTTGTATATTCCTCCTATCAAAAGCACAAGCCACCTAGATGAGAAGGACAACGAGATACATCTTTAGAAATAACTAGAAGGCAATATTATTATTTCATTGCTATGTAAGCAAGACGAAGCTTACATCAAAGCTCCCCGAACGAATAGACCTCATTCGTTTTTCTTGCTAAGAAGAAAAAAATTGAAGCCATTCGTCAGATTCGCAATAATGTTAATCTTAGTAAGAGGGCCGCCTTGCTTGTAACGCTGTAATTAATGCCCATATCTCTCTTTGGGTCTCAACCTCATGCTGTGACATAGGTCTTGTTCTCCAGAGTGAACCTTCTCTTGTCGCTAGGGATGTTCGACATCTCGAACACCACCTTTAGACTAAGACTTCCTATCGTCTTCGTCTCTTATATTCCCTAAGCAAAGCCAGGGATTCGATGACAACCATCTATAGCCATCACTAAACATCAACTGCAGACAATCGTCGCAAGTATGGCTATCGCAAACCAAGGTATGATATGATGCTCTTGAACGCCTGATCCGACCAATTCTTCGAAACCATGCGAGTCCGTAACGCCACAACATGACAGAAAAGAAAAGAGGTCGGGGACCACAACCTCCTCTTGTTTTGTCTCCCCCCCCCCCAACCCCGAAGCTCCATAGTTCCCAATCATCCCTCCTTTACCATGGCAACGAAGCTTTTCCCTAGCACATGCTTGCGCGCTCTTTCCCCGTCATATTCGAAAACGTCCATGTATCCTGGAAAGTTTCTTGGTTCGGGATAAATATACTGCTGCCCGAAGTCTACTATCTCTCGGCTTCCTTCAGGGTTGGCATCCGGTTCCCCTTCCTGGGATGACTAGGCTCGCAAGGACGAGGGAGCCGGTCCTCCCTCCTGCTGGAGCTGCCTGCGGATTTCCTCGGCTGTTTGCGAGTCCTCGTTGGATTCTGCCTTGTAAGGTTTCGTATACAGCCCATCGGCGGAAGGCTCTCTAGCTCTCAAACCAGCCACTGCCGCCGCAACGTCCGCTAGCGTCCCGGCGTTGTTGGCATTATTAGGACCGGCTTCAGGAGCCGTGGTCGCGTGCGCACCACGAGCGCTAGTCGAGGCCGCAGCAGGGGGGGCAATATTTACGTTGGGGGGTGGCTGTGGTAACTCGACCTGCAAGTCTAAGAGGCGGGACTGTAATTGGATTACGTACTCGCGGAGAGCATAATTATCGTTCTGGATGGCCTTGAAGCTGTGCTCCATCTCACCATAATCGCGCACCTGCTGCTCGAGCTTCTTGATGTAATGCTCCTTTCTTTGTCTAAAAGCGCGCTAGATAAATATTGTTAGTTACGTAATAGGGCGTATAAGTACGCATAGAACGCATAGATGGAACCATGCCATGGTGGAGCCGAGCTAGTAGTATACACGAGCGATCTACACCGAAGATGCGAAGATGCTCGGGTCTCTTAACCGTTTTAATTACGGTAGCTCCAAACTCGCAAACCATGACCAAAATAAAGGAAGCGCCCCACTTACCTGAGCAGCTCTATTCTGGGCGGCTCTTTTCGATTGCGATAATTCCCGCTTCGCCTTTCGCCCGTCCGTTACGGAATCGTCAGGTTCGTGTCCTAAGAGACCTTGGGCAGCCATGTTGGCCACAGGAGACGCGGAAACGGGTGCGCCTTCGTCAGACGGAGGTGAGACTCCTCTCTGCATCATATCAGATGCCGGGACACCTCCAGAGGAAGTTCTAAGTTGCGGGTGAATATGCGATTGTTGCGTCTCTAAATTAGAACTGCCGTATCCATGCGCTTGGGGTGAAGGGCGTATGGGCTTGAGAGCAGGGTGAGTTGCAACGACAGTAGCTAATGGAGACGGCGCCGAGGTGGGTGATGAGTTGTTCAAATAACTTGCTCCCTGTTCGACCTTTAGGCGCGCCTCAGATTCCTCTATAAAAAAGTAGAGATTATGTTAGCAAGTGAATATTGGCAGATGCCTGGATGATATATATGTATGTCTGGGGTATATATCCAAAAATGGGGGGAAAATATAAGTATAAAAAAAAGAGAGAGACATAAAAGGTAACAGGAGTTAAAGCGACGGAGCAAATGAGGCGGACTACAGACCGAATATGTATGTAGGAAAGTTTGTCCAGGATGTAGGCGGGTATTTCGTAATGAAGGGATATGGGGACCGGAAAAGCAAGTGGATGGATCCCAAATTGGCCTTGCAACGCGATCCCGAACCCGTCAAAAGTAGTAGTAGCAGTAGCGGCAACAAGTAGCAGAAAAGCTCCTAGCACCAAGTACGTATATGAGGTATGTCTGATTACATGTTCGCAGTAAAAGGTGACCTCAAGCAATTTAGACGGTCAGGGCATAGCTGGGGGGTGGCCGAGGGGGGGGGAGGGGGGTGCAACTGCGCAGTAATGCGGCGTCACGATGGAGGGGTGAATATAGGGAAGTACGGGGGGTGGGGGTTTATTAATTTTTTTTTTTCTCTTTCGATGATGGTTGGTATTGCTTCTAGCGCAACACTGGGCAAAAAAAAAAAAAAAAAAAAAAGAAAGAGCTAAGAACCAAAGTAGAAATTGGCAACTTACCATGATTCTGCATTTTGGGTATCTGAGTCAGCATCAAGATAACGCGATACTTGTGCTGTAACGAGTTGGTGTGACCGTATTTGTAAACAGAGGATAGGTAGAAAATACACTGATCTTTTTTTTTTTACCTAAGGACGGAAACCGTTCCGTCCAAAACGCACTATTAAATAGAGGAATTGTGAGACGGCTCCGCTCGGAGTAAGGACGGCGTTTGTTATTGTTGTTGTTGTTATTGCAGGGGTGGAAAGTCAATTTGGACACCAGTTAGGTATTTATATATGCCTGCTTCTAAAGAGATTGGTCGGTATCTCTTTTTTTTTCCTCTTTTTTTTTTCTTGTCGCACACCTACTATGTAGGTAGGTTAAAAGAACAATGTGGCTAGAGTGAAAATAGCGCGCAAAGACGTCGTTTATTTCTGACAAACGATTTATACAGTTGCGTCGGCCGTGGTGAACTACCTAGGTTGGTAGTGTATAGTACTCAACACATTCAAGGACGAATATGTAAGGCGAATCTGTTATTGTTGGGTTGCTGCGTATATCAATGCTGCAACACGGCAACGCTGTTGCAGTAGCTTGGGATCTCCTAGGTCCGCGGCAGGATCAATATTTCGTAAATTGGCAGATTGGCAGATTGGTTGATAGGTTGATAGGTTGGTAGATTGGATGCACCTGACGATGTAGTTAACCGCAGCTTGATTACTCAAGGTAGCAGTTAATGTCAATCAACAGGAAAACTTGGACGTTTCGAAGGGTATTCCAGGCGGGATTCGGATGAGTAACAGGCGCAAACAGGCCAATGCCAATGAACCCCTAGGTTTCCTAATCGTGTATAGCCCGTCCAATCTGACGTCGGCAGAATTCAAGGTGATCTCAGCGGAGTTAAGGACCCAATGATACCCGCGCTTCCACGTGATGGAGATCTGTCGTAATCGATTATTCAGCAATGTTCAAACGGTTAGGTAACAGCGTGGTTGGGTTTTTAGGCGCATAGGCAGGTCTTGTCCCGGATGATGACGAACGCGTAGGTAGTTGTACTATGGTTAGGTAAAGAGGGATATGCAAAATAAAATACCTCGAGGAAAATTTAGGAAGAGGCGCAATATGAATTTAGGTAGCTTTTTGCTTTCGGCTCCGTGGCTTGTGCGAAGATGCTTGGAGCCTTGTTAATGAGTACCGAGTACCGCACAGTGCCTAGAAGTTGGAAAACCCGAATACGCCACGCTGCCAACGAAAGAGAAGTAGGTGGACAAGGCAATATGGCAGTACCTAATGGGTGGGGTATTAAAAACTTATTAAGCTGCTTGTAAGTTGTTGGACGTTGAGTTTCTACAGTCAGAGGGAGGTAGGTACATACCTAGGTAAATCTCATGTACTACGTAGACGGCCGAAATGTCCGAGGGAAAAAGTTATCCTGTTGGCCCATTTAAAGTGAAGTTGGTTTGTCAGCACTTGCAGCTTTGTGCAGCTTGTGCTCGCCCTAAATGTGCAACCGGTACGTACATATAACTATATGTACCTAAAAAAGGTACCAAGCATAATGTACCTAAGTATCCTTAGTGGCGTGGACACCAAGCGCATCCCAAGAGGACCAAATGGAAATTAGACTTGATACTTTGGCCGAGTACATCCGTAGCACGAAAAGGAAGAGCGAACTGCCGGCGGGTGGACTTGATGCTTGTTGGAGGGTACCTCGATTGGAATAAAAGCACCTGAATGGTTGATGCTCCCTCTTTGTCATCAGTGTTGGTTTGTCACTTGTGTAACCTGACTAATAATAATAATGAAAGCAATAATAACTGCAACTAGGTACGAGGAAAGTTGCAAATTGATACCTAAAACAGGATAAATAGCGATTAAAGTAGCTGAAATAAAATTGTTTAAGGATATTGTGCTAAGTTGATTTAAGTACATATATGTGTATGTGTACCCATATGATGTATTTAACGTCTTATGTACGTAATGTACTTTAGAATTTCAGTTTAGGTACCTTATGTACCTACTTACTTCCAAATCCAATACCTCCTATGTAAGTATGTTAAATTCAAAATCGGAATCCGCACACATCGGCCGAGGTGCTTCCCTTTGGCTTAAGCCAATCGTTGCTATAATTGCACTTGTGTTATGTGTTCATTAGTCTTGTGCTAGGTATCCGCTTCCTCTTCCTTTCATCTGCCGTCGTACAGCTCTACTCCAGTACTGGCTCTATTATAGTACTCACATATGAAATGCCCCTTCCCTTCTAAGCAACTTCTCTCAACCCACATTTACGTCCGTTAGGTATGGTACTTTGCTTAGTATGAATGTGTGTACATCCACAATAGCTTCCGTCAAAGGCATCTCTGTAAGTACTAAGGGAGGTTCTCTCTCACGTTACTCATACGATATCAGGTATAATGACATTATGTAAGTAAGGTATGGCATGCTACATAATAGATAGTTGGGCTGGGGATGACGAAGAGCCTAGTAATAAAGATCGGACTTTTTTACGCCTTCTCTTTGCTTTTGCGTACTTTGTAGGTTCTGCGTCGGGTTTTAGAACTTCCTTCGGCTATACTTACAATACCTAGGTTCTCCAACATGTTAAAGACACGCCCCGGGTGGTGAGTGGTATGGCACAGTTTTGGAGAACCACACCTTATTTTTGTTTGTGCTGCTTGCAGGTCTGATAAATAGAAGAGCGAAAAAAAGAAAGCTTCGTATCTTCAATCCTGTTCCCACTACCTATTACGTAAGGTGTCACAATGTTACAAAAGAACTTGAATAAATGACAGCCGCTAGAGAGAAACATGCATGTCGTAAAAAGTTTCATCAACTTTTTCATTAGCATTTCAACTCAAATCAATGCACGGGTTCTAACCGCGGAATTACGTAATACAATAGGCTAAAAGAGGTTGTCCTCCGAGGGCACGGTTTCATTACTAACGAAACTTTCCTTGCATCAGCCTAGCACCATACGTCGATATCTACAATGTACGATGTACGTAGGTATGTATGCATGCTCAAGTGCGTACATGTAATTTCTATGCGATACGAAACTGATTGGATAGGTAGGTACCTATCCTAATGACAGGATGAAACCCTTGTTGGTCTATGTAGAAGACTAAAAAAGTACTGAAAAGGGTCTTTCCGTGACGAGATCTCGTCGACCATAAGTACCTAAGGTACCGTATCGAAACAACAGCATTAAAATGGAGTTGAGTCCGAGGGAGCCTATCAAAACTCAGAGAATAAATGGAATCGAGCTCATCGTGCTTATTACTAATTGACACGTGTGGGGCGCTACATTTAGGTAATTCCGACGTAAACTGGGTACTTTTCGAAGTACTTTCACGTTAGGTACTTGAGTACAATCTTACCGTACTTTTTCATGTATGTAATTCGAATCTACCGATAGGTCTAACGTAAAGTTTAGAGCCTCATACAAAAGTACCTTTCTTTTAGTAAAAAGAAAAGGTACCTAAGTAGATAATGCATTAGGTAAAGCAAGCATATAATTGCACTACCCAAGAGATATTTGCTTATGTAAATGAGGATAATAATTTTCTAAATTCAAACGCTTAAACACATCTTCTATCTTCTAATAATTACCTGGGTATGTTATTAGTTTCAGCAGAACATAACATCGTTCCAATCCAACCACCTCTGGGAAAAATCGAGATTGATACGCCGGCCAATATATTCCACACCTCCCTGGTAGTCTTGGCATTCCGCGGCGGTCATCGGCAGCAAGCCTTCTCCCATCCGTCCTTTTCGCTCTTAGGTTCGCATTTCTGATTTTAATTACGCGTCGTTTACGGCTTACTCTGTTTGCCGCCAACAGAAGCATCGAATGGGTTTCGACAGCTCATTAGACGAGCCCCAACTTTACGCCAAGGCGAACAAGCCGGCTCTATTCCGTACCTACTTTATATCATATTCTTTAGTAATCCCTTGGTCGATCCTATCCCCCTTTGCACCCCTTTCGCTAGATCCCGAGAATGCTATGGTAATAAGTTCAGGCAACACATTTTTTGCCTATTCTATTTGTGTTGCGAATGGGATATGACGTGCTGATAATAGCTCGGATTTCGATAATTGATATATCCGTTGTTCATGATAACGAAAGAAGAAGGAGAACTAAGAAGGATTTAGAAACTATTCCGGCGCATGAACCGATGACTACCTATTATGGCTGGGTCTTAGCCTAACAATGTCCGCCGTCTCGTGAATTCCTTTCTCGCGTATGCGTACCTGCAATGCTTCCTTCGCCTATGGCCAAGCCATATTGTTTGCATCTACCCGCATGATCCTTTTGGGGTACGATCTATAGTTCACTCGATTGGAATGAGTTGACAGCGGGTGTTGACAGCGTGTAAGCCAGCCCGCAGTGTTGATGCCTGATGCGCTTTGCTGAACTGCGCTCTCCCCACTCGCAGCTTTGACGTTGGAGATGCAACTCAAAAAAAGCCAGGATTCCTTACGTTACCTTCTTCCTAATCTTCTTCCTGGTTATGTCAACTCGTGGTATCCTATCCTATCCTATCATATAGCAGCTTGTCCTCACAATTTGGATGTACGCCCGATATATTATACGACCACCCAGCACAGGTAAAGTTGCTTATCTCCTAAAATGAGAGGTACCATGTAAGCATAAGTACCTACATGCTCCATCTAGATCTGATTTGCGGGTTTTTTTTTGTACCATGGTATGCGCTGAGTCTTTTTCGGCGTTTTGTTCCTGTCCTGGTCAATACGTGGATAAGGCATTTTTAGGAGATAAGATAAACAGGTAGACACCTACTCTCTGCATACTATGTAGAGGTATGAGGTAACGTTTATGGACCGTAGGTCGGTTTCAGCACTTACCCACGTCATGCCGGCATCATTAGAGCCTTAGCAATAGCTTGTTGGACGAATCTGTGTAATAAACCGGCCATTCCGGTCAAATATAATATTACTAATACCTATTCCGTGTTTTACAACACACGATAGCAACAATATGTTACATTTTAATGTTGAAACGTATGTTCTCGGTCCGGAATACTGGTGATACCTATACCAACCATTAGGTACTTACAGTGTATATCGCTTAACTAGGTTGAAATTTTTGTACTCGATGAGAATTAACACTCAGCTTGAATATTATTAGCTCTATCCCCCCATGATTCCCCGGTAGAGATACTCAAATTGACCCGTGCTTATCTTTCAGATAGTTTCACTATTCTATTATATACCTACTTGGCCTAAGTAGAGATCCTGACATGAACGTGGGATTATAGTTACCTGTGTTAGGTAGTGCGTCCACGGGCAAGTTACACTAATGGCTTCCTAACTAATAGACTCGGAACAAGTCAAGTCAAATCATTTTTTTGTTACTTAAGAAAGCGATCCCGATTTGTTGGCCTGCAAATAGGGCCCAATTAGGAATGCGGAACGAAAGGCCTTCAAGGTGGCGTAAAGGCGTTGGTGCTGACATTGCATATTATACATAAGTATATGTGCGTGATCTACTTACGCCCGTGCTGAGAGTATAGCTGAAGTTCCATATCCACCGCTTGCTATAGGATAATCTACAATGCAACTACGTAAGTTTCACTAGCACTCAAAATTGGTGTGACGGACTGTACGACTATCCTTGATGCCTACAGCCCTTGATACAACAATACCTTCAATGGACTGAGAGTAATTAAATAGTATGACCAAATACCTAAAGCTTAAGACATTGTGTAACCTAAACTAAGATTTATACCACTTAATGTATTAATCATTCTGGGAGCAAATATAACACTTGGAGAAGGGAAAAGGAATCGACTACCAGCAGCCATGTTACCAAAGCAGATACTCTAATTTTATGATTTATCGACTCCTGTAGCCTCAGGTACAGAATACCTACCTATAGGTACCTAACCGTTTCCCAGGCCGACTCAGGACAGTTACGCATAGTCAATCAATACAAGATAATAGGGTAATCAAATATACTAAGGAAAGGAAACCGTGGATAATATCAAGAAATGGTATGTCGTGCCTATTGGAGATTAGAAGAACCAGCAACATAGACATTAAGACTCTGGGAGGATTGCTCAGAATATCTGGCTTGCATGGAATTTTATTAACATGGCCAACTCGGCTCTTCCAAAGCTCAATTAATGACGTTGCATATTCGCGGGCTACAAGATAGTCTAGGGATAACAACAATATCGTTGGATTTAATATATCTATATTAACTAATAGCCAACTAATCAAACCTTAGAAACCTCGAGGATTTGTGTATAAATACCTACCTGCGCCGTCTACCTACAGTATAGTACTAGGAGTCCTAAATGAGTTTCCAATTTCAGTCAATATAGATCCAAGTGTAAAAAAGACTCAGGTACTATGTAGGAGGCAGGTTAGGCACTCCATTAAGGGATCGTGTGTCGGGAATAGTATCCTGGCTATCCAAAACTCCGGATCTTCCTCCCTGGGGTGCGCAATAACTTTCTCGGAGTTTAGCGAAACCCGAGAGTGGTAGGAGGTAGGTATTTCGAATTTGGAATTACTTGGGCTTTGCAGAGCCGAGAGGTAAGGAAGAGGGACCTGTAGGCTATACGATACCGAGGATTAGTTATACCCAGTTCGCGCTGAGCCTCAAGGACGTCGGCAAGCGAAACGCGTTGTCGTCGTACCCGCTAATTAGGTAAACAGATACGGAAGTATGTCCTGGGATAGTGTTGGTTACAAAAGTAAGATTACGTTCCGGAGTAAGCACATCGATTTAGCGGCGGTGTAGTTTTGGCGTCCCATAATTAGTTCCCTCGTCCGCAATATCACTCCCATACCTTACCTCGGGATGGGAAAGGAGATTTCCACGTGGTCCGATCCGCGAGGCACACCGGACCATACATAAGTAGTACTATGTAGTATACGAAGTGAGCAGGGTGAGCAGGACCCTAACTCGCGTTAGAAACTCTTGTACACAAATTAGGTAAGATCTGTCGACCCCCATGGCGGAGTTTGAACTACCTCCTACCTCCTATGTAAGTCGGTACTAGGTACGATGGAAAAATTTGTCACCGCCGCATGATGACAGCACACATAACAATCGACGATACGGGGATCGGACGCGGACGCGGGAAACGCAGGTTTAAAAAAAAAAGAAAAAAAAGGAAGAACGTACACCAGCCCGAATGGGGTATCATGAACCGATAACGCCTTTACAATATACCCGATTTTCGGTTACTTTGTGGAGTTTATCGCCGAATGTTCTTGGGGGTTAAGAAAAAAAGGGTTGTGGTTGTGTATACACTACTGCAACTTTAGTTAAAGATGAGACAACGATGAAAATATGAGAAATTTATAGGTAACAAACCCTACCTGTAATAGATGTTACCTGCTACCTGACTTAGTTAATGTGAGCTAGGTAGCTTCGAAGATAGCTGGATAGGTACCTCAAGATAAAGTACCTACATATAAGTTGTAACCTTAAAGCTTTGGAAAGCTTTGGCCACCTGAAATGACCTTGGAAACAAGGACAACTTACTATGTATTATCTAGTTAACTTAAACTAAAATAAACATCTGAAATATTCTATAGCAATTCATAGCAATTGACTGGATTATACTAGGGATAGCTCGCAATCTGCTTCCCGTAACACTCTATAGCTAAGTACCTATAAGTTTTATAGCAGGCGTTACAGCAGGCGTTATATCAGTTGGTGGCTGTGTCCGAGATTCCCGTCAAAGGGGGTAGAGCTTGTATGTATATGCGACAACAACTCTACAGTTACAGATTTACACGTTTACACGTTACTGAAGGTTGCACCTTTCCAACTCCGACACAAAACCTTGAGTTAAGCCTTAAAGCTTAAGGGACACCACAAAACCACCTCATGCTCGGGCATCTAAGAACAGTCTGCTCCCGCGCCTAATGTATAACCGGTACGCGCGCACTTTGCTCTACCGCGCGAGGACTACTGTCAATACATCACCACCACAACTCGCGAGCAAGCCCGTCGGAGCGATACGCCGAGGCGCACAAGCGGTAGTAACATCCCGTCCGCGTTCGCTTGTGTATCATCACGATCACGATCACGATCAGGGTCAGGGTCAGGGTCAGGGTCATCGAACTTTTGCAGTCTCAGCATCAGCCACAACAGTACCAAAAGCGGAAACTATGGCAGATCCCGCGGGTCCCCAGGCCGTTGTCACTCCCAAATTCTCGGCTGGCATCGACGAGGCGGCTCTAACGCCGACGCTAGAGCCGTTGCTGGCATCAGCAAGGCGTGGCGGGCGGTGGGTGCTGACTGCTAGCGGCGAAGGTCTGGAGAGGAGCTTCAGGTTCAAGACATTTGCGAAGACGTGGGTGAGTCTACCATGCTATGTCTTGTCTTGCCTTACCTTGCCTTGTCATATTATAACTACAATACCACGCTATACTATACCCCGTACCCCGTACCCATAACCGTTTTCCGCGTCTACCTCTCCTGTCTCGTACCACTGGCGTCTACGTCTAATCACGGCATTTGCTTTATTCGGCCGCCATCGTTCCCGAGGGTTCCCATCATTGGAACAAGAACTGGTTGGCATCTTTCATACCCCCTTACCTAATTTTCCCGTGTGTGAATGAATCTGGGGAAATAAATCGACAATTGCCGGTGAGCCGAGCCTGAATGGTTACCTCCCTCTCTCCAGCTGGGTAGCATGGGCTTCCCGAGTTATCCCCCAGATACGTCTACCGTTCGGGTGCTGCTAGCATGATCGGCCGACCTCGGGGCGTGGGAGAGTACGAGAGATACCGTAACTCGAAAGTTTCCTGACGGGGACCTGGCACCTCTTTCAGTAGTATACAGGTTTCAATACTGAATACGGAGAGAAAGAGGGAGGAAGGTGGAGGCGCGACGACCAACCACGAAACGTCTGGCTGGTCATGAGAGAGTCATAAGTTTCCCCCATGCTGATTCCCTCGGTTCACTCATTCGCTAGGTAGTCTCGGCCCTCGAATAGAGCTTGGATATAGCCAAATGCTGGATGAAATGGTACCATGCCCGGTCCTCGGGGTAGTCGATCCCGGGAAGATCTGACGTTGAAAAGGCCTATATGAATGATCTCCACGACCGCATGCGCCCCTCCCAAAACCCATCTAGCTACCTACCTACCTACCTTCCTACTAGTAACCCCCCTCTTCTCTTAGCCGCGGATGATAGAGTCTCGACTAATCGTTTGTTGGTTTTCGTTTAGGATTTCATGACCGCAGTATCACTGCAGTGCAAGTTGAAAAACCATCATCCGGAATGGTCCAACGTAAGGCGTCCTTGTTGTTGTTATGTATCTCCCCTTTTCCCATTCGCCCTTTCGTTTATCATAAAAGATAATAATACGCCCTGCACACGTGCCCTTCCGCGCGTTGGAAATCAACACACCCTTTTCTACTACACATATAACATACGCTGTTACATAAAGCATGAAAACAAAAACAAAGCTCGTCAGCTATCGCCCCGCGCTGCCATCCTCGGGGGAAAGGGTGGAGAGCTTAGAGCTTCGCTCGCAACAGAGCGTATATGATACCACCTACTATTGCTCTTATTACCTGAAGGGGGAAGCACATGAGCCATAGCTATCCCATCTGCTGACCCCCATGCTATTATACCCAAATACATACATACGAAACGCTGACTCATCCCATTCGTCCCCTTCCATTCATATCATTCATTGATCTAACGCTCGTTAATCGAATAGGTCTATAATACGGCGTATATCCGGTGGACGACGCACTACCCTCAGGGCATCTCGGAAAAGGACGTCGAGCTAGCAGCGATCTGCGACGGCCTCGCTAGCGACTTTAGTGAGATCGTCGAGGAGCCCGGTGCTGGCAATACCTGCGAGCTGAAGCGCGTGGTTGACCACGCCGTTACTAGCGCGGGGGATTGCTGTACTCCTGCTAAGAAATAGATGAATGCCTACCTAAAGTAAAGAAACAAATAAACAAGGAGAAGAGGAGGAGGCCCGGAAATATACATAGGTACCTGACCTAACATAAGTAGTAATGGGCTACGAGATACCAGGCCGCAATACAGAAAATTCTTAAGACCTTCCTCTGACCTACCCGTAGACCTTTCTATCTGTAAGACATTGGACTGACCGACTGGCTTCATCGTTCTGACCGCTCCGGGTCTACGGGTTTAGATATAATCATGAAAATGCTACCTACTAAAGCTGCTTACTATCAGCGGTCATACGGGAAGCAAAAAAGAAGGAAAAAGAAAAAGAAAAAGAAAACACCAATGGTCCACGAACACATGTTTTACAGTCAGGGCTACGACCCGAGGGTCATTTCGTTCCAGTTTGTTGTGTTTTGTTTTTAATAGTTCCAATGAAGGACGTCAAGGTAATATTATTAATCTATGGGTAATATATACTGTCGTTCTCTTTCCTTTCCTTTTTCTTCTCTTCGTCACAATTACAAAGTGTGTGTATTTAAGTTCGTTTCGGCCAGCCCCTGTTTGTTTTTCGGTCTATTATAAAAAGAATACCTAATTAAACAATTAAACGATGGGCGTAAAAAGAAAAGTCGTAAAAAAGAGTTATCGTTCCCCCCCTTTCCCCCTTTCCCCCTTTTCCCTTTTCGAGTTACCGCCGTTCTGTGTCGTAGAATCGGACCCGATGATTTCTCTCCTCCCAATGGCCAAGCGCATTCACTCAGAATCTTTTGTCTTGCTGGCCAGGTGCTAAGCACAGAGAATCGGCGGGGGAAAATGTCACACTAGCTGACCTGCCTACCGTCCCAGTGTGCATCCTGATTGTTGATATATATATATATATATATAAAAGGGGGGATCTTGTCTGTTGAACCGCCCCTTTTTTACTCGGCCTTCTTGGCCTTGACAGCCTTGAGCTTCCTCTCGCGGCGGCGCCTGGCAGCCTCGGGGCCGGACTCGGTGTCGAGCATCCAGTCCCACCAGGTGAAGCTGGAGGAGTAGTTGCCGATGAATTTCTCGTGGTGGACGTCGTGGTGGTAGGCGCCGGCCCAGAAGGGGAAGAAGTGCCTCAAGCTCCAGGGGAAGTCGTAGCCGCTGTGGGAGTCGATGGCCTGGAACAGGCGGCCGACAATCCAGACGTACATGGTGAACAGGTGAAGCTCGCCGGTCAGGGAGACCCAGACTATGGGGCTGCCGACCGTGCCCAGGGCGAGGAGCATGGTCTCGATCGGCGAAGCGTACTCGGCGGCGAGGCCGAAGGGGGCCGAGTAGGTGTGGTGCAGTTTGTGAATCATCTTGTATAGGGGGCCGTAGTGCAGCGCCCGGTGGAACCAGTAGTGCCATGCGTCTTCGACGACGAAGAAGACGGCGATCTGCAGGGCCATCGACGAGAGCTTAGGGAAGGGGACGCCGTAGTCCATGCCGAAGTAGGTAGCGATAGGGTGGAAGAGCCAGATCTGAGGTAATTCGACGGTAACGTGGCTGAGAAGCACCAGCGCCGCACATTCCCATTGTTCCTTCCACGTCGGGATCTTTTGATTTTGGATCTTGTACCGGTTGAAGAAGGGAATGCGGTCAAGGACCATGTACGGTATACACCGGCCGAAGTAGACGATCTCGTGCATGAGGAAGCTCATGATACCCGTGGCTAGCGTGTCGTTCTGCATCCATAGATACCAAGCCTTTATTTTTAACTGAGTCAGTCGCAAGTTCGTGCCCGGGACGGTTTTGAGTTTAGGGGCTTAGACTAACCGCCCAAGCGCGTTCTAACACGTTGAGGTGGACATTGTATTTTGTGACCTCCTCGAATACGTTAAGGTACGTATCAGGATGGCTGAAGACGCCAGCAACAGTGGCATTTCTGCGAGAAAGCGCGTTAATTTCTATATTCCAATTGTATGACGCGATTGAAACTTTGAGGTGTAACTGGGTGTTTGGAAAGGTGACTTTGACTTACACCGTGGCCATGATGGCGAGAGGGAAATCAAGAAACCGGCAGCGATAAAGCAATCCTTTTTCCTATAGAACCTCTTAAAAAAAAAAAAAGAATGACCCGAATGTGTTGAGGTAGGGATGCTAAAGGAGCTGGTGTCGACTCTGGAATTGTGAAGGAGAGAAGAAAAAAAAAAGTCGAGAAGACGGGTGGTATTTGTTGTAGCTTTAGAAAAATAAAGGCGATAAGGAGATATTGAAGATCTTTGGAAATTTAGGGGATCCTGGGTAAAGGTAATTAGCAAGACATACGACCAATCATTCGAATGCTGCCACTATGAGACCACTGGAATTTGTTCTTCCCGTCCTGACTTACGCTATAAATGTGGAGTAACTTGCATCAGGGGAAACGCAGCTCCTAATGCGCAATTGAATGAATTTTAGTGAACCTGTGCATTCGTATTCGTATCCGAAATTGTGCTACCTAATACTATGTACGTACCAAGGTACCTAATCTTGATGAGTCCATTACACAAACTTGATCAGATAACTTAAATGGGCATCCATTACCTAGGTAAGTACCTAAGTACCTAGTTAATTATCGGAAAATCTACCTAGGTATTTACATACCTAAAGGCATAGGTAGATAGCGGGTCTCCGGCAGCCCAGCAAAATCACCTGACTCGGAGCTGTCCCTTTGAAACTTTTACCCTAACTCAACAGTCAACTTTCCAAATAGAGAGAATTGCTCCTCTTCAACTTTACCCCATTGAGCTTAGAACTGCCACTGTTGTCAAAAGCTGGAGAAAGCTGTGAATTTTGAATGGAACTTGGGAATATTTTTTTCCCCTACGCTGTTTATGACCTCATCCCAACGGCGCGGATTCTAAGAGAATAAGCATCGACTGACCAACGTTCGACTTGTGGGAAACAAATCTGCATCTGGCACACCGCAACCTTGGAGAGTCGTTTCATTGCAATCTTTTCCCAAATTTTGTTAGGTACGGTAGTGTCGAGGCAAAAGATTTCTTGTATTAGCCTTCCCAATTGGTTCGTCAGCCCAACGCACAATCCCAAGCATCCGGCAACTTCCCGATCTATCATCACCGAGAACTTCCATTTCGAATTCCCTAGGGACCTGGGTAAAATACCTAGACCACAGTTTACAAGGGTTTCAACGAACCCCGTCATGACATGAATTAGACACAAGTCAATTATGATTATGTCCGACTGTACATCCGAGCATCGACCCATATAATTTCTCCTTTTTTTTCTTTGCCCCTTTACGCAGGTGTTATAGGAGAGCAAAAAAAAGAAATAAAGAAAAATAAAGAAAATGTCCCTAGTGGCTGAGTAAGTTTTGCAAAAGAAACATCTTTTCACCGGTGATGATAATGTGGCTCAGACTGTATTCAGTCAAGTACGGCGGTTGGACGCGCAACTAGACCGCATTCCTTTCAGCCACTTACCGAGCTATGACGCCACGCAAGCTTCGATAGACTTGGATAGTCCTCGTGCAAAGGAATTGTTGAGGGTCATCAAAGCCTTATCGGCTGCCCCGGGATCGCAGAGTGCCCTACCCCCATCGTATATCCAATCTCTCCTCTCTCTGTCGGAGTTACTCTCGGCTCATACTGAGGAGATATCGGCGAACCAGTACGAGGTTGAGCTCGAGTGGAGATTGGTTAGCAAGGCGACCGTGCAAGTATACGGTCTTATTCTAAATACGTTACTAGATCAGATCATTCCCCTGAGCGACCATATCTGGTACTGGGATGATGTGTTGTCATCTCCAACGAACAGCACTATATACCTTGTGCAGACTTCCCCCCTACGGGTGTGGGCTTGGACTAGAGAAATCTACGAAGACAGCAAGACTAGATTCCAGCAGTACACTAGCGGTGACGCGTCGGTTGCTGGTTTGGTAAGCGGACCTAACGTAGAATCGATTCAGGCTGGATTTGCCCAACGATGGAGCCAATTCTACGGAATCGTGCGGGAGAGTATACACCAAAGAACGCTCGCCAACGTGCAGCGGAAGATATTGTCTCCCGTTGCTCTTTGTCGATCGGAAGCCCGTAAAAAGCAGTCTAATCTGAAAAGGCTCAGAGAAATGATCTCGAGCGGTCTGGGTGTTTTAATTGACGAGGCCCTAGTCTTCAACGGCAACGGAAGTGATGATGGTAAGAGCGATATAATCGTCTCGACTAATCAAGAGTGGAAAGGTGTCGTGGAACGAAGCGTCTCCCTCATGGACATGGTCCTCAGGGATGTCTTAACGCTGGATGTCAGAGTTGCCGATTTCGAAGATAGGGTTTTCACCGGCGTCGAAGAGGACCCCGAATTATCAGCCCTGAACGAACCAGATGAACATCGTCCGGCTGTAGTGGCGAAAAGACTTCAGGATTTGCTCACAATTCAATTACCGCAACATCTCGAAACCGCAGAAAAATTGCTGAGAGAAAATGGACGACCGTCAAGACTTGTGAGATACTGGTTACCTGCCACTGCGCTTCTCCTCTCCTCGTCTACGATTCTCCGCATATTGGTCAATAGAAAGCAGGAGATTCTGCAATGGGTCAGGGATTTTGGTGTTACCGTTCGTGACTTCTGGTTTAACTGGGTTGTCGATCCTGTCCGAAAGGTTGTAGGCACAATCCGCCACGATGATAATAGCGAAATCGCTATCATGAGTCGGGATAGCCTCAAGGCGGACAGAGAAAGCTTGGAACGCATGGTCGTTGACTTTGCCCTTGATAAGCCGCACGTCGCCACAGGCGAGCCGTCGATATCAGAGTCGCAGATTGACGAAATCAGAGCTAGGGTCCGGGAGGGAGATGTGACGCCAATTCTTCGCGCGTATGAAAAAGACTTGCGCAGCCCCTTTGTGGGCACCGTGCGAGGCGACTTGATCCGAACGCTGCTCATTCAGATACAAAAGACAAAGGTGGATATTGAAGTCGCTATGAGCGGAATTGATGCCCTTTTAAAGAGCCAAGAACTTGTCTTTGGCTTCGTGGGCCTGACACCTGGTATTCTCGTATCCGTTGGAGTGATTCAATACCTGCGCGGAGTGTTCGGAGGCAGGAAAGGCTTCCGTCAACACCGAAGAGCTGGAAAATGTGTTCGAGTTCTACGCAACATCGACCGCATCTTGTCTGAAGCTACACCTTCACCCAACAATCTTATCTCGTACAAAGATCACGGTCTCCTGGTAAGCGAGGTCCACGTCCTCCGACAACTCGCACATAACCTCCTACCGGCCGACATTAAGAAGGACTTCTTGGAAGACTTGGATGATCTTGCTAATCTCAAAGGCATCCAATCACAGCTGCGGGCTTTGGACAGAATACGTTGGGCATACTCCAAGTGGTTGAAATAGCTGGTACTCCAAACCGGAAGTTCGCTGCTAGAACCATCTTAGCGAGTACCTAACATATACATATTGGCGGATCAGGAGTATCTACTACCTGTATTATGTCTTGCAAACAAACGCATAGTGCAACGAATGACCATGACTGAATTGTATTGAATAAAATAAATAGCTACGTAAAGGTGTTCATATTATGAAATTGGGGTAGAAAAAAAAGTACCTAACTTCTGTCGTATCATGTAAATATAAGACAAATTCTGATAAGCCCCTTTTTTTTCTCTTTCTAATTTGATACATGTGTCTGGACAGTGGACAAAGAGGTACCTATAGGTCCCAGTTTAGGAGGTCTCAAGTCTTTGCCGAATAGATACATATGGGAGGTAATTGCATAGAGCATTCCCCCTGGTATTTAATTCGTGCCCACCATTCTGACGTAAGCCAGGTACCGCCGGCAAAAGACAAGTTCTGACAGCCACGTATTTTCCTATCATGGAGCTCGGTATGTGGGAAGTACCGACGAGTTAGTTGACTTTGTACCTACAGTAGGGGCAATGCTCTCCCGCTACAACCCAGCCGCCCAGCCGCTTTAGGGCATTGATGTTTCTCCTTTATAGTTGGAATGTGACTTTAGCAGTATCTATAGCGAATCACCTGCCTGACGTGGCAAAGTTTAAGGTTATTTCGCTTTAAAACCAACGACTCGATTACGTTGTAAGCTTGTAAAAATGCACACCGTTTGCTCAATTACCTTAGGTACCGATCTAGTTACATATAGTTTTTTCAAATCGAATAAATGCATAGGTACCTGGTATACATAGTAGGGGATACAATAGTGTACACACATGCATAGGTACATAGGTAGCTTTGATCCTTGGCAGATTATCCGTTTTTGACTCGATGTTTTATCGATCTCAAACCTTGAATTGAATTTGGACATCTTTTATCTTTCCGAAACCACAAGCCTTGTGAATATTGTACATTGCACATTGCACAGCTGCACAATAACTTCCCCCCCCTGCACTTTCTTTGTATGCTAGTCCAAACCGAGTTAGATTGGCTTTTTCTTCTTATGCCTGTGCCAAGAAAGTACATGTGCTAATCCGTACAGGTATTATTCCCATTAACACTACCGCTACCTACCGCTACCGCTATTGCTTGCTACCTACTGTTACTGCTTGCTACCAAGGCCAGGCCAACCACTATTAGCATTACTACTACCACCTTTTTGACCCTCTGACGACACGTCGTCTCGTTTGATATCTAAATCGAAAAAAACCAACCCTGGGAAACTCGAGGGATCGCGTTTACATATCACAACAAATAGGTATTCTTCGACGAACAATACGATCGTCTAAAAAGAAAGTAAAAAGAAAAGAAAAAAAGACAGTCATAGTTATCTTTCCTGCCGTCCACGACGAGCGACTCCGCCAAAATGTCGGGCAACCGAAACTACGACTTCTTAGTACGTTTACAGCCTCTCTCTTCTCTTGCCCCCTGGAGCCGAACGCTACAGCTACGACTGGATAGATAGATGCCTACCTAATCTATCTATACCAGTCGATAGCTGGGGTTATCAAAAGCCTCCTTCAAGCCGTGGCTTCAAGTCTTACATACTACTATTACTGCTGCTGCTGCTGCTGCTGCTGCTAGCCTAGCTATCAGCCCTAAAGCATTTCCCAGATATGATATATTAGGTACTAACGACCATCTCTCAATCGCAGATCAAACTACTCCTAATCGGCGACTCTGGTGTCGGCAAGTCATGCTGCCTGCTGCGGTTCAGCGAAGACTCCTTCACGCCGTCGTTCATCACGACCATCGGCATCGACTTTAAAATTCGGACGATCGAGCTAGACGGCAAGCGCGTGAAGCTGCAGATCTGGGATACGGCCGGTCAGGAGCGATTCCGAACTATCACGACGGCTTATTATCGCGGCGCGATGGGCATCCTCTTGGTTTACGATGTTACCGACCAGCGATCTTTCGAGAGTAAGATGAAAAGATGCTATTCATTCTCCCATTCTCCCCCAACTATATATATATACTGCACTCCTGTACTGCACTCCGGCTATTTCCATGTACAACATATAATAACCCTACACTACCTACACCACCCCCATATATGAAACAAACAGACAGGGAGAGGGGCTCGAGCGAGACCCCCCGGGGGGAATTATCGATAACGGCTTGCTTATATCACACCAATATTTCCAAAACTACGCCTATATATATATTTACCTTATCTATACATAAACACATGCTGACTGACCTCGTCATACAGACATCCGAACGTGGTTCGCAAACGTGGAGCAGCACGCTACGGAAGGCGTCAACAAGATCCTCATCGGCAACAAGTGCGACTGGGAGGAGAAGCGCGTCGTGTCGACGGAGCAGGGCGAGGCACTCGCCAAGGAGCTCGGCATCCCTTTCCTCGAGGTGTCCGCCAAGAGCAACATCAACATCGATAAGGCCTTCTACAGTCTCGCCGCCGACATCAAGAAGCGACTCACCGACATCAGCCCCGCCCAGCAGGCCGCTGCCGCCGGCGGTCAGGGCGTCAACGTCTATTCGGAAAAGGGCAGCAGCCTGAACAAGTGCTGCTAAATTTAGGTCTGGGGGAACGTCCACTCAAAGAAGACGAGAGAGAGATAATGTTGTGGTAGTATTGGTGGTGGTGGTAGTAGAGAGTCAAGTTGGGCCTCCAAGCCAGGTTAATCAGACTAAAGTTGAGGTGGAGAGGAGAGGAGGTCTGGCATGTTTTTCATGTTATCAAGCGAGAGAGTTTTTTTTTCTTTTTTTTTTTTTTTTTTTACTGTAGACCGAGGCATATGACTTATGGAGAACAACAACGGCAACAACAACCCCCCTCTTTCGAGGACCGAAAGAAAGAAGTACAAAGTGTTGTATTACCATGGGGGGAAGGAAACGAGGGGGGTTGGTTTGAGCAAAGGGAGGGAAGCGGAGACAGCTAGCCAGAGAGAAGAAGAGGAGAGTGAGAGAGCAAAAGGCCAAAGGTTAGGCTAGCTTGCCTTTTTACGATAGACGTTTTCAGAGCCATACATCACACACGCACGCACAACATACAACGCAACAACACGCAACCACACAACACACAAATCACAAATCACACAGGAAGAATGAGGCCTGGGGGGAGGGGCTTAAGTGAGGGCGATACTATATTGGCGGAGTTTGGTTGATATGGGTCTAATACATTTTTCAGTCATCGTCGGTTCTTCCCTCTGATCAAGTATATACCTAACCTATGTTTACGGAGAGCCTGCACCGGTGTCTGTCTGCATTGCCATATTCGCTTTCTTTCTTTCTTTCCTTCTTTCTTTTTTCCCCCCCTCACCTCGTATCGCGTAAAATGAATGAATGGTATGTACCCGATCAACAACATCTGAGTACCTAGGTACTTTGAAGAAGGGTGTAATAGGGGCGATAAAATATGATATAGCTGGCTTAGTTTAGGTGGAATAACTATAGGCTAGGTTAAGGTACCTAATATATAATGATCAACTACCACAGTACCGTAGTATTGAGTATCCTCGTCTCGTCCCACGATATCGGCTTCTCCCCCGCGATGCTCATGCGTATCTTGAAGTGCCGGCGGTGCCAGTGCCTGACGAAACGATGAGCTTCGGCGTTATCCACGAAGGGGATGATGAAGCGGGGATACCGCCTATACTTCCTATCGTCGTCTTCCTTAAGCGTTTTCCCTTCTCCCCCAGCCGCCGTCTTACCACCATAACCACCACCATCATCATCCATCATCGCCTTTCCCTTCTCCCCTCCTCCTACCCCGTCACTTTGTCCCTCAAGCCACTCCGGCTTCCCCGCGATCCGCTCGGCCTGATCCAACAAACTCCCCTCGAAGCTCCCGTCTACTTCTTCTTGCTGCTGCTGCTGCTGCTGCTCCATGTCGTCCAGCTGCTTCTTCAGCACGCTCTTGCCGAACGGCAGGATCCCGCGCTCGAGGCTCGTCACCCCCCACGGCAGGTTCCGCTCCCGCCCGTCCTCCTCGATCGCCCGCCGCAGCCAGTCGACCGACATGCGGCCGCCGTCCACGGACACGAGCACCAGGTGCTTGGAGCCGGCGCGGTCCGCCAGCCGGTCGACGAACGCGACGCCGCCGACGTCCAGCTCCTCGATGCGCACGCGGCTGAACCCGCTCGACACGTCCAGGTAGTACCGCTGGCTGGGCGGCACGAGCGTGAACGCCCGCAGGTCCGCGGCCACGTCCTCGCTGCTGCCGTCGGCGGCGGGCAGGCCGGGCGGCGGGGGCACGGAGGCAGGCGACGGCGACGAGGTCGGGTGGCGTCTGCTGCTGCTGCTCGCCCGGCCCCTCTTGTTGTTGTTGTTCCGCCGGCGGTGGTGCGCGCCCGGCACGTGCGCCTTGCCCAGCTGCCACAGCCGCTCGACCTCGTCGCAGTAGGCGGCGGCCGCGGCCTCCCGGTCGAACAGCACGAAGTAGTGGCCCAGCGCCTGCAGGGTGTCCGGGTCCCGCGCCTGGATCACCCGCGACAGGCCGCCGACCCAGCCCTCCACATGCGCGCCCTGCGGGCCCAGCCGCTGGAAGTCGCTCTCCGTCAGGTGCTTGCTGGCCGCGGAGAGGATGAGCATGCTCTTCGCGCGCAGGGGCACGTCGGCCGGGGATTTTCTTCCGTCGTTGCCGATGTCGTCGTTTACGTTGTTGCCCTCCTCGTCGGAGGGAGACGGAGAGGGGGAGGGGGAGGGGGGCTGCGGGGGGTCGTCTAGTAGGTGTTCGGCCCAGGAGGGTTTGGGGGTGGTATTTTTGTTGAGGAGAGTTTTGGCTTCGTCGGGGAAGAGCTGCTCGAAGAGGGAAGGGCGGTTTTTGGGTTTCTTGGGCGCAGCATCTTGGTCTTGTTCCTGTTCCTGATCTTGATCTTGATCTTTGGCATTATTTTGTTGTTGTTGTGGTGGTGGTGATGGTGGGGGAGGTTGGAGTCGGCTGGTGCTATTGTGCAGCAGCGCGGTATGCGATGCCTGCCATTGCCATTGACATTGCCATGCTACTGCAGCGGCCGCGGCTACCGATCGTGAAGATGGCCGGTGGAGCTGTCGTAAGAGCATGAGGCGGCGAGTTGGGACGCCCAGCGCATTGCAGTATTTTAGTTTTGCAGACGCGGAAGCTGGAGAGAGAATTGGATTGTCGATAAAAAGCCAGGGTTGGAGGCTAATTGCAGGTGACTGTTCTTTTTTTCATAGGGCTTTATTGGCCTATAATTTAGAAGGAGGGGGGTTTACTTTACAATTCGCACGGTATTATCTCTATTATACCGCTAGAAAGGGAGTTTATAAAGTAACACAAGCAATTTTGATTGGGTTATTAGTTCTGTTATAAAAGGTCCACACTGTATTTTTACTGTCTTATCGCACAATACACTCGACTAGGTACCTAACCATGATATCTTCTCATCCATCTACATCTCCCTTTTACTTCACGTTTGTGATCTATAATTTAGAAAATAGTTCTTCTTTAAAAATCCAAGGAACTACGATTTTGTAGTTATTTTAATGCGACAATGAACAATATTATCACCTTTAGTGTCTATAAAGTTACTAACGACCCGCCTGGGCTACCTTAAGGTATTAACAGGTCCCTAGAGAATTTTTATTCATATCAGGTACCTTGGTAAACTCGTTAAAACTTCCACTTATACAGTTATAAGCACCTAAACCTACTACGCTCACTTACACAATAACTTCTCCTGACAATGGGAAAGGACGATTTCAAAGTCCGGTTACAGCCGCAAGATGTAGCCAACCAAAAGAACCCCACGTATAAGAACGCCGCCAAAATCTTCATCCATCCCACCACCTTCGCCCAAGGGGGCTTTGTTACAGCGCATCTCTGCAACATCGAAACGGATGGGCCTACTCGATGGGAGGCCGTTGCGTGGCCGGCACCGGATAAGAATGTTGCGAATAACATCGTCTCCGTTAGCCGAGTTTTTCAAAAGCTGGCCAGTCTAGAACTCGGCCAGCTGGCTAAAGTTACTCCTGGCAATGGGCCGGTTCCCGATGCTGGGACGGTGATTATGAAAGAGATTACTCCAGATCCTGCGCCGTTGCCTGCTTCGGAACAGACGAGATGGCAATACTATCTTGAGAGTCGATTAGGTGAGTAGTTAAATTTTCATTCCTTACGCTTAATGGTTTCAATGTCGTGAGCTATGTCGTGTTAGATACTTCTCTTAATCCAATATAAGAGAAATGCCTATAGTCTTATATAAGGTATATATAATGGCACGGGAAAGAATCATGTCTCTATTTACTACGGATTTTAATAGATGTCACACTTGATATACTTTGTCTTTTTTTGCTCCTATTCGCGCATCACCTATCTAACAACGTCAACAGAGACAGCAGAATTCATCTTGCCGAGCATGTCCTTTGATGACGTCGTTCTGAATGGGTCAAGACGCTCGTTCGTGGTTATATCTGTAAATGGTAGGACCGACAGTGTAGCCAAATACGCCCCTGGCTTGACAATAGTTGAGTTTTCTAGCGAAGAAGCGGTCCAAACCAGGGGTAAGTTAGAAGTCAGCCCGCTACCGGGTATGAAACGCCAAATAGACGAGCTTAACGAATTCTTCAACGACTTTGATGTCGAGTTCGAAGGATATACTACACCGACTTACTCTTGTGGAATTGTTATATATGGAAGCCATGGGACGGGGAAATCGATGTTACTCGACCATATCGCTGCCACCAATTGGGGCAGAGTTGTTCGACTAAGCTATAATGACAAGCCGTCAACCATACAAACCTGTTTTAAAACTGCCCTCGAGCAACGCAGTCCGACTATTCTCTTATTAGATGATATAACAAGGTTAATAGGAAAGGAACAGTCAAATCGTCAGGTTATGATTGAGACCATCGGCGAGGGACTGGATGCTTTATCAAATAGGGCGCGCCAACAAAATAAGAGGCCGCATATCTTGGTGGTCGCTACTTGTCTCGACTACCTAAACGACATCCCCCACTCTCTTCAACGGCCCGGTCGCTTCGAGGAACACATCGCTCTTCCCGTCCCAGATGCACAAGGTCGCAAGGAGATCATCCGCTATCACAAGCCAACCTTCGCCCCCGATGTGTTTGATCAGCATGTATCAGACCTTGGTGACAGGACGCATGCGTATACTGGCGCAGATCTCCGTAAAGTCCTATACCGCGCAACTAAGGCGTGGAGGAAGCGGGTAGGAAGCCCTTCTAAGAAGGAACCCCTGATATGGGACGATGTGACTAAAGGGTTACAAGAAGTGCGACCTACAGCCATGCATGACATAAACCTCAAGCCGCCTACCGTGCGCTGGAGCGACATCGGTGGCTATGAGGAAGTTAAAGTTGCTTTGCAACGAGTGCTGCGACGTCCTACAGGTCCTCGAGCTAGGATGTCGAAGCCTCCGAAGGGCGTTCTTCTCTACGGCCCGCCTGGATGCTCTAAAACCATGACGGCCCAAGCCATGGCGACAGAATCCGACTTCAACTTCTTCGCCGTGAAGGGAGGTGAGCTCTTGAACATGTACGTGGGGGAGACTGAACGGTCGATTCGTAACCTGTTTAAACGAGCGCGCGAAGCCAGTCCTAGCATCATATTCTTTGACGAGTTCGACTCCATCGCAGGAACGCGATCAGGCGGAAGTACAGGCGGAGGCGTACAAGCACTTACCACGCTCCTTACCGAAATGGACGGGTTTGAGCGTATCGGGGAGGTATTCGTGCTAGCGGCGACGAACAAACCGGAACTACTAGACTCAGCGCTACGGCGACCGGGCCGTTTCGACGAGCTGATCTACGTGCCGCTGCCGGATGCCAAGGCACGCGAAGCCATTTTCGCCGCCAAAGCTAAGGAGCTCGGCTTCCCTGAGGACGGGACCATTGACATCCCCGAGCTGGCGCGCCAGAGCGAAGGATACTCGGGAGCAGAAGTCGCGCGGATCTGCGACAAGGCGTTCTGGGACGCGGATGAGAACGATGGCATCTCGGCGATGGGGGTGCTGCTTGCGGCGATACACAAGACGCCGAAGTTGGTCACGAAGGATATGTTGGATCATTATAGGGAGTGGCAGGAAAAGTTTAGGTCATAAGGGGGCATTTTACATATCAAGTGGCTAAAGCGTATATATGTGTGATATTGCCTTGTGATGGATAGGGGTAGATGCCTGTATAGACGCGGAGCTCAATGTCGCTGCCTGAAATTATGCCTGATGATACCGAGCCTATTTACTTGTTAATTGATCAGATTAGAACTTGTTGCCCTATACATGTTACCATATCTCATATCAGCCAGCATTAACTTCGCAATAGTCTAAACCCCAAAATTATTAGAGCCAGTAAAGTACGAAGAGTTAAACCATGGGATGACATAAAGGGGAGACAAAGGGAGTAGCTTTGTTAGTAGCAAACACCATGTTTCCAGTGTACTATGTAATGCATAATAAATGACAATTGCTACTAGGTAGTTGAACTTCAGGTAGACTACAATCACGCAATTCCTCAACCTAAACTTGAAAGTATAGTAAACTACCTACCTCATAAGGAACTACCTAAGATAGGTAGGTAGTCTCTACTATACAATACATTTCTCCACTTTTTCAAATACCTTGTAGAAGCAGCAGCTGTTCATGTTTATGTGAAGTTGACATATTTATGTTAAGGCTGCGCCCTCCGATATAGCCCGAACCAAGCTAACGCTGGCTTCTAGAGAGGAGGTGGAGAAGCAACCGTCGAAAAAGTAAGGTACCTCTCTCTTACTTAGCCGAAGGAAAGGGAAAAGGACTATACCATTCATTGTAACTGCCTCTCGATTATAAAATTGTCGTAATTCTCCAACTTAAATCATTAGGTCATTTTATTATTATTTTATCGAGACAGGGTATTTGTTTATTTACCTACCTAGGCACTCATTTCTACTACATCTCAATTAAATCCGGGTAAGGATAAGAAGAGGGTATATCAACCAAAAACAAACCTCGAAGGAAAAGACGGCCGGCTAGGGTAAAATGGACTCCAAGCAGTTCCGGGAAGCGGCTATATCGTCTATCGACGAAAGTAAGTCTTAACGCCACCCTCCCCTTTTTTTTTTAAAAAAAAAAGAGAAGAAGAAGAAGAAGACTGAAACTATTACCACTACTAAGATATTATATATAGTCATCAAATACTACGACACCATCGAAGAGCGTCGTGTCGTCTCAAACGTGGAACCTGGTTATCTGAGAAAGCTGCTGCCCTCGGAAGCCCCTCAGAATGGCGAGGCTTGGGCTGATATCCAGAAAGACCTGGAGTCCAAGATCCTCCCAGGCATAACCCATTGGTTCGCACCCTTCAACTTTCTATCTGTTCGTCCTTATGTGCGATGCATTTTTGGGTTAACGAGAAGGGAAATCTATTAGGCAATCGCCCAATTTCCTGGCGTGGTTCCCTTCTTCCAGCAGTTTCCCGGCCATGCTCGGTGAGATGTACTCAACTGCTTTCACCGGGGCTGCCTTCAACTGGATCTGTTCACCCGCCGTTACTGAGCTGGAGACTATTGTGCTCGACTGGCTAGCTAAGGCTTTTGACCTACCCTCTTGCTATCTCTCTACGGGACCTACGAACGGTGGCGGCGTCATCCACGGAACCGCCTCCGAGGCCATCGCTACTGTTATAGTCGCCGCTCGTGACAAGTACTTGCGTGAAGCCACAGCACATATCACTGACGAGGAAGAACGTGAGGATGCCATCGCTATCCGCCGTAGCAAACTCGTGGCCCTCGGCAGTGCCTCCGCCCACAGCGCTACTAAGAAGGGAGCCCAGATCGCAGGCGTAAGATTCCGCGTTATCCCCGTCTACGACACTGATGACTATCGGATAACGGGCGCCGAGTTGCGCCGCTCCATTCAAGAACTGCGCGCCAAGGGCCTTGAGCCCTTCTTCCTGACTGCTACCCTTGGAACCACCGACACGTGTGCTATCGACGATATGGAGGGAATCGCATCCGTATTAGCGGAACTGGCACCCGAAGGCCCCGGTGAGATCTGGGTACATGTCGATGCTGCATATGCAGGAGCCGCTCTGATCTGCCCCGAATACCAGCATCTTGCGAAGCCGTTCGAACGCTTCCACAGCTTCAACATGAACTTGCACAAGTGGCTGCTAGTCAACTTTGACTGTAGCGCAGTCTGGGTGCGCAACCGCAAGCATCTGACCGATGCTCTGAGCGTTTCGCTGCCGATCTTAGAGAACCAGCACACTGATTCCGGACTCGTAACGGATTACCGCGACTGGCAGATACCGTTTGGAAGGCGGTTCAGATCCCTTAAGGTTTGGTTTGTGATACGCACCTACGGCATCGAGGGCCTACGCGCACACATCCGAGATCGCATCAAGTATGGCAAGACGTTCGGCGAGCTTCTCGGGACGCGGCCGGATCTCTTCGAGATCATAGCAGGCCCGCGGTTCGCCCTTACCGTATTCAAGATGGCGAAGAGGGACTCGACGCCCGCAGGGCAGAACGAGTTCACCAAGAAGGTGTACAACGCTATCGTGGAGGATGGCCGGATCTTCCTGTCTAGCACCATGGTTGGTAATGTGTTCGCCATCCGGCATAACCCGGCTGCGGTTACTGTCGAGGAGCGTCACGTCAAGAAACACTTCGAAATCATAGTTGAGGTGGCTGAGAAGACGATTGCTTCGAAGTAGATGGATAGAGAAGAACGAGACGAGGAGTGTATTTAGTTAACTCACTAGAACTGCATCATATAAGTGTGGAAGTGTGGTATGTGCCTACCTAGATAAAAGGCGAAATAAAATTTGAGTCTGAAATATGCATAATGCTAGGTACCTAATGCTACTTCGTTTGCTCGTAATCTCGTGAACTCGTAAGTACATGGGAGTATAATACAAATGCATCCAAATGCATATTTCAATATTGACTGACGTCTCTCCGCCGCACACCACATGTGGTCGGCAATAACCGTTGTACAGCAGGCCAGACGTTATATCAAAACCAAATGTTTCTCTTGACACATTTTCCTCCTTTTTCAATGGTTTGGATGGTATGCTCAAATCATGAGAGCGATAATAAGTGGTAAGTATATCGTTATATCTCATACCCGTAATCCCAATACCAACTACCAAGAGTCGCGACGATCGCTTCTTCCACGATACTCTCGATCTCGATGTCGAACCCAATCCTGATCCCAATCCCGATTCAAATCTGTCTGGCCATCGTCATCATTGTTCTCGTCGTTGTAGTATCCCCTATCGTACCGTGCTTGTTCGTAATACCCGCCGCCCTCGTCGTCGTCGTCGTCGTTGATATACCGCGGGCCCTCCTCCTCGTACCGTGGTGGCATATTATCCACCGATTGCATACGATTGACATCATCATCATCATCATTATCATCATGGCGATAATGATGACGACGGTGGTGGTGGTGTTGGTGGTGGTTCCTCCGACCCAGTTCCACGTCGACCGTGTCCCTGCCTACGCTGTACTCACTACCACCATTACCGCCATGACTCCTCGGCCGACTGCTCCATCTGTCCTCGCTGTCTCGGGTACTTCTACTCCTCCTCCTGCTCCTACTACTACTACTGCTAGTCTCGCCATCGTACGATCCGCCACGACCCTGTTGATTGTCCCTTCGTCGTCGCAGCTCGTTACTGTTATCTCGTCCCTGCTGCTGCTGCTGTTCCTCGCGCTCCTTCCGCTCCTCGTGCTTCTGAACCTGCTTCTCGATGTTCCAGGCCAGCCCGATGCCGATCAGCCCGAGGACCAGCGGCTCCTTCCACGTGAACGGGTGCTCCTTCTCGAGCTGCTTGCGGCGCGACCGGTGCTCCGGGTGCGCGCGCGAGGGGAGGTAGTTGCGCGGGTTGACGGGGGCGAGTTTACCCATGATTTTGTGTGTTTCCTCGTGGTATGCAGCGGATCGGATCTTAACTAATAAGAATATGACAGGTAGATAGGTAGGTAGGTGTTTGCCGTTAGCTAATACTCCAAGTATAAGGGGAGCATGAGTTCTTAGAAGATAATTCAGTATGTTTCACTACCTAAGGTAGGTGGGTTAGGTAGTTGGATATTTAGGTAACTATGATATAGAGAAATTGTACATTTGGGCTTGGTTAGCCCACGCCTTTAAATATATACCTAGATAGGTAGCTTATGCTACCTACAGCCAACGAAGGGGATCGTGCTATGTAAGAAGCGAACGGGAAGCCCAATAAGTCGCACGGCAGAAACCCGAAGCGAAGCGAAGACTCTCTCCACGGGGCACGTACGTAGTGCATAACCTACATGCCTAACCTCCAGACGACGTGTTCCAAAAGGGGCGGGCTCGCCCCTGGCAAAAAACGATATGCGCGGGATGGCGTCGAATGCCATCATCGAACGAAAAGCGGAAACCCGCAGCTAAGCTATTCGATGAGAGGCGAGGGGGGAAAAGCCATGCAAGTCTCACGATCAGGGGTTGTTCGGAGTTTGGGATAGGATATGATGTCATCCCTCAGATCCTTGGGGCCTGGGGGAAAGGTGAGTTGAATGCGTCGATGCGAGGCTTATCCCGATTCGGTCTGGTTAGCTGCTTTGCTTTTTCCCTTTTTATTCTCCCATTGCTTTTTTTGGGAAACCCCCAGGTCAGATTAATACCTAATAGGAATCCATGACCCCGATGACGACGGTTCCGCCAAAAACGCCAACAAAACAACTTTTTTCTTCCTTCCTTCCCGTCTGTCGTCATGTCCATCTCACGCATCGGAGGAGCGAATAGAGGAAAAAAGAAAAAAAAAACCTCCGAAGTAATAGTAACCACATGACATATCCAGCATGCCCACGAAATCGGGTTTGTCCTCTCCCAAATGAAGGTTGTGTAAGAGGCTGTACACTGTCGAATGATGCCGCGTTTCGCTGCAGCTTGCTTGCACGTTTTTGATTCCCTGCAGACCAACATTTTGGTTTTCGTAACAGCCCCCCGAGTTGGCTGCGTCCAGTTATCGACGTCTGTCATGTAAGCCGATATCAGATCGAGAATTGTTGCGTAAGCGTGTCAAACGATAACAGCTCTCGTCCCTTTTCGAATATACGATAACACACACCCCCTAGCCCCTTTTTGATCTCACTTCAATGACCATCGATGCCGCTTTTTTGTCGCCCGTTCCGTCTGGTCTATCCACCGCTCGATAGAACCTGGGGATCGCCCACTAGGTACCCCCAGCGGAGCCTGGCGTTTTAATATCTTGTCTCTCGTAGGAGTAGTAGGCTTCTTCGGTTGTTTCCTCTTCGGTCTCGATGGAGTCGGGCTCTCCAATTCGCTGCTGCTGCTGCTACTGCCACTACTGCTGCCGCTCGTAGTCTCCGGGCGTTCCCCCTCTTCTTCTTCTTCTTCTTCCTCCTCCTCTCGGCGGCGCATCTCCTCCACGTAGCGTCGAAACATCAAAGCGGCACCCAGGAGGAAAAACTTTTTCTTCGCTTTGCTTCTCTCCTCTTCCCTGTCCATTTCCCATCTTCTTTCTCTTTCCTTTTCCCTTCTCCTGTCGATCTCTTCTTGGCGTCTTTTTTGCGATTCTCTGATGATCGAGCTTTGCTTGCGAGTAACCGCCATGGTTTGTCGAAGAAAGGAAACGGACGGACACGCGCAAAAGAAGAGGTAGGTAGAGGAGTTTTATATTAGGTAGGTATTTAAATATTAGGTTAGGTACGCGTATATATGATGAAAAAAAAGACGCGTGAAAATTTTTATATAGGCATGAAGAAATAGTGCCGTCTTATTATTCAGTCGCGTCGAGTGGTGATTTAAATGAGGGTTCATTGATTGTTCATAGTTTCGTCAGTGCGGGAGACTTAGCCAATCATATGAGCCGAACTCAGCTAATTAGGAAGACGGCCTCGCACAGTGAAACCCCTGAGGATAACCTAGACTTTTAGCTTATAACCCTAGATACTATTACTAGGAAGCCGGTGGCCGAAACGATAGAGAAGATCTTATATATATCTCATATACCTATTTGTATACCAAATACACAATGGTTTGCATCTGCCGAGTTAACTATATGTTGTTCTAATAAGATTCTGACCCTCCTTTCGCCTGTGATAGGCCCCTATTCCCCAATCAAAAGATATATGAACCTTCTCTCAAGAAATGAAATGGACGTTTGTCATTTTTTGAATAAGGAAGCGATGTGATAGATGTGGCAGCCAGCGCGAATTTATTGTCTATGCAAACCTATTCCTCTTATAAAATTGTATGTCTAATGTTCACTTCCACTGCAGCTTGACGTTTACTCGTCTGCTGTGATACCAACTCTGAATATTTTTATATGAGCATTTTCGTAGAAAAACGCGAGGATAAACCAATAATATTCGAGCTTCTCGAGCCTAGTTTCACAAGCCATGGTTGATGGAATGTTAGATATTATAGTCATTCGAGAGAAAGAGAGAGATGACCTCGTACTGTGAAGCATCTCTTCCTGTTCCTGGTATAGCAGTTTTCTTATAGGATGTATCAACATAGCTAGATTCCAGCACTACTAACAAGCACATTGCATCACCATCGCGGAACGCATAGCATGATTTATACCTTGATAGTCCATGGACACCTGTATTTCTTAAAGGAGTTTTCCACCGGTGGTTACCGATGGGCGGAGCCGTAAGGCTTTTGGGTCCGTACCAGCGTTTACATTTGTGCCTGATAGTCTCTTGAATTTCACTGGTGAATATAAGGGTGTTTCTAGGTTGATCACACCACAATCTCGTGGATATATTGTACCATCAGATATCGCCCCATTGCGAGTACTGGACTGGCCCTCATCCATTCTTTGACGGAGAGCGTATCGGCATTGAGAACGAATGAAAGCTGGTTAGGCCCATAAAAGAGAAGAGCACGGGCTTTCTATTAATCGTAAAACGATGTAGTGAATTTCTTTCCGAAGTTGTATTTAGAGCGAAATGGATATTTTGAGGCTAGTATAAGCCATATACACCGAGAGACATGGCGTAGGGTCTATCGTCCAGAGATACTGCGAAGGACCAGGGACTTATACGAAAATATTCGAAGCATCTGGATGATTTCTCCCGAAGAAGCAGATGTCCTCGGTCAGGAATGAGTCCTTAGGTGGCATAGTTGGAAATATATTTATGAGAAAGTCAGGAACGCCTGCAAGAAATTGGCTTTTCTTTTTTTTCTTTTTTTTTTTTCTTGTGTAGGAGTATTCCGGCCTCGTAAACAAACGGTGCGAGTTTCTTGGAGTTAGAGTCGGCCTGGTTATGCTCACTCATAGCCAAAAAAAAAAAAAATTAATACTTTGTTAAAGAACCAATTACTCTATACTTGTGATAGAAGATGACGGTCGAAGTGAATTAAGTTGATAGATACTAAATTGGTTGAGGTTGGAATTGATGCAGCATGCAGGCATGAAAGAAGAGAAGGAGCTGTGACGTCAATCTTTAAGGGTCCTTAAGCTAACGAAGCTCCTTAGCGGCAGATCCCCTGACCAACTGCTAGAGCTGAGGCATTCGGAAGCTCTGATTGGTTAGCCCTAGAGACGTGGCTTCTTCTGCCGCGCGTTCTAGCACCTAACATCCTACTGATCCTCCAAAAGCTTCAGGTGCCACCTGGAATTAACGATGTGCGACTTCCAATTTTTGAATACCTACCTCCTAAGCAAACGAATTAAAAAAAACCCAATTTAAGTTGACGACTGGCCAATGCAAACAATACGTCACTTCATTGCTTAATTACTTATCCAATCTCATCCAATCTTAGCATTTCACCTTTAACAGGTAAACTTTAACCCCAAGAAGCACACTCCAATGTGAACGCCTGGGGATCGCAACCATGGATTTACTCAATTCGGTCACTTTGACCTTGAAAGAGACACCCCCGCATACGCTATTTGCTGCGTTTACCGGATTGACCATTTTAGCCTTCTATGCTGTATGAATCACATTCTATCTCTATCTATCAAATCAATGACGATAGTTTCTAGTTAGGCTAACAGGTAGTTACTTACTTATTTATAGCTCTATGCCCTACTCCATCTCGTCGCACCCAAACCTCGAGCCGTACTCCCTTCCGAAAAGACTTATATCACAACCACACCCACCGGCACCGAGAGACGGCAGCTACCATGCTGGCATGACCGATGGCTAGCCGACCGGCGCGCAAGCGAGGCCAGGGCCAAGAACGACGACCCAACCCAACTCGACATCGCGGACACCGGAGTCATCGAGCCCGCCGAAGTCCGCATGAGCGTCGTGTTCCCGGCTTACAACGAGGAAGACCGCATCCTACCGACCCTCGAAGAAGCAGTCGAATACCTCGACGCCACGTTCGGCCGCGACCCTCGCCCGAAGCACAGCAACGCTCCCCCCCACGCGAGACGAGCCCCCGTCCCGACCCCCCCTAGACACGTTAAGAACGCGCCGCGCGAGGACCTCGCCGGGTACGAGATCATCATCGTGAACGACGGGAGCACGGACAAGACGGCCGAGGTGGCGCTGGACTTCGCGCGCAAGCACGAGCTGCACGACATCCTGCGGGTGGTGACGCTGGAGCGCAACCGGGGCAAGGGCGGCGGCGTGACGCACGGGCTGCGGCACGTGCGGGGGGAGTACGCGCTGTTCGCGGACGCGGACGGGGCGTCCAAATTCAGCGACCTGGGAAAACTGATGGAGGGGTGCGAGGAAGTCGTCGACGGGTACCACCGCGGGGTAGCGATCGGGAGCCGCGGCCACCTGGTGGGCAGCGAGGCGGTGGTGAAGCGGTCGGCGCTGCGCAACTTCCTCATGCGCTCGTTCCACCTCGTGCTCGCGATCCTGACCCCGCCCGCCACCTCACGCATCCGCGACACCCAGTGCGGCTTCAAGCTCTTCTCGCGCGCCGCCCTGCCCCACGTCGTCCCCTACATGCACGCCGAGGGCTGGATCTTCGACATCGAGATGCTCATGCTCGCCGAGTCCGCGCCCGCCGTCCCCGTCCTGGGGAGCGACGGAGCCGTCATCGGCAGCAGCCCCGGCATCAAGGTCGCCGAGGTGCCCATCGACTGGCACGAGGTCGGCGGGAGCAAGCTCAACATCATACAGGATAGCATAAAGATGGCCATCGGCCTAGCTGTGCTGAGGGCTAGCTGGATGATGGGCGTGTACCGGCGGCGGCTGACGTAGGATGCAGGCTGAATCAGCACAGCATAGAGGGAAGGGTCAGGGAATATAAGGGTGGAATAAATGCCGATAGGCTGTGGAATGCCATTGCCTATGCTGGATTTACCATTTAAATCAGCACAGTCGTATTATACTGCATTGCGTTTGTTTTTATAACGTTGCATTAGATATCCGGCGGAACGAATAGAGAAAAGTTCTTCCTTAAATTGTTGCTTTTTGACGTATGAGATGTGATGTAAATAAGTCTGTCTACCCTAACCAGGTGGATCATGACCTTTGCTTTCAAGTGTTTCTTGAAAAATGAAAGGAGAAACATGGGGATATTTCGTAGGAAGCATACATAATACCTACCTGGTACGCAAAGAGGTCGTCGTCAGTCGGCTACTTTGTTTCCCATTCATCATCATATTTGTAGATTCCTCTATCTTTTGAGTTGCGTGAAATGACAGAGCAACAGAAAAACACAAGACCAGGCTACTTTCAATGAGCATTTCACAAATCATCGATACCGTCAACCTCATCTGAATCATTAAAATTAACTATTGCTTTGTATCCGTTGAGCCGTAGATTCTAATCCTCGTCTTCGTCTTCATCTCCTTCTTCATCATTTTCTTCTCATGTCTCTTCCTCGTGTTCACCGGGCCAGTAACGTCAAAAAAAATCAAGCCCAGCTATCGTCCCCAACCACCGAGCAGACATGTCCGCGTGTATCCTCTAGGATCTACTTGCTTGTATGTGTATATGTGTGTATGTATGCGAGTGAGTCAAACAAGCCTCTCTCTCTCTCTCTTCCTCATAATCCCCGAAGAAATCCAGGGATGGATTTCAGCAGGTCCGCTCTTGCATTATTAGTCAGTGTATAGATACCAAAGAGACCCTCTCCCCAAAGTCTCTCTTCTTCCGCATTATATGTAGGTATTTCTCTATCACAAGCCAGGCAGGCAAACTTTCGACACCGTCAACAATAACAACATAATTCCCATCCACCCCCACCCACCGACTGACTGACTGACCGATTAATCACCTAAACAAACGCCTCGCGATACATCACCGGCAAGAAAACCCTACTCGCGGTCCAGAGGAGCCAGAACGCGTTCCACAGCAGGACGGGGACCTTCCAGAGCCCGGTGGCCTTCCAGTCGAGCCAGATGGCGAGGAAGGCGACGGAGAAGAAGTGGTACGCGAGCACGAGCGGGTCCGGGATCAGCCCGCCCAGCATGCCCATGGGGTCGCGCACGACGCCGCGCTCGAAGTACGCGAAGCACCCGCGCTGCAGCTTCGCCAGCTGCGCGTCCCCGGCCGCCGCGAACAGGCTGTACAGCGCCATCGCCAGCACGTTGATGATGGACGTGAGCCGCTTGCGCCGCCAGTGCAGGGCGTCCAGCGCGCGCGACACCGCCGCCGTGTCGCCCAGGTCCGCGATCGGCGCCAGCAGGTCCCGCAGGAGCACGGCGTCGTTCAGCGCGACCGTCATCCCGCCGCCCGTCAGCGGATGCCGCATGTTCATCGCATCGCCGAGGATCGCGAGCCCGGGTGTGGCCGACTGCTTGGTGGGCGGGAGCCAGCTGTTGGGCATGCTGGGGGGGATCTTGGCGTCGCGCTCGAGCGCGGCGCGGAACGAGGGCTGGACGGACGGCGGCAGGGCCGGGAGCACCACGTTGGCCATGTAGCCGCGGACGCCGCCGTTGGCGACCGAGGCCTGGGGCAGCTTCTCGGGGACGTCGACCAGGACGCGGGTCTCGCGGGAGCCGATCTGGTAGATGAGCACGGGGCTGGGGGCGCCGATGACGACGTGACCGAAGCCGGGGCTCGGCAGCTCGCAGTCGAGGAGCTCGAGCGCGTAGAACTTGCTGCGGACCTGGGGCACCTCGCGGATGTACTGCTTGCGGAAGCGCGAGGCGTAGCCGTCCGCCACGATCGTCAGCTGCCCGAAGAAGTAGTCGGGCACCTTCTCGCCCGTCTCTGCGTTCGTCGTGCGCGTCTCCACGCCCAGGATCTCCGGGTTGTGGTCGCCCTTGACGGTGCTCACGGCTTCGGTCTCGAACACGCTGATGTTGGGGTGGTTGAGGCAGGCCTTGCGGAGTTGGGTGATGAAGCGGCCGTGGTGGAAGCTCTTGCCCTGGGGTCTCGGGGGCTCGTCGTCGTCATCTTTAGCCTTCTCTTTCGTATTCTTATTCCCATTCCCATTCGCATGTGTCTTTTCTTTCCCGTCCGGTCCGAGCAGGCCTGGTATCCGGGGGTAGGGCATCTGGACGTTCTTGCCGTAGAAGAAGACGCTGAAGCCGTGGCAGGGCTGGCCGTCGATGTCCTCGATCGTGTGGCCGAGCCCGAGCTTCCGGAGGGAGTTGATGCCGCCGGGCTGCATCAGCTCGCCGACGATCCGGTTGGGCTCCTTGAGCCACCTCTCGAGGAGGATCACGCTCCGGCCCTGCTCGGCGAGGGCGTACGCGATGGCGCACCCGAAAACGCCGGCACCGACTACGACGACCTCGGCCTCATGGTGTTTGGCTCGTCGCTCGGGGAGCGTTTCTACGACGACAGTAGTTTCGCTCATTGGGAAACGGCGGGGAAGAAGGGGGGGGATGTTTATTGCTTGGGTTAGGTATGTAATTAAAAGGTATGTCTTATAAGGATCGAGGAACGTAAACAATAGTTTAAAGTATGGTCTTGTCTCTTTGTCTTATCTTGTCGTGTCGTGTCGTGTCTTGTCGTGTCGGTGAAGCTTCGTCTTGTATTAAGTACCTCTGGGTAATAGTAAGGTGGGTATCGCGGGTTGAATTGGACTTCGTATAAGGACCCTAATAAGAAAATATTCTGTAATAGAAAAATAAAAAAAGAGAAAGACCGGATGGACTTTAAATATTTATTTAAACATTCATATGTACCTAGCTCTTCCCCCCCTCTGTTTTTTTGTGTTAAGAAAAAAAGAGAGCCACACAACGACTCACTCGAGTAAAGAAAGGTAAGTAAATACCTAAGAATTAGGGGTCGTCGGGAGCTAAAAGCAGAAATGGTCGAATTATAGAATGTGAAATGGGTAATGAATACAATAAAACCCCAAAAGAGCTGATTCTCTCAGATCATGATGGTTCGACGAATCGTCCCATGTATAAGTGATATTCGTTTTTATACCCCTTATGGTTTTTTTTTCCTGTTCCTCTTTTTTCTTTTTGGTTTTGTTCCTGGCTTGCACATGCTTGCCAAGCCCAATATTATGACCCATGCTGCCATGCTATCCCCACAGTCCGGTTGTCCAATAAGAAGAGACGAGTTTAATGATATAAAAAACTAACAAGTACCTAAAAGACGGGAGCAACGCCATTATCGTTCATCGTACTGAGCCTATCATGTTATCCCCTGAACTATGACCAAAAACGCCATGTTGTAATCCATAATTCGTGGAGAAACATTGGGAAATAGAAATCAGATAACAGGTACCTACCTACCTAGGTAATCAGTGAAAGCTCTCGGAGTTTTGAAAGAACGCCATCCAGGTGGACAAGCCTAGCTACTTAAGGTAATTAGTAGTACACCAGTACGGTTACCTGCGTCTTGTCCAACTTTAGGAGTTATACGACTGTCCAGTTAAAATGGTTAAAATGTACTTGAAAGCCAACACGGTAAATACCATGTAAGCAGTTAGGTACCTGTTATATACCATACCTTAAGTAGGTACTATATGTTCTAAAGATGTCCCCGTATAACCAACACTCGGGGGCAATATATACCTTTCGGGATATATACAGATATACAGATAATATGCAATGTCTATTACGCGGCAGCCCGTTTCGTTTACTCTTCTTGCAAAGGGCTCACTGCCACTGCAATTCTTCGGGGCCTTCGCCGTCCGGCAAACCCCGCATATCCGACAGCGCATCCTTCATGATCCTCAGCGTCTCGTTGGCGATATTTTTACTCTCCCTCCTGATTTTCTCCCGCCGCCTCGCCACCTCCCTCCTCCCGTGCTCTAGAATATCTATTATAGCATCCGTCGTGCGGTCGGGAGCCATTTTCTTGACCAATTTTATCGTCCGTTTTAGGTATAGATAGACGGGTCTGTCTCCGGCGAAATTGCTTTGGAGCAGGTCCTCCATCAGCTTTTCCGTTCCTTCCAAATCCCGCAGCGCCGGGTAGGTCATAAGCAGCGCCTTGAAGCATTCTCTAGAGAAGCACAGGTTCTCAGTACCGCTCTTGTCTACTGCTAGGTTGCATAGCGCGAGTGCCTTGCTGTAGTTGCCCAACTTAACGCAGAAGAGGGCCATGCGGGTGAGGATATCCGGGACGATAACAATGTGTAATGCTTCGAATTGCGTGATCAGATTCCTCATGTGAAGTAAAGCTTCTTTGGCCTCTGCTTGGAGATTGTTAAGCTGGAATTTGATGAATTCTGACACCGCCGAGCTGATGTCTTCGCCGCGATCGTACGCGATTTGTAATAGTTGCATCGCGGAAGCAGAGCCATTCTTGCCGTTCTTCAGCGTTGCGAATGTAGCTAAGCGAAGGCAATGTGGACAAGGGGGCATTCCAAACCTAATGGCGTTCTGGTAGATCGAAATCGCCGTTGCCGTGTTGCTATTACTTAGTTCTTGCTTCATCGCTTCGTAGACGTCTCGTCTATTGGACGTGTGGCCAGCATAAGCTAATCTATCCACTGCAATGTGAGATGGGTGCTGCGCTCTATTGACTGCGTTGCCATTCCTATCGGTTTTGCTGCCCTTCAATGCTGCTTGGCTTAAGATGCGTCGTGTCACATCATCAAAAGACACGTCAAGCCTTTCGAATTCGGTATAGAGATTCCGCAATTCGTTGTAGGGCATAGCCCATTTAGCATGGCAGTTGTGGAGGACTGAGTTGCAGAAACTCGAATCCATAGCAAATCCGACTTCGCTGCAGTATTGTAGCCACGATACGAAGCCTGAACTGTCATGGCATTGGCCGTATTTGTTTGCTACTAGCGTGACGATGTACCGATGCATGCGTACTCCTAGATGGCTGATGAAATGTGATACGAAATCGCGAACCTCTGAAGCAGTATGGCTCTCTGCAAATATTTTTAAGATTTGGATGAAAGCTTTATCATATTCATCTTCTTGCCCACGTCTTAGGGTCTGCATCTCAGCAAAAGCATTAGACACGCCGTCCCAGTCTCCAGCTTTAGCCATGGGCAAAATAAAAAGGCCTTTAAGGGTGACGTCCGTGGTCATATCTGGGAACTTTTCGAGAAGTTCCTCGCAGTATAACCTTGCCACATCATTCATCTCGGCCTTAATAGATAACTCGACCATTGTACGGTAGACTAAGTTCGAGTTTGTCACTCTGTCTAGGATGTCTATAGACAACATCGCGTCAAAGAGCGCCTTCAATGTTGGGAAGTCTCGGTTGCGATTCCAGTAGGCATGTAGCAGCTTCATGACCCAACGAGATCGTATGATTCCTGTACCTGCACCATCCATCCGACAGAGAGCGTCCAGTACGTGTTCAGCTTTCATACCCCCTAAAGCCTCGACAGAGGACACGACAGAATCGACCGTGTTGAAATAAGACCTGGCGTCAGGAGTCGTCTTCGAGAAGTTTAGCAAGAAGTATTTGAGTACGTGTTTGTGGTCGCGGTGTTCATGAAGCATTTGTATAGCCCATCCCATAAATTCGGAACTTTGGGTGATAGCAATTACTCTCCAGTAAACGTCACCGACAAGGCTAAATTGACCCAACATGAAGTTTTCGGTCATCAGCTGCATACCGAACTCTTCCAGCTCTTCGAAGCGCATTTGGGGTTTTTCTTTCAACGTCGCTAGAAATATGCGTGTCGCCGTAGATACGGCCTCTTGAGGGACGCGTCCGTTCTCGTCTACTTGGCGTAGGTAGTAGTTTATAAGAGGTATGGGTTGATGGGCGAAGAACTGGGACTCCTCGAGGGGGCCGATGCCGAGTATTGTAAGCAGGATCTTGGCAGCATCCTCTAAACGATTCTCTGCGTGAAAATCTCTGGAAAGTCGAATGGAAAGCTCAATCCATTGCTCATCTAACTGCTCAGAATAAGACCCACGGCATGCGTCCAAGAATCTTCTAAGAGCTTGGTCTAATCTCTCTTCATCATTACTATCCAGAATGCTAGTCACATCCGCAATGGCTCTACGGCGCTTATTTAGACGGATCTTGAGCATGGGACTAGAATATAAAGCTTGATACGTTCCCCAAGTCTTATGGGCATCGAATTCGGTTTCCGAGGGCCATAATTGCTGCCGAGAGGTATTCAATATATGTGCTACTGCTACATCATGATGCGTGGTTTGGGAGGACGAGGTTTCGGCTTGGGTAGTGGTCGTCGAGGGAGATTCCAATCCGTCTTCTGTCTTTACAGACGGCGCAGGGTTCGTATCTGGAGAAGCATCCTCGGGCGAGTGTTGCTGAGGAGACGTTTTAGAAGCAGAAGGACCATCGCGCGTCCTAACTGTATCATCTTCTACGTGGTGCCATTGGAATTGGTCCCCTTCTGCGAAAGCTGTTTCGTCGAGTCGCGCCGGAGTCGGGTCTGCCACGCTATGATATCTTTTAACCGCCTTGAGCTTCTCTTTATTCGACAGGGCGGTCTTTAAAGTACTAATTCGGCGCCTTCGATCTTCCAATATGACACCAATGGCACACGAAGTACCTAGGGCAATCCCTCGGAGGGCATGGATCGCAGCCTTCGACGGGATAGGCAACGGAGGTGGCATATCTGCGAAGCGTGTGCTGCCATGTCGAGGATTTGTTTTTTAATGCTTCTCCATAGCATTCTTCAGCCGGAGGTCTATGTATTTTTTTTTTTTTTAGAGCGCGAATGCTCTCGCAAGACCTTGAATGTAAATTTATTACCAGAGGTTTCGCGGATTTGCGGATTTGCGGATCGTAAGTTCAAAGATGATAATATCACGCCTGGATTGAACGTGGGTTAGGTAGCTAAGCTTTAGCTGCTAACAATGAACCAATTATTGCCCTGGAACCCCCACCAACCTTAAGGAACCGAGATCCAGGTGGTTATGCACATATGCAATTATCTGAATTTTACCTGCCATACGGATCTGTACGTCACTCTTGAGAGGTACCTAATACAGGTACCTAACATAGGGACCTGACCTGCTAACTTACCTGTACTTAAACATGTTCAAGTATAAAATTAGGCACCTAAAGCAAAAAGAATAGTTCAAAGATTATAAGATCAATATTGAGATTTCTATCCCTCCGTCTATTCTTTTTTCCTTCGTGCCCCTGTCTTCCTTGAACGCCGTGCACATGTCTTGGGATGTTGTTACAATGCCCCCCTTTGAACCCCCCTTTCACCGACGCAGGATCCAACGCCTCCTCCCTTCCTCCCTGCCCCCTTTTATGAAGGGTTAAGCAGAGAAGCCCGATCTCTCTACCGGAAGCCATACCTCTAATTTTCGTAACATGGTTTGATACAAGAACAACATGCAACTACTTTGTACACTGGTCCAGACAAATCTCGGGCCGACCCCCCTAAACCATCCCCCAATTCCCTCCGTTTTGTAGATGAGCTTGAGCCCCCTCAATATTGAATCTTCGTCTAATGGGATCGCGCCCGGCCGCGGTGTATGTGTTGAAGGCGACGATGTGGATATAGGGCGCTTTTGCAACTTGGGTTGAGGTGGGGATTGCGTTTGTGTAGAAGCCAACTCTTTAAGACCCGACAGAGGCTCTGTAGCCAAGCGCTCTTTCGGTCTGGCCACAGCCGGGACAGGTTCGATCTGTGTTTGTAACCGGGTCTTGACGACGTCAAGAGGGCATGTAAGCACTCCGGCTAATCCGCCACCGGCAGCACCGGTTAGAAGCTCCAATCGTACGCCGATATCTCTGCTCTTCTTATATTCACGAGCCCAGCTTTGGAATTGCTCGTAAAACATGAATTGTAGCGCGGAGAATGGGAGGTCTCGATATAAAGTTGCCTTGTAGCCGGAGAATAGTTCTGAAAACCCTTCTTTCCTGATAATGGTTCTCACAGCGTCGAAAGTACCGCGATAATTGTATCCAGATTTGAAATAAGGGTTGTTATACCGGCCCTGAAGTTGAAGGCGAGTCTTCAACACCTCCGAGGGTACGTAGACTATAGATGCGGCGAAATCGCCGATGAAACCTAAAATTTTATGAGTATGTGTTTGGACAAGCTTCGCCAAGTGTGATCTTAATGCATACCAGCTATCAGATAGGAGACGTGAGGCTGGATTCCGTAGTCTAGCATATGCCTCTTGCTCCATTCATAGGTTCCAAAGAAGAGTACTGTGCCCGGGAAAGAACCCATCATCGCCGGGAGCCAACCTCCATATAACCCACGTCGAATTCCTTCCTGTCGCCATATCGTATAATAAGATGAACCTAGTGTGGAATATTTAGGTGGCATGTGCGGGTCACCTTGTTGTCGAGTTTTGACGGTATCGAGTGAGTGCATCAACATATCGCCCGTCGTTCCACCCATTCCTCCCGCGAGCATGGACTGCGGCCATAAAGAATTAGTTTAGAGAGTCTCTCTCTTGCGCCTATGGCAATAGTAGCACTCACGTGGATATAGGGTGGGCGCCCTTCCAAATCTCCATTGTCGAAGGTCATCTTATGCTCGCGCGACTGCGTCGTAAAAGTGATAATTTACTCCAAAGATTTGTGCTCCGAAAGTCCATCATTGGTACCGGTGACTACCTAAAAGAACTGGGTCGTTCGGACAGACCAGCAGCGCTACTTGAGAAAAAAAAATAAAAATAAAATAAAAGGCGCCGCAACTTATTCGCCCACAAGATGTCGACTATCTCGTTCGTTATACAGATCTTTTTTCGAGACTTGGTGTTGTGTGCAAGAGGCGATCGCGCTCGAGAGCGATCACCTACTTAATGTTGAAAATCTTCGAATAAGTATAGACGGTGGGAAAATTTCCTTGTACAAATAGTACTAAATTGTACCTAATCGGCCATTTCGGTTTACGCGCGGTTTATCACGGGCCTTCGCGCCCGAGGGTTGGTGGCCTGTGGGCGCCTTATCTCTTATCTTAGATAAGTTAATTCTTTTTTTTTCTTTCTTTTTTTCGCCTTTCTTTTACCGGCAGACTGGAAAACGAAAACCGAGTTACTAAATCTTACGGTTATCTGCATATAAGGAATTAGTTAACATCATAGGTAGGTTAGGTACCTTAGGAGGTACTTAGATAGACACCTTCAAGCCTCGTTTCCTTGAGAGGTAAGGGGCTTCTTTCTTCCAAAAGGGTTGAGAAAGCTGAGGAGTCTGAGAAAACTGGCAATGAGTAAATGGAAGTTTTATCGTTGTTTTTAATTCCTAATATTCCCTGCATAATCCCACCATTGTACTCTGCCGAATCTATGTAAAGGCCATACGATGTGAGTGACCTTGCCAGTTATGAGATTCGTAGAAATCGGACCATAATCATTACTGTCTCTGCTTAAACGCTCGCCTCCATCGCCCTCAACCCAGACGTGCCCCATCGGCACGCGGACTGTAGGAGAGGGATACGGGCTTCGCGTCCTTATGACATCACCTTCAAGCCCAACAATCCTCTTAACGGCCTCGACTTCCGGATTATAAGGGTTCCTAGAGCCCATTCTCGTTAGCACTCCGGGGTTCTTAAAAAAAAACTAACTTGCCATTGTGAAAACCCGTCTGTTGTTTGCGCACCAGAAAATGACAATCATGCCTCGTCGCAGCCCGTACTGCGCATTGAACTTGTATTTAACAACTACATCGTTCCGAGTCGTCTGGTCCTTCTCTGCATTTAAGAACGGATACATCGACGGCCCGCTAATCCAAGCCAGTTCTCCGATATAGTGGTTGAACATGGAGACCACAGGAATCCACGTTGCGAATGCGAATAGACGATAGCCGAATCTGCCAGCGCGCTGATGATCACGTTTGATTCGAGCCCATATCGGCCGGAACGCCATTAGGCGTAAATAGATGTAGACCTCAACCTGAGATGAGACCTCGGTGTATTAAGGTTGATGTGCTGAAGGGCGAGACCTTTCATATGTTTTATTATAATATCTTATGCTTCGATTTTCAATAACTGAATTCACATCACACCAATGATCAACCTAGATATTGGAACTGATGGATATACAGATTACCAATTAAAGAGATATTATTTAACGCAGTTCATAGTTTTCACAGTACTGCTTAAGCACATAAATGTAAATAACCACCAAGTTTCTTGGGTTTCATCCCATCTCATCTCCCATCTCATCCCCTGGCATCAACGTAGCAGGCGATCTACCAATAATCAATAATTAAAATGGGATAGTTAAGCTGTATTAGACAATTAAGAAGTAGCATAATTCCTACAAAACAACCTCACCTAACTCGTTTCAAGGTATCAACACAGGGACGGGAATTTGGAGGATTTATTTCATTCCGAAAAAACACAAAATGCTCTATTCGCATGCTAGGTACTTTTTTTATGACCCCTGAATGTCAATGACCTCTAGGTAGGTACCCTTTTTTACCTAGCCCGTACACCCCTTATCGCGGTGAAACTAATTGAAATGAACCGAAGTCGAACCGATTAGTTTAGACAGTCTCGGGAATGTTGTCGTCGCTCTCGCTGACACTCTCGTCTCCGCTGACCTCCGCGTTCTCGCGCTCGCGCTTCTCCATCAGCGCCTGCAGCTCGGCGTCGTCCGAGTCCGTCACCGCCTTGGGTTCCATCTTGACTACGAGTTGGCCGCCTGCGCTGGTGATGCTGTTGCGGATGTCGACGATAGCTTCCTCTAGTCGGCTTATACCGACGTTCTTGTCCAGACATGTGCTTGTTAAGACGTAGAGCGGCGGGGAGACGAGTCTCACTTTAACCTGGTTGTCCTCGGTATTTCGCGCCTCTGCTGTTCTTAAGGCGGTCTTGACAGCATCGATTCCATCGTATTCGAAGCAGGTGACCTCGATGTCGGCACGGACCTTTGTAGGCTGAGGAGTCAAGCGCTTTCCGATGTACGACTTGAGCTCCTCCGCTACCGGCTCGCTAGGGAATGTGATATCGTTCCATACGTCGGGGTTCCTAAAATTCGGGTCAGCCGCAAAGAAGTCGAAACGCCAGGTGCCAATATACTCACGTTATGGAAAGCTTGAACGCGTCGATGGAGTGGCCGTATCTCTTATTCAACGGCCAAGCTATGCTTTCGTATAGAGTCTCGATGGGTGTTTGAGTCTTCTCGGCTACGTGGCGCATGATGGAGTGGACCATCTTGCTCTTGTTGTACCGTTCCTCACACTTAACGATATCCTCGGGAGAGACTCGGCGCTTCGAAAGATCGATATATCCTGACACCCGTCAGTAATTTTGACCATATATATATTATTTATACCTGGGTATATATTTTTGCTGCCACACATACCCTTCTCCTTATCGACTCGGAGAACGACTACAACCTCGTTGCGACCAACTCGGATAAGCTTCTGAATACTTCGGATACGACGTCTCGAAAGTTCAGATAGTAGAATCATGCCATCGATGTTGTCGTATTCGAGAAGTTTGACGTAAGCACCCATATCGGCGATCTAAAATTTTGTGTTAATTTGATAAAATAATAATAATAAATAAATAAAATATCAATATGATGGTAGCTCACGAACCTGCTTGACATTGACCATGACGAAGCTATCAATCTCCGGATACTTCTCCTCGTAAAAACGACAGTTTGTCAACGACATCTTGGGCAACAATAGTAATGCTCGATCTCGAAAAATGTCTGATGGGCCCAAGATTGCACGCGCGCAGGCGGTGTTTAAAATTTCTCTGCGGCTCGGAAATCCAGTAAGGTGCCTTTTCGCCAACAGTTTCTTGGTAATCAGGCTTCCTGGTGTTGCTGTCGGGATTGCGCGCTTCGACGTTGGTACACTAAGTCGGTGTTATCAATAATTATTTTGTTCCTGTGCTAGGAGAGTCACAAATTTGTCAATGATGGAAATCTTTATGACCTGAGCGTGGGGTGTGGCACCCCAATGCTTTTGGCGGGGTTATCGGCGCAAAAGGCTGCACAAGGCTCTGTACGAAGTACAGGTACGTACTAGTAAAAGGTTGGTGGTACTGTAGGCAATTGGCCACACCTGCCAACTTCTTCTGCTTTACTGTACCTAACTGGCAATTAAGTACCTAGGTAATGTTCATTAGGACTAGATGCCACGGAGGGCGGAAGAAAGAGTAAGCCGTTCTCACCCTAGTGGGGTTCAGACCCACTCAAGCACTTTGAAAATCGACGAGAAGTTCCACCAAGTGCATAATGTCTTCGGACCTTTCTTTCCTCTGGCATTCTACCTCTTTCTACCCTCACTTTTTTTGCTTCTACTTTTTTACTTTTTCCAACTATTTACATAGCTCAAATGTCTCTGATGCTGCGAACTCGCTGGAATCCATTTTCCAGTTCCAGCTGCTTGGAGGACAAAGCTGAGTCTTCGCTTGTTCATCGCGCTAAGGGATGATATACTCTCATCATGATACTCTCTACCTAGTCCTTGAGTAGAAGTATTACTTTTTTTTCAATTTTTTTTCCTCCAAAGGTTTCATAGACCCTTATACCATATCCAGCGCATAGCCATGGATCCTTCCAGCGTCAGCACAGCCGAGACGGCTCTCTCGCAAGCCGTATCGACTATTGCGAATAGCTCTACAACTGCTGTTGTCTCGGCTCTCTCGAGAGTAAACGATGTCGCAGATACTCAAAGCTCTTCTTCGTGGCTTGGGCTCATCGCCAGACTCGTTCTTTTCGTACTTCACATTCTCTCGACAATACTATACTGGGGCCTTAAGCTCACGACAATATCTATGCCCACGATACTGTTCACGTTGTTCTCCACAAGTTGGACGGTAACGATGAACGCCACGACTTTGTAATAATTCCACCTTCTATCCGTCTTTCCGATATGCTGATACGAGAAATAGGGCGTTGATATTGCTACTGATGTTCTCTGCGGTTACTTGGGTTGTGAGATATAGGTACTTGAATATGTATTCACGCCTACCTCCAGAACCGCAGCGTAAAGAGCCCGATTTGGATATTTTCCCCGAGGGTCACGAAGAAGGTGCTAAACCTGGTCTTACCAACTATCTCGACGAGTTTCTTAGTGCCATTAAGATATTTGGATATCTCGAGCGTCCTGTGTTCCATGAGTTGACCAGGAGTATGCAAACTAGGAAGCTAATCGCTGGTGAGACGCTGAATTTGGAAGAAGAAAAGGGCTTCTGCCTCGTCGTGGACGGACTGGTTGAGATTTTTGTCAAGTCTTCCAACCTTAATCAAACCCGGCCCACTGGACTCGACGAAAGCTCGACGCAATCTTTCTCGGAAGACGAGCAATCCATTCCAGGTCAGCAGCGATATCAGTTACTGACTGAGGTGCGAAACGGCAATCCCATGTCATCTCTCTTCTCAATCATGTCTTTATTTACGGAAGATGTGAAGCTCAAGATACCATCCGAAGAGAACCTAGAGCCCAATGATACCAACGGCGGCTCTCATCATCAGCAGTTAGCTAGTGGTAGCTTTCCAGATCAGCACGATATGTCGGCTTTTCTCACTAAAACCTCGGACCTTGACCCAACTCATAGTGGGCCAGCCCAATCCGATGAGTCTCGGCTCACGAGTCCATCTTCTCCTACTCAAGCTAGGCTGCCGAAAATTCCTCCCATTTCCTTAGACGAGCCGCATAAAAGCCACACTCGTCCTTCCGTGAAACGGACAGCCACATCTGTTCATCCCGACATCATTGGGAGGGCGACAGTCGACACAACTATTGCGATTATACCTGCTAGCGCGTTCCGTCGGTTGATTAGAGTTTATCCTAAAGCGACTGCTCACATCGTTCAAGTCATCTTGTCCAGGTTCCAGCGTGTTACCCTTGCCACGGCATACAACTATCTCGGGTTAACTAACGAGGTTCTTCACACGGAAAAAAAGATGATCAACTATGCAACTTGCCAACTGCCGAACATCCTTCGCGGCGATGCTCTAGATCGCTTAAAGGAGAAGTTTAAGCAGGAAAGAGAAAGAGCCGGTGAAGAGGAAACTGGCAAGGGGATTGCTTTACACAATCCATCGACCACGGCCCGTCGACGTAGGTCTTCGACAGGGCTCCGTAAAGAGGCAGTCTTGCAAGCAATGAGTCGTGCCAGACCTCGATCTGTAGTGGCATCTACGATTGCACCGCCACAAGAACGACTCTCCATCCATACTCCTAGTCCTGGGGACTTACTGGCCAATGTACAGATAGCCCGCAGTGGGGGGACAGGGTCAAATGGCACTTTGGAAATACCTATAGCAGAATCCTTCCAGTCATCAGATACCTTTCCGAGAAATGACGTAAGCCCTCTTGCTCTGCGTACCTTTAACCCTTTCGCTACCCAGAAAAGAGCCCGTCTCTCAATTGATCCTCGCGAATCAGTGGATGAAGACAACCTATTCCGAGTGTCTATACTTGAATGTGTCTTTAAAGCCATGGGTATGAGCAGCAGTGGCTCCTCATCCAGAGGACCCGAATCTGCGGAAGGATCTCCTAAGCTTATCTCATACGATCAAAGGAGACAGAAAGCTGTGTTCAGTAATAATGCGTTCGGGTTTATGGATCCTTTTGATGGTTATACCGACTGGGATGCTGAGTCAATGACTTCTGGTGGCATTTCATCGACTGGCACGCCTAATGCACAACTTCTTGCGGCTGATATGAAGCATGAAGTAGAAATTGTCTTCTTCCGGCAGGGATCTGTATTAGTCGAGCAAGGGGAACGAAGCCCAGGACTTTACTATGTTATCGATGGATTCCTCGATATATGTGTCCCTTCAGAGGACTCGGGCAGCAGTATTCTCAGTTCCTCAAGCAGAACATCAACGACGGCAATGCACAGGGCGGAGTCTGATGAAGCTGCTCGACACCCGTTATCATTCAGCTCAACCAAGCCATCTGACAACAGAAGCACGTCTGATGCGAAACGGGGTACGAAACCGGAACGCCGTCGAGTAGGACTTGTAAAGCCTGGCGGTCTTGCCGGTTACATTGGCACGGTCTCATCTTTCAGATCCTTCATCGACGTGGTTGCGAAAACGGACGTATACGTTGGCTTCATCCCACGAGCGACATTGGAGAAGATCGTAGAAAAATATCCAATTGTGCTCCTGACCATGGCGAAGAGGCTGACTTATCTACTCCCACGGCTTATCTTACATATTGATTTCGCCCTTGAATGGGTTCAGGTTAATGCCGGGCAAGTCTTGTTCCACAAAGACGAGGAAAGCGAGGCGATATATATTGTCCTGAATGGAAGGTTACGACTAGTAGAAGACCGAAAAGATGGTGGGATGAATGTCCGCGCGGAATTTGGCCAAGGCGACAGTGTCGGCGAATTAGAGGTCATGACTGAATCTACTCGTTCTGGAACTCTGCACGCCATTCGAGCGACTGAGCTTGTCAAATTTCCGCGCACCTTGTTCAACAGCCTTGCCCAAGAGCATCCTAGCATTACGATCAAGATCTCTAAGATCATTGCCTCTCGAATGCGGTTATTGGTTGATGACCCAACGATTCCTTCCGGAAAGGAAGGGATATCTGGCACATCTATAAATAAGAGCTCGTCAACCTTAAACATCAGGACCGTCGCTATCCTTCCAGTTAGGGCAGGTATTCCAGTTGTTGAATTTGGCAACCGCCTGATGAATGCCTTGACACAAGTCGGCACGCCCAATGGTGCAACTTCACTGAACCAAGCCGCAATTCTCAGCCATCTCGGAAAACATGCCTTCAACAAAATGGGGAAGCTGAAGCTAGCCCATTATCTTGCCGATCTTGAGGAGAAGTATGGACTAGTTGTTTACGTTGCAGGTAAGCCCAATTTACTCCCTATATTGTCTTTTTATTCTTTTTTTATTGGTATGATGAGAAAATCACATCCAGAGCGCCGTCTATGAAGGCTTTAAACTCTAATTTTTTCCTGACCACAATACGCGAATTCTCTGTTTCATTTGAGCTTCGATTTATACGCAATTCTAACAAGAAATATTAGATACAAGTGTGACAGCACCTTGGACCCAGACCTGTATTACACAGGCAGACTGCATTTTGCTTGTTGGCCTAGCTGAAGGATCCCCTGAGATTGGCGAATACGAACGATTTATGCTTGGTATGAAGTCAACCGCCCGTAAAACACTAATTCTCCTTCATACTGAGCGCTATTCGCCCCCTGGCCTGACAAGAGCCTGGTTAAGAAATCGTGTCTGGATTAATGGCGGACATCACCATCTACAAATGGTTTTTGAGTCAAATCCCGTTGCGGCACATCCGCCCTCCAGGAAAGCCGGGCCGACCTTGAAGGAGAGAGTGCAAATTCTACAGGCTGAAATACATAAGTATACAGTCCAGAAGATACGGCAGAGACCCTACTACTCGCCTGATGCCCCTTATAAAGGTGACTTCCAAAGACTCGCCCGAAGACTCTGTGGCAAGTCTATTGGCCTTGTCCTCGGCGGAGGTGGAGCCAGGGGTATTGCTCACGTTGGTATCATCAAGGCGATGGAAGAGGCTGGTATCCCTGTTGACATAGTCGGTGGCACGTCGATCGGCTCGTTCATTGGCGCCCTCTATGCGCGTCACGCCGACGTGGTTCCTATGTTTGGTCTAGCAAAAAAGTTTGCTGGGAGGATGGGAAGCATCTGGCGTTTTGCGTTTGATCTCACGTATCCGTCTGTGGCGTACACAACCGGTCATGAGTTCAATCGCGGTATTTTCAAAACTTTTGGAAAACACCAGATTGAAGACTTCTGGCTGGAATACTACTGCAATACGGTAAACATTAGCAAAAGTAGGCAGGAGTTCCATACCAGTGGATACGCTTGGCGATATGTACGAGCGTCGATGTCTTTGGCCGGTCTATTTCCACCTCTGTGTGACGAGGGTAGTATGTTATTGGACGGTGGTTACATCGACAACCTCACCGTATCTCATATGAAGTCCCTTGGCGTCTCCGTTATATTTGCTGTTGATGTGGGGGCTATAGATGACGATACGCCTCAGTGCTACGGCGACTCTCTCTCGGGGTTTTGGGCCTTCTGCAATCGATGGAATCCATTTTCGAGCATTCCGAATCCCCCTACACTGGCAGAGATCCAAGCCCGATTGGCGTACGTATCAAGCGTAGACGCTCTAGAGCGTGCCAAGACGACGCCGGGGTGTTTCTACATGCGTCCGCCGATCGATGGATATGGGACTTTAGAATTCGGGAAGTTTGACGAAATCTATGATGTGGGGTATAAATTCGGCAAGCAATACCTTGACCGCTTAAAGGACGAGGGCGTGCTTCCTCTAGTGGAGGAAACTGAGGAGAAGAAGGCATTACGCAGGACGATGGCGCCTCGACGTGCGAGTATTTGAAAATTTAGCGTCGTCGTTATATATACCCAGTCATAACCTGAGAATTGAGGCAAGAGTTGCGAAGTGAATATAAAAGCCTTGAAATATCAAAGCGTACCTAGTTTACAACGATCCAAAGTGATGAGGCCCAAGCATATTTAAATATATATAGCGTAAGATGCAGAATTTCCTAGGGAGACTATGAGCTGGCCGGGCTTGAAGGAGTACTTAAGGTAGGTAGGTATTCCCTGTATCATGGGGTAGTCGTGTTATGGTACATCCCGGTGGCCATTTTCTCTCTCTTTCAGGCTATATAAAATCATTGTCAAGATCATCCCCAGATATCTTCACCTGAAGGCCTACCTACCCCGCACGCAAATCGCTTGCAGCCAAATCGTTACTCCAGATAATATGAAGATTGTATATCACTACCTATTTGGACATTCGGGGGGCCTGCGGATGTTCAACGTGGTGGTGAGAGCGTCGGTCTCAAACATAAAGGGTCACTTAGCCAACTTCCCAAACTAAAGATAAAAGACGACATAAAAGTAAACACATAGCTCAAGAGCTTACACCCTCGTAATCTAACGTTCGACATAGTTATCTCTCAAGGCACATATCATACCATCCTTATACGTACACCTCGCCGACCGGATTGCAACTATGAGACTCGGGAGGGTTTTACCAACATGCTGCCTAATAGGCACCGCATGCTCTCAATCAAAGTTTAAGATTAGTGAGCTCCTACCCGTAACGTGCCTTCTCTTGCCAGGTCGAACGCCAACTCACGAACTCCAAAGTGCCGCTAGGAGACAGCATAACGGAAATAACCTGCTGGAGGGCGAAGCTGTGGAACAACCTGAAGGCGAGCAACCTAACGGACAAGATCGAGTTCGTCGGCTCGGTGAATAATACCCAGAGCTGCGATACGGCGGACGCAGAGTTCGCGACGCAGCACCACGAGGGCCACACGGGCTACCTGGCGATCGACGTCGCGTACGACCATATCGACAAGTGGCTCGACGGCGCCAGGCCCGATGTCGTTACGTTTATGCTCGGCACGGATGATGTTGCGCGCGGGAGGAGGATTGAGGATGTGGTGGAGGCGTACTCGAATATGGTGCGCTCGATGAGGAAGTACAATGCGGGCGTGAGGGTTGTTGTAAGATCCCGTCTCGTCCCGTCCCGTCATACGTTTCTGCTTGCATCAACATCTACCCAGCCAGCCAGCCAATTTTTGTAAGCACGGCATGACTAACGCAAGACTGATCCACTGTACGTACGATGAACAGGTCAACACCGTCGTCCCGCTACCAGCTAACATGGCCCCCGTGGAGCGGCTCAACGACATGATACCGGACTGGGCGGCGGAGATGAACACGACGGAGTCGCCGGTCTACGTCGACGATATATACCCGTTTCCGAACGCGTTTCTGAAAGACGGTATCCATCCTAATGAGCAGGGCGAGGACCGCATTGCTGAGGGTTTGACGTCGCTCTTGACGTGGATTGTTGGTGCGGATTCGACGGGTGGTTCTGCTGCGTCTGGGTGAATAGGGGGTGGGGTGGGGAGACGATAGGAGCGCGAGTGGGAGGGAGTACCTACCTCATAAAGTGGATTATAGGACGGAATACTCTTACATGGGAGGTGGAACTATGTCAAAGGAGTGAGGTTAAAATACACGTCCCAGACCCAAGCGAAATACATTCTTTAAGCTGGGATGTAAGGTAGTCAAACTCTCCGCGGTTTGACGTCGAGTTCGGAGCACGGTAAACCGATGGGTACCAGCAGCAAATCATGATTATGCCAATTGCATCAGTCAAGACACGTAAACAGGGCATCGTAATTCAAGTAGTAAAGAGTTTTTCTAGGCATGATAAACCCAACAATGGGGCTATGAGGAAACTCTCTGATAACATTTTACTGGACGGGCTCGCGTTCGTGTAGGACGTAGAATAGCTACCTCGTACTGTAGCTATGCGACTGTACAGGTACCTAGACCCTCCCTCCCCCTATTTTCCAGAGCGTGATATCCCCCCACGCGCTCTTAGATTCGCTCGCCGTAAGCTGTCTCCGCGAAATCCCACATCCAATATTAGCACCGCCCGCTGAATGTTCGCTAAAAGTCTGTTCATTGGCGATACTGTTCTGTTCGAGGATTGTGGAACGGGGGAAGGGGGGCTGACTGCTTGCATAGGGTACAGCTGCTGCATGTGCGCTTATTAGCTCGTCGTTTTAACAGATGTTTGAAAATACGGTCTGTGTGGTGAAGTATGTAAGGGATTAAGTCTTTATCACGGACAAAGTGCCTACCCGTAGGTATTGTACCACTCATCAATGTCAGACGTACAATACGGTCATCTCTAAGCTGCCTAGAGCGCATCTACCCGAGAGCTAAGCTAAGAACTTACCGCTATACATCCATATATGTCGAGATCCCAAAACGGCAATCCATCGACACACCTATCTTCTAGCGGCAGCCCCATTTCCGGCCTTGTGTACATGCGTCGCTCATGGCAGCTCTCAAAATGTAAGACCTAGGAGAGAGGACTTTGCCAGACTGAGGTTAGAACGATGGTGTCAGATTTCTTTTCGATCCCCCATGGAGCAAGGTAGGGTTGCATTCGGTTTATAGCGGTGCATAGGAGCTTTCGTGCGTCTTAGCGTGCAGATATCCCATGCGACACACGTTCGGCACGACCCGACTTCCCCCAGTTTGTGATGGGGGGGTCCTCGTAACGAGTTGCTTATTTTAATCCTTCTCCTCTTTTTCTCGGTTTCCGAACTCAACGGCGTCTATGTAGATCTTGTAGGTACTAGAGGAATCGGTACATTCATTATTAACCTAGGAGGTAGCTAACTGTAAGGAGTCTTGGTAGCTGTTATACAGCTCCATACGTATAAGTATTCTATTAACCTTCTAACAACCCGTGTTGATCATGAAACTCCGAAAACAACTATTCGCTCTCCATAACTAATCCATGTTCAAACTCCTAATATACTTGGTAGGTATTATTCGTGACCTAGACCATCTGTAAATGCAGAATGTACCGGGGTATTCGCTTGTAAGAACAATCCATGCCGCTATGGTGTATATAAATATACCGTGGTAAAATGAAAACTTGCAGATGACTTTTGCAGCCGTTCGTAAGGTCCCAGGTTTAAGAAAAACCAATGGCGCCGCAGTTGTAAGCGAATAGTCTACCGCCAAAATTGCCACTATTTCTTCCGGTTCTGTTCGCCATCCGACTTCTTGCACGACGGCTTCTTCTTCTTCTTCTTCCCCTTGGTCTTCGGATCCGAGTCGGACATCTGCTCGCTCGCTTCGCTGGTCTTCGGCTCGGCCATATGGCTCGCCCGGTCGACGTCCAAGGAGGCCATCGCGCCGCTCGAATGCGAATTTGACTGGCTCCGCCGTACGCACGACTTGGACTTGTCGTGTTCTAAGCCTGTAACTTCTTCTCCAGTGATAGGCGCATCCGGTGAAAATTCACCAGCGACACTTGCCGGGGGGGTTAATAAGTTAACCATCTCGGGAACTGCGGGGGCTTGATGAGTAGCCGTGTCTGCGCCGCGTGTATCTTTACTTTCTGGTGTAGATACTCCATTGTCGGCCTGCTGGCTTTCTGGGCCGGGTGCTGGGGAAGAGGCACTCTCAGGCTGAGGCGGGCAGTGCTGATCACTCTTTGCAGGCTCCACAACGGTGACTTGAGAAGTAGTGAGAGGTGCCTGGTGGGACTTCTCGCTATATGCGTCGCTTGGCTGAAAAAGGCTTGTTTGATGGCCTGAAGCGTGTATATTGCTGTTGGCGGCTTTTTCATTTCCCTTTGGTCCATTATCGGGGACACTTGATTTCCCTGATTTGTTCTCTGAATGTGCCCCTATTTACAAATTAGAGAGAGGACATACAACGGCGCAATATTAAGTAGGGCCCTTGCCTGTACTTGATGTAGTACTATTTCGTCCGAGAGACGATGTTGGAACCCGTGTGGCCAAAGAAGGAAAGGGTGTGAGTTCCAGTCCTTTCTCATTTGCTCTCATTTCCTCTGCTTTCGCTTTCTTTCTTGCCTTCTCTTTAGCTAGTTCTCGGTTCTCTTTCCATTCTGCATATATGCCTGAAAATATCGACATAGTGAATCCGGGCTGTGTCGAGAATGCTAAATTCGGGCCAGCTGCAAGACGAGAGTAGTGGCTGGCGTACGGACGTATAAGACCTAGCTAGTTTCGCAGATACAGACCAGGCTTGGTTGGTATTAAAATTTTAATAATAGGACCTAATATTACGCGATTAATGGTGATGGTTAGCTACCTAGGTAAGGGGACTCGGCCAGCAATTGGAAAACGCCGTAGATAATATGCTAGGTCCGTAGTATATGTTATGAATGATGACAATGATGAGACCAACGGTTGACTGGCCACGAAACAAGGTTAAGCAGATTGGTCTCAGGAAGAAAGTTGGAAGAAGGACTCTAGATAAATGGCAAAATAATACGAAGTAAAGCGCTGGAAGTTACGATGGTAATAGGAAGAAACCAAGTGATAAGCATAAATCCCAGAACACCGGATAGATCGAAACTGCCTCATACGAGCAAGCGCAAGGTTAACAGCTATACTTACCTAATCTTTATATACTAAACTTAACTTGGCTGCAGTCACGTATCCAAGGTAGGTAGTATATGGATTATTGTCTATAAGTAACGATGTGTATATAGAACTGTAGAAGTTATAAATTCAACCCAGATGGGCCAATTTCCCACGCTTAGGTGTAGAATGCCATGAGCCGAGTTAAAAAGGGGGTATCCGCAATCTATATAGTTCCAGCTATCCTATCTAAAGCATCAGTATACCTAGTTCACTTTCGTGGTTCATAAATATCCTCACAGTAATGACCTCGAAGGAAACTATTATAGCTCATGAAGGGTTTTGAGTGTAAATAGCCAATTTATTAGGTTGACATACAAAGTATTAATCAAAGTCACGTCCCTCGTACTAAGGGTAAGTCAGTATTTACTAAGGTAGTAGCTATATTGAAGCCATCTATATCGAGACGTTAAACACATTTATTGTCTTTCGTTTATGTGAAAACAAAGCCCCCCTACCACCCGCCAGGTATAAAAAGCCTGTGTAAGTATAGCAAGTAGCACATATTTATACGATTCCATTCGACTGGGGAAGATCAACACGATTCCTTTATGGAAGGATGCTGTACGACGTCAATGCGGACCTTAAGACAATGAGGTTAAGCAAATGCGAAATCTGGATATCATTGCAGACAATTGGATAGTACCCCTCTGCGCGTACATGATTTTCAAAGCAGCTCTGAACCTCCGGTCCTTTTATTCAGGCGACATGTCCCTTTTCTTAGAATTTGGGAACTCCTCAAGACGTCAATATCTAAATTCGTTTACAGCATTACAAAAAATATATTGAGGAAGCACCAGCAAAATGACAGCACGGCCGCCTCCCCTTAGTAATACGACGTAAGTTGAACTTTTAGTACTAATACACTTGGGACTGTGGCTAACAATTCTACCTAGGTATGCGATCAAGTATGACCCCCCGGAGAGTGCAAAGCGTTTGCTAGCAGAAGGTTCCCGCTGGAAAGGGACATCGGGACAAGGTAAAAGAGGCCCGCCGCAGCCCGGGAATCGCTATAATCTGCTTTTGTACCTTAAGGGCATAAGTGAAGACCAGGATGCTATGCCTCTTCTTAAAAATGCATATACAAGCAGGAAAAACCTGGGGAGAGATTACATAATAGCAAATGGTGGGCTATCAGAAACCAGATTACAAGGCAATGACCACGCGGCAGCCCTTATAGGCGAATGGGATGCCCTGATTGAGTTGGCGAGAGGGATCTGGGATGATCCCAATGTTCTCGAAGATTGGATAACGCATATGTTCTACGACCGCTTCCGAGGGAGGATTCTCAGGGACGATGCGAATAAAGTGCAGACCATGGAACGTATCTTAACGTGGTCTGATAGGTGGGCTGAAGTTCGTTACCGGTACCTAAATCACTACCTCCGTGATGATCCGGATAACTGGGAGAGATTGGAGGGGGAGCAGTTGAGAGAAGCCGGGGACCATGCCAACGAGATAGTTCACACTGCCGCGTTGCAGGACGACTGTCAACTGGCCGAATCACACTGGTTCGTACCTGAACACAGATCATTGTTTTTTGATGTTTATCGCCTAGGTGTTAGGGAGGCTCGACGGTTAGGTACGTAAATTTTGGATTGCCCTCATACTTGCTTAAATGATTTAATAGTTCTAATGCTAATATTGACATCTAGTTAATCTTTCAAACTGGGGCCACCTCTCGGGGATTGTTAAAGGGGTATTCACATGGACGATCGACTTTATCAATCGGTACATCAAGTGGCGAGAAGGGATAATGCGGACGGCGACGCGGGCTCACTTGAACGAAGCACGTAGAAATCGTAACGCGCAATCGAACCAAGCAAAGAAGACGCAGAGAACACAGATGGCAACCTCGCTGAAGGCGAGTATGAGGGGTACCGACGATTCGTATCGCAAGTTTCTAGACGTGTTACGCGTCTTGATGCAAGAGGGAAAAGACCATATGAAATTCAGACGCGAAACATGGGAAAACTTTGTACAAGAGATTGATACGGTTACGCACCAACTTCGCGCCTGTCCTCTGAATCGACAAAACCCTAACCGGAACTGGGATGTAAGATTGAATTGGCCTAAGAATTCCACCTACGACACTTTCCCGCTGAGACCTAGAGGGCCAGACGCTAGGCATCTAATGTGAACGGAGATGTTATAAAGCCGTTGGGGGGTTTTGTTGTATTATACAACTTTTGCTAGATGTTAAATATTTGAGAAATTTAAGCATTAAAAGAATGACACATAACAATAGTATTATATAGTTGGAGGCATCTGCGAAGTTATACAGAGGCAAGTTTGTTTACTTACCTAGTGTTGTTTGTATGTCTGCATGTGTGGTGTATAAGTTTGAAGTTATTACGGATCCGTATATCTTACTTAATTCATGCTATAAATGATGTTAGGTTAGTAGGTCCCTAGCAGCAGGTAAGCGCCACTTTGCCAAGACGCTTAGATACACATCTCGGTACGTACCCAATCTTCCAATAAGTATGCCCCCTGCTGTCGCATCACGCACGGACCATCTGTCATGGTTTGCCTAGGTATTCAAGACGCAGCAAGTCCGAAAGGCTCCAAAAAGTCCCGACTTGAAAAACAACAGCAGCATTACCGTTGTCGTAGGGTGTATTCCTGATATTTTCGTGTAACGATCAATGATATTCTGCTTTTTGTATTTCATATCTGGCTTTTTTGGAGTTTTGAGATCAATAATATACACCATATCATTCTTATAACTTTCAGCGTCGCAATCTCGTTTTCTCTTCGCCGCGCCTAAAAATATACGTCACAGTCCGATCTAGGCAAAAGTTCGAGGTTCCTCCTCCCCCCAAAATCCAAACCAAACCAAACCAAAAAAAAAGGTCAAGAGGTACGTACTTCCCCCCACCGTAATCTAGACTAGACCCCTGTCATTATGTACTATGTACATACAGGAAGGAAGGACAATCCTGACCTGGGCTCTAGCCTCTGGCTGCCTTGTCTACACTAGGTAGCCCGACACTTTCTCGACATTCACATCTCACGTTGCCTCACACCTCGTTTTTAAAAAACCATATTCTCATCATCCACCCATCCACCTATCCACCCACCACGAGCCACAAAGCCCCATCTTTGCTTGTCTCTCTAATCAATCGCCCGACAACAGCTTGCTTTCCATTCTCGGCCCGCGCGTGCCCTTTTTTAGTTCAATAATATTCTATTTTCACTTTTAACCACCCCCCCTCCCCAACATACTTTTGTCGCGTGCGCGCCCATCAATTAGCGCGCCCATCCCGACGGAAAAGTGGCTGCGCTCACTCTCCTTAGCCAGACCGACACCGAATTATCCCTTCAACAGCATTTAGATCTCGCTCCAGATCTTCTACAGTATAATCGTCTGGCTGTAGACGCCGAATCAGAAATACCGTTGACGATGGCGGCACAGCCCGTGCCTCATCCGTCGACGGATAAGAAACGTGTCAAAGTGTACGAGCTGCGCAACAACGACTGGTTTGATCGCGGTACAGGTTTTTGCACAGCTGCTCTTAGTATTGTACGTGCTTCTTTAGCTTGCGACACGCCTTGCGCGACAGCTACTCCTCCCTCGAATCGTCTAGCTTCCTTGCTGGCAATGCTCCTTTTTGCTAACGTGGAGATGACTATCGCCTTCAGTCGGAAGATGGCCACCAAAGAGATCCACGAGTAATTGTCGAGTCCGAAGACCAGCCGGATCGCGTATTGCTCGAGACGAGAATTTGCAAGGAAGATGGCTTCCATAAGCAGCAGGGTATGCCAATGGCTCAACCAATAAAACTACCTCTTTGAGGTGCACGATCGATTATTAACAGTCATCTCTTTAGAAACCTTGATTGTCTGGACTGAACCTACCAATGGCGTTGATATGGCTCTTAGCTTCCAGGAAGCTGAGGGTTGCGCCATGATATGGTATGATTAACTATCTGCACCGATTTATCTACCTAATGGAAAGAAGAACAAACAATTGACTAAATATGTTGCAGGAAGTTCATCAATAGCATCCAGCAACAATATCAGCCTGTTAATGCGCAAGGTGTGTACAACGTGGTTGGCCTCTATAAATCAACAAACCGCTAATCTAGTCTCGCGTAGATGATAGTCTATCCGATGACCTGGCCATGGAAGGCATTAATCCGATTTCTCTCCCGCCGGCTTCGATGGCAAACCTTGCCGAAATAGAATCGCAAATGCGTGGACTTAGTACAACAGTTAACGGACGCGATGCCCTTACCAAGTATGTTCTGGCGGAAGATTACATCGGCAAGCTAATCCCCCTTGTTTCTGTTGCGGAGGACCTCGAAAGTCTCAACGATTTACATCGACTTTGCAACATCATGAAAATTATCATTCTTCTCAACGACACAAGCATCATCGAGCACGCCGTATCGGACGAGAGCGTAATCGGTGTTGTTGGTGCGTTGGAATATGACCCGGATTTTCCGAGCCATAAGGCCAACCATCGTCAATGGTTGGAAGGAGAAGGCCGCTTTAAGGAGGTCGTGCGAATTGAGGATACCCAAATACTCAAGAAAATACACCAAACCTATCGGCTTCAATATTTAAAGGACGTAGTCCTGGCGCGCATTCTGGATGACAACACATTCTCGGTCTTGAACTCGCTCATTTTCTTCAATCAGGTCGATATCGTCCAACATCTTCAGTCAAATTCGGCTTTCCTCGCTGAGCTATTTCACATATTCAAATCCGCCCAAGCCGAGCCTAGGCGTAAGAAAGAAGCAGTGCTATTCATACAACAATGTTGCGCCATCGCGAAAAACTTGCAGCCGCCAGCCCGCCAGGCTCTTTATAACAACTTTCTCGCTAATGGTCTTCTTCAAGTTATTAATTTCGGCTTGCGACATGGTGATGTAGCTGTGCGAGTCGGCGCTACTGACATCCTCGTTTCTATGATCGACCACGACCCGCAGATGATAAGATCTATGATCTATCGACAACTTCAGGAAAAACAGCTACCCTTGACCGACTCGCTTATTGACTTGCTCTTGGTCGAAGTTGATTTGGGTGTTCAGTCGCAGATATCCGATGCTCTAAAGGTGCTCCTTGACCAGGGTCCGCCGGTACAGCAGGAGACGTTTACGAAAGCCAACGGCGAGTACGGAGTTCGACCTGCGTCTAGGATACCGCCCAACGCGGACCCGCAGCAGGATAACTTCCTAAACACCTTCTATGAGAAATCGGCTTCAAGACTGTTTCAACCCTTAATAAACTTGGAGGGTCGGACAAAGATGGAATTTTCTGTCCAGCAGGGTTCCATCTTCACCTACCTGATCGAAATACTCTGCTTTTTTATCCGTCAGCATCAACATCGCAGCAAATTCTTCGTCTTGAATAACGATATCGTTTCCCGCATCAGTCAACTCCTTAGCTGCCCGGAGAAGTTCTTAAAACTGAGTGAGTTTCTTAAGATTTGGAAGTTTGGTCTGGGGGTGCTGACTTCCCTCTAGTTGCTATCCGATTCCTACGACAGCTTATTGGCTTACAAGACGAATTCTACGTTAAGCATGTCTCGGAGAAGAAGGTTATTGGTCCGGTTCTCGACGTTCTCATCGAAACGATGCCAAGGGATAACCTGCTTAGCTCCGCATGCTTGGAATTCTTCGAATTTATTCGAAAAGAAAACATCAAGGATTTGGTCAAGCATATCGTTGAGAACTACCGAGATAAAGTTCAAAAGCTCGCCTACTTGGATCTCTTTAGGACATTAATCGTGCGGTATGACCAAACAGGGGGGTTCAGCGCCAATATGGACTACTACATAGAAGTGGATGATGAGCCAAGAAGACGGCCAAATATAATCAACCCTAAGACCGGGGCACTAATGGAACACATCGCCATAGACCAGGCTGAGGAAGAGTATTGGAACACTTCTGATGACGAAGAGGACATGCAAGCGAAGCCGGGAAATCGGCCATCATCCGCAAATGGAGATTCTAATGCAAAACCCTTGGTCGACTATGCTTCCGATGAGGAAGGCGATGAGAACATGGATGCTGGGGCGCTATCCACCGACGAAGAGAGAGAAGATGATGGTGCTAAGAGAACAGATGAGAATCCTGGAGATGTTGCACCTCCGCCCGAACGCTTGTCCGAGAAACGCCGACGTGAGGAAGACGAGGAAGACGACCTGAGTAAGATGGTCCAACACAAACGACGCAATAGCTCTACGGCGAGCTCCAACACGTCAGGTGTATCAGGAGTTCTCCGCAAGAAGAAGAGTATCCCTGGTGCTAGGGATGCGGGTGGTGGATCGAAGAAGAAGATCGCTATCAGTCTCTCTCCGAACCTAAAAGGCAATACCGGACAAGACGAAGGTCGGACGGACGATGAGATATAATAAGGTCAATCAATAATCTACTATTTTCTTCTCTGGACCTCATTTCTACCTAGCATGATTTGGTTTCGGTACATCAGTGATGACAAGGAAAGGCGGCCGGCGTTTGGCGAGAGGGATCTTTTCGACCCTGTGTCTAATAGGAAATAGAGCCTAGATGCTAGGACAAAGGGGGAATTTAGGGTCTGTTCGAACATAAGGACAGAACTTCGTAGCATGCGGTCCCATAGAAGTTGGGGTCGGCTCTGTTCCGAAGGTTCTGCGACGGAAAGTGTATATTGTAGTCTCCGATAACTACAGGCCTGGAGAATGTCATGTCACTGTATTACTATTATGAGTTTACCCTGGCGAAATCAACTCTAGCGTCTATTGGTACGCGGGCGGAAAATTGAAATCAGGGAATAGCACAAATATAACCATGATTGTAACAATAGTCATGTAATTTCCCATCTCTAAAAAAAAGTTTCTCTCTATGATGGTCTAGCTACTATCTAGAATCATTAGATGCGATCCCATTTTTTAGGAGACTCCAAAAAGGGAGAAGGTCGCTAATTATCAGGCACATGGTATTTTAATTTATAGCTTTGAGCCCGACTCCTCATCGGGCGACGAGATTTCTATGACGAGTTTGCCAAACTGCTTGCCGTGCCTTATATCGTCGAAAAGGCCGTCGACGGCCTGCAGGTTATCGAGCCCCTTGACGACGCGGCTCACGACGGGGCGGATCTGGTGCTTGCGGACGAACTCGACCATGTCGCGGAACTCGGCGCGCGAGCCCATGGTGGTCCCGCGCAGCTCGATGTTCTTCATGACGGCCTGCATGAGCCAGTCCATCTTGGGCCCGGCCGTCATCCCGTAGATGGAGATCACGCCCCCGGCCCGCAGCAGCCGCACCGTCCTCGCCACCACGTCCCCGCCCGCCCCGTCCACCACCACGTCCAGGTACGGCCGCTCCCGCGGCAGCTGCGCCGCCAGCTGCTTGTCCCACGCGGCGTCCGTGTAGCACACCCCGCCCCGGGCGCCGAGCGCGCGCGCCCGCTCCAGCTTCGCCGCCGAGCTCGACGTCACGTACACGTTGCACCCCAGCGCGACGCCGAACTGCAGCGCGCTGAGCGCCACGCCCCCGCCGATGCCGGTGACGAGGACGTTCCGGCCCGCGACGCTGTCGGCGGACGACGAGATGGCCCCGCTGCCGAACCCCTTCGTGACCAGGGCCCGCCACGCCGTCAGCCCGACGAGCGGCAGGGCGGCGGCCTCGGGCGCGGACAGGTGGGCGGGGGCGAGCTCGAGCTCGTCGGCGGGGACGACGGCGAAGTCCTGGCCGGCGCCGGCGGGGTACAGGGCCGCGCCGCCGATGACGCTGAACCTAGCCGGGTCCTCGGGGCCGTCGGGGGCGGCGAGCCAGCCGCGGGAGGGGGTCAGGATGACTTTCTTGCCGAGGAGGTGCTGGGCGTCGGGGCCGGGGCCGGCTTCCACGACGGTGCCGAAGCCGTCGGATAGCAGCGGGTTGGCGAAGGATATCCCCGGGTACAGGTGCTGCCGGATGAACAGGTCGCGGTGGTTGAGGGCCGCGGTGTGGATCCGGATGAGGACCTCGTTGGGTCCTGGTTTGGGCTTGGGGACTTCGACGATTTGGAGGCTGGGAGAGAGGGGGGGAGGTGTTTAGTTTGAGTTGGTTTGGGTTGGTGGTGGTGTTGGGAGGTAAGGGGGGGAAAGGGGGGATGCTCACGGGTAGTACACCTGGCCAGGCTTGCCGTCGACCTTTTTGATGGTGAGAGCTTGGGGCATTTTCTCGGTTATGTGATTACAATGGTCGCTACTGCTATAGACGCTACGGGAAAAAAAAGAGGAAAAAGAAAAAGAAAAAAACGTTACGTCAATGTAAGGGGCGGTATTATCAAGAATACCAGATAGGTTGACACACGATTTATAAGTAAGCTATAGCCTGTAAGGGGGTTTATAAAGTTGGAGTTATCTGGGGTAAATATGATAATAGTGCGTCTAAAAGGGTTAAGGACTTGCTGCATTCTAACTGGTCTAATTTGCCAGCTCTACAACGTCATGTACAGAATTGGACTAATCTTTCCCCGCGGGGGTGCTACCTATACTGTAAAAGAAACCTCGGTACTGCAGGTGCCTACAGAAGTAGCCTAGGTATAAATGAATAGCCGCGAGTATATGTGCAATTGCAGCGACCTCATACCAAGGTTAAGTGCCTAAGACATGTACGTTCGTGTGTGTATGTGTGTGTATATTCCTGTGGGGCAAATTAAGGTTATTTCAGATTTCAGTACAGTTGACAAGTGCTTTCTATAGTAAGAATTCTCTTCCCCATCCTACCTCCCTTTAGCGGGTGATGCACCTGCTCTATATATCAAACTTGTTTGACATTGGAAGGAAAGAGGTAATGAGAAAGTGAATAGGAAACTCCCTTCGAGCATGTATAATTGCTTTTCTCTCATGTAAACTAAAAACTCATCCTTCTAATCAACATAGAGAGATCACTGCTCATATCCTAGACCTTGCGTTCGACTCCAGATGCTTGAACTCTGCTAAAGCATGATAGTTCATACCGTGGCATTGTCCTCATTTTTGCTGCCAAGACTTCTTTCTCATTGTTCTATTCCTGGAAGTATGCTAAAACGTGTCAAGCTTGGGGTTTTCTTTTGTCTTTTTTCTTTTTTCTTTTTTTTTCTTTTAATGCGACCACGCTGAGCACGTGTACTATGTATCCTGCAATATCAACCACGATTTCCAAGTCCTTGGGATTGTTAGTTCGGCTCTAAGGTTGCATAATCGTTGATTCGGCGTTGAGGTCCACTCACTTCGGCGAGGCGCACGGACAAGATTCATGGTAGATCCCCGATATCTACCCCTTAGCTTTTCAGTGGTCGCCGTTTAGTTTACCCTTTTACTAGGTACTTACGACATGTATTCTTTCAAGATTCTTCAAGGTACGTGCATACATAGGTACCTAGTAGAGCTGATCAGCCTTGAGGAAGGGGAAAAAAAAAAAAAAAATTCCGGATTCTCGTACTAAAATCTTAGCTTAGCGTTTCACAATAACGTTCTCGAAACATGTATCAAATAATTCGCGGAGGATTTCGAAGTCATGTAGAAGCTCCCCGCGTGTAACCATCCGCTCACCTCCTTGCCTATAACGTGCCATCCTCCAGTCCTAAAGGGGGACATAAGACTTATCAACTGATAGCATTTAGGGAGGTAACTTCACTACCTAATCCAGTTACGACATCTATACGAAAATACCAGGAGAGGTCAATATAACACTAATATGACATTGAATTATATGCTAGTATGGCAACATGGCAATATAGCAACATGGCAGGCAGCATGGCATAAATGCTGCTACACTAGCGTCGCCGACCGTTGAAAACTCAATATGGGACCTGTGTAGCGGGAGGGACATGGATGAGGAAAAGTTTAATTCGGTTACCATATGCTTGGGTACCCATCTCTTCTTCAGTTGCGGGTCCTTTTTCTAGGATACCTAGATTAAACGGGGAATGGTCTTTGATGAAAACAAAGCTTCGATGGATTCGGGTCGCCGACTAACTATACAATATGACTCGAGTATAATATCATCCCACAGAGGTTTTAATTTTAAACTCGCCGCTGACGATTCCTCACACACCCCTTCCAGCTATTCATAGTTGTCTATCTATCTGCTTGTCTGTCTGTCCGTCTGTCCGTTCGTCTCCTATCAAAGACGCCACACCCCAGTTATCCGGGAATATGTCTAAACCTTTCATATCTGGGGTCGCCTTTGGGGCTGCTCTAACCGCAACGGCCATTTACGAACCGGGTGTCATCATCGGGCAAATGACCTTCCAGAACTGGCATATGGTCCTCACGTTCCTGACAGCTTCTGGTACCAGCACGTAAGATTACTTTCCATCATGGTCCAAAATCACGTTTTTATTCTTGCTTAAGAATGTGGAGCAAGAAACGACTGACCACCGAAACAGTCTCCTCGTCAACGCGCTGCAACGACTAGGTTATATCCACCTGAACCCGCGAGAGTACTCGACAATCGGCATATTTAGTGTTCTCGATGGGAATATACTAGGGGGGTTACTTTTAGGTGCCGGCTTGACCATATCTGGATCCTGCCCAGGGACTGTCTTTGCGCAGGTAGGGACTGGTATTCGTTCTGGCCTCTATACACTCGGTGGTGGGATACTTGGTGGTATAATATGGTCCGGCTTCCTGAGGTCGGCTCTTCGTGGTCAGGCGAAGTCGAGTACAAAGACACTAGACGGAAAAAGGTACCCTTTAACTCTAGACGAGTGGACAGGTACAAGTCGCCTGGGTACGATTATTGTCATGGAGGCCTTGTTTGCGAGTGCCGCTGCAACAATAGCCTATCTTGCTTCCCCAAAATCAGGTGGACTAGTGGATCCAGTCACAGGTGGTATCTTGGTTGCGGGTGCCCAAATGGTTTCCATCGTGACACGAAAGTCTCTACTGGGAACTTCAAGCTCCTTCGAGGAGGTCGGCGACTATTTTTGGTGGACATTGGGGCAGAGGAACAAGCCGAAGTCGTACAGTGCAATCGCACTCACTACAGGTATGATAGTAGGGGCGCTAGCCGTTTCTTTGGCATTACCATCGGCGCGGGTGGCACCCGATATCACCATTGAGCCCACTAGAGCAATTCTTGGTGGAGTGCTTCTCGCAGTCGGATCAAGGATGGCAGGCGGCTGCACGTCCGGTCACGGAATTTCCGGCATGTCGCTTCACTCGGTTTCCAGCTTTGTCACTGTGGCTGCTATGTTCGTCGGAGGAGCGGGCATCGCCGCGATCATAGAGTAGCCCAAACCATTCAATAGCCGTGTCCATCCGTAATGGTCGTGTTCTCTCCGCGGACGGGTCTTCCCGTCCGGATGCTCGAAACAGGGTACCCGAGAAAGTAGCAGCTTTCGTTATGCATATGGGTGGCAATAATTTCTCCGAGCTCTATTCCCGGCTACCACGCTCTTGATCATCGGTGATAGCCAAGTGGATGATGCAATTCACATATCCCCAGAAAGCAACCAAGTTAATCTACTGAAGCTAGGGTATGATTCATCTAGAAGAAGGGTAAAGGGGTTAGTACCTAGTACTACAGCGAGTACCTGCTTAAGAAACCCCGAACGTCAAGCAGAACGGCGTAGCTCACGTGGGATTTTCGACGTACTATGGTTAACGGGAATCATAGAGATGCAAACTGAAAGAGATCAGCAGTACTCGCAGAACGACGACCGACCAAAGATGGGATATCACGAAGGAATGCATGTGAAGTATGTAGTTGGGCGATAATACTTCAGCCCGTGAAGGCCGGGTCGGCGACTGAATATATTTATAGGCCATAGGCTTCAATTTTGGATACATACTTTCTCTGTGTCGCCGTGCGACGTTGGTCTCCGGAGTTGCTACCAATAGAGGAGCTTCTGCGTAGTAGTATTGCGCGGGATTGGGGGGAAAGGAAGCGGGGATAGTAAGCCATACATACCTACCTTATAGTGATGTCTCGGCTATTCTATACCGGGCCACTTATATCCCCCCTTTCCATTATCCCAATGCCTCAGTTGGTATGATTCCTTGGTGCTTCTCTTATATATATTGGATACACATGGGCAGATGCTGTTCGCTCATATGTTGCACTACCTTTGGAATATAGGTGACGTATTTTCCTCTTTCATGGCCTCGGTATATTTCTAAGTTGCATACTTGGAGTTGGTTTTCATAGTACCATCGGCAGTTTTGAGGTGCATATAGGTAGTCTACCTCTCACATATATCCCTACTACTACTTCGCCGCACGCATCCGAAACACTTCGCTCTCCCACATACGTTTTCCTCGCCGACAACCATTGTATATTAATGTCGCCGGGGCAAATTCACAACAACGTTCGGCCCGCAACCGCACTTCCCCTTCCCACCATTAATAGCCCATCACCACTACTACCCAATCCTTCGGCTGATTGACCGCTACTTTCGACGTTCTCTCTCACTCTCTCTGCACGCCATATATCAATACCAAGAAGAAGATAATCTATTCCTGCGTGCCGTTCACGGGTTATGCGTTAGGCGTCACCGACCCGTGCAGATTTTGTTACTTACTTACTTGCTTACCTACATTACAAGTTTTTTTTTGATCTACCCCCTGCGTATGCGGGCGTATATATCTTAGGTAAGTCAGGTACGCACAGTAAAGCAACGCTAGCTCGTGGATGATAGACTTCAGATAGGAGGTAGGTATCTTGCTGAAGAATAATTTCACATATGCCTACCAGGTACCTAAGGTACTAACCTGGGTAAGATACTTATATGTTTATACGTTCATCTGTCTTCTGTACGGTTAAACCTCACCGATCTTACCTACCTACCCTGTCCTTCTTCACCCTCCCCCCCCTTTTTTTTTCACTCAAACCTTAGCTACCTGCTCAGCGCACAAAAAAAAAAAGAAAAAAATAAAAAGAAAAATAAAAAATCGTCGTGTCAAGCTTCCGATCTTGTGATGTACTCCGTATGCGGGATCACCGATGATCCACGTGTCCAATAGGACTAACTACCTACCTTACATACAATATAATACAATGTATACCTACCTCCTCGGTACCTACCTCTAATATATACCTCATACTTACGGTAAGTACTTCCTAGGTGCGCAGCGCAGCACAGCCGTACCTTGGCCTGCATAATATAGCCGTCGCGTACGTAGGTGAGGTAGGAATGCAGGATTTTGACAAACGGCACATAGAAGGACCTGAATATTAGGTTAGGTACATACAATACCTACCTGGGAAGACGAGTAGTAGAGTTATGTGAGTAGGTAGGTACCTAGTAGGCTCGGCATAAATATAATAACGCCATGAATGGGGCACACGCATAGCACACGCACACACACGTAAAAGACGAAAGAAATATATGAAATGCCAAATTGGCAATGGTGCATGTATGTGTACTGTACAATTCATTACGCGAAGAATCTAAAAAAAACAACAACGTATGTGTGTCTAGGTAGGTAAGCTATCTAGACACAGCGGCTTGGGCTATCGGGTTATCTCGACAAGGCGATACGATACCACCACGCACAGTATTGTCTTTGTCAAAGCACATTTCCTTTCCCCTTTTAAGAAATACCGTTGTCGTGGATGCCAAGTTAAGGGGGGAAAGCCAACGACCTTACAGGGTTTTACCTTTTGCCCTCGAGATGGCGCGCAGTATGGGTTGAGCAACCTAAGCGGACTAACCATGGGTAAGAGGTCAAAAGTTCCGGACCGAGGGGCTTGACGAAAAGGGGGTTTTGGCTAGATTGTCTTGTTGACTTAAGACAATTGGGCGGGTGGGTGGATTTGTTTTGTTAATATTTTGTCGTAAAATAAGGAAATCGATTCGATGTCCATGGCATATCATTTGAGGATACAACGAATAGCATATGACTTGACTTGTATGAGGCAAGCCTTGTTTCCTGCAAATTGGTGGACTGTAATGGGCGTGATGTTGGCAATCTCACGCCTATTTTGCATACCTGTTACTGGAGAGCCTAGTAGTTTAATTCACCGCCGCCTCCACCTGCGACGTGGTCAAGGTCTTCGTAGCTCTTGAGACTGCGACCCTGAACGGCCTCACGAGGACCGACGGCCGCTCCTCCTGCGGCACCATCACCCCAACGACCGGCACCGCCTCTACCGCGGCCTGCACCCTGTCCATCCTGACTCCAACGTCCTTGCTGCTGACGTCTGTCGTACGGACCGGTGCGGTTCTGGAATCGTCCAGAGTTGGCACCGCCACGACGGATAGGGCCGGCGCTACGTTCCTCACCTCCTGCAGTCCACCCGGGAGCCTGGACATTATTATTTCCCGTGAAGAGCGGAGGCATACCAGGCAGGCTGGGGAAGCCAGGGAATTGAGGGACCATATTGTTCATGGTGAAGTTTTGCAAGTTAAATCCGCGGGGGGTGCCCTGCTGCGTTTGGCCATTAGAAGGCGGGAAATGGCCATTACTATTGGCATCGGTTCGCGAAGGCGCAATGTGCGCGGGATCAAGCACGTATGCGTTGATTAGATCAAACTAGATTTACTGTTAGCTGTTGTTTACTCATCACCCCCATAGTGTATAATTTTACCTCTTGCTTCATCATATCTAACCAATCAGCGTGACGCTTTTCCACGTGCTTCTTCCAGAAATGCTCCTCTTTGAAAAGTTTCGTGCACTCAGGTACCTTACACCTCCACTTATGCTCATCTTCCTGCTTAACAAATTTGGAGAGCTCGTCATTGAGAGCATCCTCGGTGGGTTTACCGCCGAGTTTACGAATGTCTACTGACTCGGGCTCGAGAATTTGCATAATCTTGTCTTCAAACGTCTTAACCCACTTATACGCACGTTCGAGCTGCTGCTCAGTTTTAGAAGATGCGTTACGGAATTTGCGATCAGGCTCAGGTGCCTCGCCCTCTTCCTCCTCCTCCTTTGAATCCTTGGACTTCTTAGAAGGAAATGGTTCTCCACTAGCACTGGCGCGTGCGACATTCTTAGCGGCGGACGAGAGTGTGCTTCGGGGTCGACGAAGGTGACCGCCGGGACACTTTCGTGTCAATTCGTGAATAGAGTCGCTCTCAAAAACACAAAAGAAACAAAAGTTAAACACTCGGCGAAGGTACTCAATCATGAGATCGAGTTGCTTCTTCTTTACCAGAATGTCTTCGTCGTCCACTTCGTCATCTATAGCACCCTCTTCGTCAGATTCGCCCATTTCACCTTCTTCGCCATCGTCCATTGCCTCATCAAAGTCAAGGTTACGATCTTTCTTAACCTTTTTTGTTGTCGGTGACGATATAGCCGGCTGCAAACTTCCCGCACTGCGTAAAGCCTCAACTCTTTCTTCAATTTTGAGAGTAGCATTGAAATCTGAACCAAAATCCTCCTCGAACTTATTGACAAGTCGCTGAGCAAGGCCGAGATCTTTTTCGATCCGCTCAGGAGCAGAAAAGAGATCCCACAAGGCCTTCTTGCGAGGATTACTTGGGGGATTGTGGACGCCCACGTGACACACAAAATCACCACGGACCTCGTCCTTGACAGTCTTGCCATTAATAGCCTCGAGGGCCTTCTCGGCTGTTGTGGTAGCTACGGGTGATTCGACCTTCATCTCGTCATCCTCATCTTTCGGGTCCGCCCTTTCAACAGGTGCCGCCGTTTCAGACGAAGGATGTAGCATTACCCAACCCATACGATGGTATCTCTTGCTAGGATTTGGATCGCTGAGGGATAGCCACTTGAATCCACCCTCCTCTTCTCCAAGGTGCTCTTTGCAGAAGGTCTCCAGATTTTGGCGGCTAACATGAGGAGCAATCGTCTTGATGAGGAGAGTAGGCTGGTATAAGTTTTCGTCCCTAAGGTCGCTGCCATTTGCAGGAACGAGGTCACCAACTCCTAGGACCTCGTTTGCTGCAGTTGCTTCGCCCTCTTCTTTTTCGACGACCCCACCAGCCCCGTTGCTTTCGCTCTTGGGAATTCCTTCTAGAGAAAACTCATCGAATGTGCCTGACTCCAAGTCCTGCTCCCATTGACTATATGCACCACGCCGAAACTCGTTGATCTGCTTGCGCAAGCCATCTCGAACTTCGGGGACATAACGTTCGCGAAACCATTGCTCTTTTTTGTGCTCGGCTACAAAAGCTCTGGCCATCTTGGCTTGAAGCTCCTCTTTATACGCGTCATAGGCGGCCTGGATCCTGGCCTTTTCTTTATCACGATCTTCTTGCGTATCTCTGCGAGGTCGTTCAGGCTCGCGTCTTCGACCAGTTCGGGAGCGCTCCTTCTCCTCCTTAATCTTCTCATTGGCTCGCCACCATTCACCAAAGTAAGAGAACCCAACCTGGAAAGGCAATTTGACAGGATCTGTCAACGGGTTGACGGTAGGTTGGGGTGGTTGAGGGCCTCCTCCTTGGCCCGGAACGTAGCGATCAATGTTCGCAGGAGGCGAGTTGATTCGCCTCCTGTCATCTCGATCACGAGCGCCGACATAATCATCTCGACCACGTCCTCTCGGTTCGTAGCGGTCGACGGGAGGTGGGGAGCGCGATCGGTTACGTCGGCTACGATCGTGGCCTATTACTGTTAGTCCTACTTCGAAGCTATACGAGTTAAAGAAGATGCCATTTAATATAGCATATATGATCAAAACATGGTATAATTCAAATAGCGCGTAATATAGCACAGGCGAGAAAAGCCAGAAAGTAATCGTGAACGCACCAGGTGAACGACCACGGTAGAAACTGTCGCGAGGCTCGTCTTTGACGCGATCGTCGCGGCTACTCCAACCGCGATCGGGCGGTGTGCGACCGGAAGCATCACGATACGTGTACGAGTCCATCTTGTCTACTTAGTGCGGGACAATTGGCATTGACACTTTCTCGATCTAATGGTTCTCGGGTCGGCGGTACCTATTTTAAGGGGCTCCTTGTTGCTCTTTAATAATGCGAAAAGGCGGGTGGCCTATATGCAGGTCTTGTATAGGTGGTAATTTGTCGGGGTTTAGGTGATACCGATTGCTTGTATTTGAAATTGGACCTGTTCCCTATTGTTTGACGAGGCGATTGCCGTTAGAGAAACCATTTTGATAATGTTTGGGATGAGCAATGAGAAGAATAGAAGGCATTGGTCTGGTAAGATCATGAGAGACAATGTTTATCGGCAAGCCAAATTGAGAAGCTGAGCATGGGCAGGAGCATGAGCTCTGCAATAAGCAAACCGAAAATAAAGGGGGAGCAAGGAAGACATAAAAAGTTTGTTCACGGCTTTTGGAAGGTGGACATGGAAAAAGCGGAATGATGGTAAGAGGAAAGATTTAGGTTCGACCAAGGTGTGTACAGGTTTCTAAAGTCTAAAGGGGGGAAGAGATCGTGAGGAAAATGGGAGGGGATAATAATGGGAGTGCTAGAAAGGCTATTTTGATAAGAAGGAATTTGGTGAGAAAAAAGGATTGACGAACTGTGTGAGTGACGATGGCGGGATGATTTCCTGAGGGCGCGATGTCCCAAGCTGGATATCCGCTGATAGTTTGTAAAGGGAAGAAGAAGATGATGGGAGGTTTGGTCGATCGTCGGGGGACCAACCAAAACTACCCGACCAACTAACTAACAATAGGGCGGATGTGGCTAAAATCCCGACAGAATGCGGCAAACTCAGTTGAATGCCGACAATGAAAGCGCGTCACGAAAGGAATTAGTCATCAACTGTGGCGCGTGGTGCGTGTGCCAAACGTCTTAGGTACTAGGTACTAGATATACGTAAGCTGCCAAGTTGTAACAAACGGGGGATTGAGTGTGCCGTTGGCATTCAGCTAACTTTACCTAAGGTTAGTTGGTAGTGGGACGCCGTTGTGTGATGAATTATTATCTAACGGCGAACCATGGAATATGCGACGAAAACAATGATTGCTGCATTAACGCCGCGTCTGTAAAATTGTATTGGCGGTGTATCTTTATTGCCATCAATATATCAGGTACCTCGTATTGGATATCTGAATATGCCTCGTATATAATCATATTTGCCATAATAACGAGTCTAATAACACAAAGACAGCCCAAGTAACAATACCGATTCAAAGATATCAAGAAGAGAACAAATCGGCGTTAAGAAACTCTGCATTAGCTTTTTACACTATCGTCCATCGTCCATATGCAACCCTAAATTTAGACAGGGTTAATAAAGCTTGTACTAGGAAAGAGACCCGCCCTAACACAAGTGCCCGACGTAATCGTAACTTGGTGGAACGACGGGATTGAAGATGACACGAATATATCTTTAGATCCTTACTTAGACGTGCACCACCTAGTTAATACCTTAATAGATACGAGCGATATTAAGCTTGCCGACAAGATCTTGAATATCAAGTAGCTAACCTAGCACTTCCTTTCAAGATGACGGCGTACATCTCTCGTCTCAACGCCATACCGTACGATGTATTCGGGAATCCCGCAGCCTCAATACTGCTGCCCATTGCGCTCGGCACGACGGTAGGCTTCAGCTCTCGACGTACGTTCTTCTTCTTCTCCCCCCTCCCAGTTGCCGGCTTATCCAGACCTATAGGCACAACCGCTGACAGACCCTGCACACAGCGAGAAAAACGCAGACTACATACGTCATGATGAAGCAACCCCCCTTACGTCCTCCACCGCAGGTCTTCGGCCCCGTGTGGACGGTGCTCTACGGGCTGATGGGCTACGCAGCTCACCGCGTCGTAACGCGGTCCCCGCCCCCCTCGGTCTCCACGGACGACGTGCGCGCTCTGTATTCCGTCCAGCTCGGCTTGAACCTACTGTGGATGCCCCTGTTCTTCGGGCTGCGGAAGCCCGTTCTGGCCTTGGCGGATATTGTGTCGCTCATCGGGATTAACGGTTATCTGACCTATCTGTACTTCTCGGTTGATAGCATAGCGGGTTGGTGCCAAGTGCCGTACATGGCGTGGCTCGGCTTTGCGACGTATCTAACTGCGGGCGTTGGGTACTTGAACAATTGGGATATATCCGAATCGGCATTGGCGAAGAGGGCACAGTGAAGGAAGACTGCATGTGTTTTGAGTCGCTCGAGGCCAGTCTTTACAAGTCATGTTTTGGGACCTGGAACTTGACTTATCCTCTCTGATAAGACATTTTGCTATGTTACATGCGAAATATAGTAGGCGACGCTCAATAACAGATCCATGAAATTGACTATGAATTATGACGCCTAAAACGCCGGTACCTCTACGTCCGCTCCGTCTATACCTTCTCTATCACACGCCCGTATACATTGATACATCGCCAAAATATCATTTGAACCAAGATTCACATGGGAAAATACCGCTTTAGGCCATCGAATACTATAAAGATGAATGCCGAACTGGGTGCTGATCGTAACACCGTTATACCGCATCCGCGGTATAGTCCACGTAGCCCGTGTTGATTCCATAAAGCCTTACCCTCTTGCCAGAATGTCTTAGGCTGAGTAGAACGGCCAACTGGGGCGGTCTGCATGCGGGACTTCACGGTGTCGGCAGGGAAGAACAGAAAATTATAGGACATACCCGCGGAGGCGCCAGCAACAGCTTGTTGCCACAACGGCAACGCCTCCGTAGCCAAAGCATCCTCTGCTTGCGGCGATGCGGATCGCTCATTAAGCATATAAAACATTTTTGTTGTAGTCTCTTTCGAACCGAACCAGGCTGCGCAGCCGCCAGACTCCCGGAGAAATGTACCCATTTGGCCGCGCCAGAAACCCCTTACGCCTTCGTGCTTATACACGTCTCGGATAACCGACATGATACTGGGGGGCTTCGGCGCTGCCCCATCCGCACTAGTCGATGTGGGCACCTGGATCTTGCATTTGACAAGCTCGATGGGCGTCAGGACGAAAGAGGTCAAAGCTCCAGAAAAGGCGCCGGTGAACCACAGCGCCGAAAGCGGAAGTACTTTGTCGCGCGAGAATTGCCCCGACGCGTACACCAACTCGCGGCCTATGCGCTCGAAGAAGAAGAGGCTGCTCGTCTCAGCCGCGGCTCCGAAAAGCGGCGCACTTATCCCACGATATAGCCCCAGGAAGCCATCGGCTTTTATAGACTGCCGAAAGCAGTCGAGCGGACCAGTATAGCGAAGAGGGACATGGTCGGGCTGGGACTGCAACCTGACCTTGACGGTGTCGAAGGGATATTCAATATATTTGCCTACAATGCCAGCAGTCTAACAATTTCATTTTGTTAGAGCGCTCTGAAAAACAGGATGAGTGTTGTTGAGCAAATAACTCACAGATCCGTAAACAATATCTTCTACGGCTTCCAGTAGAGCCGACCTTCCGTGAGCAGCAGCCTGCGAGGGTTTCGCCGCCAATGTCTCTACTTCCGTGCTTGCCATATTTCCAGCGTGAAGATTCCAAAGGGGGGTGGGAGAGGCGCAAGAGGTGGCAAACGCTTAGCCGGAATCCCGGGGACAGCCTTTGAAACCACGGAAGGCAAACTAAATAGCTGGAAATGGGACAGTCACATATAATAGAAGCAGATGGGAGTGACGAAACCCAAGCCCGAGTTTATTGCTAGAACATATCGATATTATTGTCACGGGCGAGAGTGGTGAAGTGGAGCTAGTTTGCGCTCGGCCGCGCTTTTTTTTTCCCTCTCTGTTATAAACCGTAGACGCGGGACACAAGAGTGACCGCTTGTCCTAAGTGGGTGCAAATGCCATGATTAAAGTAGTGCCTATCGGACTATTTCGGCGACTAGGTAAGAGAAATAAAACAAAAATATGAGAGCGTTTTAAAAGTGGGTGAAAGCGAATTGAACTGCCTAATTGAAAATCATTATGTACAAGAAGTTGGAGGTTCCGAGAAGTCTTCGCTCGGTGTAAGTGTGTTGGAACTTGGAACAACGTCGTATGCAGTAGGCAAGCCGTGTGAATTGTATTTTCAGAAAGGTTTGCAATGCTATAAATCCAAATAAAAGGTAAATAAATTCGTAAGCAAAGTTACTTTTACGTGCAGAGCTACCTCTACATCATGGAGCTTAAAGGTACGCATCGGGCATTTTTTTAGGTAGTACCGGGGAGGGGCTGACAGGTGGCAAGTGAAACAAACTCTAAGTACGCGCAGCTGTTTTCACTTGTTGATTACCTAGTCAAAGCGCGACTGTATACCTTAACGTATAAACAAATTAATCCACTCTTTTTCGTGTCATTCCTAGATACCAAGTCTACATCAGCCAATGAAGCAGATGGTAAACATTCTTATAAGTTATGACCATACCATGTATATAAGGAAATACGACGATGGCGAAGGATAAGAAATCCAAATCGGAGTCCAAGAAGGCAAAGCTCGCCGAAAAGAAGCAGAAGCAGGAAAAGAAGGCCCAGAAGAAGGAAAAGGTTAAGGCATCCAAGGTCGAAGGAAGCGATGCCGAGGATGTCGATCTAGATGCGGTCCTTGCCGAATATAAGAAAGCTCAAGAGGAATTTGTAAAGGTCACAGAGACTGTCTCTGAATCGCCCCCTAAGCCACGGTCGTCCGCGACCTTCCTAGCTTCCCCTTCGAATAGCAACCAGCTGTTATTATTTGGCGGAGAAACGTGGAACGGAGCCCTCGCGAGTTTCTTCAATGACCTCAATATCTACTATACAGATAGAGATGAATGGCATTGTGTTACATCACCAAATGCTCCCCTTCCCCGGTCTGGCCATGCTTGGTGTAGAGGAGGAAACCAAAAAGACTCGGTTTTCTTATTTGGAGGAGAGTTCAGCAGGTTCGTCGTACAATAGCGTCGTGTCTTACAAAAGCGTTGTCGTCAATAAAATCTCATATTAACCTTACATAACCCGTATAGTCCCAAGCAAGGTACATTTTATCATTACAACGACTTCTGGAGACTCGAGCCCAGTACCCGGGAATGGACACGTATAGAAAGCAAGGGCAAGACACCCCCAGCGAGGAGTGGCCATCGTATGACTTATTATAAGAATTACATTATCCTTTTCGGCGGTATGTATTTGACTACCGTGTATGAATATCACATTTGAAATATTATACTAATATGCAGTTGAAGGCTTCCAAGATACTTCCAATCAAACAAAGTATCTAGGCGATCTTTGGCTTTATGACACTCAGGTTAGGATGTTTCTTTCCTAATTCATATCTCAAGGTTAACACTGATGTTTGATACAGAATTTCATCTGGCATAATCCCACACTTCCACCTGCGCAGCTCAAACCAGACCCCAGGTCGTCCTTCACCTTTCTCCCTCATGAGCAAGGTGCCGTATTGTTTGGAGGCTACTCTAGGGTGAAGGCAACTGTATCGGCAAACAAGTCAGCAAAGGGTGCATCGCAGGGGCAGAGAAACATTTTTAAACCCTTAGTGCACGAGGATTGCTTCTTCCTGCGAATAACCCAGCCCCCTGCAGATTCCCCGCCGAATACGCCGCCAAATGTAAGGTGGGAGAAGCGGAAAAAGCCAGCAAACGCGCCCACTCCGTCCCGTGCCGGAGCGACTATGGCTTTTCACAAGGGACGTGGTATTCTGTTCGGCGGCGTTCACGATGTTGAACAGAGCGAGGAGGGTATGGACAGCGAATTCTTCAACCAACTCTACGCATGGAACATAGAAAGGAACAGATTCTTTCCATTGTCGCTACGCAAACCAAGGACCCAAAAGAAAGCCCCTGCATCGGAGCAGAGGGCCAATCGGCGTGGCAGAGCCCAAGCAAACGAAGAGGAACTACTGAAGCAGCTTGCAGCTTTACAAGCTGGGTCCTCTGTGGAGGATGCTGACGAAATGAATATCGATTTAAAAACCGGACAGGAACCAGAAGAACCAGAAAAGCCAGTTCGAGAGATGCCGGTATCTGTGGAATTCCCGCACCCGCGATTTAATGCCCAATTAGCAGTACAGGATGATATATTGTACATTTACGGTGGTACCTACGAGGCCAAAGATCGCGAGTTCACATTTGACGATCTATACGCTATTGATCTTGGCAAAATGGATGGCTGCAAGCAAATTTTCAAGAGAGAAGACGATAATTGGGTCGTAAGTATTTTCTGGTTATCGTTATTAGTGATTTTTATTTTGGTTGCTTTGATCTAACATTAGTGTGCAGGGCTCCGACGATGAGGATGAAGACGAAGAAGACGAAGAGGATGATGAGGAAGACGAGGACGAGGAAGGCGATGATGAGAAGTTCGATGAAGAACTTGTAACTCTCAAATCCCCAAGTAAACGCAAGAAGAAGCAGCTGGACGAGGTGTCGATAACCGATACGGCATCTACTGCAGGCTCTTCCACATTTGACAATGTGTCAGAAGCCGACACGGCGTCTACCGCAGGCTCTTCGGTATTTGACGATGTGTCAGAAGCCGATACAGCTGCTACCATGGTCGACGACGGACTACCACACCCACGAGTATGTATCTCGAGAAAACCCTCTTCTGTAGCATATAACTGACATTTCATAGCCTTTCGAGTCTAGAAGGGATTTCTTCGTCCGGACTTCCAACGAGTGGCAAGAAATACTCATGATGAGCTTGAGATGGAAGGGTATCCAACCCGAAACGCTTTCGATCAAGGAGATCAAGACCAAGGCGTTCGAGCTTAGCGAAGAGAAGTGGTGGGACTGCCGCGAGGAGATTACTGCCCTCGAGGACGAGCAGGAAGCCGCCGGAATTGGCGAAGTGGTGTCACTGGCTGATAAAGGTGACTCAGGGGCTGGTGGTGCCGGACGAAGAAGATGATGCATCTTTATTCTGAATTTAAGAGAAGGCTCCGTACATACATGTTGCTACATAGGAAATATATGGGCGAAAAGCGTTGATGCTTGTATTGTACATACTTCTAAGCTGTCAGTAAATATCTGGGTTGATATAAGTGAGAAATCCATAGCGTTAAATATGAATGAAAAATGAACTGGCTTAATAGCTTGCTTAGCTTCCAAACAGGTACCTTGTACATGAGATTTTTATTAATTTCAAAGATTTCTTCTTCTTTCGTCTACTTGAAGTAAACATCGTGGCTTTAATACTTTACTTGATGCTGGTGAATGTTGTTACATTAGTAGGTACCTGTAGAGGTGCAGATTAAGGCTTTGTAGGGGCGAGTTATTAGTGATGATAGTGGGGCTTGCGGGATGTTCTGCCTGTAACACCGATAAGACAGCCCTTATAACCTCCTAAAACTTGATAACCGCCACATCGCTTTCCCATCACGAAAGCAAGAAACGATTGAATCATTTCCAATATTTGATCACTTCTTAGTTCTCCGATATTAAAATTTAAAGATACTTCGTCGAATCTATCGAATTTGATTTATTCATTACCGCGGGAGACACGTGCAGAGTAGAATTGCTGCTGTAATTCCTCGAGTCACTGTTTTAAGAGACATCGCCACCATTCAGACTCGTCTCACTTGCGCGCGTCAAATAATCAATTATCAAAGAGCTCCAACGTCAATTCCAACCCGCTATCAAAATTCTTCCTCGTGCATCGAAATGCCTCTGGGATATGAGAGGATTAATGCGAGGAAATCTCAGCCGAATGACCATATCGTCTTCATCAAACCCCTGGAAGGCCCTGACAAAGAGATCGCGCAGCAGTTCTTAGAACGGATCGCGGCGCAATGCCGTAAGTGCTTCTTTGAACAAGCTTCGACTTATATGCATGCATCATGACTTTGACTCGAATTCAAATTAATTTGCTAACTTCTTTAGTACCAATTATGAGAGAGCATCATATCTTGGTCGTATCCCTAGAAGAATACGAGCCAAACCGGGAATTTGTTGGTCGTAATTTCAATGCAGGAGAAGTGATACAACTAGTGTTGAAGTCACTTTCTACCAGACAATGGCTACCATTCAACTATGTCCAGATGGTGATGATGCATGAGTATGTCTATATCTAGCAATATGTCTGCGTTCAATGCTAACAAAATTATTTATTTAGATTGGCTCATTGCAAGCAGATGAACCATTCAAAGGCGTTCTGGGCTGTAAGAAATAGCTATGCAGACCAGATGAGAGTCTTGTGGTCGAAGAACTACACCGGTGAAGGACTATGGGGTAGGGGCGCTCTATTAGAAACCGGTGAGTTTGAGAAGAACACAGTATCATCAGATAAACATCTGCCAGAGCATCTATGCGGAGGGACCTATCGATCAAGGGGTAGGAAACGGAGACAAAAGAAACAGTTGTCCTACCAAGAAAGGAAGCAACGCCGAATTTTGAAGAAGTTTGGTGCGAACGGGGTTGCTCTCGGTGAAGACGAAGCTATCAAGACCGAGCTGGAGAAAGGGAAGAAACCTCAAGGCAAGCCCCGTGTGGCGGCAAGCAAACGAGGCCGGGAACTTAGAGCGGCAGCAGCCTTAGCTCGGTTCGACCAGCAGAAGAAAGAAGCCGAAGAGGTCAAGGCTGAGTCGTATATTAACATCAAAGAAGAAGAAGACAGCGGCTCGGAGACGGGGAGCGATAGCGAGGAGGAGGAAGCCATTGTGGATATAAACGGCCGGCGGCTTGTCGATACCAAGGGCCATAATTTAATCAAAGTATGCGAAGACGAGGACACCGGGGACGAAGACGCGCAGAACGAGCTCAAAGAACTTTTCCAATCCACCATTAAAGTCAAGCCTGAGAAGCTTGAAGTGGTACCGCCGATAAGAACTATACCTCAAGCGGCCGAACTAGTAGCGAAACCACGTGCTAGCAATGAGAAGAAGATAAGTAATGGTTCGAAGAAGTCACGGCAAGGAGAGGCGAGTAGCGCTACTATCTCTATTACTAGTAGCATCATCCCAAATTCAACGGCGGGGACTTGTCCTATGTGCTCGTTCGAGAGTGGTCCAGAAGCTACTATATGTGGCGTCTGTTCTCACGTTTTAGATCCTGGCAAGGTCCCTGATTCGTGGAGATGCAAGAGTTCATCCTGTCGCGAAAGCTTGTATCTGAATGCCGGGGACGCTGGAATCTGCGGCGTGTGCGGTGGGCGGAAAGCTGTGTAAAGAGCAAGCAAGTACCTAAGCAAGCAAACCTGCTCGCACACCGATTTTTCAATTTTGGTGTCATTTTTACCTTTCGTCAACGGTCACATGCCGGACAGTTTCTTTCAGACAGAGGAGAGCCTTCATCGTTCATTGGCTATCAAGTTCTTATAAGGTCAAAGTCCTATGTATGTAGGTAATTATGCCTTTAGGGCCTTTTTAATCCTTCCCGGCTTATCTCATCTAATTGCTGTTTTTAATAGATACCATAGGATCGATCGTACGGCGCAGAAAATGCTTGATTTGAGTCTTTGATTTGGGGTCAATCGTCTGTCTACCTAAGGTATCTAACCTACCCGGAAAGTATGAGGTTCTAGAAAGGGATGAAAGGGGAAGAAGCAAAGTTGGATAAGAGCTAGCTAATTAATCGGGGATTACACGTTTCAGAAACATTGAAACAAAAGTTGGTTGGTTGGTTGGGTGGCCCGATCTTTGGGTTTTGGGAACGACGGGATGATATGATGTCGCCTATTTGCCCAGTTATACACCACCCCTGTCGATTCAACCCCGACGCCACCGTTTCACCTTGGGGCTCGATCCCACCTCACCTCGATGTCTTCAACGTTCCCTCCCCGAGGTATTTGTATGTGTGATTCTCTCCAGCCAAGCGCTTGTCTGAATGTGGCTGGCCGGGCTGGGAGAGAGGGAATTGACACAGATCTTCCCAACCTTCCTAACAAGGTAGATTGGACGGTAAATCTTGTACTCATTGGATGGATCTGAATATTGTGATCGGACGGAGGACTGCCATCCTGTCTTTCGAGATGTTTAGAAGAGCTACGTACCTGCTATCCACAATGTGGGAATCGTTAACTTAGGTACCTAGGTATATTGCTGTTAATAAGACGTAAAGTGCACGTTTTATGCGCTTTGGTACTTCTAGACACGCAGCAAGCACCCTTTTTTTTTTCTCTCTTTTTTTTTGCTATTTTGAAAACGGGCCAAGCCGTTAGAGTCGGTATCGTCTAGCCCGCGGCCGAGAGCATTCCAATCATGAGTGAGTGATGTAGGTAGGTATCGCCGCCTCCCAAGGGGAGGGAGGCTTCTTTCGTCACAGATTGATCGACCTGCGCACCCAATTTGGGCATCCAAGCCGCCGGGGGTCGGTCAGGCCCTGGCTACGCAACAACAACGCAAAACCCCCAGCCAGGGTTTGGATCCGGAAATAGGTATGGTGTCCGTGGCCCGTGAGTGGCAGGTCGTACGTACGTGCCTCTGTGTGTGCGTGTGCAGTGCAGTGTCTCTCTTGCATTTTAAGCCCGGCTGTCCTGCTTTTGTCAAAACTTCGTTTCTGGATTTACGGATTGAGCTAAGCTTTACCTTACCTTACCATCTTCAACCCGCCGTCGATCTCTTCTCTTCTTTTTTTCTTCTTCTTCGTCCTATCCACGTTTCTTTCCGCGGCTGGGGAGTGCAGGTCACCTTTTACGTGTATTTTCCATTCTCATTGTCTTTTTTTCAACAGCAAGACAACAACATTCCAGACTTGACGTCTTGCATGTGTGTGTGTGTGTTGTGATTTTTCATTTCTTCATACGCTCCTTCGACTTTGATCAAATCAACTCATTCTTTTTCTTCTTGCTCATCTTCAATTCAATTCAACTGTTTCTGAGCTAGACTCGAAAAAAAAAACTTTCTCTGGGCCAAGATGCTCTCCACAACCTTCTTCCAGTCCCTTCTGCTGCTCGTCGCCGGCGCGAGCCTTTCCTCCGCGAGCCCCGTCTGGCCGCACTACTCGATAGACGGCGAGCACCTCGAGGTCCTGAACATGCGGGCCACGACGTCGGTGAATCCGGCGGCGGTTTCGAACGTGCAGTGTCTTGACCGGAATAAGTAAGTTTCCGTAGACCAACTACTTCCCCCTCTCCCTCTCCCCCTTTTCCTTTCCCTTTCCATATACCTATACCTACCTTATATAAGCCAGGCCAGGCCAGGAGGCTAGGCCAAGTAAAAAGTAAGAGGTATTACAAGGGCGAACGAACTCTTTGGGCTAACCTTGGCTCGACGTCGAAAGAAACATCGTGTTCCACGACCAGAACGTAGCGGAGCTCTCCATCTGCGGGGGCATCGCGGGGTCGATCCAGAAGTGCGGCGGCGCGCCCGAGGCCACGACGGGCCGCTCCGGCAGCGCCGAGTTCAAGCTCAGCGCCGCGACCCCCGGCGCCACCATCAACATCTCCAAGGGCCGCTGGGAGCAGTGCGTGCGCGCCGCTCGCGCCGTCTGCCCCACCGGCAGCATGAAGGCCACGTGTGCCGGCGGCGCGTCCAGCGGCAACGTGGATTTCACGCTCGATTCGCCGTTGTAAAGTACCTACCTAGACCTAGGTACCTATCTGTAAAGGGGCAGAAGGAACACGACTAGACTGATTCCGCTACCGCTACATATGGCATTGTACAAAGATCTTGGGATTGCTTGCTCGCTCAGTCGCACTATGAATGAGGACACTGGAAGGGAGGGCATCGGAACACACAAAAAAAGAGACAGGTTTTTCTTTTCCTTTGTTAAGAGGTCGTTCGGCGGGAGGCGTACCGTGTATCGGGGGTCTCGGATACCCTGGCGGACATCGGGACTCGAAAAGGGGGCGTTTTGGCAGGTTCGGCGCGCATATCCATCCATCCATCCATCCCCCCTTTTTTTGGGTTTTTCCCATCCCCTCAACGGCAGCCCCGATTGTAAACATCGTTGGCCGTTGATGGTAGACTTGTATAAAAAAGGTGGCATATGCATAACTCCCCCCCTTCTTACCCCATCCCCCTAGTTGAGAGCTAGAGAGTTGTTGTTGGGAGGGGAGGGGAGGGGAGGGGAGAGGAGAGGAGAGGAAAAGAACAAAACCAATGCTGTATATATCCTTCAACGAACGAGATTTGTTTGATAAATAACTCTTGGTTTTTTTATGATTTGGGTATCTTTCTAACGTAATTTCCTTTTGCGTCCTGTGTCCCTTATTTATATCTTCCTAGCCTAAAGTATACAGAAGAACCTCTCTCGCTTTTGCAACCGGACGCCTGAACTCATTTTGTTCCCCCTTGCCAACCCACGAAAAAAAAAGAATGCTTCTTATGTAGGTATGTATTGTATTATACACTCGATAAGAGAAACTCAAGCCTTCCCCCCTACCCACTTACTCTTACGCGAACCCCTAATAATAGCTACCTTACCTAGAACTAACTCAACTCCCTTCTCGACTTGGGCCGCACTCGTAAATACCTACCTACCTAACCTACCCTACTAGGGAATCACAGCCCGTACCGGGAAACGCACTCCTCGCGATGCGTCTCGAGGCACTCGAGCGCGCAGACCCTCGCGCCGCAGCGCATGCACCGCACGCGCCCCCAGTACCCGCACACCTCGCAGAACACGCGCGCCGGGTACCTCCTGCCGGCGGCCTCGTCGGCCGCCGTCCACCGGCCCCGCGCCTCCGCGTAGCCGAGCGGCGGCGCGGCGAGCAAGGCCCGCAGCTCGGCGTCGGTGGGCAGCGGCGGGACGCGCGAGGTCAGCAGGGGGTCCGAGTCTTGCGGGTGCGTGGGCGGGTATCCGGGGCGGGTGTACGGCGTTAGCAAAGAAGAGGAGAAAGAGGTGGTTGGCGGCGCGTCGGTCATGGGGACGTCTTCTTCTTGCTTTACGGTTGGCGCGGCTTTTGAGACTGATGTAGAGCGGGACTTGGTTTTGGAAGACGATTTCTTGTTGTTACTGCTGCTGCTGCTTTTCGCTTGGTGTTTCTCCGCCGCGGATCCCTTTTTCGAACCCCCAGCGCCCGAAGTATTCGTCGCAGACGCAGACACGCCCCCAGAAGCAGAGCTCGCCGCGTTGGGGTTTGATTTTTCCTGGGCGGAGAGGGCTTCGAAGTCGTCGAGGTGGTTTGCGAAGGTCTTCTGCGACTGCAGGATCTTGCGGACGTTGGGGGTGTGTTTCTTGACCGCGGCTTTGCTGCTATTGCTCTTGGTTACGATGGGTATGCTTACGTCGCGGTGGTAGTTATCGCGGTCGAGCGCCTCGATCTCTCTGCGCAGCTTCGCCTCTTGGCGCGCGTCGGCATCGGCGTACAGAGCGCTGGTGTTGACCGCCTGGTTGCGAGCAGCTCGTTTTCTGTTGCCCGTTTGGAGCGAGGCGGCGGCCGTTGCTGCTGCTGCTAGGTGAGGCGTTGTATCGGGCACGTAGGCCCAGCCAGGGGCGTTGGTGGTTTTGGTACTCGCGAGCTCTATCACACCGAAGTTGTTCATCTTGTTGATTTAAGTTGAAAAGAATAGGAACTTTTACACTTTACAAATCCCTGGATCCTATGACGATTATCTTTGGTCCAATTCTCTATCTGCGGTGGGGCATCTGCTTACTAAGCTAATTTTTCACGATTATGTAAGGAGTTGTAATACCCCTAAGTCCACTGTACATATATTACTCCCTCCTCTTTGGAACTTGTTATATTCAACTGATTAAATAGAATAGTAGATACAAGGTTACTGTATAACCATATTATCTGGAAGTATTTTATCTTTTTACAAGTACCTAGTTAAATGTAACTTAGATAACTATTGAAGTCTAGCCTTCTCTATTATTGGTTCACTTATTCGGTCGAGTATTGCCCCATCCTTGACAGGTGAGAAAGACGATAATACCATTAGACACACCAATATCGAAGTTTATATCGATATTACTAGAAGGTAAGTAGGTATTCATAATTTTAATTTGCCATCACTACTTATTGTAAGACCATGGATGATGAACTACTCTTTTAAGGGGTATCATTCACGTTATATACCTTACACATAACAACGCTTTCACGCCTCGTCTAACTTCTCAGCCGCCGTCTCCCAATCCTCCTCGACAGGCTGTTCCTCAATCTTCTTCTTCGGCTCTCTCCTTAAAGCGACAAATCCGGCCCTGCGCGGCATGTCTGAAGCAGCCGGGACAGCAGCTGGCTTCGGGCGGGCGGAGCGGCGCATAACCGAACTCCAACCCTCGTTTCCTTTCCTTTGAGTATCCTTTTCGTTCCGCAATACATTCAAGTGCTCGTCAACGTGGCACAGGGAAACACTGCTGGCAAATCCCGAGCTTGTGACCTTGGCTGATAGACTGGGTTTGAGGGAAGAAAGCGAAGACTCCAGACTTTGCGGCGCTAGCGGGCCAGAACCTTTGATAACCACCTCGTTGGATGGTAAGAAACTCGTTTCGAACTTTATATCGGGGTAGGCAGTGTACTCTCGCTGAAGCGCCGAATTAAGCTCCTCGATGGTCAATCCAAACTGTGGCGCTGTCAAAAGCAGAGCGTTAAAAGGCTGCTTCATTGAGATGTCCTCATTAGCCGGCGTCGACGGTTTCGGAGGCGGAGCTTGTGCTAGAGGCTTGTTCTTTATACATTGTGCGAGCGATTTCATAGGCGCCGACACAAACCGCGGTGTCTTGAAGAGACATACATGCCGGTGAGGCTCTGGGTCGGCGCTTTCACTGTCAAATCCAAAATCCTCTGCAAGGGAGTGAAGAAACGCTCGCTGCTGAGATTTCATTGGCTTGAACCGGTAAAACTTTCGTGTCTGGTCTGCTGCGAAGATGCGGAATTCTTGCTCGTAAGTCTGAGCAAACTGCGGATCATCCTTGTAAAGCTTTATAGTCGTGTTAGAGTATGGTACGTGATCATCCGTATGAGTAAGGGGGTCGATGTTGAGGGCATTTGCTAAGAGAGCATTTCGCTGTAAGCGAAGACATTCGTCGTCGCACTTGATAGTATCCCGTTGGGGTGACGAATTACGCTTGGTTGCCATGCACCTAACTTCTTGTTTTTTCCGTTGACAATCGCAAGTGATAAATGTTTTCGCTTGGCAGGGTTTCTCCTCCTTGCACGGGTATGGGGCATGGCACTGTTCGATGTCAAGATGACCACAAGTTCGTTTTTTACCGCAGGACTGTCCACATCGAGACCCTGGGATATCGGCGTCTTCACACTCGCCTAAACGGTGGCAGGTTTTCTTACACGTGTGAGCACCACACTTAAGTTTCTTTCCGCAGGGTAAGCCACAACGCGGCTCTTCGAACCAGCATGGCTGGTTCTTCAGTGCTTTCTTGCCGCATATGCACCGCTTCTCAACAAGGAACGGACACTTTGGACAAGAGTCTTCATCGGTATGACAATTATGGGAAACTTGGGGGTGGCCACACGGGCGAGGCCTGGTACAGTCGAAGCGACATTCTGGCGCCTGGGTACCACAGGGTTGCGGCGGTTGGAGGACCGTCCTACCACAGTTGCAGCTAATTTCCTCGAAAATAGCTTCGGGACATGAAGAACAGGGTCCCTTGTGGCACATCTGTTGACATTGATGCTTTCCGCATTTAAGAGCTCGACCACAGGGGCGAGTACAGATATGCTCCGCTTCCACTTCATTAACTGTCGGACCAGCGTTCCTATTCTTTCGTCTAGCGGCTGCACGTTCCATCGCCTTCTTTTCTCCGGGGCAGCAATGCTCGCCATGTTCATGCCTCCCACAATTAAGCTGAACACGACATATTCTCATGCATTCTGGAGTCGCAATCATTCCTTGGTGGCATATTGAGGTCGTCTTTGTCCGGCCACATCTACAGCTGATTTCCATCGTCTGCATACATGGAGCACAAGACCCAGCATGACATGTGTCGCGGCAAAAATGCCCGCACGACAATAATTTATTGCATATTTTTCCGCAATTAGGGATCGGGTCGTCGCAACTTTCCCTTGGCTGATCCAATATATCAACCAGTGGTGTTTTCCCACACGGGCAATGAGTAATCAAATCAGGAGAAAACGGACAATGCTCATCGTTCTCATCTTGAGGGTGACATCTCCGCTGACAACGGTGCTTTTGGCAATCGAAGTACCTGCCGCAGAAAGCATCGCACTCAAAACTACCCCAGTACCAATGCTCGGGTAAGTCCTCGCTCTTCGCAATATCTTCTTCGACCTTGACTTGGCCGTGGTTATAAGATTCTCGTTTATCACCACGCTGATCACAAGGGATATTCTTAGACTCTCGCCCACAATAGCAGAGAGATAGGACGGGAATATCACAAGCGCCACAGAGGCCGGAATGGCACTCCCTTTGGCACTCATGCTCTCCACAGGGAAGTAGATCTCCACAAACCCCGTGGCAACTCCATCCGTTAACATAATCTGTTTCACCACAGCGCTTTGTAGACGTCAGTTTACCACAGAAACAGGATTGCGTCGGCCCCATAAGCTGACAAGGCGGACAAGGGCCGGGATGGCATTCGATGGGACATGGATGAGGACAAGTCGCTCTAGGTTTTGAGCACGTTTGACCGCAACTATGGGGACCAAGCCCAGGTATAGGTTGAGGGTTGATTTCCTTACCACACCAACAATGATACGTGGTAGGTTCATCTGTCAAAGGGGAATTGCATCCCGGACACCTCCAGTTGATCTGGTCCGAATTAATTGTCCGATTGGAGAACCATTTTTTAACGCAGCCCATATGCGTTGCGGTCCAACATATCGAACATGACCAGACCTTCGAGTTCCGCAACACCTCATTCGTGCAAATAACGCATTCGTATTGACCGTTGCTGATATCCTCAGAAATGCGCGTAGTTAGATCCAAAGCACTAGATTTTGAAGCTTTTCTGCCACCACTGCTCTTGGCCTGTGGTTTTATGACTATGCTGTTATTTACGTCAGCTAACGGTTGGCGTGGAACAAACTCCGCAACATCGGCGTTTAAAGATGTTGAATTCGCTGCACCGGGTTCCTCATTGTTAGTTGTTAGGTGTCCACCAAAGTTTCGAGGTCTTGACATCGTTGCTCTCTGGACATTTTCACCACGTCCTCTCCTTTGACCCCTGGATGCCCTTCGACCACCACCGCCGCGACTATTGGCATTTGAAGGCGCCGTAGCTGGAGAAGCAGTGGAGACTTCGGGATTTGCTGGTGATGCCTCGTTCCTCTCGACGCCTTGCTGGCCATGGTGACCTCGGTTGCCGCGCCCTCCACGGCCTCCACGGCTCCCACGATTACCGGATGTTCTACCACCCCGAGGCCGATGATTGCGATTTCTTGGGGTGGGATTTTGTTGTGGTTCGGATGGTTGTGAACCCTCCATAGTTGAACTGCCCGTGGTCGTTAACTTAGATAGGCCTATTATGGCGTAATCTAGGTAACCAGGTACTAAAAGAAACCGTCTCGTTATGCGCTTTTTGAAATACAGCGGCTTTGAAAGATGCGAAAATCAACGACTTGTAGATATGAAAATTTGTAAGCAGCGCTTATGCGTATGCGGTGCTGCGTGGCAAAATATGAATTAAAGAGAGACTTTTTGTAAAGGGAAAAAGGAAAAGTAGAGAACGACTCCGTGAAATTCGTGCGAGTTGACCAGTAATAATAATAATAATAAAAACGGGTATAGCTTCCAACGGTTTCATGAAGCCATTCGTGGCGACGACCTTAGTTTATATCCCACTAGAAGAATAATATGTGTGAGGCGATAATGATCGTGTTAAAACAGAATAATCCCTGCATGAAAATATGAGATCATTATGTGTAGGATGTAAGGCTATGAGTCAAGGTCGAGAAAAGGAAGGCTAAAGTCGGATTTAGTGGAGATGAAGTCGGGGTCGAGGCTTTGTTGGAATCCATCTGCCAGCTATCCATACAAACGAAAGATCGTAGGGTTACGACCCGCTATCTACAAGCTATTATCACTGCCTAGCCGAGGCGAGTTTAGTGCCTGCGGGTAGGTTGTCCGTCTGCTGCATGCGCTGCTGTGAAAAGATGCGGGAACTACGACCTATGATTACCTAAGGTAATAATCCACTTCAACTAGAATGCCATTTTGACATTTTAACTCTCTTTAACTTCCATTGCAAAAGTTCACTTGTGAATTCATTCACATCATGCAGGCCTACTGAATAGATCGACCCATCCCTACATCACGTATATTAACTGACTTTGACAGCGGCATAGGATGAGGTCACCACAAAGGACGCATTTATTTCAGTGCTTGCAGTTTGCCTATCAGTTACCTATGTAGGTACCTTAGGTTAGGTAGTCAACTACCTAACATGTTGTTAGAACAGTTGGTTCCTCTCTTTTCTGTCTTCCAGGGCTTGCACTTTTGCAACTCCGTCTGATTTCTTCATGTTTATCTCTACGAGTGCTGCAGTGCTTTAATTCGGCCTGAAATAGTCAGGCCTTTTTTTTCCCTTTTTCTCGAGACAAACACATAAAAACAATCTGCAATATCGAGTAGGCCTCGGCAAGCCTTACCATCATACCCTGGAACGTTGAGGGCTTCGCCATCTCGTGCCTTGTTGGGATCCGGTGTTAGCCCGCTTTCGCTTGTTAAAACTGCTTTGGCGTCGATTCGGCTGTGCTGGTAGGTGTAACGTTCTCCAGGTCTGGGGTTTGTTATCCTCGAGTTCCGAGTCATCGTTTTCGCTGATTCTGTGCATACACAGGCGTTCCCTCAGCATGTGTGCAATCATGTAGTATGTGAATGTCCCTGAGGTTACTCCCGATTCTAGTACCGGTGCCACCGTATTTATCCATTGGGGAATTACCGGCTGGAGGGCCTTTACAAGGTCAGAGAACCACGCCTTTGGATCCCTGACGCAGGGGATGCTTAGTGCTAAAGCCTTTTGGATTGTGGTATGCCAGTTTACAATCCAAGCTTCCCAACTTTCGGGAGGCTCTGAGAGGGGCGCCACGGTCTTCTTATATTTGCATGTAACTTCAATGTAGGCGGTATCTTGGTTTTCTAAGTTTGCTCGTAACATGATATACGTATCTCGCATAGTACCATCCGCAGCTGACGATATCTCATAGTACGGCTTAGATACAGTTGTTGCCATGAACTTGTTAAGCTGCTGATTTTCTCTTGTTGAATATTGTACGGGAATATTTGCATCGAGTACTCTTGGAAGTCTTCTATATATTGTTTGCGACTTTCGGGAGTCATCTCTCGTGCCGACGTTGGTGGACCCGCATCCCCTGACTCAACGGATGTGCCAGGTCTAGCTGGATGTTGATCATTGTTGGTGTTGACTGGGAGACCACTTTGTCGGTTATATGCTGATTTAGCTGGTGGTTCTGGTTTGGGCAATAGGGGGTAAATTGGATTGCCTTCATCATCAATATTCTCGGGATTGATCCAGTCCCAAAGGTCGTAGATTCTTGCTTGTTTCTTGAATTCGACTTTCCAAGCGTCCCATTCTAATGGTTTTGATAACCACCAGTTCTTGGTTAGGGTATTATTTCCCATCGTAACGTCAATTTAGGTTATTCTTGTTTGTATGAGGCCAGAAAGCGTCTGCGCGTGTTTATTGAATACGTTAGGTACCCAAGGTACCTGACCTCACCAGACCTATGCAGCTATCCCTACGCTAACTAAATTTTTACATGGCAGCTATGGGCACGTCATTCTATCAAACAATCATTATCATCTTTATCTCATATCTCGAGACCAAGTACTCTAGGTAGTCTACAAAGCTTCAGCTACAGGCACCAACTATGGTTCGCGTGCGCCGAGTAGCATCAGAGAGCTGAAGGGATCCAGGGGGCCGCCTTCCTATCACTTATCACCCCAGGAGTCTCTCGTCAAAAAGCTTAGGGCGGCGGCAAGCAGGCTGAAGGAGCCTAAGAAACTAGCCTTTATAGTTTATTCCACGCAGATTCCTGTTTTATAATAAGGAATGCTGTTTTGAAAGCGATGCTGGAATAAGACTCGTAAGTATTGGAACATGAGGTTGACGGAGAAAAGGTCCCAAGTTTGATGCAAGCTACCTGTATTAAGTACTCACAATAGTTCGACACAGATTGCATACAGCAGACAGCTTTTAGAGATGTGCTACTGGTTTCTACCAACCATTAGGTTAGGTAGCTTCGCCTCTCGGCGAGTTTCATGCAAATGTCGCCCAACGCTTCCCTCATATTTTCTCACTTGCAGGATTGCGCCCCTTAAACTGTGCTCGGCGCCGAGAGTTACACGACAGTTTTCGGAAGCGATGCTTGCGTTGGGGAACTGAAGTCAAAATTAGTAGCAAAAAAGTAACCTCATGGAAAATATCATACCGTTACAATTTCCTGCAGCATAAGATCCACGAGCTGACTGCGACAACCAAGAATCAACACCTGCGGGCCTCCGCCATTGGCTTAAACAAGATAAGAAAGCGATTCGCAACCCAGATACCTGCAGCCGGCCTCGTATGCAGCACTTGCGTGGGAAGGCTGCATTGAGGAGAGATACCTATCGTCTTTTTTGTTTGTCTTTTTCTTTTTTGGCACGAAATGCAATACAACCAGACATCAGCCACTTAACGTCGATCAGTGAACATTGACAGCTGACAGCCCTCAACATCTTTCTTGCTAGGCCGCAGTAAGTTCATTTATATTGACTCGTATGATCGAAGGAACTGATATCATCAGGTGAATTTCTTACAGACGTGATCATTACCTAATTCTGTTGTCTACCTGGTTTCAATGATCGTTACTTCAAGAAATTCAATATTCCCATGGGCTAGGTAGTTGCCATAGAGGTAAGGTACCTAAGGTTAACTCGCCAAGGACTCTAGAAAGAACCTTCGGATATAGTACCCGAGAAGTGCGAAAAGAACATCAGTTGCGATAGAAGTCCCTAGGCAAAGAAAGGGGAGCCGCTGTCAACCCACATACCTTTCATAGCCGTTTTTTGACGGGGTCTATGAAGTGGCTTAAGCAGTTCGGCAAGGCAAATATGACCTATAGAAGAGATGCACTTTTCTCGCCGCCTCCACCTGACGAGGTGATGCATCTGCCAAAAGCCACATCATTAAAGTAAGCGCTGGATTGGCAGTTACCCAGCTACCTCTCCTCCCAATACGACGTCTCTGCTTCTATGATACATCACCGCTCTGTCCCCTGCAAGTGCATACAATATCTACGTACATGCCATTCTTTAGATGCCAAGTATGGGATGGGCATGTGCAACCGAGACGGCGTCAAATATATATGCCACAGGATCTTAACGGAAGTTTTTAATTATTCATCTTCAACAAAATCTCTTATTTCTCATATTTCTCTTAGGCGCTTATGTGCATCATTAGGAACCGAAATATTGACACGCAGCTTTACGTGAGCATTAGCCCACGCTTTCGGAGACCATCATATCTTCTTACCCTTGTTGCCATGCGCCATCCCACTGTTTTCTTTTCTTACCCCTGAAGCTCGTATCAATCATTCCCTATCGGCTTGTCTCCAACAGTTCAACGGGCTCATGATCCAGCTAAGCATACTGCTAGCCAACTTACCGAAGTGCTGGGAGACTAAGTCAATGCCACTTTCTGAATTGGGGACTGTCACCACCAATAGACCTGGTCCGATACAAGAGGGAACGGAAGCTGGTAGACACAACCCCACGACCGAGTCCATCGCACGATACTGACGCATGTTCTCAGAAAAGGCCAACCACTCCACATCTATGCAAGAATACCTCTGCGGCTCCGGTGGAGTCTAGATTCTATTACACAGCCCTTCAACCGAGTTACGCTAGTGTGGAAATTAGACATCGCTATCAAGCGATGGTGTGAATGCTGCTATTGGCCTTGTCATCCACCTGATTTGGTCCCTAACTGTGGTACATCCCGGAGTGGGTTGCAATGAGGTCCAGCCGATTTCATTACTATGGGAAAAAAGCAATAGCATATTGTACTCTGGCAAAACTAGCTTATATATCATTAGCGTTTATCGTGCGCAACTCCTCAGGCGTCCTATGCGAACTATCTTCCCACAGCTCTAGATTTGTGTCCCTAACGTCTGTGAATGGGAGTTTGGGCTGCCCAACAAGATTTTCATCATGCAGGCTACTCAAGTCTTATCCTTTCTCTTATTCTATGTATCTCTAATATCCGCGTTTCCTTCTATAGCGCAGCAGACAGTCTTAAGGGTCCCACAGCTCGGCGGAAAATGGCATCACAAGGGTTGTTACGAGTAAGTAACTTATTCCGAGAACTATGAACATTAACACTAAGCGGACATAAGCGATGCTGGTAGGACGATCAATGTCTCTACATCTCCTTCCGATACGACGACCCCAGAGAACTGCGTCGCGTTCTGTGATAAAGGGGGGTTTCCTTACGCTGGAGTTAACAATCTAAACGAGTGTTGTGAGTTCGTTCCCTGCCCGAGCATAGTTATATTTATATTGACTATTGTCAGTCTGTGGAAATGAATTGGCCAATGGAGTCACAGAAGTCAAAGATCCGAGGAGATGTTCAATAAGTTGCTCCAATAATAATACGCAAACGTGCGGAGATCCGAACTTCTTATCCTTGTTTTTCAACCCGTACAACGCAGGCCCCAAGCCGAATATCAACGTTCCTAACTGGGTGCATATTGGATGTCACTCGTGAGTCTCTCCCACTGATCACTGGCCTAGACACGGCCTTGCCTGCTCCGAACATCAATTTACTTCGTATTCGGGCTAACAAATTATACTACCTAGCGAGGGAATTAGTGGCCGGTGCTTGACTTATAAGGCCCCTATCTCTACTTCACCACTCAACGCGGAAAGCTGTACGTCTGCATGCCGTACAGCTGGCTATGCTTTTGCTGGTACCAAGAACGGCGACGAGTGCTGTAAGTTACTCTTTGACATATTCGGGTAGGATCACGTCAACTTACTATCAAAAGATTGCGGTAATACTATTGCAAATGGCGCTACAATATCCAATGGCTGTGATACGGCTTGTAAGGTATGAAAATTGAGAAATGCGTGTTTCGACCTACTTTCTCCTTCGTCATAAATGAGTCTCAATGACGGATTATTGTTACTAACTTCATAAATCATAGGCGAATGCTTCAGAGGTTTGCGGGGGACCTTGCCACCTGAACGTGTATGAGTTCAACACCACGTATAGTAGACCTACCGGGGTTAAGTCAGGTTCTGTGCCTGAAGCTTCTTCTGGGACTGTCGTAACAGTGACGAGTTTGTCTATCAATGCTCGTTCAGTTGCCCCAAGAGACACCACCCCCACCACCACCGAGCCGATTGTTACTAGCACAAGCAGTGTTTCTTCCACCAGCTCAAGTCCCACGGCACCTTCACAACCCTCATCAATAGGCGATTACATTTGGTATGGCTGTGAGACTGAGGCTACTAACATCCGTGCATTGAGCCTATACACCTATGCGGACGATGCTATGACATTAGACAGTTGTTGGACTTTTTGCAGCGCCAAGGGGACGACGTACTTTGGTACCGAGTATTCCCGTGAATGCTACTGTGGCAATTCTTTTGAAAGTGGCTCTGTCGAAGCTCCCGAAAGTGATTGCAATATGCTTTGTGCTGGAGACCAATGGGCGTATTGTGGCAGCGGCAATCGTCTGTCAGTTTATATCAAGAACGGAACTTCGGTCTCGACAACTACTAGTAGCTCAGGTCCAACCAGTGTCGATCCAGGAACACCAGAACCTACTGGGTTTCCTGATGGCTGGACCGACCAAGGTTGCTGGCAGGACGGGCCCAACGGTCGTATCTTATCAACTTACCAAGCTCCAGACGACCCTCAACTGACACCACAGAAATGTGCACAACTCTGCGCTGATAAAGACTACATTGTGTCGGGTACTGAGTACTATACACAGTGCTTCTGTGGCAATGCTATCTACAACGGCGGTGTTCGAGGCAATGATACTTCGAAATGCGCAACCCCTTGCGGAGGCAACAGTAAGGTCATGTGTGGAGGCGCCGGGTATTTATCCGTTTACTCGAAGGGCACACCACAGACTTTTAAAGAACCAGCTCCCATAAAAAATGTCAACGGTACTTGGACGTATCAAGGTTGCTACGAGGATAATGTTAACAATAAGAGGACCCTTTTTTGGTCCCTAAGGTTCCCCAACACCATGACCCCGGAGCAATGTCTCGGGAAGTGTGCTTCTTTTGGCTATGCTGCCGGCGGTTTGGAGTATGGTGAAGAATGTTATTGTGGCGACCCGATGGACGTTGGTGCTTCGGGTTCTACTTTGAGACCGGAGAACGAATGTAATATTGTATGTGCTGGAAACGCCTCCGCGATATGCGGAGGTGGTGCTCGCCTTTCAATATACTATTGGACTGGCGAAAAGCCCCTTTATGTGTTCAATTACCCTGAAGGAAACGACGCGGGCACCTATTCCAACTTGGTCGGCGGCGTTGTTACTCCTTTGATGACCATGCAGTCAATTACCGGCAAGGTGACCTTCCTAGAGAAATGGGGAACTGGTGCCGCAAACAGCACAGGGGCTTATGAACTTGACCTTAGTCAACTTGACAACTTCGATGCTGCCTGGAGGACCATGCACGTCAAGACGGATATCTTCTGCTCAGCTGGACTCATTCTACCCGACAAGGCAGGAAGACAGCTTACTGTAGGCGGTTGGTCCCTCGATTCTACGTACGGCGTCCGTCTATACACGCCCGATGGATCAAACGGCGTCAAAGGCACAAACGATTGGGAGGAAAATGTCAACGCTTTAAAACTTCAAAGGGGGAGATGGTACCCAACCGCTATGTTAATGGCAAACGGGTCTATTTTAGTCGTCGGCGGTGAGATTGGTTCGAACGACAAGCCAGAACCTTCCCTTGAGTTACTTCCTCAAGTTGGCCCCGTTCTTCATATGGATTGGCTTGAACGTACAGACCCGAATAATTTGTACCCATTCCTGGCAGTCCTGCCCGGCGGCGGCATCTTCGTCGCGTATTGGAACGAGGCCAGAATCCTGGATGAAGTTACCTTTGACACAATAAAGACTCTACCTAACATGCCTGGCGCGGTGAATGACGACCTCGGAGGTCGTACCTATCCCCTTGAAGGATCTGCTGTCCTCCTACCGCAGTTTGCCCCCTATACGGATCCTCTCGGCATCCTATTGTGCGGAGGTTCGACCGACGGCCATTCGGCTCTCGACAACTGCGTATCCACGTACCCCGAAGCCCCCAACCCCGAGTGGACCCTCGAGCGTATGCCTTCCAAGCGTGTGATGAGCTGCATGGCACCCTTGCCGGACGGAACTTACCTCATTGCCAATGGCGCGCACGAAGGCGTTGCCGGTTTCGGTCTCGCGGACGATCCCAACTACAACGCCGTTCTCTACGACCCGTTCAAGCCCATCGGTTCCCGCATGTCGGTCATGGCCAACACCAGCGTTGCGCGCCTGTACCACAGCGAGGCCATCACGCTCCTCGACGGGCGCGTCCTGATCACAGGGTCCGACCCGGAGGACGGGAAGCACCCGCAGGAGGTACGGGTCGAGGTATTCACGCCGCCGTACCTCTACAGCAGCAAGCCGCGGCCGTCCTTCACCGTCGCGAAGACGGACTGGGACTATAACGACAGAGTGACGTTCTACCTCGGGGACGAGCCCCGCGGCGAGATCAAGGTCTCCTTGCTCGGCGCCGTGTCCAGCACCCACGGCAACTCGATGGGCGCGCGCACCCTGTTCCCCGAGGTCTCGTGCGACGGCACCAGGTGCACCGTCGTCGCGCCACCCCGCGTCCACGTCGCGCCCGCCGGCTGGTACCAGATGTACGTCCTGCAGGACGGCATACCGGCCGTCGGCACGTACGTGCGCATCGGGGGGGACCCCGGGAAGCTGGGGAATTGGCCGCAGGGGGAGGGTTTCACGCGGCCGGGAGTTTGAGGAGAAGGGGAGGTTACGTGTAGGCTTTTTTTTTGTTGTTGTTTTTTTTGCGCTGGAGGTCTTTGTGCTTTCTTCGCTGAAAGGGAGCGAGTGGGTCTGGGCTTGATTCAGGGGTAAAAGGGGCTAGGCGGGACGGGGCTAGTCGGGAACTCGAAGGTCGGGAGAGGGAAAGGCATGGGGTTAGGAGGACAGGAAGACGTCGCGATATTTTAGTTAGTACCAGGAATAAATAATATCTCTACCACCTGAGTCGTTCTTGTGTCCTCTGTGCTGTCGTTGATATCTAGGTGAAGCAGATCTATTTTCGGGTATCAGGCGAGAGGTAGCCCAGGAAATGATGTCGGTGAAGTATTTCGAAACCGAATAAACAGGAAGATACCTACATTTATACTCTCACGCAGAAATTAAAATAGTTTCACAAGCATTTGCGCAATATTTCGAAGTTGCCAATTGCCAACAAGCGCTCCCGCAGCCCTGCTAACTCGGGTTAATAGGTAGGCACCGACGACATCTATTTAAAGCTTAAGTAAGGCATTAGTAGCGCATTCTCTCATCCCTAGTCGACGATTAGATGGTCGAGATAGTCGTGGCATATAGAACCGTCGAAGTAGGGAGGTGGAAATAATTTTCGTCGGGAGTTACTCGCAGGACTTGAGGGGGATAAGCACCTACCTCCTTCCTTATCATATTAGGTAGGTAGGTAGAGAGGTTGATCCCTTTGATGGATGCCACATACAGAGTAAGTGTCAAGGTCGTATATACAGTAGATTAGACTGAACCAGTAACGCCTAGTCTTCTATCCTCTTACGAGGGAGCTTGTTGCCCCTATTCTGCCCCACTTATCCTACAATATGCCTATTGCCATGAAAATCGCTGTTGGTAAACCCGAAATCTAAGAAGAAACTGGATGTTGCCACTGCTGCCAGCCAACCCACGCCTGAAATATGCTCACCGCCAGACTCAGGACTCCCAGCATAATAGCAATCAGGACACCAGCCAAGGTCGCCATCATGACGTATCTACTACCGCTCTTGCGTTCCATCCATCTTTCCAGGTACCCCCGCGGAGTGGGAGTCTGTATCTCGTCGTATAAGTCCATTAAACGGAGCCCCCAATGCTCGTATACCATCGGCGCCTCGTGTTGCTGCCATGACGTATCTATGTCGTTACGGAGATCCGGGTCGAACTTGTCCTTCGTGATGAGGGATTGGAGAAGTGACCGTGATTCTGGGTCGACGGGGAAAAGGACGTGCTTTAACGTGTACATGGTCTCCTGGACGAGATCTTTCGGGAGGTTTGAATGCCTGAATAAGATTAGTATTATTTATGTACCTATTGTATGTTATGTGAGATATTTGTAGTAATAGAAATATATCCTGAATTCCATCTTTCATCAAAATTAAAGTGGTAAAAGCAATATTCTTTGGACATTGGTGATGAACCTACTGGCTAGTGGATGGTCCGGGGGTATGATGCTGCGTCTGGGCCATCATGAGATGTTCCTTTAGAACGCTTGTATGATGGTATATAGCAACCGTACCATTCTTCCTGTCCAAGAGGAGGTGGCTGCCGAGATCATCGGTTCGAACTATGGTTAATTTGGCAATCCTCTTTAATCTTTTCACAGTCAAGGAGCCGAGATGAAGCTGCGGCTGCTGGGCTATATCATTGTAAGGTCCAACTCGGAGTTGACTCTGTTTAGGAATGCATGAATCAACGAATTGGTTAAACGTTCTATCACTAGGCCATATAGCAGGATGTAATCCTGCTTCCAGCTGACTATCAGCCTGCCCCTCAATCGTGCATTCAAACGTCGTTATCACACGCGCAGCTAGGTCAAAAGCTCTGTTTTGATCGCTCGAAGGGCTGGGACTAGGGCTCACTCTAGGCTGCCCGCTGATGCCGAAGTGTTCTAGTGTCAACTGCACGCGGGGCTTGTCCGCATTTTTCTTGATGTACTGAATAATAGCAATGAGGTCGCCATGGCTATTGAATGCTGGAGGCAAGCTGCTGCTAAACTCGGGGACGTAATATGCGGTGATCTCGCCGTAGAAGTCAAAAAATAGTTGAAGTCTTTCAGCTCTCTGATGATGACACCTGGGATCTTGGTGAAGGCATTTATGGTACTTCTGTTCCTCGATCCAATCAGCACAGGGCTTCCAACCCCAAAGAGCCTCACAGAGGTTGGCGAGATCGTTTCGGGTGGCTTTTTTAAGGGGGTTCATCGACTTAAACACAGTCATATCTTCGTTTTAACAGTAGATCATCGGCTTCCTCTTTGCTCTAATGACCTAGGCCTTTAGGTTAAGTACCTAGTAAAGAAAATCATTATAGGTGCCGGCATTTTTATTACTTGGTATTATCTGCCTGAGTACTAATATGTTCAGAGGTAGGCAATGCATGGAGGCCTCACAGCCTGCCGCAATGGCTTATAGGTACCTAATGTACCTCTCCCCTCTGAGCTTGTGATAAGACGCTGCGTTATAAGCGCCAGCCACCGAAAATCTTCGATAGAGGAGGGGTATGTACCTTAGGTAGGCATAAGTGGGAAAATACAAAAAGTGAGGGATTATATAAGTGCCTGACGAGCCTGATATCCGATTCATCTTTGTTGATTCCTTCTCACATTTAGGGGCGTCATCTCAAGCACTAGGTGCCAAGTGACACACGAGTCATCATGTCGGAACCTATACTTGCCCAAGGGCGGCATCATAGGAATCCAATAGTTTCGATTGTCAATTCTAGTCAGCCTTCGTTATTGAACAACATTTTCCCATGGCCAAAGCCTGGAAGAACCGACCTTCAGGCTCCTTCAATAAGGCTGACGGGGAACGATGCCAACTTAGGGTCTTCCTCCCAGGTCACGACACCGAACCAGACATACATGGATTTTCTACCTTCCAGAAGAAAGATATCGCGTCAGGATATAACCATTGGCGAGGAGACAATTAATAAACTAAATCCGGTCCGGCGTTTTATCGAAACACTGCTGCTAGTTGAATTGAACCGACGTCATGCTAAAAGACGAAAACCCTATAAGCCCATCTCTACCCGCCTTGCCATGATGGGAACTTCGACAGTTGACGCGCAATTGCATATTCTCATATTCTGTCTGCGCGAGCTGAAGAGAGAAGTTAGACGTCTTGTCAAAAAAGAGGACATCCTGCATCTTTATACTCCTAATAGCAGCATACCAAATTTCGAAATCACCGTCCTCGGATTCGAACCCCGTTTGTGCTCATCGCTTATCGAAGTTGTAACTTCGCTCTCGGAGATCACTAGGATCGCACCGTGGCCCATTCATGGCCTTCCAATTTCCTTCCGTGGACTTAATTATGGGCAGCGATATGCAACATTTGGTGGCGTTATCATGATAATAACTGAGAATGATGATGTAGAGTTTTTTGGGATGACCGCGGGCCACATGCTTCATGAGGATGGCTATAACCTATCCACAGCCGGTTCTGATACTACAATCCTAGAAAACGACAGATCAACCGCACAGCCGTCTTACCTGGGCGACGGAATAGTGGATATTGATATTACCCAAGGATACGAACCAGGGGAAGAAGCAGACTATGGAGATTCCGACGACGAGTATGAGATCGACTCATCTAGTGTGGATGCTTACGAGGAACCGCAATCTTTCTTCGAAAACGTTGAAAATATTGTTACACTAGGCCAGGTGGTCGACCCCCCTCAAAATGGCCAAGTCTATAATATTCGGAAACATGATGATTGGGATTGGGCCCTATTCCGATATACACCATTAGACAAAGAGGATTTGCGGCCCAAAAACGAGGGTTCGCAGCCCAGAGCGGATCCTCTAAGAGTATCTCCACAGCGACCCGGATATACCGGCGAGAAGCGTGTTGTTGTATTCACCGGTACTTCAGGCCGCAGGGAGGGACATATATTGGCGGAATCTGGTCGAATACTACTTGGAGTGGGGAGACATTTTGTTGAGACCTTCATGGTCACTTTATCGGGATCCCCAGGTGAGAAATACTACATACTCCCTTCTAATCCAGTGCTGATGAACTTATCGAATCTCCAGGCATACGTAATGGAGACTCTGGCTCATGGGTTGTCGATACCGAATCGTCCATCGTGTACGGACAACTCGTCGCTGTAGACGCGCTTGGTGACGGCTACGTTATTCCTATGTCAGACATACTTAACGACATGAAGCTTCAATTTGGAGCTAAGTATGTGGGATTTCCACGTTCCCTTGATTATATCGCACCTTTCAATAAGAGGTCATATAAAGAAAATGAGGGCCACCCATCGAACCACTTACTAGATACTCCTGTTATCATCTCACAGGCTGGCTGCCACGTCGCAGAGCATGAGGTAGGAAAACAACGTCGTTATTCCACATGGAACTCTAACTATAGTGGCTTTGAAACCAATGCTACCTTATATGGTATTGATGGTAAGACAGTGTCAGGAGGCTCACTTGAGACTCCTTGGAACAAACGAGTTGTTCTGTATGATACAGCGACATCACCAGTATTACATTCAGGGAAATCGCCATACATTAAAGAGGCGCCGTTGGACCGTTCAATAGCATGGTCAGTATCCCAAAGTAAAGACACGTCGCAGTCACACCCCTCAGAGGCATCCAAAGGAGTCGTTAGCTCGGCACGACCAAGTACAGGTAATAACCACCAGAGCATCCCGTGATCCCGTCTATACAGATCAGCATATTTCTTTCGAACAAGGAGAATACAGAGTTGCCAGGTAAAAGAACTGTCGGAGATACGTGGGGATACATGGATATACTGGCTGGATCGGGGGTCCACTGGCTTCCTATATAATGGGTAGCTAGCTCGCTCGTAAGGGGAAAGAAGGCCAGGCGTTGTTAGATCAATCCAATATGTTATAAGTATGACCATGACACCCACTCCATTTACGACGCCTGTCAAGGGCGGAACGTGCGTCATGAAGCAACTTCGCCTAATGAATAGGGATCATGTTAACTATAGCCTAACTCCAGTAGTCTTCAAGCGTGACGAATTAAGTTACCAGGTATATGTACGATAGATAGATGTAATATAACCTAGGTACTTTACTCAGTACCTAGGGTAGGTAGAAAACTATCCCGTGCCTGGCTTTACGATGGCTTAGCTGAGCTGAGCCATGGTTATGCCTGCCACCAGAAAGAACCCATGATGGATGATACGTGGAGTGATCTATCAACATTTACTTGCCTGTCTAGGTACTCTGCTTGGAAGACGCTGCGCCCTATATACCCCTGAAATATGCATTGATAGTCTAAAACCGCAGATTTTACATCATTTAAAGAACCGTTATACTGCGTATAGTTATGTGGAATTATAAGACCTGCATTGTCAAGTCCATAAGCCAATGGGCTGAGCGAATGTAACTCAGCGATTGGAGGAGTCGGAACCTTCCCCGCGAATCAACAGAGCTGGCATCAGTAAGCAATGGCATCCACCACTTCAGATCGAAAGTGAAAACATAGTATTTCACAAGGCTGAGTTCTTTTGGTGTTACCACACACGTCTGCAATACCTAGTGCTGTTGACGAAAGCAAGCATGGCCGCATACCAAAAGCAGGAACCAGAAAACCCCGAGTCGGCCTTGGCAGACGCTCACCAGCGGGTGGAAAGGATTGGGGAGGATCTTGAAGTTATTACCTTGCATAGCACTAAAAGAGCTATCAAATCCCGCGTATGTTAGCCACCCCTCACGTCCCAAGTCTGCCTTGAGGCTTACCTCGCACCGTCACAGCATGCGCAGATGCTTGTTATAGGTGGCACCATAGGTACCGGCCTCTTTGTCGGGACAGGGCAGGCACTGGCGATTGCAGGCCCAGCCTTTCTCTTCTCCGCGTACGTGGTGATATGTTTCCTCGTCTTCGGCATCGTCACCGCCATTGTCGAGGTCGGCGCCTATCTGCCCGTAACAGGCATGTCCGTGGCGTACTACGGGAACCGGATCGTTTCGCCTAGTCTCGGGTTCGCCTTGGGCTGGCTGTACTGGTATACCTGGGGCATAAGCGTCGCCTACGAGATCACAGCCGCCGCGGTCGTGATCGGCTACTGGCCAACCACGGTACCAGTCGCCGTATGGATCACGGTCATGCTGGTAGTCATTATTGCACTTAACTTCTTTCCGGTGGGAATCTATGCCGAGGTCGAGTTCTGGTGCGCGTCGATCAAAGTTTTCACCATCATCGGGCTGTTGATTTTGTCCGTAGTCCTGTTCTTTGGCGGCGGACCAAATCATACGCGTTTAGGCTTTTGGTACTGGCAGGACCCCGGGGCGACCAATGAGTATCTCGTAGGAGGCGCTGGCGGCCGGTTCTGTGCCTTTCTGTACACCCTCATTTACTCGTGCTTCAGCTTCAACTTCAGTCCCGAGTTGATCATCATCACGGCGGGTGAGATGAAGTCGCCCCGCAAGAACCTTCCAAAGGCCGCGCTGCACTTCATCTGGCGCTTGATCATGTTTTACGCCCTCGGTGCGTTTGCTATCGGTGTCATATGTCGAAGCGACGAGCCGGCGTTAACCAACGGTGGAAAAGGGGCTGCCGCATCTCCGTGGGTCATCGCTATCAAGAATGCCGGAATCCATGCATTAGATAGTATCATCAATGCTGTGATTGTAACTTCGGCTTGGTCAAGCGGAAATTCGGTATTGTACATGTCCAGCCGCTCCTTGTATTCGCTTGCCATAGTTGGGAATGCGCCCAAAATATTCGGTTATTGCAACAAGCACGGGGTACCAGTTTATGCCGTCGTTGCATCTAGCTTGTTATCTTTGCTGGCATACTTAAATGTTGGCATTGTCAGTGGCATCGTATTCAATTGGTTTGTAAGTATCATCAACACCGCAGCCTTTATAAGTTGGGTTTGCTGCTGTGTCATTTACTTTCGCTTCAAGAAGGCGTGCGCAGCACAGGGCATTTCGGATTCCGATTTGCCTTATTCAAGCGTCTTACAGCCATGGGCAGCATGGGTTGCTGTCGTGGCATTCGGTATTTTTGGGCTGCTAAACGGATTCTCAGTATTCTTTCCAAATCGATTCAACGCCTCAGACTTTCTCACAGCGTATATCGGAATTATAGTGTTCTTATTGATATACTTCGGCCACAGGATCTCGGTCAATAGAAAAGACCCATGGATTAGAACACCCGACTCAGTTGATCTAAAGACAGGGTTGGCGGATATACTAACCAAAGAGGAATCCGATGCCGCCATTGAAGAGTTGGATCCCCCTGCCAAGCGTGATAGAAGTCGGTGGTTAAGGAGGATTTGCACATTGTGGGGATGGGACTAAAATGGCATTTGCCTATTCAAAAACAGTATAGACTTCCGTAGCCATGAACTTACACCGAAGGCCGAAGCCGAAGCCGAAGCTGGACGCTTATAAGAACCAAGAAGCATGTACTGTAGGGTGTTAGAGAGTCTATAACACTCTTGGCAACTTAGCTTACTTACTTCCTCATCATCACTATCCTAATATTCTTACGACATGGCTCACCAACCTACAAGTACCAAACCAGTAGGGGAGGAGCCCCGAATTGAAGTTATCGACCGCGAAGAAGATATCATTACCGGGTTTGACTGTGCTTGTAAGGCGTTTGGTAACCAAGTCCGTGACAACCTCTGGATGGCTGTGAATCCCGGATGGGATACGCCTGAGGGTAGAGCCCGTGCCGCAGCAAAACTGGTTAAGAAATGGCGCAACGTCACATACGACAAACAAGGGAATCCAAACAGCATTTTCCTCAAGGCTACTGTTTCAGACCAAGGACGACCAGTTGTGGCAGGTTTAGCTATCTGGGAACAATTATCAATCGTCGAAGGCCATGGCGAACAGCCGCCTGACGACCAACGTATCGCCTCGGACGTCGAGGCGCTATACCCAGGCGATGAGGTCGAGCAGCGCTACCTTTCCCAAACCTTGCGCTCGTTTTTTAAGCGCCGCGTCGAGGTTGTTAGGGAAAAGGCAACGTCGAATCCACCAGCAGTGATGCATCTCCGTTCATGTTCCGTCGATCCGGCTTACCAGCGAAGGGGAATCGCACAAAGGTTTGTTCAGTGGGGTCTTGACGAAGCACAACGTCGAGGTGGTTTAGAGGCTATTACCGAAGCGTCAAGCAGTAAGTGTACCATATTCTATACTTTTATTCGGGCATAAAACCTTCCGTCTCCCTTTCCCATTCATTCAAGATACAAATCAAACCCGCCGTCTCCTCCCAGTCCGAATACCCGACCCAGTAGCATATAGAGTTTCTCAAGCAGCAGCAATAACTAACTTGTATATAATAGTGGGAAGGCATGTATACTCCCGTCTGGGCTTTCGCGCCGAAGGTCCCGATATGGAGTATGAAGTTGATGCCGAATTTCTCTCGCGAGAAAGGCCACCCAACCTGTTCATGCGCACTGGGGTCAGCCAACAATGACACCATACAATTTGCGTTTTACTTCCGCTTTGATTGGGATGTAAATACAGGAGTAAGAGTTCGAGGGACTGGTGTCCACTGCATCACAGGGACTTGTATATGAGCCAGGTACCTGGGCTCCCCCTTTGTTCATGAAGAATTTTAATCGGTCAAACAAATCGCACGCATTACTTATACGAATTCTTACCAGCATCAATGACATTAACGCAGGACGAATCATATCTCACATTAATGAGTTAAAGAAGACTAACGAAGTTATAAGTAAAGGCTTTGTCTGGAAACTATGGGTGGGATTTTGAATGAAGACGATGCGTAACATACAATGAATATAGATACTTATACGCTCAATACTATTGTTTACTGGTAAACAAGGAATGCTTGGTTTAACATAGAACAATGCTATGGTCCGTGTCAAAATAAAAGGAAGGGGAAGTAATCAATAATTCCCATTCAAAATACGCATTAAATTCACAGATCACTACTCAATCTTGGAATTTATTACTCTCAAATATCCGCGTATAATCCCAAAAACAGACGGCTCGGACCAAAAATTTCATTTTTACCGCTTCAGCCCAACATTTTTGACCCAATGGATCCCACAACCGCGGAAGAGAGGCTCCAAAAAACGGAGGAACGACCCAAAAATCTCGAGAAGATTGCTCTGATTGGTATCGAAGCCCAGGCAACAGCAACGGAGATAAGTGGCGAGGAATTCAAAAAAGCTAAAGAGTTGGTACTAGAGATCTTGGAGGAGAGTTAGGAGCTAAGAGAACACGATCCACCTGTCACCCGTGAGGGGAGCGTCGGGAGTTCTCTAAGCGCGATTAATGTCACTATCAACGAAGATCAGGAGATCACTTACGACATTGAAAGCTCTACCGCGGTGGATAATGCTCAGCTTGAAGAAATCCTGGCTCAACTAAATAGTGAGAGGGAGAAGAATAGCGAACTTCAAATCTCATTAGAGGATTCAAGAAAGGTGGTCCAAACCCTCACTACAACCATTCGAGATATCCAAGGTAACATTAGGGTTTTATGTAGGATCCGACCTGCGACAAAGAACACCCCCGCAGAAGATGTTGTAGACTTTGGTCCAGAACTGAAAAGCGATTATTCCCAGTACTGGGGGAGAATGGCCATTCCAACTACGAGAAAAAATGTTACGGGGGCCGTAATCCCGGATAAGCCAAAAGAATACCATTTCGAGCGTGTCTTCAGCACGTCGGATACCAACGAAGACGTATTCAATCATATCAGCGACCTAGTTGTGTCTTCCATGGAAGGCAATAGGGTTGTGATGCTTGCTTACGGACAAACTGGTTCTGGAAAGACGTTCACTCTTACTCACAAAGGTGTGGACTCTAAAGAAGACGGAGTAATCCCAAGAGCCTTAGCTTTGATGTTCGAGACCTACGGCCAATCAACAGGGGATGTTGACCATTCCATCGAGGTAAGTATCCAGGAGCTTTACTTGAACAAGATATATGACCTCCTACAAGTAGCCGAGACGGAAAACAGGGAAGAGGGCATCATCCATGCAAATACCTCTAAGAAAGTGCCACTATATTCCTTCGAGCAGGCCCTGTTATCAATCGAGGACGCCATGAGTTACCGGGAAGTGTCGTCGACCGGCAAGAACGTGACGAGCTCCCGATCACATTTGATTCTGACATTCGAGATCTCCAGGGTGTCACGAACAGACGGTAGGAAACTGAAAGCGGCATTCTTAGCGTTGTCGACCTCGCGGGAAGCGAGAGGCCCAACGAGATGCAATTGGTCGGTAATCTTCGCGACGAAGGGATCGGAATCAACCAGTCATTAATGAGCTTGATTAAGCTTATCCATTCTATTGGCGCTGGGATTAATCCCACGTACGATACGCAGCTCGTAAAGGTCCTGAGGCCTTTCATCGTCCCGGAGTCAAAGGTGGTCATGTTTGTCATGATCAGCCCTCTGAAAACCGACCTACATGTCTCTTTTCAGACCCTCGAGAAGGGACAGGAAGCTTCGAAGGTAAAGATGAGCTCGGTCGGCAAATCCCAGGGCCCCTCTCCGAGTCCCAGACCCCGGCCGGGGCCATCTCCGCGACCTGTAACTCCCACCCCGTCCAATTCTTCTGGGAGAGGAACGTCCCCATCAAGAGGCAATAAGACACCTGTGCGAGGCGGGCAGTCTTCAAGGACCAATTCCCCGTTGAGGGGTCATGGCCGGAATTAGCCAAGACGTAGAAGGCTTCGAGGATCATCGAGTCTCATATCTTTTAGGTACAATGTTGGCTAGTTCTTAACCTTGCGCAGTAGCTATATTTCGGCAACTCTTAACACATTAGGTCTACTGACACCCTGATAGACACGTATCTTCGGTAGGTAGTTTGTAAGTAACATGACCTAATAAAAGCAGTCTTTCCAGTTTTCTCAAAACAGTACCTATAATACATGATCGTGACTTAGCATGGATCAGATATGGAGAACTCCTGACATCTATCGCGGGCATAATAACCTGATATTATGTAACAGGGTCGAGAAAAGTCTTGCCTAGTTCTCCCTCAGAAAACTAGCAGATGTTTTGTGACAAGTCAAGGCCTTCTACCGTAAATATCGTATTTGGCAAGGAATATATTAGCAACTAACTACCAGAAACCCTGAGGCTGTAGTAGTCGTTAGGGTATTGTCTACCTATTGCCTTTACCCCCACACCGCAACATGACAAATGATAAAGGGGGGTTAAATCAGTTGCGCAAGTTATCTCGAGTAGTTAGCTTTGCAAATTTCACAGGAAGGATATGATATAGAACTAGTCCTGTTAAGCCATAATGCGCGTAGTTAATAGACTTCTTGAAGATAATAGTACTAGAGTTGTCGAATGCTCTCTTAACCGTTACTCTATTACTTACAAATAAGATTTCAAGGTGCTAATAAAGGAAATTAGTCAATCAAAGACTTTTTGTTTAGTATTTATGAAGCTAAGCGAATCATCGAAAAGTCCACGCCCAAGGACTTTGCTTGCATAAACTCTTCACAGATTGTAACTTCATCCGAACCTACAACCCATACATTATCTGATCCACGAGTAGATCTTTTCATGCAGTTAAATTGTTGAAAGGTCGAGGGGTAAGTTAAGCTAAGACTAGCTTTTACACAAAGAACTTACTGCCTATATGAACGCAAATAACCACACAATTAATACAAGACTATTGTTATGTATAAACGCATGAAGCAAATAAACTCGCATCATTAGAATAGTTAGGTCTAGGTACCTACCTAAATGATGTAGGACTTTACCGACTTCTAATATAATCATAGGTATTGTTTGAGAAATTGCCTTTGTAACGACAAAAGGGACGTCCCGTCCTTGGCGTGCAGGCACGCCTTACATTTATTACGTAAGTGGTACGCGTCCCTGCATATATTTCAACTCAGGTACCGCACTGAGCCGCAAAATCAAACTAGAAGCGGCCAATTGATACAAAAAACAAACAGTCCCTTTTAACTTATCATCAACACCCTTGAATCTTCATATTTACAACATTCCCTCGAATAAGCCAACACTACTACTTGATAGAACATGCGTATACATCTTCCCACAACAGTGGAGTCATTCCCATAATTTCAATAGATACATATTATGTAAGTATATGATACTCCAGCACTACAAGAAGCAGATAGCTATCAGTGTCATACTCGTAACGAAAACGTAGTTAATCTAAATCTACTAAAATGGTAGACGCACAACTAAAAGCCTTGTCTATAAGTCTTGAATATTACTGATGTGCTGGCAAGATACATGTCAACTTAGGTAGCACATCAGAAAAGTTATGATCGATCAGTTGATCTCAAATAAGATATGCACCAATGAGAAACCAAACAAATCGTAGTACTTCATTCGAGGGTATTAGTAAAGCATCATTCTGAATGAATTAATTCAGAGGTACGATATCACGTTCAGAAAGATATGGGAAAGGGGCCTCTCGAGCTTTTACACACTTCATCCACGCTTACAAGACCAAATATGCATCACCACAAATGACTTACTAAGCTCCATTAGCTAACGACTTGGAACTTATAAGTTTTTAAATATTTCTCTTACATAGTACTTAGCAAAGCACTAGAAAACGTCACAAAATAGTTGGCCTTATGTACTGGGATTATTTGTTCATTTAAGTTCTAGCGAACCTTAAATCTACCTAAGGTATCCATAAAGCAACAACCATATGCACGGGCATGAGCGCGACAAAGCCTCCTCCGGAATGGGACCTTAAACTCTGCGGGGATATCCTATCCCGGCCGACGCCGAGTCTGTCTCTCTCTAATTCATACTTTGGTCCTCAACCGATCAACTGATCAACCGACCGACCAACAACCAATCGACTGACCCCACCTCCCTAAGGCAAGATAGGTAAACCGGAAATTTAAGCCGCAGCCGGGGCGTTGGTCTCGAGGAGCTTGACGAGCGCGTTGGGGTTGGCTCCAACGAGCTTCTCGGCGGGGGTCAGCTCGCCGTCCTTGAACAGCAGGAACGTCGGCATCGCGGTGATGCCAAGCTCCTGGGCCAGCTCGGGAAGGTCGTCGACGTCGATCTTGGCGAAGTGCACGTCCTTGAACTTCTCGTCGTTCGAGTGCCTAAGAGAAAATACGTGATTAGCAATGAATTGGATTTTTCCTCTTCATGATAGGAAAATCGTACAACTAGGTGATAATAGCCCGGAGAAGAAAATCCCAGTGCGGCGCCCAGTAGTAGTATTGTATGTCTTGCGCTTTTGCTCGTGAGGGATTTCGGTTGCGAAAACAAGGAGGAAGACGAGAAAAAAAAGAAAAAAAAAAAAAAACTCACTTCGTTAAGATGGGAGCGATAGCCTTGCAAGGACCGCACCAGGTAGCAAAGCAGTCGAGCAGGACGACCTTGTTGTCCTGAACTGCCTTCTTGAAGGCGTCGGCGCTTTTACGAAAATTTTAGCTTCCTCATATAAATGCTATATCATGCACATATATATATATCGACGGGCATATCAGAAAGCCACACGGAGGGGGAGGCTGCTAGTCTAGACGGCTTGAAGCGGGGTTATGCAAGCCGCAGAGGGACACGGCATATGTGCGGCGGTGCGAAACAACAACTTACGAGTCGTAGGTGTGGACAGTCATTCTGGGCGAGGTAATGTGGAATTGTCTCAAAAACGGGATTTGCGGCGACGACGACGACGGCTTGTAGAAAGATTGCCTAAGAGTAGACTGGGCTGTACGAAACAACAGGTTTCTTGACATATGGAGGTTGGGAAAATTGCGAAAAAAGCGGGAAAAAAAGAAAAAGAAACGCGGGGTGTTTGGTGCGTTTTTATTTAAGCTGGAAGGAGGTTAACAAGGCTGTGTGCCAAGACTTGTAATTGTAATTGCAAGTTTGTAAGCTTCTAAAAGCTGATGCGTACCTGCCTGGTAACTTTAGTGACCCGAATTCATGCAGGTCAGGTCAATTGAAACGGTAATTTGTTGCCGAATAGATCGAGGAGAAGTGGTTGCCCTTTCGAATAGGGCAAAGCTAGCTGATGATGTAAATTTTGATTTGTCAGGCCTTCTTATGACGTGATTATTGTCCTATCTAAGTTAATAGGTTCGGCTTAGCTGTGTGGCTTATAAGGCGTTATTTAGCTTGCATTTCGTGGCGTTCAGCTGCATTGGTTCAATGTTCTACAATATTTCCCCGATCACTTGCTGCTCACTTGATTCCATAGAAAGTGCATATTTTCGTATTAGTAACGATCTACAGCTTATTATATCTTCGGTGTTTGAACCACTAACCAGTAATAAAGATGAATCAGCTACGGGGTAGTATAAAAGTATTAACTAGGTAGTAAACTTAATTAGCAGTTTCGTGCTTTTATAGTCCTTTGCTCCGAAATAAGACAATCAGCTCTTATGCGCGTTCGACACGTCACAATTCGAATAGGACAACTTCTGCATGGGCAACTAAAATTCCAAATCAATCTTACCGCATACCTACCCGTGATGGGTACCTTGGGTTACACTAAAGAAAGTGCTGATGAACTAGAACCAGGCGTCCGGATTTACGAGCGAACCAATAAATCTGCGTAACGCAAAACTGATTTGACAGGGATAACAACAACAATAATAATGACAAGACGTTTGTTTGTAGCTAGCTACTCATATTCTATACGAAGTTTACTTTTGCTTTTCATCTGAATATACCTTTAAGATAGGTAGGTATTCAAGGTAAGAAAAATACTGGCTTATACCCTATCACCAGCAGAAGCAAACCTAAGATAATCTCTGCACAACATACTATTTTTACTTTTCACCAATAACTTAAGAGCCTTCAAATCAAATGGATTAGAAACATAATTTCTTTCTTTCTTTTCTTCGCTCGCAAGGTCTACAAGCGTTATACATCATACATACATGTACACACAAACGTGATCAACCCTAAAACTCCAACGTCATGGGTAAGGCAGGGGTATAATAAATTGGCCCAAGTCGGCCTCGCAGATATTTCCGAACACCTCTAGTTTTGATTCGAACATCCTTTTTTTATTCCCCTCCCCGATCCTGAACACCGGTTGCCTTGCCTACTCGCCAACTTGAGCCTTTCTCTCTCTCGCCCAAGCATGTCTATTTGAAAACCGGAAGACGCATCGCTGTTGAATTAGCTAGTAAAATCCAGTAGTCACTCACAAGGTTGTGAGAATGAGAATGCCGTTAACTATGCTCAATCCCATGGAGGACTTGGATTTGATGCGCTTGCCTAGCATGCACGGATCCTTGACCTTGCCTACGAGCTATAAATTCGAATAGACAGAAGCATAAGCTATCGAAATTTAATGGCCGGCCAGTGTATGGGAGAAGACATCTATGCATCACTGTAGGCATCTTCCTGGACGCCTCATGAACCCCTGCGCTGCAGCAGAATATGAGTGGTATCAAAAAACAGCCAACAAAGCCGCGCGCAATAAAAACACATAACCCCTATGGTATCGCAATGTATCAAGAACAAGAAAAGCAAGCCATATTTTACCCATCCTCCATATGTTTCTGTAAAAAGCAGAGAAGTCGATAGGTACGCATAGCATATCATAGAAAAGATATGCGCATCAGGACGCTTGATAAGCGGGCGTCGGGTTTAGCCAGTAGTGAAGCTGGAACGGCACTAGTGCTGGGGTTTCCATTGGTTTGGTTGACCTTGGAAGGGTGCAAATATTCCGATCGTACAGCCAGGAGATAGACCAGATACTTTTATTCCTTTTCAACTTTTTTTGTGGCGTTTTTGGTGTTGAAACTGGAAAGGAAAGGCCGTAATGAATGAATGAGGTCGGTATCTGAGAGGGTAAGGAAATATCAAATGAATGTCGTTTAGTTGGTAGCTGTTGGTCGGACGTAAATGGAAGGTAAAGAAAAATGAACGTTAATCGTATCTCCTGGTTTAGATCGTGCACCCGGTTGGTGTTGAAATGGTTTGTCTGGTTCCAAGTAATGTTAACCCACTCGCTCCTAGTCAGCGCACATCACTACTGGGTGCCCTGGTCAATGAAACTTTGCCTGTTCTCGCTAGATGCTCGAGGTGATATCTCTAGCAGCTTGGCGCTACCGGCGCTGAAGTTTCGAGCGTGGCCCTTATCAAGGCTAACACTAGTTGCTCTCTGCGGTCGAATAGGACATGAACCCTCTTCTTCATCGTCGCTGTACTTCTCGAGATCTTTCTCATCATCGTCAAAAGACTGAAGAAAGCCTTCTCTGCTTTGCATAGTATCTCTGTGGTGCACAACAGGTGTTTGACTAACAGTGCCCCACTTGGCTTCCCGGTCTTCATCTCCCTCGTCACTACTTGGGCGAGCCTCGCCTGTGGATTTTTCATGCGAGTGAGTAGGGACGACACTGTTCATATACTCGTCTTCAACGATATTCTCATCGTCGGAAGCACGTTCTTCGTATTCCGTGGAGAAAGGAGGCTGAGCATATTGCTGAAGCGAGCTCCTCATACCTGACGAGGCTCGCTTCCTACTGATGCGACCTGAAAGCCAAGATGCTTCCGAATCTATAGAGGCAAGCGACATGGATTGCGGTGCCGGCGACGACTGGATTTCATCTCGTTGCCAGGAATTAGGTGTCGCGCGCATAACCTCGTGTGATCGACGGCCCGAGGTTGGGGTATCATAACGCATCTGCACGTCATCGGTGATTACAGGCAAAGGGTCCACGGGCAGCGGATCGGCATCGGGAGATGTTACACGCGAATCTGGGGGTGATAGCGGTAACTCAGGGAGGTCCTCTCGGAAACGAGACATAGTCCTCTTTGGTACGTTCGAGCTGATTTTTCGCGGTATATAATTCTGGTGTGCTAGCGGTGGACCTGCTGACATAGAATCACGCGAGGTATTCGAGAAAGATGACGGACCGGAGCTGCGTTTGTTCTTACCCCATCTGAAGAATGACCTCCAAGGCCTCGAAGAGCCGGCATCAGAGACCCTGCTACCTGACTCCGCATAGTCTGGTTTACTTAGCGAAGGCGAAGGTTGTTCAATATCAACCCTCGTTCGAGCCGATCCCTTGGGTGATCTTGAACGGGATGTCCTTGTGCGAATGAAACTTAAAACCCTTGGGCTCGAGGCACGCGAAGACGGCTGTTGTTGCTCTTGGGAAGACTCGGGTACTTGGGAAGACTCGGGAGCCTTAGCAGGCGTGGACGGCTCAAGTGGAATACTTTCCGTGCGGTGGAACTCATCCAAAGGCTTTGGTGAATCCTTACGGGTTTCTAATTCCTCCTGCTGCTCGCTATATCTCCGTGGCGATTCGTCTGAGCGTCTCCTTCTTGACGATGTAATAACTACTGAGGCTGGATCTTCACCTGTCATTTCACGACCCAGAACACCCCTTTCCAAGTTTTGAGGCGGCGGAGTACCGCTTTTGACAGCCTCGGCTTCTTCCGCTAGCTGTTTCTCTGCCCTTCGAGCAAGACGTCTCTCTAACCTTTCCCGCTCTATCTCTTTCTTCCTTTCTCTCCTTCGCTGGTCCCGCTCCATCAATTCTCGTAGATCCGATGCATCTAAATCATCCGCTAGGTTATCGATCCTCTTATGAGCTCGAAGTGTAGCTTCAGGAATTGCGCCCCTTTCTGTAAGCTTCCGTTTTGTCGATTGAGATCGAGTTAGTCCGCTAATAGCTGCTGGTCCATAAACAGGATTGGAGGCACATCGCAGTGTCGGACGTGGTGCGAGAGCCTCAAAGGCTGAAACCTTCCAAGAAAGCTGTTCCGAATCCGTCGATATAGCTGAACGAATCGAGTGAGGCAAAGGTAAAGAGATATCGGAGGAAGGTTCGTCCCAATTTCTGTTCGAGCCAGGTCTTGTTCGCTTGCTCTCATTTTTCATCAAGCGACCAGCTGGCCAGGCGTCCGCAGCAGGGCGCGCCGGCATAAACTGACTCATAGCCTTAATTTCAGCTTCTCGAACATGGTCCTCTTTTCGACGTTTACTAGACTTTTTTCGTGGCAAAGGTTGGCCCCGTCGTTTATTCCGTGAGCTTTCATGATGCAAGGTCGGCACTCGAGTTGCGAGATCATCGTTGGGACATGGTGACATCCCGGGGCCTCTGTAGGCTTCATCTGGAACAGCGGGCATAAAACCAGGGGGTAACGATGCAATCGGTCCCTTCTTAGTCTTAGTAACACGTATAGAGTCTCGACGGCCGGGCGAAAAGCTGTAAGTACGTTGGCGCCGTTGCAGCTTGTGAGGGCCATCTCGTTTTCCTCTCAGGGACTCATTGCCTATCGGGGTACCGGCAGGTTCGGTCTGACTTCGTGAGGCAGGTTGACGGCCACGGTCTAAAGTATCAACATCGGAACCAACAGCTGGTGTTCGAGTTCGCTTGCGCGAGCCCCTGCGACGGAAAGGCCACAAGGCCATATTTCCACTGGTTAACAGTTTGCCTTAATTTGTAGGAAATATTAGCGAGGCTATATCTCGATTCGCGATTGCGAGTTCCTGTCGATGATGCTAGGTGACGATCGCTGTAGAATTATTATCGCCATGGGCGCGGATTAACTCGAATTATGCATATAGTCAGTAGAGTATTGAACTATATGCTACCAAGTCAATTCGGTTCGCTGAGATTGATCGCAAACCAATTCATGCAGTTCCTGACTGAGTCTTGCTTGAATTGACAGAACATCCAAAAACGTCGTCGCACTGCAGTAACCGGAAGGTTATTACACGCAAATTATATTGAGGTGTCTCTCCTTGCTTTAGTTGAAGACTGAGAGACCAATTAGTGATGACCGAAATATGAAAGGTGTGGATATTGGGGTTGACGTGAACTGCTCCAATGCGTTTCCAGCGCAGGCATGAGGATGGAGCTTGTTCGTGTTGGAATGCAGCAGGTTCTGGATTGAGCTCAAGATTTTGGTGGTTATGGTTCGAGGTGGTTCAGTTCTCTTTGGGGAAAGAGACAAGAAACATTCCCTCTAAAGGGACTGTGGCGGTTCGTCAGTTGCCAGTGGGGAGATATGGAACAAACCACGGATTGCAAGGAACCTGACATAAGGGAAAAAGAGAAAAAAAAAAAGTCAGAAAACGGGGGTAGGGTTCTTTGGCAACTGCTATTTTCAGTCGGTGCGTGAGGTAGCATGTAGCATGTAGTACGTAGCGTGTAACAGGGGGCCAGCAAGGACAGCAGGGACAGCAGGGACAACCCAGGGAAAGGGCGATTAAATGGACTTTGCGAAATGAAGTCACACACAGGGGAAACCCTTGGGCCGACGCAGGCTGGAGATGCTAGGTAAGTAACGGGCTGACGGGTACGCGGGTACAATACACTAGACAATCACCCTTTTAGTGGAGTTATTTAGAGTATTGTACATATCGAATTCGGTTGTGCTACGTAGCATACAAGTACATATATGTAAATATAAGTAAAGGAGTACCTCGTAATATCCTGCCGATCCGTAGCGATTCCTAGGAATTTAATCATTTGTTAGAGTAGCTAGTTACTTTTTGCATACCTTGGGGATGCATTCTTCCTGGCCACTGAACTGTACCTACATCATGTATGTAACATCCGAATCGTTACCTAACCACCCTGTCCGAAGTTAGTCCTATTAGGGGCCACGCATTTGACAGGGTGCGGATTGACAAAAAAAAAAAAAGATTCTGGGTACGGTGGTACATGGGGTATCTGGATCCAAATGGAGGGTACACAGGACATGTAGGCATACATCCAATCCAATAAGCATCTAAAGGAGTAATAGTACTCAATGGCAAGGCAAACCTTTCTCCCGTCTGTATGAGATACACGCAGCTTCCCACGTATCTCTCCTCCAAGGGAGATACATCTTACGGCTATGCGGGATGGACCCGACCCTCGAAAATCCTTCAGATTTAGGTACCTAGGCATTTGGGGGATTTACACTAAAATTCTCTGTGTAAGACTAACAACACGACTGCAAGACTAAAAAAGATGAAACTTTACTAATATTGTAAGAATGTAAGAATGCAGGTCACTTAAGGTTTAAGAGCTAGTTAGTGGGAAGTTGGAACGGCTCGGGAACGATTTTTGATGAGTCGCGACCAATGAGATATTAGTGCATTAGAGGTACTTACTATGTAGTGGACATCTATTAGTTGGCTGTAAGCATTAACTAATGTACCTTACAATACAATATTGTACAATGGCATAGGCTATCGTTAACTGCGAAAAAAAAAAATGTTGCCTAATACATGCCTCATGTTCACTTATACGCAAAAGACACTCTATCGACGATATACATATCAGTCATTTGATATTAAGACACTCCAGACTATGTACCAATCGATAGCCGTTCTTTAGCGATTATCAATGATAACATGGCGTAGCATGGCATGGCGGCACTTGAAGGCGACAGCCGGACTTTTGTGCAGGTAAGCTTTAACCGGTGATGTCAGGTACAAGGAAAACAGCAAGGTACGACACATGCCTGATGTAATAGGTCGAGTTATCTTAGAGGAAGCTACATGATATTACTGTTTGTTTGGTGCAAGCTGATGAGCCCTGAAATATGTCATCATGCAATTTCTTACAGCTATTTTGTTTTGTTTTGTTTCTGTTTCAACAATTCGATCCTTCACCTACCTAGGTAAACTAACAGCGCCGAGAGCACTTACGACGAAAAGTTTCACGTCCGAGCTTCACTAGGTTAAACAATAGCACCAAATAGGTACGTTGCGTTAATGGGTCGTTTGGCAGCACGGCTTGCCGCTTGGCCCATGCTAATCGGACGCGGGTCTTGTGGGCTAAGTGGGAACATCTATAGTGAAAGTTCGATCGGCCACAGTAAATGGTTAACCCTTTTCTTAATAGAAATGGTAATAATATTTTTTTTTAATTCTCCTTCCGCGGTCTAGAGGGAAGCACTTATTCGATGGCGTCGAAACTATTCCTCCAAGTGCCTACGCAAACCAAAACTACGAACCCAGGCACAAAAGGATTACATTGGAATATCTGCCTCTTTTTAATACCTCTGGCTGCGCCAAGCTAAATGGCCTACCTACCTCCTACGTTAGAAGTATGCATTTATTACGGGCATGCTAGCGAGCGCTAGATATCCACCGTTGTCGTCCAACGCTGTAACCGAGGCCAGTTGGCCCCGTATCGTACAGTACCTATCTAGGTAGCGGATGGCTACCAGTAGAAGATTCGGCGGTGGAATACCTAAAAACCCGTACAAGTTTCTCGTATTCACGACCTTGCCAAGAAGGATTTGAACAGTGTCACGCTTTTTACAACCGAACTATTGCAGCTTGCAGCCAATATCGATTTTTTAGTTTCCTCTAACCCTACCTAAGCTTTACGAATAGCATACTATTAAGCAATCTGAGCAGACTTGAGTAGGTATGTAGTTTGACTAATGCTATTTTTGTTGTGAATATAGTACAGCTTGTGCATTGCAATAGGCCTGTAAGGGGATGGCCGTAGGGCCGTGTACCTCCTGACCTCCTGCTTCTCTTCTCTCCCTAGTTTTATACATCACCGCAACTCATCCTTGAAGATCCCAAGAGTTTCACGCTCGAGTGCCCTGTCTAACCCATATATACACTAGATAAAGGACGCAAAAGGCAAGCAGGTATTAGCGATAATCTGTGTTCGGCTCTCATTGAAAATCTGGATCTATGGTACTTGCATATGCGGGGGACGGCAATGATAACTCAAGACAAAGTAGTTATGCCTCTAAAGACTGACACGTAGAAGATTGTGTGCTCGATGCACACATCCCCCCTGGACCGTCAGACAACAGGATGGTTCCTGAGCAGCTTAATGGCCGATTGGTACCAAACGTGCGTCCAGATAAGGACATCTTTGGATTATGTGTTATATCGCTCTAGCCAGAGCAACAAATCTTGACGCAAGCAGTTGACTACTGTCCCCGTTTTGGGCGAGGAATATATCGAATGATTGGGCGCTCGACTCTGATAACGTCGTAAATCGCGAGCCGCTGCCCCTCTCATTTCCTGTGGATCTCTACGATATCTAAGAGGATGAAAAGCATAGCTGCCCATACAACATTCTTCCATTGGATGTAAACGTCTGTTCTCCGCAAGCCCTGGAAATAAACGATTCCATACTCGCATATACATAGAAGGATCTAGGATGGGAAAACTCTGATTGGTTGTATAGACAAATTACGCATTATAGTGAGAAGCTTCTAGCGAGCCAAGTACTAGATTAGGTATCTTACTGCTTACACTCAGATCACTCACTACCTCGGTATACAGCGAAGATTCCTGATTGTGGCTGTATCCATGATTATCAAAGCCGAGTCTTATGCCAGGGTATCCGGGGTATCTAGGTTGTGCAGCTGAAGAAAAAAAAAATAAAGGCCGCTGAAGAGGTTTCAGATTGACTTCTTCTATTATAGAATAATACCACGGCGGATAAATATCTTGTAGTGGCTTAAAATCATGTATCATAGAAGCATGTATGCGTCGGATATTATTTTAAGGGCGGTAGTGGTTTGAGCCACTCAGCCCACATGGTACTTAGGTGAGATTTCAGATACCCAACTCGTGGGGCGGGCTTAAGATGAGTTCATACATGATATATTTAAATTTAAAACCAGCCATATCTCAACTATGAAGATAACATGATAGATAGTTGCAAAAGTGGAAAGAGAAATAAACATGTTGTTACGAATTACCTTACATTTGCACTACGGTTCTGCATAATATACATATTATGTAAGCTAGGTAGTATAAATGCATGCATGCAACCATTAGCCAATCAGCAAGGATGACAAAATCAATTGTTTACATACCCGCACTCTATCTCTTAGCCTGCTCGGCCCACATAGCAACCGTATCAAAACATATCTCCAAGCCTTTTTCTATCCCACCACTCAACTCGATAATCCGGAATAATAATCGAAAATAGTATTTTCGCTTTTATACCATATGATCTAATATCATAGAATATCCGAACTTCACGGTCCCTTCGAAAACTATAAGCATCCAATAGCGTGACCATGGCGTACAATCCGCGAATGTCGATAATACCGCCGGCGCAAACCCAGTCGCGCACCCGCAAAAAGGAGGAAGAAGCCGATGCTTTCATGCGGCTGCCGGATAGGGAGATCGTCGGTTGCATAACAGACATCGGCATCCCCTTCACTGTCGCCGACCTGCAGAAGCCAAACCCGTTACAAGTACAAATGATTTTTGAGTGGTTCGCCGAGCTGTTACTAAATGCGACCCGCGACACTGTCGAGCCGGCGATGCGCGCTGCCGCCGAAGATGTATGCGGCGAGTTTGTCGATATAGTGCCTCCCGATACTCGTAACCTACTGGGATTCTACGTATCACTGCGTAAACTACTTCTTGAGTGTGGAATTACAGACTTCAGTTTTAGCGACCTATATAAGCCCACGCATCCACGCCTCGTCAAGATTTTCAGCTACCTGATAAATTTTGTTCGCTTCCGCGAAAGTCAAACGAATGTTATTGACGAGCATTTCAACAAAGCCGAACAGACCAAGGCGCGAATCGAGACGCTATACGGCGAAAACCAGGATTTGGAAGCTAGACTGGAAGAGATGCGACACAATCGGAAGGCGATGGAGGCCCAGGTCCGCGAGAAGACGGAACGCAATGAGGAACTAAAGAAGACATTGCTGGAGTTACGGCGGAACCAAGAAAAGGTCGCAGTTCGGTTAGAAGAGGCTAAGGCGAAGAAAGGAGAACTAGCACAAAGGCTCGAGCAAAAGACAACCGAGAAAATGCTGCTCAAGCAGGAAAGTGCCAAGCTACGACCGTACACTCTGCAAAGTCCCCAAGCGTTGCAAACAAGTTTGGCGGAGCTCAGCAATACTCTCAATACAGATAAGGCCCATATAGATTCTCTGGATCGACGGGCAAGGGCACTACAGACTTCAACCGATTCCTTCGGTGTTGTTGCGACGGATGTGGCTTCTTGCATCAAACTCCTCGACGAGATCTCCGTGGAACTGGCCAAGGAGGAAGAGGAGAATGCCAGAAATGCTAAACAGCGAGATGCGTTGTCAGAACGTGGCAATAACGTCAAAGAAGTGGAGAGAGTAGAAGGATTACTACAGAGACAATTAAGCAAGTGGAACGAGCGTACGGAAAAATTGCGCGAACAAAGTCAGGAAAAAGCACAGGAAGCCAAAAGGAAAATGGAAGAGCTCCGAGCATTGCATAAGAAACTAACGGAGGAGCGAGCGACGAAGGGTACGGAGATCGAGAGGCGGAGAGTCCGAATCGAGCAGACTGAGAAGAAGGTATGTGTGACTAGATTATGGCCGTTCCCAATGTCTCCATCTATGATGCTAACAAGGTGATAGATGCTGGACCTCAAGGAAAACATCGAGAGAGAAGTTCACAGCGCATATGACGAATATCTGAAGATGGAGTCGCACATCAAGCTGTACATCACAGAGATGGAGCAGGCCATATCCATCTGATCGCTGTCGCTCAATGTTTTTTCTTACGTATGCATAGGTAACGAGATCACGAGAGGGATAATGATACCACGGCAGGCGTTAAGGTGTTATATACCGGCCGGGCCCGGAAAAGTGCACATAAAGCCCATTATCATTGTAATTTTGTGTGTTAGGCACCTGAAGAAATACCATATTATTGCTAGAGTTCACTCCTCTTTACTTGCGCCTACCTTTCGCTCATCGGAGCTGATATCATCCCACTCCCCAAGTTGAAAACAGAACCATCGCTTCATAACTCTTCCGACTTCTACGGTCCGACCGGTCCAACCCGCCTCCATGTCGGGACCCAGTCTTCGCCCCCCGCCGCTTAAAAAGGGAACATTTTCCCTCAGAAGATCCTCAAACGGCGATGCGACGCCGTGCTTCCGGGGCTCGACGACGATCGTCTGCCACGACAACCGATGGCCCAGCTCTACTACCGCCGATGCGGAATCGCCTAGTCCCTGCGCGCTCCATTCGCTCGTGTCCCGGTGCATCTCCAGAAACCCGTATAGGATTATACACGGCGCGTACTTGCCCGAGGGGTTGAAACCGGCTGGCGGGACCGGGACTCTGGAGTCGTCTGGTGAGAAGACGGACAGGTACGCGCGGAGATGCGTGACTGTGGGGACGTACACGACGCGGATGTGTCGCGACGTGGCGATCTGGTGCAGCGGGGAGGAGAGTAGCGGGTGATGATGTGGTGGTTCCTGTCTCCCACCTTGCTCTTGCTTGGTATCGTCATGAGCCTCCGGCGGCGCGCCAGGTGGTGGTGGTGGCGAACTTCCTACGGAATGCTCGGCCGAGGCTACTTCATCGTGACAGGCTGGCTCGTGAAAGATATCGGCGGCGAGAGATGCGAGAAAGTCCGAGCGGGAGGAACATATGATCAGTGTAGTGGGGTGGATATGGTGGCTTAGGATATAAGTGAGAAGCTCGGAGGGTAGGGCTGGGGAGAGAAGGAGAAAAGGTGCCGAAGACATGAATATTGTGACTTCATAACGATAACGGCCATTAGGTAGTTTTACTTGGAATTTGAACGATGAATTGTTATTATTATTATTATTATAGTGAAAGCATGCGACTGTTTATCTGCATTCCGGAATATTATGTTCTAGGTTGAGTACCTAATCCATATGAAGTTGTCCGGGTTTGACTGCCGTACGCCGATCTTATAGATAAATTCCGTTCCCCGGAGAAGAGTTGAAATTCGGAGGTGGATGTGTGTTATGTCAGCGCTAGCGTGGAACTAAGCAGCTAAACTAGAAGGTAGCTCCACAAAATATCAACGGGGAAAAGCCCCGCCAAAGTTCCAACACGGCTGCTGCTGTACAATATCGATCCAAGCTTTTAGTACCTAGATCCCCCAGCTCTGGATCCCAGCTCTGGATCCCTCTTTTCCACCGACGTCACACACCTAAGAAACACGCGACAAAACGCAACCAGCTTACAAGCTGTGTGTGCGCGTCCTCACTTTTACGCTATGGAGTCTATATCTCGAATATCTAATCTACTAGAGAGCGGTAAGGACTTTTGCATTATATTTTTTTTTTTGAATAACGATTGGACCAAAGTACACTGGCTGACTGACTGACTTTCCCCGTCTCCAGCTCGGGAACTCACCCTCGATGCGGCCCAAGCAGCCCGGAGCTCTCGCAGCACCACGCGATCTCTACCAACGGCGCAACTTAAGAAGCTTCTCGACAGCCGGAATGATCGTGAGGTGCTCGACGGACTGCGGCGGGTTATTTCTGTACGCATCTTCCGTTCCCTCTCCCCTCCTCGTCGACTACTAGGAATAACGCCGACTGATCGATCCTCCTTTATCTAGATGATGTATCGCCAACAGAAAACGCTTCCGTTCTTCTCCTCCATCGTAAAGAATGTTGCGTCGCCGAACCTCGAAATCAAGAAGCTTGTATACATATATCTTATACACCATGCCGAGCAAGAACCAGATATGGCCCTTTTATCTATTAATACGATCCAGAAGTCCCTTTCAGATTCGAACCCCCAAGTCCGAGCCCTTGCGCTACGGACTATGTCTGGCATTCGAGTCCCAGTCATCAGCCAGATCGTATCCTTAGCTATCAAAAAGGGGACGGTCGACATGTCTCCTCACGTGCGTAAGGCAGCTGCCCTCGCCATACCGAAATGCTACCGTCTAGAACCGAACACTCTACCCCAGCTCCTAGAATACTTGACGACGCTCTTGGGCGACAAGCAGTATTTCGTCGCGGGAGCCGCAGTTAGCGCTTACATGGAGATATGTCCCGACAGGGTGGATTTGATCCACAAGCACTACAGGAGTCTTGTCAAGAAGATTGTAGACATGGACGAGTGGAGCCAACTGGCAGTACTGAGAATGATGTCTATATACGCGCGGAAGTGCTTCCCAAGGCGGACGAGGATTGTTAAGTCACAAGAAAAAGCGGCCGATCTCCAATACTTCTACGGGGAGAGCGAATCAGAGCCCGCCTCGGAAGGAGAACGGGTAGTCATTCTCGATCCGGATCTCGTCCTGCTACTCAACGGGATTAAGCCACTTCTACAAAGTAGAAATTCAGGTGTGGTAGTAGCTGTGGCTCGCTGTTACGCAGACTTAGGGACACCCGAATATACTAAAGCCGCTGTCGGTCCTTTAGTTGCGCTTTTGCGGGGAGCACAGGACATCCAACAAGTCGCTCTGTATAACATCGTATCTGTTTGCCTTGCATATCCGGAGTCGTTCGTCAAATACGCTTCTCACTTCCTCGTCCGCGCCACCGACACAGCTCCAGTATGGGAGCTAAAGCTCGAGGTTCTCACACTAATCTTTCCCCACAGTCCCTTGCAAACGAAGAGTCTCATCCTTAATGAGCTCGAGCATTTCTCTCGCGGGACGAATAAGTCGCTTGTCCGCGAAGCAGTGCGAGCTATTGGACGATGTGCGCAAGCGGACCCAGCGACCGCGTCCCGATGTATGCGGCTTCTGTTAGGGCAAATAACGAGTCTTGACGGCACTTTAGCTGCTGAATCTCTAACGGTAATCCGTCACCTTATCCAACAAGAGCCTCAAGCGCATGTAGGAACTGTTGTGCGCTTGGCGAAGAATCTCGATTCTGCGACCGACCCGCAAGCCCGCGCGACAATCATCTGGCTCGTGGGCGAATTTTCTGGTCTGAATGGTGAGGACAACATCGCGGCCGATGTGCTTCGAATACTCCTGAAAGAATTTGCAGAAGAGTCCGAAATTGCCAAGCGGCAGATTGTCCTTCTCGCAGCCAAAGTTTACCTGCACCACCTCAACCGAACAGCGGAGGCACAAAAGTTAAACGAGGGGAACAATGAACCCCCGCCGAACTCAGAAGAGCATCCTATTGTCCGCTTGTGGAATTACGTTCTCCTACTCGTTCGTTACGATACGTCGTATGACTTGCGCGACCGCACGCGCTTATACAAAGCTTTGTTAAGCGTGCCCCAACTAGCGACGCTCATGCTACTCGCGCCTAAGCCCGCGCCTCACGCGCCCAGCCCCTCCGAAACAAGGAAGGGGTTCCTGCTAGGATCATCGGCATTAGTACTCGCCGGCGGCGGAGGCGTGCATGGGCTGCGCGGATACGAACCCCTGCCGGACTGGGTCGAGGAGGGCAGGGAGCCGGACCCGAAGCTCCGGGCGCAGGACGGAGTTCCGAACGAATACGGCGAGGAGAAGAGAGCTATTCCGGCGGCGCGGATGCTTGGCGACACTTCGGCGGGGGCACAGGGAGGTAGGAGTAATGGGCTCTCGGCTTCGGCGGGGGCGGGGACGGGGGCTAAGACTTTGGACGATTGGCTTGCCGAAGACGAGGAGGAAGATGAAATAGGAGATGAAGGCGAGGAGGAGGAGGAGAGTGACGAAGAAGAGGAAGAAGACGAGGAGGAGGAGGAATCAGAGGAGTCTGAAGAGGGAGATGAAGAATTGGACAACTCCAAAGCTGAGCTTGAAGGGTTCCTTAATGGGTAACATTAAACTTGCTCACTTGCTTACTTACCTAGGTACCTGCCTTTTCCTCTTTTGCATATCGAGCAGGGCTTCCGCGAATAGAAATGAATGCATAGGCGCGGAAGAGCGTTAGGACCGGCCCGTATAGAAGAAATACATACCTAGGCGTTGCTAGATCGTGGTTCCACTAGCTATTGGCTTACATTAGGCACCTAGGTAGTAGAAAGACTAATGAAATAAAGATCGTCTAACATGTCCCGTTCATGAATGCAATTATCGTGCATGTATTTGATACTACGCTTGACCATCGGGATATATATAGTATCACTCAAATGAGATGACATAGATGTTTGAGAATATGATGATGTACGAATGTGGATCTAGGGTATGAAATAAAAGGGGGGAAGTAGGTACTTGAATCAGGTGCCTAATATATGTGTGCAAAACTGTAGAAGAGATATCTAGTATAAATAAGAACGTCTATATCATGGCACATGCTCTATGCAGTTTCCTACCTAACCTAGGTAGGCAAATATATGTCCAAAAGCGAACGTCCAAAGCATATCTCCCCCTTCCCCCCCTTCCCCCCCTTCCCCCAGATCTAATTCCTAACTTGGAGATAAACCACAAGAGATTATCTATCTATTACATACCTACCTATCTTGTAAAACAAAAGGGAGGCGGAAATATACCCCCCAAAAAAGGACTATACGCTAAGGCTCTTCTCCCCCTGGTGTCCCCTGTCGTCGTCGCCCGACGTGATGGGTTCTTCGGCGTGCGTGTTTGCCTTTTCCGCCTGTTCCTTGCCTTCGTTCTTCTTCCCCCTGAAGCGCTGCGCTTCCCGCTCCGCCATGGCCGGGAACAGGACGCCCGGCGGGAAGGCGGTTAGGAGGATCACGGGGATGACGATGCAGCTGTGTTTAGTGCGCACGCGTGTGTGTGTGTTAGTCGATTGGTACCTCTTGGTTGGGTTATGATTTTGTTATCTCGTGGGAAAAGGGGAGGGGAAGAAAAGGGGAAAGGGGAAAGGGGAAAGGGGAGAGGGGAGAGGGGAGATAAAAAGGTAGCCTGGATGTGCACGGAACAACTTACAACCCCTCGAGCACCACGAACGACGGCTCGTCCTGCATGATCCTGTTCCCCCACCCGCCCGCCATCTCCGCGATGCGATAAACACACCTGATCAGGATCCCCGCGTACGCGCCGGCCACCGCGCAGCAGAACGCGCGGAACTTCTTGTCGTTCCACATCGCGAGGGCCTGCAGGGCGGTATCATCAGCATCAGCAGCCTGCGCCTGCGCCTTGCTCGCGACCCAACTCCTCGCGCGCAGGAAGTAATCCGCGCACAGGACGCCGAAAACGCCGAGGACGGCGCACTGCAGGGCGATGCCGGCGATGATGACGCGGTCGCCGGCGAGCAGCAGGGCGGGGTGGTCGGGGCCGGCGGAGGCGGCGAGGCTGCCGCCGATGGCCTGGAGGACGAGGCAGGAGACGTCGGCGGGCACGAAGACGAGCGGGTACAGGCGCGGGCGCAGGCGCGAGAGGCCCGGGTTGACGGACAGCGTCGCGTGCTTGAGTGTCAGGTAGATGGAGATGCAGATCAGCGTCGGCGCCAGGATGATGGCGCAGATCTGCGTCTGGAACGCGCTCGAGTTCCACGGGTTGCGGTGCAGGAGCACGCGCGCGACGTAGCCTGGTGCGGATGGTCAGTACCTAAGGTATAGTTTTATACAACCCCCCCCCCCCCCCCCCCTATTTCCACGTCGAGCGAAGGAGCAAATCCAAAAGAAAGAAAAAAGAAAAAGAAAAAAATAATAAAATAGTAAAAGAAGATAAAAAAATCAAGTACAGGTAACTAAACATACCTGCAAACTCCAGAATACACCCGGCAGTGAGCGCGGCGGAATATCCCCAAGTCCTCTTCCAGATCCCCGTGCCGACGAGCCCTACAATGCATAGACCGAACGCGGCGGCGAGAAAAGCATTGACGCCGAGGTTGGGATAGTATCCCAAAACCGTGGCCTCGACGGGGCAGTAAGGGCCGACTTCAGTGCAGGTTCGGAAGGATATGCGCTGCGGCGCATCCGTATTATTCGGCATCTCGGTTAGGGATCGTTCGAGGTCGATGAGCTATCGAGAAAATATCCCCGATAACTATGAAATTCCTGTCTACCTAGTAATAGTCTTCTCTTTTTGTCTCCCTGCTGGGTATATATCCTCTCTCTCTCTCTATAATAGCAACCACCGTCCCAACGTCTAACCGCAAATTTGAATAATAGATCTCGGGAATAAGCCGCCTAGATATATATATATAGGTATCTTATATATCTGCATCTAGATGATCGAACCGTATCGCGGGCAAGGCTAGGTGTAGCTATTAATACTCTCCCCAAAAAAGGCGAAACTAAACCAATAATTTAGCGAGACGGTATACTATAGGACAGGCTTTAAAATCAATTACAGGGGGGAAAGCAGAATCAGATTCGACCTTGTTTTGTTGATGTCAGCGGGCCCAACAGCGCGGTCCTACGTACATACGACTGCGTATAAAAAGAGAAGAGAAGGGAAGAGAAGAAGGAAAAATCGCGAGAAGCGCTCTCGTTGGGAATATTACCTGCCTACCTACCTTAGGTCTATATTTGATCGATGCGATCCCGCCCCCGCCCCCAAGGTGATCTGATTTTGACCAAGTATGCTAGGTATGTATGTACCCTACCTTGGCATCATCGGCAGGGGAAGAAGAGGCGAAGGGGTAAGCAGAAAAAGGCGACACAATACCTCCTCCTCCTCCTCCAACGAGGATCCGGTGCGGGACCCTATCGAATATACCTAACGAGAAGGTTACTAAAAGCGGACAAGACGAGTTTGTTATTAGTTAAGCGATCTGACAAGTATGTATTATCATTATTTATTATTCGCTTCTACAACCCCCCCCAGTGCCCACCCAGCTCGGCAACGCTACCGAGTTGACAAAACCGTAGGTATGTACTCTTTCCTTTCCTTCCCCATTTCCCAGCCCCGAGAGCCAAGGCCTTCGCTGGCAATAATACACTACTACTACTACGCTATGTACATTGGCGAATGGCCTTCCGCAGATATGTGCCATCTGCTTATCTGGGTGTGACTGAACAACCAGAGGTAAGGCTTGACGAGTTAATTACTTACATATCACCATGACTAAGTCACCGTATAAACGAGGCAGCAGCTCTGTTGGGATTTATTTAGATTAGATGGATGGACCCCTTGCCCTCCCCACCCAAACTTTTGGGACGGAAGAGGCTGCATCCGGGACGCTACCTAACCGGCGTTAGTTCACTTTCTCCGGACGCCATCCGGGTCGTTGGGACCGGAAGCGTATGGTATCGTATATCCATAAAGCACAACATATGCACCTAACCTACTATAGAAATTAATGCCTCTTTTATATCCCGAGATTTCGTCAGGTACAATATTGATTAAATCTCGATCCAATAGCTGCAAAAGAACATAGGACACATGCACGGTTATAACATCCATAGATCAAATAAGATAGGTACCTAGGTAGCATCTTCAAATTTCATATTTTCATTCTTTACCGCCCAAGAATCTATATATAACCGAGAAATCCCTCCCCTTACACGCATCTACTTTCTCGGCATCTTCGTAAACCTGTCTCGCCCGATCGCCAAGTTCCAACTTGGCCTCGGCTTCCTTTGCAGCTACGATGGCGAGCTTGAGGTCCTTCTTCATTAGACCGATGCCGAACCCACCGGAATAATCACGGTTAGCCGGCGCGCTTTCGACAACTCCTTTTACCGGGTTGTTGACTTCGCTCGGCCAGCATCGGCCCGTGCTCACGTTGATCACGTTGGCCAACGTCTTGGGATCGAGACCCCATCGGATGCCCAGATTCATCGCTTCGGCCGTCGCGATGTTGTTGATGGCGAGCAGATAGTTATTGGCTAGCTTGGCACTGAGGCCGTTACCTTGTGCGCCGCAGTGCAGCACCCGTCTCCCCATCCGCAGTAGGATCAGTTCCAGCTTTGGTGCCAGAGCGTCGGGGGCGCCCAGCATGAAGGTCAGAGTGCCGGCAGTGGCGCCTACCACTCCGCCCGACATGGGGGCGTCGACGAATTGACCTTGGTTGGCATCAGCAACCCAGCTTGCAACCTCTCGGGATGAAGAAGGATCGATAGTGGAACAATCGATATATACCCTGTCTTTCCTAGGCAGATTTGGGGATAATATCTCGCGATACACGCTCTTTACGTGCGACGGCTCGGGTAATACGGTGATTACCACATCCTATTAAATTTTGCGTTAGCATTGGAAGCTCAACACAGCGTAAAGGGATACAAGAAAATAAAAAGTAAATCTTGGTATAAGTTCTTCAGAGGATTGGCTATAAAAAAAGGATTAATCACAGAAGGACCGGCAGAAAGCCGGCCCCAACTTAGATCATAGATAGAACAGACTCATCATTTGAACGAACACCGGCGGTAAAAAGGGAAGAAGTAGTAATAGTAGTAGAACATACCGACTCTTTCGCAGCATCACCAACATCGCGCGCGACTTCCACAGCGGCGCCACCGGTCTGAGACGTCCGCATCTCCTCGGCTAATCGTTTCACCGCCTCGCCGTTGATATCGAACAGCTTGACCAAGTCGCTCGGCGGTAGCTTCGCCTGCAAGTTCTTGGCCATTTGGTAACCCTAAAACACCACATCCATATTAGTTCTTATTCTCTTGTTCCACTCAGACAACACAAAACTCAGACGCGTTACTAACCATTTGACCCAGGCCGATGAACCCGTAGCTCTCCCATCGTCTCGACGTCGCCGAGAAGGCTCGCCTCTGGGCTCTGAAGATACTCCGTACGGCAGCAACAGCGTGGACTCTCATCGTGGAACGCGGCGTTCTTGTTTTTTAAAGGCTAGTTCCCGACAAGCAAGTAGTAGAAAGTACTAAGCAACCAGCGTGCAAACGTCAGGCATAAAAGAGAGGCGCGCTCGGGTACCCTAGGGTAAAAAAGAAGAGGTCAATTGGAGAACGATGGCCATTTCTCCAACTTTCTCTCCCCTCTCCAAAAGCCACCTGCACCAAAACGCACCCGCGGGGTACCGAGGACCGACCATTGCCGGTCCTGCTCTCAATCGAAGCTGGCTAAGGTAGGGTTTGTTTAGGTGGGCTTATACCCAAAGGAAGTGGTCAAGTGACCTCATGATCTCTCCAAAGGTGCATTGCGCCACGCATTTTCATTTTGCATTGTACCTCACAGAGAAAGGAAGGAAGAAGGAAAATAAAAAGTTGTTCAATCCATTGCGTCAAGTTCAGCAGACATCTCTATCCATACATTAGACAGACATGTACGCTGAGTGCTAAAAGGATTCACTGCGAAGCATTCATGCTACGCCCTTTTGCTAGGGTTGAAAATTGGGTTGGAATAAAAAATGATGATTGGAATAAGATTGTGAAGGAAAAAAAATAATAAAAGAAAAACTTTTCTATCCTCATTTTGGATATTTAACGCTTGGGCCACACGGGCTAGAGGCGGTGGATCCTGTAGCTACAAGCCATTTTCGGTGTGGTTGAGTTCGAATCGCATAGGAGGTAACTAGAGCTAGCTGAGTTGACCTACTATATATGTTAGGTATTTACCTTAGTCATTCAGATATGTCTAAGTGTACTATACTACCTATGTATATATACCATGGGAACTACAATCTAATTAGACTAACTACTTCATACCTGGTAGAGGTAAGCTACTTAATGTAAGCTTCTTTGTTGGTAGATCTCTTTGTGCGAGTTGGGCACTTAAAAAAAGGACGTCCCCGGCTACTTCATAGTTCTATAGAGATTTCTATTCCAAACTATTTAAAATCATTATACCTTAAAAAGCCGCCCACCTTATAGAAAATGTCACAAAACACGAATCAACGAGTGTATTTTTCTCTTTCTCATTATGAATTTCTCGGGACCTGTGGAGGAGTAGTATAGCGATCTCGCCTTTCCTATGAGAGACCACTACAAAAGGGATGTGATGTATACATGAGCCATTTCATATAGCTGCGCAAAATATCAGAGAATCTGAGCAGCTGCTTTCTCACCAACAACCGTACAGGGGGTATGTGCAAAAAAGAAAAACAGACAAGTAATCGGGTTTCGCCATCACCGAAACCCAGTGAAAACGATCCCGATGAGCTGGGATCATCAAGATAATTATGAGGGGACACTAAGGGACTAAACAATCATTGGACTTCAAGCTGAATCTGAGCTAGTACGATGCTAGAATACGCCCATGACGTATGGGATCAGGGCACTGGAAGATGTTGGTCAGTCTACAATCCGGTCAAAATCCCACGATAATCAAAAGACTTACCCAACTGCGAGGGTTGCGCTAAGACCGACAAGCGCCCGGTTCCTGACACGCTCCTTTCTCAATTGTACCTCTGTCTTTACCTTCTTAGATCTCGGTTCCTCCGAAACTTCGGCCTCATCATCTTCATCCTGCTCCTCTTCGTCATCCACGGCAATCTCGTCCGCCTTTCGCTTGCTCTTATTGTTGTTCGCTTCAGACGATGTTGCAGCCTCGGCTGCAGCAATTCTTACCATTTCTTTCGCCTCCTCGATCATCCGAGCAGCTTCTTCGGCATTGGGTTCTTCGCTGACGGGAATCTCTACTTCGACGGCAGTTTGGGTGGTTTCCACACTGCCATGAAACTCGACTTCTTGACCAACTTTGATTTGCACCTTGGGTTCTTCTTCAACTGGTGCAAAGACAACGGGGGGTTCTTTCTCAATGGTCTTGATGGATATCTCTTCGGTGGCAGCAGTAGATGCAGTCTCCTCGTCCGTCTTCACGCCATTTATAACGGGCTCGGCTTCTTCTTTGACGGGTGGAACCTCGGGAGTCGATCGAGAAGCTGAGGCTCTCGCAGCTCGCTTTCGCGGAGATGCGATAGCTCGTTTCTTCGTAGGGCTAGCTGAGCGACGGCTTCGTGTGTTACGAGGAAGCGATGACGGGGTTGGAGGGGCAAGAACAGGCTGCGTTGGCAAAGGAGCCTCGAATTTCGGAGGTGCGGCAATTCTCTTAGGAGGACTGTCCGGCGCATTGGTAATAGCGATGTCGGCCGGATCTAAGAGCGCACAGATCCAAGGCGTGATTCGGTACTCCTCAGCGAGAGCCAAGGCCTGCTCGGGAGGGATCCAGACATTCCCAGCAGTCTCCTCGTGGCTCGTTGTAGGTAGCGACTTAATATATCTACGCTCCATCTCCTCTTCCACAGCCTCGGCGTAGGGGAAAGTCGCCTTGAACATACCAGTAGCAGACACGAATCCGTCCTGGCTGCGGCGCATCAAGAAGTAAGAGTTCGGAGAGGACTTGAAAATGCCGGAGACGATCCCCTTCGGCAAAGGAGCTCGCAGATGCGCATAGTCAAAAACTCCAAGACTAGTAGGGTCAATATCCCCTGCGGTGCCTGCTGCAACCATCTTCGCGGTCAATTGGGTCTGACCCAAGCGTCGGCGCGAAACGAGCTCATGATCTGTAGAACGCGTAAGCGATATAAGTTGGTAAGCTTAAAGACGATAATTCATTACAAGGAGGGATATCCTCTGTCATGAGAGGATTATGTTTGCTAGGCAAACGTCTGGGAGTGGCCATTTTTTTTTCTTCGGGTGGGTTTGTTCGAGACGCGACCGGAATTAGCGTATGCGATAGAACCTCGCGTCGATTGAAGCCGTGACAGGCGATCAGAAGCAAACAATAGTGGAATTACAAAATAGGTATGAAAACTGAGGCTGGTTCCTGGGTTAGCAGTTGCTCGTTATCGAGTCGCGCAGAGGTGCGATGCGATGCGATGCGATATGATGTCGCGGGTCGTCGCCATAGAAGCGCGCACTTAGGGCTGTCGAATAGGCGGGTCGCTAGGATGGATCTCACTCACGTTTATGCAGACTTGCGTCAGGAAGAGGGAATACTATTATAAGATAAGAACAAAAAAAAAGGGCTACACCAAGATTCGAGGTCCTAAGTTGGAAATTGAAATAATAGGTTATGAAATTTTTGGCCACAAAAACATTTAAGGGGACAGATTGATGTAAGCTGTAACACCCGGCGCAAAAAAAAAAATAGGTTCTCCTTCTTTCGAATTTGAGGCGAGTTGTTAGGGAAAGGACAAGGTCAGAGGAAGAAGAAGGGGAGGAAGCCCGGGGGTGGCCTTCGTTCGACTGCGCGCTCTGCAGGTAGAATTACTTGTCAGCAACCGTGATTTGTCCAAGACAGCCTAGCAGTCGCGAAATAGGAATTGATGAATTACCACGAAAAGTTTAGCGTATCCACTCTTACGAAGTATAATCCAATAGAAAAAGTCTATTGCGGCAAGGTCTACGAAGTATTAACTCCCACACTCCTTAGTATGTATAAGGCACGGACCAACATCTCTTCTGGAAGACCAGTACGGGGTACATACGGATGCACCCACTGTATCACCGAAGAGGAAATTGCTCCTCTACGGTGCATAATTAATGTACTGTATAATTTGATACTGTGTTTGCTCTCCAATTATCCCCCCTATCTTATCTATTTTGTATTGTACGATACGTGGTGGTATATGTCTTGTGCAATTTTATGATATATTATACAAGCACCAAAGGGCTTGAGAACCAAAAGATATGAGTTAAAGATACCTTTCTCTAGTTCGCTAATTTATATCAAATCTAAGCTGGTCACGTATTTGTTGATGTAATTGCATTACTTGGTTGGGTATGCTGGACAATTACGTATACAGGAGAAAATTTAGGTTACCCCTAACTGTAACAAACAGAGACGGTAAAAGGTATCTATCTATGTCATTCGTAAGACCATTTAAGTAGGTAGATAAGTCAGAGCTATAGAGTTTCAGGTTGCTTCTTCATCTTTAAATTATATTCTATATATACCTACTAATACTAACTATCAAGTCAACTTGGAAATAATTGAACCTAACTCATATACCATCTTGATAATTTCGTTATTCTTTTAACTAAGTTTAAAATACCTAAAGTAAGTACCATTCACCGTTCACCGTTCACCCCACTAGCTTACATGGCCCTCAATCTGGTGATTTATTACGCTTATGTGAAAGAATTAATATAACTAAACTCTTAGCACCTTGCGAAAAGTTTCGACTTTTAAAATAAAACATACCTACATGTATTGGTATAATACGGTATGTGGTATATTTAGTGGGATCCATTACTATATGTGCCACGCAGCCGTGCATATCCAACGCGTGAACGTATCGAAGACGTTGGATGGAGAAAGAAGCATGATGGTACCATTTGTCTGACAGGCTGACAATAGCCAACTTTGGCACGACGTTATAACTCCAACTCCAAGTCGTGGGAGTTGGGCACCACATCACCATCACCATTATCATGTAAGAGCTCTATGGGTGTGTCACTAACATCACTAACGTTGCTAACGCACGCATGTGCATGCATCTGTCAGGAGGGAAAAAAAAGCACGGCTTTGATGCGATAACATATTGAAGAGAAAGGAGAGAATGGACAAGAGAGATTGGACGAGACAAGAAAGACAAGAAAGACAAGAAAGGTGCATCAAAGCCACTGGTGCAACTATTTTTTAGCCCCGCCGCGCTTGAGCTGCACATGCAAGCTTCTAAGAGCCACAAAAATTGGCCAGAAGCCCCCAAATTCTGTAACATCGTGTCCCTATCCTACCTTCTTTATATCAGATCGACAATGGGCAATCCCACTTAGGTACATATGGTACTTATGGTACATATCCCTCAAGTACTTTACATACCGTAGCCCGATAGCTTAGTTACACCCCTCTCAGGTACAACACTCATCACCGCCAGTCTAGCTCTGTGTCTACTGTCTACCCCTCTTAACCAATATTTTACCAACACGCCGACAACGTCTGTTATTATTATTTACATCTTTCCAAAAACAATACTCCGAAATACCCTCCCCTTTTCTGTTGTAACCTGTCTTACTTTTTTCCTTTTTTGTTTTTTTGTCGTAGAGCATCGTCAAAATGGCCTCTCAGGACGAGAATGACCACCTGCCCGAGGAGACTCAGGGCTACAAGCTCTCTCAGCCCAAGCAGAGCTTGGCTGAATATCAGAATATGGGTATGTGTACAGCAATTTTCCTTTCGTTTTGTCTAATTCCGTCTTCATAATTCCCTTCAATGATTCGCTTCAATGAATCCATTCACATTCACTCGAAAGAAGCCTATGTTTTGTAGGTATAGAAGAGGTGGGATGACAGTGAGCTTGGTGAAGGTTGGATGAAAAAGGGGGAAATGGAGATGAGACGAAGTTCACGACGCCGACTTTGCATGCACATGTGCAAAAAATGGGAGGTGCAGCACCGTCTCAAAAACATTGTTTGCTTCCTAATTCTGGAGCCTGGCGTGTCAGGACAGGTTAAACACCTGACTGTTCAGAAATTCTGAATTGCCAACAATGACTATGGGAATTTCTCAAAACCTACACCTTTGTACCAGAGGGACTTTTATCTACAACCTTGCCATACCAAAAGTCCTTTTTTGGAAACACCCGAATCTCAATCAGGACTCAGATCTTACAATCGAGCCATATTATCCGATGCATCAACATAATCGCTGTCGACATGGAAGCACTCGCGATCCGCCCCCGACAACTTGGGCGTCCTGCCCCTCAACGAGCTGGGTTTGTCCGACGAATGGTCTCAATGCCACTCATGAAGCAAACTCGCGATACGACACAATCGCCTAGTTTTCATCGACTTTCGGAAGAAGACCTAGATACCCGATTTACGGAACCTTTCCCGTCTTTAACTACGCCTTTAACTACGTCTTCCGCGATCCCAGAGTATGATGATCTCCATACCAAACAATCCCTGAAGGAGTTCCTGAACGAAAACCGCCGAGTTAGCACACCCCAATCCAGTGATAATGCAAGTGCATCAAGGTCGCATAAGAAAACCCGTCTGCGCGTGGATTTGTTGAACTGGTTTAAGGAGAAACGCGCGTTAAAGCACACAAGATACCCGTCCACCTCTTCATCTGGGAGCGGTCTTGATCCTGCAATGACATGTAGAGGATTACCGGGCATGATGCTCGATGACATTACACTCATAAATTCTTCGACCACTTCTTCCCTCCTTTCGCCATGTCCTACAGCAACTTCACAACCCTACCAACATACCTGGTCACCAACAATTACAAGAACAGAATCTTCTAACACCAATACTTTTGATACAGATGCCAACGACGAATCGCTCCAGCGATACAAACAGTCCCTCGGCCTAGGCGGCGGAAAGGATCTATCTGACCCCAACGATCCTCGAGTTTGCATTATCCAGTCTCTAACTATGGAGTCGCCCGGCCGTGATCCTGTTACTATCGACCTGTCTGCCCCTGGTAGCGAGACCACCCTTAAGGACCGTCCGTTCAAGATTAAGGAAGGTTGCAAGTTTACTATGGTCGCCACCTTCAAGGTCCAGCACGAAATTCTCAGCGGTCTCCAGTACGTCCAAGTTGTCAAGCGCAAGGGTATCAAAGTCAGCAAGGATTCCGAAATGTTGGTAAGTACACCTTGAGAACTATTCTGCACTTGACATTAGCCGGTCGTTTACTAACCAAGTCATAGGGAAGCTATGCTCCGAACACCGACAAGCAGCCTCTGTACAGCAAGCGCTGTAAGTATTCCCCGTATCCCACTAGGCTTCCCAATTGATCTAATCTCTCCACAGTCCAAGAGGAAGAGGCTCCTACCGGCATGCTTGCCCGAGGCCACTACAACGCCACGTCCAGCTTTGTCGACGACGATAAGAACACTCATCTGCAGTTCGAGTGGAGCTTCGATATCAGCAAGGACTGGTAGATATGTTCTAAGCAGCCAACCAGCTAGCATATAACTCCACGGAGAACAACAATAAACAACAACAACGACGTGTTATCTGACCGTATGATGACGACCAGCGACAATAGAAGGAAGGCCCAAACAAAAAAACGTCTCCAAAGAAAACTTACCCTTCTTTTCAATGGAATCGTAGGTACTCTTCGACCTAGACGGATCGGATCGGCTTAGCAGCAGGCAACAGGCACCTAGTACCTAACGTTGTGCTTAACTATATGGGGACGGATAGCTAGTTCAAGTGTAGATAGTTTCATCTCGTGAGCATTTTTCCCATTTGCTCTACTACTAAAAACAATTACCTATTGCCACAACTCGCAATTCTTTTGTTCTTTTTTAATGCAAACATCCGACAGGAAATGATTTTTCTTTTCTTTTTTATTTTTCCCCTATCTTTCAAGCCTTTGACGGCATGGAGAGGTGGATTTCTATGTAAGATGAATGAATACGACGGCTCATAACGAAAAAGGGGGGGTATTTCTTCTTCAAGTCTCTCCTTCTACCTACTACTGCCGTATATCGAGGTATCTTTAATGTAATGGTATGCCTACCTAACCTAACCTAACCTGATGGTTTGTGTGTGTAGTGTGTGCGCATGTGTGTGTATGTGCTTGATAATAATAAGCCTGCTTATACAAATCCTCGGATCGAACCGATATGATGTTTCTGCTTTTTGTTTCCTGTTATAAGAAATAATCCGGGAGCGCGTTTCCATCCGCGGTCTTCTCCCCGGCCTGCTGGATGTCCTTCTGCTGGTCGTTCTCGGGGGCGGCGGCGAAGACGTTGAAGAAGCGCTCGCCGGCGTCGCTGACCTCGAGCACGCTGGCCATGTTGCCGCAGCGGTAGCAGTAGTTGGGGGCGCTCCAGACGGTGCTGAGCTGGTCGTCGTAGAGGACCTGGAAGCCTTCCTGGCAGAGCTGGTGGGCGCGGAGGATGTGGCTCATGCCGTTGACGGCGAGGAACTTCTTGACGACGCGCGCGCCGAACTGGTAGCCGGCGCCGCGGGGGGACAGGGAGAACTCGTCGCGCTCGGGGTCCGGGTCCGACCAGACGAGGTCGGCCATGGGGCCCTCGTGCGGTATCTCCCGGAAGCGGTCGATGATCTTGATCTGGTCGATGGAGTGGATCGACGGGGACAGGCCGCCGTGCACGCAGAAGATCTGGTCATTGATCACGACCGAGAGCGTTAAGAAGTCGAACATGTCCGTGAAGTAGTGCCACACGTTGGCGTTCCCGTACTTGCGCGAGCACTCCGTGTAGAACCCATACGACTGCGTCACGCCGCGCGACTCGTGGTTGCCCCGGATCAGATGCACACGGTTGGGGTATCGAAGCTTGAGGCAGACGAGCAGGGAAATGGTCTCGACGCTGAACATGCCGCGGTCTACATAATCGCCTATTATAATAACATAACGTCACAAGAGTCAGAACAGAACGAGTAATAGTAGTAATAGTAGTAGTAGTAAATTTAAAATTTGCGGTTTCGTTCTCCCTCGCTCGCGTACTTACCGAGAAATAGGTAGTTAGTGTCGGGACACCAACCGCCGATCTTAAATATCTCGATCAAGTCGTAAAACTGGCCGTGGATATCGCCGACGACGGTGACGGGGGCCCTGACGTGGACGACGTTGCTCTCCCGCATGAGCAGCTCTTTCGTCTTGGCACATATCGCCTCGATGACGGACTCGGCCAGGAGTTCTTTCTTATATAAGCGGGATATGCATTCATCCAGATCGACCGAAGCTATAACGAGGGGGAGCGCGTGGGGAGCGCATAGGTCAGACTAAAGTCCCAGCTTTGCATAAGGTACGGGTGTCGGGCTGGCGGGACCAACCTGGAAGCCCAGGCATGATGGGCGGCTAACGAACGCAAAAGGCTCGAAAGAGAATGGTGGCGATTGGGTCTATCTGTCTGTCTATCTGTCTACCCAAAGCGGTGTTCAAGAAGCGGTCTGTGGTCGATTGTTGCGCGGGCGCGGGGTGGGCTTCCTTCTGCTTCGGAAAAAGGCAAAGTTGTGTGGGGAGCTAGAGGAAACCGCAAACATGTTCGGAGGAGACAAGATATTCGGCGCCTCGCATGTGGAGAGAGGATTGTACCTATGTGTGTATATGTGTGTGCGTGCGTATGTGTCGTCGGTTCGGCGCTGAAGGGAAACAAGGGCGGTAGAAGGTCGACGGCGCAAGACGGGAGAGATTATTTCGAGCTCAGTGAACGCAGCTAAAAGTGAACTTTTTCGCAAAAGAAGAAAAAAAAAACCCTACTCCAGATGGAATGAATAGCCTACATACCAAACCCGTTTTTTTCCCCTTTTGGTGTTGAATCAAAAAGTCGACGTGTGGGATCAGCGCCTGTGTGGGATAGTTTTAGGTATGTGCTAAGGTCTTCTTGGGATGCGATGTCGAATTGGTTGGTAATAGGCTAGGTACCTAGGTACATAAGCCTATCGCCTATCGTTTATCGCTTATTGCTGTTCGTTTGCGCCACCCACCGGCAGAAAGAGCCGCGCTTATGCCCAGCTTCGAGTCGTGCAATGGATTATGGGATGTTGGAGCTAGCGATTTATACCGTAGTCGTCATGTGCGTCTTAAGCCTATTATATCCTTATTATGTCTACATGCAACTTCTCGCTTGCTATATGCAATGTGTATAAAGACTGGTACCCGTGCTTTGATTTCGATTTCGATCTTCCGATCTGATTTTCTGCATTTTCTTCTTCTTTCAACTTCCAAAATTTCGTATTCTGGTTTTCGATGATGTCTGCGTCCCGCGGCGTTTTTTTTTTTCCTACAGAAAAAGTAGCTGGATTCTGTGAGCTACTTGTCATTTGACGCATTTACTCTACCTGGTTTGAATTTGGGAAGTTCATAGTAGAACAACCCAGAAATTATTTCTTTTTTCTCCTGCTCGTTTCTTGAGTTGGCCTATTGGTGTTTTTTTTTTTTTTTTTTTTTTTTTTTTGCGCCTTCTCTACTCAATCTGCTGATATTTCCAGTCCGATATCCCATTGCTAACTCGTAATTGGGGATTCTTTATTGGAAGTATTCGTCAGAATAAATGTTTGGTAGTTTACCTTAAGACAGGTCAACGTGTTAAGAACGGACGAAGTATGCGAAGTTGGTTTCTGAGCAACTTGGGCCATAATCTCTTGGCTTGTTGATTTTTCTTTATTTCCTATTTGTCATTGTCTATCGTCGGTAGAGTTGTCACTAGATATTCTACTCTCATTAGGTATCTAGAGCTTCTCCCTACCATATTTGATAGCATTCAGCCTGGAGCCTGACTGACTACAAAACAACCTTTTGGTGTTATGCTGTCTTGCAATACAATTTTTATTTATTTTCATACTCTAAAAAATTAATTGCCTCTTTTTTTAAACAGTGATCATCGATTACCTTTTTTTTCTTTTATTATTTTCCTTGTAACATCTTGTATGCGTAATCCTATCTATGTAAAGGCAATATTTAATTCAGTCATGAAACAAGTTCAGTCTGTCTATCTACCTAAGGTTAGGTATCTACACTCCAAAACGGACCGAGGTTTTACCGCTGCCGCTTGGAACCCAGGTGCTTAGGTACCTTACTTTAGGTACCTACCTAACCTAATGACCGCGATGCATTGTATTGTACCTTTTCCTTTTGGACATTTCAATCTCACCCGTGAAACCTTCACTTTCAGCCCATCCCCATTGATATCTATCTATGTCAGGTATACCGAGCATCAATACCCAGTCTTCTAGCTATACCAAGCTTGAATCGCAATTCTTCCACAGATATAGGACGTCCTTGATGAATTTGCAACAATTATTTCCGCGTTACCGGAGTGGAGGGACTTGCATTGGTGGTGGTCTTCGCTTCGTCGCGGTGAGAAGTTGATCCCGTAAGTCTTGCTCAACAAGGCAACTTACATTCGGGATCTGGCGCAGCGCTGTTCATCGCGTAGTCTTTATATCTCTCTCATATCCATAACTCGCGCTTAATTGACACCCTTCTCGGACTTTAGATGACATTACCAGCCGTCAATTTTCTCTTGCCCCGCGTATCTCAGGTCTCGTCGCGAACGGCACGGTTTCTCACCTTTTTCTACTGTCTGAGGTTGAAACTTACGTCTACCTCAACCTCATTTTTTTTTATCCCAGGACTTCAGATATTAGAGCCTCAGCTACGCCAAAGTCTTACCGTTTGTGTAGATACGTACATGTACGCTCTACGAAGTTCATAAACTTTACTCTTTGCCGTTGCGCTCAGACGCTTGGCCATTCACTTAGCTCCGCTTCGTGGCCGACTGCGTTTTATATCAGGTACCTAGGTGCCTGCCTAGGAGACACACGCTTTAACCCACGCGTTGTCCCTACCGATCCTCTTTTCCGTTATTTCATTAAAATGGCCCAAGTTGCTCCGGGCCTTGGGCCAGATCCTAACGAACGTCCATGCTACAATTGTGGTGTTCGGGGCCATATGTTCACTGCATGTCCCGAGGAGCCTCGGAAAGTGCCGGCGTAAGTTATTCATGGCTCCTTACCTTGTCTTCCTAATACACTCCGTTTTCCTCCTCTACCTTGATATCCACGACCATGTCGACTAAAAATATGTTAGTGGACTAGAGGCCTCTTGGGCGCGACAACAATCGAGTAGCAGTCCTCATAATCACAGCTTCGTGCCCAACAAGCGAAGTAAAGGGCCGGTAATTACGCGTTATCCCCCTCCCCCCCCTCTCGCTTCTTCCCATCAGACGCCTCCACTGCCTCGTTTCGAGAACTCTCCGCCTCAACCTTACCATTCGGGCACAATCCCGATCTATCCTCCGCCGCCATCATACGGTCCGGGATTTGGAAGTCATCCTCCGCCGAATCCACCTTATGATAGATATGGACCTCCCGGACCTCCGCCGCCTGGCTTCCACCAGCCATTGAATCCCCCGCCTTACCAAGGCGCGTACAATACTGCGTATGGTCCGCCAGGTCACACTCCTGGACCCTTTGACCATCATTCCCCCCTTCCTAGGCGTCCTAATCAGTATTTCTCTAATGACTACCCCCCTGGTCCTCCCGGTCCTCCTGGCCCTCCTGGCCGGCCTGACTCGTACCCGCCTAGTCAACACCCCGTGGGTCCTCCAGGTCCTCCGTACGGGGCACACCAGCAGTATCCACCCGGACCTCCTCCGCCCCAATATCCACCCCCAAGTTATGTACCCCCGGCTACCTCATATGGGCTTCAAGGGCCTCCCCCCGGGTATCATCAAGGTGAATATAGTCCGCCTCAGCGCGAACCGCCTGTTATCTTCCAACCATATCCGCCTTCCGAGCCTTATGTTCCGCAGTACGCAAATGATAGGAATCGACATGAACGCGGTAGGGAACACCAGCGCCGTTATGATGATAGGCGTCCGAATGAACCTTGGCACCCCCATGATGCGTGGCATGATGCTTCGCCATCGAACGGGCAGTCGTACAGAGATGAATACCGCGAGGGCTGGCATGGTAAATCCTCATATCGAGATGATCGACATTCTCGTAGGCGGGGACATAATAGGCCTCAAGACGAGCGTCGTCGAGACCGTCAAGATCGCCAAGACCGGTTTCAGCCTTATAAAGACTCGGACAAGTGGGATAGGTATCACCGACGAAAACATCCAGCAAGGAAGACTTCAAGTGAGACGACACGCCGCGATAGGAGCCCACTAGGTAGAGAAAATCCCGCTGCAGTTAAGACAGATCAAGAGCGCGAGCCTGGCGAGATAGTATCCGAGCCGACTTCGGCGTCCGATCACGTTGATCCTGAATCAACCTTTGACACCGCTAAAGATGAGAGTAGCGAAGATCTTAGTTGGGATGAGCGGACTATCTTTCTAGAGCTTCCGCTAAATAGCAAGGTAGACCCTATTGCAGCACCTTTACCGACGCAATACTTCGAGGACATAATGATACCTCCAGCATTCGACGCTAAGGCTTTGAAATCGCGGTACATCACACCACGTAACATTGACGATTTCGCACAGAGTATCCGCGAAACTAGGGATTGGCAGATAATGAAGCATCATCCTCTATTTTTAGATCCGACGGAAATTCGTCCTGAGAAATTGGATGATTACAATAAAGCAATCGATAAAGACATGCATAGCAGGGCCAATCGCCGAGAGCATTCTAGAAATATGCACGATACGACTAAACATCGTCTCGGCAATCCAAAGGGATCAAATCGACATCAGGGGAAACACCAAGATTCGCGTCACAGAATGGATACTAAGAAGAGGACATGGGAGCATTTTGATGAGGACCGTGACGACTCTGGATGGAAGAAGCGCACTCGTGATTCACCATACGATGACACACTCAAGAAAAGATTAAAACCTGCATCCCCGCCCGAGCCTGGCGAGGTGGTCGAGGCTGATTCTGAGCAACCTATCCACACGCTCCCGAGGGAATCCTTGATAGGCCCTAATGCTACTAAATGGGCCTCAGGGTCAAGAGAACCACTGGATAGCCAATCACGACCTGAAAATGTCGATAACAAGGACAATAGGCCAAGTCAAGAAACGGCGGCCAAGCGTACCGACCTATCACCAAAAGATGGTCAAGACGTCGCCAATGCTCGTTTGTCACCACTGTCAAGCCAGCCAGCAGACATCCCGCAGACATATAGTCGACCACCAAGCAGGCAGAGCTTCAAAGGGGTCATTGGAAGCCCAGCTGGTAGTAGGCGCTCCTCATTCGGAAGCGATATGTCTGGTTCTCAAGGATCGTCACTTGACCCTATCGAACGTGAACTACTAGGAATGGGACGGCCTTCAAGCAGTGACACCGATAGCGGAGCGGAATCAACGAAGAGACACCTGAGTGATGCGGCTACAAGATTCAAGCGCCGACAGCCTATGCTTGAGGCATATTCGTAAGTTTTATCCGCGCTTTCCTCATTCCTGCTTGGTCGCTAACATAATTTAGACGTCGTTGGTAATGAGACAAGGCTAAGAGTTTTGTGGCAATAAAGACAGTCATCCTATACAAGGCACAGGGCGATACGAGATGTATGTTTGAATCCAGGAATCCTCAGCTAGCCCCTAGTCGATGGTTGAGGTACGGGTTAGTATAAGTAAGCGTCTATTCTTTCCTAACACAATGACTCTAATGACCGAGCCATGGTATAATGGGGTTACGGTTTGAAGACTGGTGCATATTGGAACATGACATAGGTTCTGTCCTCAGGGGAAGTTATACATAATAGCAGAGGGGAAGGCGTTTCTTATAGGCCTGCATTGGATAAGGTGGTAAAGGTCTGCAAAGTACCAAAGGTGTTCGGAGTTTGTCGCGTTTTGCACATGGAGTGTATGTTGTATCAGCATTGTATATATCTAATGCTATGGGTAATCCCTAGCGCATTCACCCGCAGTAGGAAACAAAGCCCATGGTATAATGAGTTAGGGACTTTCACAATAAGGACCATCCACAATTGGGTTGTAGCAGCGAATGTCTGTGTGCTACAAGGATAGTGCTCGTGACTTCTTCCCTTGTTGTCTCAAGTCCCGACGATTATGGACGTTGTTCGTGGTTGTTTCGCTAGCTGCTCTGACGATGATCTTTGTTCCCTTAGTTTCGCAATGAATCTATTGTACCACCTTGACTCTTCTGTTCGTTTACGCCTTCTTTGTACGGGGGATATAATCGATTATATTAATATCCCCCCAAACTATCACATTCCTCCTCAATCCAGTAGGAGTAGAGCTATCGCTATTTTCGATCCGAGCGTACCTAATCTAAGCTAAGTGCTCCTCCTCCACCCTCCTTTTTTTTCTCTATCTCACCCCGCTACGTCCCAGCCTTGAAAGCGAGCAAGCGAGGTAAGTCTTTAAGAGCGAGATAAAATAAGAGAGAGCAAAATACCTACCTACCTTACTCAAGAGGAGGGATTAAATAAAAAAAAAAAGTTAAAAAAAAGTCAGAACTAATTAATCAAACGAAAGTACTATCCTTCCCTCTCCCCTTCGGTGCAAGACCCGAGATGTGCACGGGCACGTGCTGGGTATACGGGTGCCGGCGGTGCGGGGGCACGGTGCACAAGGACACGAGCGTGGCGGGGCACACGTGCAAGACGGCGCGGCGGAACCGGAGCCGCGGGTGCTGCCGGACGGGCGTCGAGTACACGTACTACGGCAAGAGGTCCGAGGAGCTGTGCGCCATGTGCGAGCTTGTCGGGGAAGTGGAGGCGTACTTGTCTGGGGGGGAGATGGGAGGTGATGTTGGTGGTGGGGGAGATGAGGACGAGGAAGGAGGGGCTTCGTTAAGTGAGGGTGGAGAAGAAGAAGAAGAAGATGGAGGAGGAGAAGAGGATAGGTCTGATGATGACGACGATGATGATGAAGAGGACCCGAGTGCGGAGGATGGAGGCGTCAAGTTAAGCCCCTGAGACCTTTCGAAAAAAGAAAGAAGGGTCCGAAAGGTCCCCGCGAGCGAAGCTTCCCTAACTCCAAACAGAGGAGTTGGTTGTGTGGTGATGTGCAACGGGTAATATGCAGAGAAAGGGTTAGACTGGACACGCAGATAAAGGGGCATACCTAATCATATATGTTCCCCCGGGGATAGTCGCTTTGTAACAGATCAGTAAGTAGATGATCTCCTTGGTATCTTGAACACTTACCATACACGGTATCTAGATAATTCTATCAATAGGTATGAATGGATTTTATATCACTAACGCTTTATGTGTACTTGTTACTATTCAACCTTGAGTTGTGCTGTTCTAACCCGCAGATCTTGGGCGTTTTGACATGTGCGGTTCGCCTAGAAATCGCCGTTGAACGGAAGTAGATAAATTATGGATTGAAACTGACTTCAGTGAAATGGCATTTAACAAGTAGTATACCTCCCTCCTAGGTAAGTAGCCAAGCCTCTTAAAACAGCCATTTGATTTATACGGCAACCAAAATCCGGCCCAACATGGAGCAATTATCAGTCTGTAAATTACATCGCATCCATCACACTCCATAAAAGGCAGATCTGAAAACTGGGTTGAAGTGCTGGTAACGGCGGATGAAGATCCCGTCGAAGCACCTAATGAAGCAGTAATCGCTGGGTATCCAGCCGCTCCCGAGGGTGAGGAGCCGGAAGGGCCGGCGCCAGGATAGTTGGATGGGAAAACCGACTTACACCTGGCGGCCGCTTCTCTCGCAAGGCGGGCAACAAGGACGGGCTCGAACCTCATTTTGACAAAGATACACTACTAAGAATAATGAAAGTGAAGGACATTTAACGAGTGTGTTGAAGATCGACGACAGGCAAAAGCTGACGATCGAAATGCAGAAATCGGTCTCGTCGTGGGCTATTTGAATGCATTTTCTGACGTGCCGGGCATTAGAAGAATCCGGCACTAGAATGCCAATTCATCATGTATCCGAACAAGAAAATTGCATTGCTCTTGTGACAGAGGTAACTAAGCCACTTGTGAGTATTCTCAACTGGGACAAAATCCAGAGCAGACGTCTGACTTTCAGCTAACGTGTCTGGGGACGAGCTGCCGTTAAAATCGAAAGATGTTAGAAGAGCCTCTAGAAAGTCTAGACTCAAGCCGTTAGTTGGTTTGTGGGGTGTGGAAATTCTTATCATCTCCGACGTAACTTGACTGGGCTTTGACCACTCAGAGCTCAAGATAGACTCCCGGCAGCTTGAACTAAGTACCTAAGGCAATATGTATACCCCTGGCTAGTGTCTAGCGTCGGTTCTGTTGAGTGTAGCTAGCCATGTAGTCTTGGTGAGTTATTGATACTATAGAAACTACCTAGATACCTATTTCCATAAAGAGGCATTCTAATCACGTCTAGTATAAGGTAGTTGAACTGTATGTATGATGCTTTGCCGATTGTTCTATAAACATAGATAGTGAATGTTTTTTTTTTAAAAAAAAAGAAAAGGAAAAGGAAAATAGAAAGATAACTCGATCTAAAGAAGTATCCCGTCATAGAATAGCAGAAGCGCTTCTATCATTTTGTTCCACTCGGGGTTAGATGTCGACATTTCGTTCCGTTTGTAGATTCGTTGTCCACTAAGGCCAAAGCCCACAAGGCATAGTCGAACTTTTGTGTCCTATTTCGAAAGAGGCAATTCCGGTCGTCTGAGCAGAGCGTTTATGTTGCAGGTAAATTGATTCAAGGAAACCTAAAGATTGTATCAATCTACAAATTAGCTGCATGGGAAGGAAGCAGTTGATATAAAAGTCTTACATCTGGAACCTTGGCGTTTACTTCTTGTAGAACGGTGGCTTTACAAGCCACACACATTGTTCAGGGGTTTTGTGAGATCATGAGATATCTATGACACAACGCTAGTACGTGGATATCATTTGCTGGCTGGGTAAGCTCCGATAAGATAAAGCTACCCCGCCTGTCAAGCCCCGCTTTAATACATAAGTATTGCGTACCATAGTAGTACCTCGTAGGGCTGAAGGCAACGACGCGATGACATAAAAGAGAAGCGGCAAATCCGTATTAATATAGGTAATATTTCTTCTGGTTATCGGCATTTCACCACTGAAACAAATCATTGACCCAATTTACTTTCATCCAATTTAAAGCTTCAAACAACAACGACAACAACAACAACTTTGATCCATCAGCTACTTGTCGGGTGAACTCACCTTCATCATGTTGATCGATCCACTCAGCTCGTCGGCCATCCTTCAGCAGATGGCCGATGCTTTACCTACTCATCCCCAGGGCGACACCACATCTGATCTGAGTAGTTCTCACGAGGCCCTCGCCCTATTCGCCCACGCTTGCATGTCCTCCCTTGGATGCCGTCTCCTTGGCTTCGATGAAGACAATATTGAAGGTGTGTATAGATCTTGATATTCTTATTGATATTCTTATTGCTATTATTAAATTGTTTAAATGATGCTCATGATTATTTAATAGAGGCGCAGTGCCATGAGATAGCTCCAAGGCTCCCACCAAATTGGAATGCGTCATTCAACACCTACGCATTCGTCTATGCCCACCAACAATCAGCACTTCGCTTCGTCATCAGAACTGATCGCATGGGCGGCAAAGCCGAAATCCGCGGTCTAGGTATTTGCGACGAACGCATTGCACGCGTCGAAGTAACCATCAAGGATTTCATCTCCAACGCGGCTCTTCCCGTCAGAATTCCTATCGACAGCGACGGCGCAGAAGATCGTACCAACCTGCCGCAGGCTCTTCGGAACGTGTTTATCTCGGACAGCCGCATCCAGGATCTGGCTAATCTGATCAAAGTCAACCTCATCCAAAAGCTTCTTCCTTCTCTTCAGAAAGAAGGCTACGAGGAATCGCCCGACGATAGAGCGGCGCGAGACGACGCCGACGAAGCGGGTCGCAGACCCCCCAGACAGCCTGTCATGCCGGATCCGGAGCCTCAGCCGGCGCAGCCGTACCCCTTCAACGACCCCCTCAACCCACCGCCCCGCAACCCCGTCCCAGCTGGCGATTTCCCACCCCCGGATTTCGAAGACCCGTATGACATCAACCGGCTCAGGGACGACCTCCGGCGACAACCGAGCCGAAGCCCGTTTGGGAACATTGGAGCCGACGATCTGCACCCTCCCGGATTAGGTCCGCACGATCCGCTACGGCCGAGCTTGGGTATTGGAGGGGACCTGCCGCGACGTGGTGGAGACCGAGGCATGCATCCGACTTTTGACGACCCCTTGTTCTTCGGAGGTCCCGGCGGTGGCGAAGGTGAATTTGACCCTCAGGTGCCGCCGGGAGCACGCTATGATCCCCTAGGCCCCGGAGGTCTCCCGAGGTTGGGAGGTCGCAGGCCAGGGGGAGGAAACGGTCCGTTCGGCAGCGGGCTTGGTGGCTTTGGCGGGGGAGATATCATTTAATCCAATGGGGGGCTTGGTGAGGCGTTTGGGAGAAGACTGGGAACTTGCACAAATGGGAACTAACTGTATTACTGGATTGTACGATTACAAGCCTTCACTATCACTACTAATAACTTCAATGTGAAATTAGGTATTTAAATGAAAATGAGAGTCTACTAGGTTTATTACGACCTTATTATGGCATCAAGCTACCTACCATATCAATATGTCATTTCAAAAATAAATGAACTTAACCCCCAAACTTTTTCAATGTATTTTCTTATGCATGTTCCAATTTCAAGTTCAAACAAAGATATAAAAATAATTTCACCCGTATATAAGTAATTTCTTATTCGTTAATGTTTACTTAGTATGTTATAATATATTAGAAGTTGAAGCATCTTTGACACGCAAATTTCTTTAAGAGGTTTCGATTTCGCGTCACTTCACATCATTAAGCCGCAACTAAAATAAAATCTATTCGCTTGAAGATTGTGACGATAATTGTTCTTTAGCTTTGCCTTCTTCCACCCAGCATTCAAAAAACAACGGCCCGGCTTCTACCGTGCGGAGGGGAGTTGTCTTGGCTCCGCCGATATCCTGACCGGGCGTTGGGTTATCTCTGGACCTGGTCTGTAAATTCGACTGCGAAGGTATCCAAGGTTGAGGGTGCTAGAGTTTCAAAGTTAATTATTATCGTCGATTGAATATGTAGGTTAGGTACCTATGCACTTACTCTTATGGGCGCTTCTCCTTCGTCTCGCAATTCCACCGCAACGGTAAAAGTACAACCCTCGGGGAGCGACGACATCTTCTCAGCGGCAAACGCTAGCTTCCTCACGGTAGCACGTAATTGTTCGTCTACATTAGCCCAATTGACTTTCCCCTCAGCGGCGGCGCCCTCAGCGCCCTCGGCCAGTTCGTCTTCCTCTTCTATCATCCTCGGCCCTCCTCCTCTAGCTTCCTTGAAGAAGCCTTTCCACGCGGGGAAGTTGGCGACGTCAAACATCCAGCGTTCCATGACTCTGGCCTGTCCGTCGTAGATAACCACGGCAATGCGCTGCACAGCGCCGAGGACCAGCTGCGCCTTGACGGCGTCCACGGCGTCGCGGATCCACGAACATACTTTCGGGTGTCTGGACTGGTGAACCGGCAGGTTATACGCTCGACTGGTGAGGAATGTCTGCGACGGGTAGATGGATCGATAGTATAGGATATTGTGGATGCATATGGTGAGGAATTGGGTGAATGATGTTAAGAGATTATTGGCTTGGGTATAGGGTACTGATTGCTGCTGCTCTTCATGAGGTGGCTGTTGGTTTTGTAAGGAGGCCATTGCGGCAAAGATGGAATTATAATATCAATTATAATAGCATCACCCCTCAACTGCCCCTGGGTTCTCCACCCCTCCAATATCAGGTATTACCTAGCTTTGGGGCAAGATCGTGGTTAGAGGTACCTAAGTAGCTAGGTACCATATAAGAGGCGCGTTGAGGGGTAGAAATTTAGGATTTAAGACCCGTTAAGTGGGAGTAGGTAAGTTTATCTATGTGATTGGCGAAAAGTTCTTTGGTGAGATATTTAGGTAACAACGGGTGCTATGCATTACCTCCACGGGTCATCACATACAGGTACCTCTACATACATCATATGTACACTTGCACCCGGATGAATTGACAACTTTATGAAATAAAGGTACCTTATATACCTTAGGTACAATACGCACAGTTTAGCATTTTATGTGACGCGACTGCCACCCCTCGAAAACAACTAGAGTTCCATTTAACTTTTCTTTACTGCTTTTCGACCTAACGCGTCACGCTAACTTTTTGTAGTGGTATCGGACTTGTCAAACCACTGGCACTCGACTACCATTTAAATCGTCGTCACACCTGCGGCCGTCCCACTTTCGTCCCGCAACTATTTTGACCGCTTTCAGACCAGGCAAAATAGAAATAGAACCGTTTTCTGTCGAGGCAACTATCGAAGCCCACTATCGAGAGACAACAAAACCCCACATTGTTTGTCGACAACAACAATAATAACAACCCCAACCGCAACCACCACAATAATAAATATTCGAGGCTTGTTCTAATAACCACCTTAATCTGACTGGATCGTAACGAGGAATCGAGCCACCGACAATGGAGGACCAACTCGTCCAGGTCCTCGCCAATACTCAGCTGGCTGCCGAAGGTCCTAGAAAGCAAGCAGAGCTCGACCTGAAGCATGCAGCTAGTAATCCCGCATTTCCCCTATCTCTTGCGAATATAGCCCAACATACGTCTATTTCCGTAGACATTCGACAGGCTGCTCTGTTTGCTTTGCGACTCTTCATCGAGAGAAACTGGAGCGGGGAGAACGACGATGGCCCCGCCATCCCTATCGCCGATGCTGTCAAGGATCAGATTCGACCCTCGGTTCTCGATATTGCCTTGAACTCGGACGATAGAAAGATCAAAATTGCCGCCAGGTACGAAACCCAAGCAGAGGCTATTCTTCTTAGCATTATTACTTGTGATATAGCTTGCCCTTTTAAGCGCATATTTAGCTCTACATTAACTGTTTCTACAATTACTAACTACTAGATTAGTTATTCAGTCGGAAAGATCGCTAATATTGACTTCCCCGAGCTATGGCCTTCGCTTCTCCCCACCTTACTCGAGATAATTCCGAATGGCAACGACAACCAGCTTCACGGTGCTTTAATAGTCCTCCGCGACTTGGTCGAGGAGAGCCTGAGTGATGACCAATTCTTCTCTATGGCACGAGATATCGTCAAGGTCGTATACGATGTCGCCATCAACGAAGGCCGAAAACCTGTCTTACGTGCTCTTGCTGTCTCCGTCTTTCGTGGCTGCTTTGACCTCATGGATACTGTTAAAGAAGAACACCCCAAGGAAGTTCAGGCGTTTGCAGACGAGGCAATGAAGGGATGGTTTCCTTTCTTCCACCAGGTTATGAAGCTGAGACTCCCTAGCTTAGAGCCTCAGTCATCTGTACAGCCTGATGCGTGGAATGGAATAATCGCTCTCAAGCTGCAGGTTGTGAAATGTCTTCTCAAGCTCAAATACGTTTTCCCAAGCCTCCTACTACCCGAAACGCCGCATTACTTTCAGGCTATCTGGGAAGAACTGCTACTCCTCGAACCCGCCCATGAACAACTGTATATTGAGAACGACGCCCAAGGCAGGCTAGAAGACTCCGATGGTCTTCCTTACACCTTGGACTTCCTAGTTCTAGAGGAATTAGATTTCCTAAACGGTTGCTTGCGTGCCCCACCTGTATGCAAGGAGCTATCAAATCAGTTGGCATCGTACGCTTCTGCGCATGAAACACCGTGGGTGCTGGAACTCATGCAGCTAGCCACCTCTTATGCGCTTATTACTAGAGAAGAGGAAGAGTTATGGGACATAGATGTCTCCCTCTACCTTGCAGAGGAGCAGTCCGTGAGCGCCAACTACACCCCTAGAACTGCTTGCGGAGATCTTCTCATTAAGCTCGGTGAATGGTTAAGCCAGCAGGCCTTGGAAGGACTCTTCGCTTATACGAAGAGCCTATTTGTCGAAAATGCGCCATGGAGAAGACAAGAGGCTGCTCTTTACTTGCTTAACCAGCTTGTGAATGATTTCTTAGAAGTCGGCAAAATCGTACCTCCGGAGATCGGTCAGGCGTATCTTGAACTCGTAACCTATGCTATTAACCGTTCCGGGGAACCGTTACTACGGGGCCGTGGCTATCTAGTTGCTGGCGTGCTAGCCCAATGTGATGGCATAGCAGTTGGGCTTCTAGACCGGACGATCCAGGCTATCGCAGCGGAGCAATCTGAGCTGGTGCAGGTTGCTTGCATCAAGGCAGTCGAAGGATTTCTCCAGAGCGGGAACAGTGCCGGTAACCAAGTGGTTCAAGCGAATGTGGTCAATGCTATCTCTCAATGGATGTCTGCCAGGGATATGTCCGAACTTGAGCAGGCGGATGACTTGCTTGTCACGCTCACCGAAACTCTACGAGCTGCTATCAATATCGACAAACGAGTTGCCGTATCCAACGATGTTCCTGCCTTGGATTTACTGTTCCTTATTGCCAAGCATGGCTCGACTAATTGGCAGGTATGTATCAAAAGATCCCATAAAGTTGCTAAATCATTTTCGTATACGGCCGAACTCATGTCTTTCTGTCTGATAGCGCTAACTTGTCTTGGTTCTTAGGTTACTATGCTCATTTGCGAGGAGTTTGAGGACATCGTTAAAACAATGCCAGACCCAGTCTCATACCAAGCGCTTTGCCAGAAAGTTCTCCCTACACTAAATGGAGCATTCAACGTTGCCGATATTACTTCAGACAACCCACTCATCACGGTAAGTTTAACTGGTCCCCTAGCCACTCGAGGTCGATTCATCCTCGAATTCTTTCGGGATTTTTAAAGTCCCAATGAATTTCCCCTAAGACGGTTCCTCAGCAGGGCTAACTAGTCTATATAGTTCGCAACCGAATTAATGGCCGCCCTCACTCAGTATGCGTCGGAGCCATTACCTCCTGGTTTTGTAGCAGCTACGTTGCCTAAGCTGAGCCGCCTGCTCATGGAGAGTAAAGAAGGCGACATTTTAAGGCCGGGTGCTGAATCCGTCAAATATCTTTTGGCACATGACCACGAGCAGGTGCTCAACTACCATGACGAGAACAATAGGTCTGGTCTCGAGGTCTGCCTACATATCATTGACCGATTGCTAGGGCCCTCGATAGAGGACAACGCGGCCTCTGAAGTTGGTGGCCTTGCAGCCGAACTTGTGGAAAAAGCAGGCCACGAACGACTTGGCCCATTCTTACCGCAACTTTTACAGGCGGTTGCCAACCGGCTGGCCTCGGCTGAGGCCGCTGGGTTTATCCAGTCCCTTATCCTGGTCTTTGCTAGACTTTCTCTAGTTGGTGCTCAGGACGTTGTCGCATTCCTCAGCACTATTCAGATCAACGGGCAAAGTGGTCTACAGGTTGTCTTAAGCAAGTGGCTGGAAAATTCAGTCAACTTTGCGGGATATGACGAAATCAGACAGAAGTAAGGAAACCCCATTCGACTCGTTATCCTATTCCAGCTAATTAGGAAATAGCGTGATTGCTCTGTCCAAGTTATTCAGCCTGAATGATCACCGTATCCTTCAGACGACAGTGAAGGGTGACCTGATCACACCTGCAAGTGATAGGATCATGACTAGATCCCGTGCTAAGCAAAGTATGTGTCTTCTTGCCTGCGACTTATCGTGTATCATTGCTCACTAATATCTAGCCCCGGATGAATATACCGCGATCCCTGCCCCGTTAAAGATCCTCAAGGTTCTAATTGAAGAACTCCTCTCGGCATCAGGGGTGAACAGTGCCGCTAACACCGCTGCTGCGGTGGCTGCCGCTGAATTTGCCGATGACGACGACGATGATGGTTGGGAGGATGACCCAGACACATTGGACCTCAACCTTGGTAGCGTGAAGAACGATTTAATGGGCTACCTAGAAGCCAACAACATGCGTCGTCGGGATGACGAGACCCAAGCTTACCTCATAGAATTCTTCCACAACGCAGCGCGCGACAATATTGCTGGATTTGGAGAATGGTACAACCAACTGAACGAGGACGAGAAGTTGAAACTGAACGAACTTTCGGCGCAATAGACTTATGCCTAAGCGATACCCAATGCGGCAGGGATTTCAAGAAGAATTTCCGGAGGATACCTAATAGTCGATAATCAAGTTCGCATTGTGAAGTTGAGAGAGGTGCTTAACTAGTCGCAAGGTGTTCTTTACAATTCCATACCTAGGCAATCAAAAGAATTGCAAAAGATCGGATATATCCCCCTTCAGTATAATATGGATTCAGTCGACTGGGTGTACCTAGGTAGTGGTAGCAGAGGTGGAAATGCGTATTTGGGTACAGTATGCAATTACTAGTAAATTAATGCATTGTCGCCGGCTGTCTTAGGTAGCTTGAGGGGGGGGGATTACCTAGAGAGACGAGGTTTCTGCCTGGGAAAAGAAAGAAGAAATGACAGAGAACGAGAACGAGAAGGAGAAAAGAGGGTGAGGATGAGGAAAAGACGGAAAAGACGGAAAAGAAAAGAAAAGAAAAATATGAGCCGTAAGTAGGTACCTACCTCTTATAAAAAGAACCAACGATGAATTTTATATCCTCTTACCTTTTGCTATTGACCTTGACGTTTTGGTACCTGTGTGTTATTTGCTACGTACCTACCTCCTATGTATAGCTGAATTGTTGATCTTGATTTAGCACGTAGTACCTCCTATCTTATATAATGTTAAGAGGTACCTACCTAAAGTAGTAAATAATCCAGTACCTCGTAATACGGAAGAAAGGAAGTTGAGTTGTAACTTATTAACATGACCGAGCCGAGAAAATCGAAGGTCTTATACATACCTAAGAGGTACAATAGCGATAATCCCGTATGTTGATGAGGAAGAGTATTATTATTTTATTATTTATTACACTTCCTATGACATATGTATGTACCTAGTAGTATTCCTCAAACGGAAAAGGGGGGAGTGGGAGGGGGGAACAACCAATAACGCAGAAGAAAGCGACAAATTCAATAATTACAATCGTACTTTTTCTCATCTATACTATAATTAATTAGGTACTTTATTGGTTGGTTGGGTTGGTCGACTTGGTTTGGGTTTGGTTTGGGTTTGGTTTGCTTCTCTCTCCTTCTCTCTCTCATCTAGTCTCGTACGCATCTCGAATTCGTAAACAATTCCAATTCCAGTGTCATTCCTCCCTTCGCTCCCATCCATCCATCCATCCATATGTTCATCCAGCGTAGCGTTAGGTAGTGTGGTGCTCGTATGTATTCCAACCCAAGCCAAGCCAAGCCAAGTCAAGTCAAACTAAGCCTCGCCTCATCTCGTGTCTCCCTCTCTCAAGAAAAAATAAATAAGAACAAAACAAAACAAAACAAAAAGCCTCAGTTATTTAGTCAGGTCAGGTCAATAGTTTGTGCCAGAATCGTTCGTTCCTTGTCGTCGGTCATTTGTCGTTCCTGTTCTTCATATGTCGTTCTCGTTCTTCGTTCTTGTTCTCATCCCTTTCTTTTTTGAATCGTTCTTTTCGTTCTCATTACACATACGTATACGTATACCCATCATCCACAAGCACATCAATTTCAACTAGAAGTAGGAGTAATAGTAGCCGCTCGTCATCTGCCGGAATAAGAAATGGAAACTCTCGTGCAACAACGACGACAACGCCAGCCTCGCAACGCCCGCGATGAATCTCTTCGTGACCCCCCAAAGCAGCCAGAACGCCAGCCGTCCCAACGAGCCCGCTCTACCACATATGACGTCCTTCTAAGCGTCACCACCGCCCCCACCTCCGCCGCTGCCCGAGGCCTTCATAAGGGCTCGCAAGCTAGCCATTTCGCGGCGAAGGCGTGCGTTCTCCCGCTTGACGCGGGCCGTCTCCTCGCTATAGTCCCTCATGCGCGTGACCATCTCCTCCTTGTCGTCGCGCCCTTTACCCTTGATCGCCTTGACGATCTTGCTGAGCTCGCTGTTGAACTTCTCGTACAGGATCTCGTTCTCCGCCATCGCCTCCTTGTACAGCTGGTCGATCGCCCGGACCTTGCCCTCGGCCGCCTTCACCGTGTTGTCCATGTCGTACTGGAGCTGGTCTTGCCGGTCGATCAGCTGCGCCACGATCATGGGGATGCGGTCCTCGAGCGCCCTTACGCTGGCCGATAGCTTCCTGATGTCGACTGTCTGTGTGCGTGTTAGGGATGAATTAACCTTGGCCATATCCGCGGCGATTTTCGAGAGCTCCAGTTGTAAGTTGGCATCTACGTCTTCGATGGCTTTCTTTTCCGTTTGCAAACGCTCCCGCAGCTTTTGCGTTGACTGCAATCGAAGCTTTCCTGTGGACTTGTTCGGGCTAGAAGTAGGTCTTGAACCTGATTCAGCTGCCGCACTGTTCTCACGTCTGAGAGTTGGGATATTAGAGGTTGAGAGCGTCTTGGAATGCCCTTTCCTTGGAGATTCGTTTGGAGGGCTACCTATTTGGAACGCGTCTTCAAGGTTTTCCTTTTGGCGAGACGAGCGAATAGCTAGACTGTTATATTGCGAGGGCGGGCTAGTCGGGATTCTGGACGGTGGTGGAATTCGTGGTCCGGAGTTGAACTTTTCCGAAGTCTGCTTCATATGAGAGAGAGGCTGCAGTGGTGACTCGTCCTCCAGCGTCGCTGTCTCCATAAGACTTCTGAGATCTGATAATGAACTTCGGCGCTTCCGCCTTGGTGTAGTAGGATATCCATCCTCAGTCTCAGGCTCTCCAATTGTTTCGAGCTTTTGTGAACTGTTTGGACGCGAATAGGAATCGTCGAAGGCGCCTGTGATGGGAGGTCTGTCGCGCGACCCAGGTCTCCTTATCCTATTCGGACTAGACGGCGTACCAATTTCAGATTTTGTCCTGATTACAGGACTTCTAGCCAAAGTCGGAGTTGTTTCACCGGTAGTTGGATTTCTGCTGTGTTTGCTTAGTGTACGCCATACGGACTGTCGATTATCCGCCTCATTCTTGCTATTCTGCCTTGTCAAAAAGTTTTCAAGTCCAAATTTCCTTCTTATAGAGGACGTGTTCGAGGTAAATGATCCGGTATGCGACTTCACACTACGAGTAGTCGAGTTCATTGATTCGAAGATGGACTCAGCTTGATCAATACTTATACTGAATCCGCTTGGCCCATCATCGAATATCCGCTCACAGTCATCGACAAGCCTATCAAGCAGGTTGATATAATTATGGGCAACCCCATCATCGACCAGGAGCTCTGCAAATGCCAAGGTGAGGGCCCCTCTGTCGCTATCATTCGCGCAGCCGTCAAGGAGGTCGGCAAGCAGCTTGATCAGAGCAGTAAAGGCCCTTCGGTTTTGGGGTGCCATATCTCTAAAGAGGAAATGGACGAAGTCCGCAAAATCTCCAGGAAGCTTCTTAGACGCTCTCTCTTGGAGGGCGTTTAGCGCCTTCAGCGGGATAATAGGTCCCATTTGTTCTCTCCAAGCTATACGCACGAACTTCTCAAAAGCGACAAAAACGACGTCGGGAGTACAGTCGCCCGAGGTTTCAATATCGAAGGGACTTTCGATAAGTCTGTTATAGAGATCATTCACGGAGAGCTCATCCACAGCAGACCTGTTGAGTAGCGTTCGGCCAATGAAGTTACCTTTGCGTGCCTGGAGACTAGCCATATAGCCAGTGAAGGTCTGCTCAAGTCGAACCAACGGGTTTTCCGGCCGATCATCATCAGACCCACCAATCCGGATTCCATCCCTACTCTTGGTAGAACCCTGCAACGAGTTCGCGTCAACCGAGCTGTTCGACCGACTAAGTAGACCAGGAAGAAGTATCGGCGCATCCCCCGTTAATGTACGTTGATGTTTATGGCTGCTACCTGATTCCGAATTACTGCTACCACCCAGGAAGCTCGAGAGGTACTTCACGGGTGATGTAGCTAGGAAGGACCTTGTTTTCTCAGCTTTATTGGAGACACTTAGGCCCCGGAGTACCTTTGTGTGAAACGACACCATTGCAGCGGTGAGCGCTGGGTTCCCGACGTTGAATTGGGTACTGAGAAGCTGAATCACTACGATTAGGTTAGCAAGATTTCCACATTTCTCCAGTCAAGAAAACTTACCTCTCCTAGCAAGTGTTGGGAGGAAATCATCTAACCCAATCTCGTCGACCGCTTTCTTCCCACTAAGCCCTATTGTGATTACCATCACCTTCTTCATACTTCCTGACCCAGTCTTCACATCCGAGCATATCTCTACCCCATAATGACCAACAGGCGCACCTTTAGTACCCTTTTCGTGGTCTATAACGATACGAACGGGAGCCGGTTCCTTCCGTCCTTCTATCAGTTGATCGATACCCTCTTGGAAGACGGCGGCGAATAACCCTAGGCCAGTATCAGGCATTCTCATAGACCGTAGAGTCCAACAAGGATCTTCACGCTCCTTTTCTGAGAACCTGCCTTCTACTCTAGCCTTGACAACCTCTTCACTCCATTTTGCGGCTTTGCCTTCGTACGATTCCTGCAGTACGAAGCAACGCGAAGTAGTGGCTGTGTTCGTGACGAATTCGCCCGCATTGGCGCCTTTCATTTCATTCAAAGAAGTCAACCAGACCATACGCCCATCTGATGATTCGGTAAACCGAACATCGGCCAGAGAGTGCCAGCCAGCAAATGCTAGCTCATAAGAACCCGGGCCACCAGCTGCATTAGTCATAGAAACCAATAGGCCGGCCGCTGATGGCTTGTCAATCTCACGTAGTAGGTCGCGTGCTGACGTGCTGGCACCATAGACCTTTCTTACGATCACGACGCAATCTGAAAAGAGTAAAAAAATACCAGTTTGGTCACTCAGAACTGGTTGTGCAGCTGCACCAAGTTGGTAGGGGGCAGGTATCTCAGAGAAGTCAGCAGCAACAATTAGCCGGCCAAGCGGTTCGAGGTCACTAGGCCAGCTCTCAATCATATGTCGCAAGCGTGTGTTAATATGAGGCTTATCAGTAAGCGGATCATCCATGGAGCAGATATTAGCGATAATATCTCTAGCTTTTAGCATATGCTGGAGAGCAGGATGGGTAATTGGTAAAGAGCCTACAATTTGGTCAATGACCAAACTATATCGTGGCAGCCGCTGGACAGGCTCGATGACAGTAGAGCGGAGGTGCTGCTCTCCAGTGACAGCCACTCTTTGCGAGAAGCTGGACTGTTGGCTGACGAAGGATGTAATTAGTTGAGGGAAGTTTTGGCTCGCTCGAATATAGTCCTGATAACAGTCGGTGAACTTTGGAAACCACTCCAACATGACTTTTGCCATTGCCAAAGCTCCAGTTGCGTCCTTTGATTTTCCAACCACACTTCCAGATGCACCTACTCTTGTTCCAGTACCAGATTCCATATCTTTCAAAGCATCTCCTTCGGTTTCTTCCATGATCTGTCGTAAAGCTTGCATGAAACCGGTATTAATCTCTAAAATCTTATCCGCCGACCTAGGGAATAATTTCTCAACATCCTGTTCAGAAGGGCTAAAACTTCCCGGTTGTTGCTCCTTGGCCTTTTGCCTATATTCGGGTGCGAGATGATTCACCAACTCATCCATCTTCGCCACATAACGCTCCTCAGTCTCCAAAAGCTCATCCATTTTTCGCCGCAGTTCCGCTTTCTGTTGTTTGGAAAAAGACCTCGTCCTGTTCAGCGTACTCGGCTTAGAAGGGGCTCGCCGTAATCTCGAAGTTGGTAAAAAGACAGGCTCGCCAAACAACTTGACAAGAGGCGTATACATGCCATATTGCCGTAGGGTCGGATCTAAAATATCGTCCTCGTCCTCGGGAATCTCCTCCAGATCGATGGGCTGTAGGGGGCTAATGGACCCCGGTGGTAAAACAAGATCAATATCGATATTATTTATATGTTGCGTCTGAAGGGCACATTGGAGCTTTTGAATGACATCAAAGGCGGTGTCCGCCCTGACCATGGATTTGGCAATATCGGCGGCATGTTGTTCACTGAAAAGCGATGGCAACGAACCGGGTCGGCGATTTCGAATGGCGGGATATTGACTTCTAACATAGGCCTTGACATGCTCGGGCAGCTCGTGAAAATATTTGAATAAACCGAAGGCTAAAGCTCGATAGACCTCGTCGCCCTGAAACTCTCGGGGAAGATAGTTGACAACATTATAGAAAGGCGAGTTCGGGGATATGGTAAGTCGAGGAAAGGATTGGAAACCGGCCGGGGTATATACGTGAACCTGGACTCTCGAACTGTTTAAGGTATAATTTGCGGTCGTTGATGGTCCGTGAAGTATGAGCAAGGGGAGGTGACTCAGTAAGGGGTCCGTAGCTTGATAAAGAGTGAGATGATCTGGCGATAGAGCCAGCTCCTCGGTGACGCGAACCATGGCCGCCTCAGTAGGCCTGTCGCATCATGCTCCAGACAGGGGGAAACGAGTGTGAGGTCGACAAAGAGACCCGAGGGACAAGTTAAACGAGGCAAACGTCTTGGTACCAGGTTCGTTTATTTAGTAAACAAGTTTGGGCTGGGTAGGCTGGCTAAATTGGCTTCTTGTGCGCGTCGAAAGCTACAGTCGATTGTTTACTTTTGATGGCAAGCAACTGGAGGTACTACTTCGTACACAAAAAGAAATGATAGTACACAAGACCACCCAAGACAAAATAATAAATGATGCATGCAATCAAGTAGAAGAGGGAATACTGGAAATGAATAAATGCGCCAAAGGATCAAAAACGGATCTCAATAATTGCAATGCACAGGGACACGCTCGAAGTCCTTCAAGAGTGCTATTGTGGGAAGCATCATTTGCGGTCAGCGATAAGACGGCTAAGACTGGGATTAGGTAGACCGGAAGTGGGTAGGGTTTCTATCTTTTTTGTGGTCCCTCGGGGATTTAGTGGGTTTGCCGAACAAACGCGACAGCTTGAAAACAGCATGAAACCGCGTTTCGATTTTGATAAACCCCACCTTACTCTTTTTACCCCTCAAGAATTCCCCTAAGAAACACCCTAGATGTATGTGCCTTACACCTTCCGGAGGCATGGAACTGCCCATACAAAGTCTGGCATACTAGGTATTCGGACTATGTACCGGACGCTAACCTGCTTAGATCATCATACCTAGGGGAGCTATTAACTAGGCTAGGTACCTAGGTACCTTTTAGGTAATTCGCACTGCTAGCACTTAACCAGGTAACTACCAACTACCTGGTAAGCAGGACAGTTTCCAAAAACTTTAAAAGTCGTTCTCTTTTAACAAACAGCATTTTCCATATGACACATCACCTATTCCCTACCAAATCTTGCCACCCGACTAGTGACAAAAAAATTATTACGATATCTGCAAGCTGTCTTGACGTTAGGTACCTAGGTAGTTACTTGGTATCTCGATAATGTCTAGTCAGAGAGAAGCGAGCATCTCACTCAATCACGCTCCCGACGGAGTTGGCTATAAACTCTTGGAGCTACCCCCCGAGCTACTCGCACTACTAGAATCGGACACGCCTCCTGTGTTAGTAGACCATCGGTACTTATAAATCGGCACGTTCCTAATGCAAGTTTTGTTGTATAGCCTAACCTTAGAATCTTCGACGAATTCGGCCGTGTTGAAAAATGGTACTCGATCATGGGGCCTCCGTCAGAAGAATACGTCGAATGCTTTGATCTTACTTAAAACTTCTGAGGGAGCATCAACGTCTTCTTCAGAGGTGCCAGAGCTAAGTTTAGATGCTATTTCGACAATTCACGACACGATAGAGCTTGTGCCAGACCTGGCTGCTGCTGCTGCACCCATCGCAAGGGGTAAATGGCATGAGAAATTTGCCCGGGGAAGGTAGATTTATAAGAACAAATCAAATACCTCCTACTTCCTACCTACCTACCTAGAGGTACCTAGAACTATCAGAAGTCACATGGCCTATATTAATTAATTATATGAGGTACTTAAACAAAAGCCTACATATACGCAGTACCTATTCCCCGATTTTGAATCAACTCAGGTGCAGCATGACCTTTTGTCATACCATCATCTGATCCCGGGTCCCTGTCGGAGGTAGTATTTTTCTAGAACATATCAATCCTAGCTCTAGCTCCCGAAGCGAGCCGGGAGTTCGTCTTAGTCTCCCAGGAATGGCATTTAAGACATAGTAAGGTATAGCTACATAGTATATATATATATATTTTTTCTAATCATCTAGCGATTGGTTATGTCGAAGGATAAGTGATCTACAATCTTGCAGGATGAACCATGTTACATAGCATGTGTTTAACTTCTTTCTACCTATCTAGGTACTATGCCCCTACTACTTCAGGCACGGTATTAATACATGAAGCTGCCGTGCCTAATCGCACGATATATTAGATAGTGTTAGGTAACCCCAGATAGGAGAAGAATTATGTTCTTCCAAGTACCTAGAGGCTAGGGATTGGGTTTACCAAACCTGTCAAATTACTTCAACGGATGTGCCTTGACGAGTACCTAGGTTAGGTACCTGTATTGAGCTGCATTATTTTAGCGCTAACTACCTAGACAAGTCAATTCCAGGTTGCTTTAAAGCCAGGACAAGAAGACCCTAAATATGGAGATACCTTTTAGTGAGAAAAGCATGGTGCAGATGGTGAACCTTGGACCAGGCTACAAAAAGGATAGCGATAGCCTACCAGAGCCTCAATTTATTTCCCCATCTCTCTCCCCCTCCAACGACAAAACCTTTATCAACTCCAGGACCTGTTCTCAAATTAATAATAAGTTGGTCCAGCTTATCGACTCAACTGGGGTATCATATCCTCGCTTTGTATACCCAGTTATACCCAATTTTTCTTTGTACCTACCTCTAATGTAAAAGCTCTGATTTAAATCATACCTCAATATTTATTCCAATAGGTATTAGATAAGTGTTGGTATTGCAACCGCCCTCGGAGTATCGCGGCTGGGGGTTTTTATGAGGCTGCAGGTGTGTTGTCCTGTTACTGGCACGTCAAAGTAAGGACATGAAAGCCGACATAGTTAAAACTTCTACTTCTCTACTGTGATGACAATTGCGGCTTCCGTTTGCTACCATCTCAGAGAGCGGGGTTTCCCTTTTCAAGAACGACCCGATTCGAGTCATCGTCAACCGTGATTACCTTAGGAAGTGGCGTCTTTTTATTTTTATTTTTGTTTATTTTTATTGCTGTTCTTTCCTTCCTTACAACCTCATTCAGGTATAATTGAGGAAATGGCGCTCTTGCCATTCAGGCCCTGAGTTACATACCTAAGAACCTAAGAACCTTCCGTCGAAACCTTCCTTATTATTACCAGCTTGAGCAACTGCCAACTGCCAGCAGCCCAAGGCACAAGCAGTGCAAGCAGCATATACACTCACGGTCGTTCATGCCTTCCCTGCCTTGTCAGCTGCGCTACTCCATTCATTTCCAACCTCTTATCTAACTTGTCTGCCTTTCGTTGTGTGTCTTTCTCTTTACAACAATTTTGTCCAGTCCAGTCCAGTCCAGTCACAAACTTTCCCTCATCAGGGTCGTCGCCGACATACCTACGTCCCTACGTACATACGTACCTACCCTTTTTGTACATTAGGCACGTTGGGGACAGTCGGTATATATGCGCGACACTTTCTACCTTGAGTTTGGACAACTTTTTCTTTTTCTTTTCTTGCAATATCTCTAGGTGTTCTTGCATTCTTGCATTCCATACAGGCAGGTCTCGTTTATCTTGTCTGCCTCTCACCAACCACCACCCATCGCATATACACTAAGCATTTACACACATACTCGGTGCTATATACTCGGCTCAAGACACTACCCAGAAAGTACATAAAAAACAAGACTATCAGCAGTTTATTGACGGTTACCTTGCGATACTTGTGATATTTGCGATATCAAACATCGCAGTGCCAAGTCTCAAAGACCTTACAGGACGTACCTGTATACACACCTAACCTTGGTCAAACTTTCCTTTTTAGGTAAGCAGCTACTTACTTTCTATCTTCTACCGGTACCTAGGTAGGTTACCATGTATGCTTTTACACATGCCTTATAAGCACACAGGGCTAGATGCTTCAACGTTTTGAGGAGCTTACACTCTGTTTTTTTTCTCCTCTTCTCCGTTCCCCCCTTTCCCACTTCTTGTATTCCCAATATTTAAAACATGTGTTGTATGTTAGGGTTAGGTATTACCTTTCTATCTTACAACCACGCAGCCTTTACATTCATACCCTTGAAACCCTTTTTTCGACTTGCTCTTTCCTTTCTCTTTCCCCAACTTTTCCGACATGACAAGCACCATGCAGTTCTGTGTTGTCGTTCAGGCGCTAATTACTACAGCACAAAGGTTATCCACAGCTGCATTCACTAGTCATCTAAAGGTTCAGATACGTCGTTGCAAGTCTAAGCAGTTAGGGGTCGTCAATAATTTTGTCTCTCCTGAGTTGCGCCGCTACATTGACGCTAAAATGGCAGACAATCAGAATCCTATTGTGATAGATGATGATTTAGATGACCCACATATGCTACAAGACGCTATGGATATTGATGAGGATATCCCTGACGATTACGAAGATATTGACCTCGAGGCTGAAGAGGAATATTGGGAAAATTTTCCTGACCAACATGAGTTTCAAGTGGACAAAAGACCCTCCGATGTCTGCAGAGATCATGTCAAGTCAGTTTTCCCCGATATTTGTTTGACTTATCTAGAGCAGATTGTGTCTGAAAATAATTACAATTCAGATGCTACCATTGGTGCTATTCTTGATCGTCAAGAAAAGGACGGAAAATATCCGGTCCGTGATCGGAAACGCAAGAGAACAGAGGATGACGATGGTGAGGTTGAGAGTGACGATGACGATGATGATGACGATGGTGACAAGGATGAAGCCAAGAAGACCAAGAACCGTATCATCAGAGCGACCAAAAAGAAACTGGAGCAAGTGGACTACCTTTCAGGTACGGTCACTCACAAAGGCTACATAGAGATGGCAAAAAACGTTTTAGCTTCAGAGGTACGTCGAGAAAATCACTCCCTTACCCATTTCAAGACATATTAGTCGCCTCCTCCTTTACTATAGAAGCTAACATTGTTATAGTATGTCAAGTGCTTTCTTTTTACACTATCATATTTTCGGGTCAATGCTATATTTTCAGAGAGTTTCTACATTCTGGGTGTAATACTAACATATCTCAGCTTTCCGAGAGTACCAATGCCGACAATCAAGACCCTATTGCGCGACAATAGAGGGTCTGTTTTCGAGACGCATGCAAAACTAGATGATGCTGTCCGTAACTGGGATGATGCAAGTCCACCTTGGACGGAAAAGCAACGGTGCTCAAAAATGATGATAAACTTCTTGCCGGATCGCATCCACACCCTGGATATGACGGATTTTGATCCTGGACAGAAAGCAGCAATTGCCGAGTTGCGTGCTGCTAGGGAGCTGAAGTGGCTCAAAGATGCAGAGGCGGCTCAAGAGACCGCAGAGAAAGGAAATTTTGCCCACGCAAAGTTGATCGGGGAGGTAGTGGAGTGTGGTTGCTGCTTTGAGGAGTGTGCTCTCAACCGAATGGTACATTGCGATGGCAAGAATATTCATTGGTTTTGTCGAAATTGCATGAAAATGCAGGCGGAGACAAATATCGGCATATCCAAATACGAAATATCTTGCATGTCTGTAGACGGATGCGACGCCGGCTTCTCTGCAGATCAGATGAAGCTGTTTCTCGACAAGAAACTCCGTGTGGTCCTAGAACGTCTCGAACAGGAGGCTATGTTGCGGATGGCAGGCATCGAGAACCTTGAGACTTGTCCGTTCTGCCCCTACGCAGCAGAATGTCCTCCCATTGAGGTTGATAAGGAATTCACATGTATTAATCCTGGCTGTGAAAAGGTTAGCTGTCGTCTGTGCCACAAAGAGACGCATATACCAAAGACCTGTGCCGAAGCCTCCAAAGACCATGGTCTGGACGCACGACATGTCCTCGAGGAAGCCATGAGTGAAGCGTTGATACGGCATTGCAATAAATGTAAAGACCCCTTAGTCCTAGAAGGTCATATGCGCACTCAACTAACACCTTAACTATAGGTCAAGCTCCTTACCTCAAACTAAATGGTTGCAACAAGATATACTGCACTAAATGCTCCACGATGCAATGTTATGTCTGTCGCCAAACCATTACCAGCTACGCACACTTTGACGACGCCAGGAGAGGTGGCAAAAGTGGTCAGTGTCCGTTGTTCGATAAGACCGAGGAGCGACACGAACGAGAGGTACAGCAAGCGGAAAAGGAAGTCCGCCAGAAAATGTTACAAGATAATGCCGACATAGTAAGTTTTCATTTCAACTTTCATCCCTGATCCAATGTTGTCTCTAATATTCAAACTGTTCAGACTGAAGAGGTGCTCCAAATCAATCTGTCAGAAAAAGTCCGGCAGGACGATCAAAAGCGTAAAAAGGAGAATCAGCTTCGGCAGCAACAGCAGCAACAGCAGCATCTTAACCCTGCTGCCCACGCTAATCACATGGATATGGATATCGTCAATCGTGCCATAGAACACGCCCGTCAATTTCATCAACGAGTTCAAAATCATTATCCTATGCACCCTGCTGTGCCTCCTCCTCCGTATCCCCACATGCACCCTCTCGCGCCTCCACCGCCTCCACCGCCTCAACCTATTGACGTGCCCGGTGGTCCCCAAGCTAGAGATATCGACCCCGGGGTAGTGGTTCCATTGATGCCTATGCATGATCAGAGACTACAGCAGGAAAATCTGCTGCAGCAGAGAGAACGCTTACTGCAGCAGCGGGAACGCCTACAGCAGCAACGGCGACACCTACAGCAGTTTCAGCGGATGCAGATGGATATTATTAGAGGTAGAGAGCCGCCTCAAGGTATGGTAAGAGGCAGGTATGCCCCTCGGGGCGTTGCTCCGAATGCTCCTATGCATCCACCCCAGAATCAACAAGAGGCCATGCAAAACCAACCAGAAAACCGTTTAAATTTGGCCGCTGGACGTCAGCACGAACCTCAGGTATTGCAGCAAGATGTTCCGAATAACCCACCTCAAGATGGACCAGCAGAAGGTGTGGATCCGCTCTATCAGCCAGCAGAACAAGGAAATGGATTTCTAAATCTACAAAATCCAAACGGATTCAACTTCCGCCGTTGGGGATTTTAACTGCTGTCTTTCCATTTCCTGCAGGATAATTCACCTCATCAATTACGGTCCCTATTTATGGACTGACGCCTAAGCACCAAATCTGCGTTTTCTGGTATACTGCCTGCCATCTGATTGCGCTTGTTTTGCCCTTCTCTGAAGGTGGCCATTCAATACACTAAATACACCATACAAGGCGAAGTTATTGAGCGTCACGCATATAACCTTTTTTTTTACTCTACGGCCGTAAGATTTTGTAGACACTTCCGCCTTTGGGAGGTCTGCCAACTTGGCGTTAAGGAAGACACACAGCATTTCGGCATACAAACTAGGCGTTCAAGGGGGAAAGAGGGGAGAGATAATGTGTGCTTTGTTTTCGTGAGAATATTCTTTCTTGTCAACTTTTCTAATTGGATGGTCGAGGTTATATCGAGACACTTCTACATCCACATGTCCGTCCTGACATCACTGAGAGGCCTGGCTATAGGGGACTGATGAAGAAGGAAAACTATTAATCCGGTCTATGCACACCCGCATTGACTGCAGAGGCAGTTATAATCATCGTTATAAGCGATGTTTCTGTCCTAGGTTTCCAACTCTTCTCGGAGAAAGTCTCTATATCTACCCCTGATAGCCTTTGTTAGTGTATATATGTAAATTCACATTCTGACCCAACCTTTCCGCATGCTTCTCTTTATTCTAGGTGATGATCTCTTCTGTGTCTATATTCTGTCCCTGTTGTTCTTGAAATGTTAACACCAGCAGTATTTTTCATTCGCAACCCACTCGACATTGCGAACATCCTCGTCTCCGTACCACATCATACTAGGTATGCTATCTTCATCCCGCTCTACCCAACGATGCTGTAAACCACTCTGGTCGATCAATTTCTTAACTATAGTCGATGGATTCCATAAGTCGACTTTCCCCAAATGCCACCGGGATGACTCTCTCTGTGCAGCTTGCATCACGGCTGTGAACGCCTCCTGTATATCATTACTCGGAACCTCTTTCATCTCCTCGGAAGCCTCCGGCTCGATAACCAGCCGCAGGATATACAGCTTGTTCTTATGGACGTTGTCGGCCGGGGCGCCGATCCCGCCGTAGCTCCTCGCCCAGACGGCCCAGACGCGACGGCCCTCGGGACCGGCTATCGCGCCCCGCGCAAACGGAGCGGCGGTCTTGAAAAGCACTGAGGATATGTAATCGTCCCTGTAGAGGTGCCACCGGAGCGTGTCGTGGTCGGGCGCGAAAGCGGCGCTTGTGCGGCGGGTTGCGCGCGCCGTGCGCAGGAGTCTCTCCTTTAGCAGCTGTTCGTCCCGCTGGCAGAGGGGTTCCAGGTTATCGTATGATATCGGGGTGATTTCCCCCTCCCCCTCCCCCTTCCCCCTTTCGCTTTCTTCTTCTTCCTCCTGTTCTTCTCGTCCGCTCTCTTTCCCGTCGACCGAGACCGAGACCGGGACCGGGACCAGGAATTCGGCGTGGAGGCTCGGGAACGCGGCCCAGCCCTTCTTCGCGTAGTACTGCTTGCCGATGTCCGACCACAGGGCGGAGCACGCCGCGTCCCGGCCGTCCTGCGCTTGCCACTTCCGCAGCCAAGGGCCGAGGTCGCTTAGCATGCGCGCCGCGTACCGGTTCCCCCGGAACTCCGGGTACGTGAAGACGGAGCCGATGCCGTGGCCCACGCGCTCGTGGACCGTCGCCGCGGCGGCGGTGGTGGAATCTGCGCCCGGGTCGGGATTTGAGTAGGCGACTAGCACGCGCTTCCGGATAGACTCGCATGAAGCGAGGACAGGTCGGGTGCTACTATCTGTTGCGGCCGCCGGCGACCACGCCGAGTCCGTGAGGATCCAGTGTGTCATGCCGCCGTCGCGCGTCAGCGGGATGGTGGTGAAATACGCCTCCCGCTTCAGGTACTGCTCGAGGGTGAGCGCCCCGCCCCAGTGCGTGTGGTTGAGAGCCCACGTACGCCGCTTCTCGGCGTCCGTGGGGTGCGCGAGGCCCAGCGACGGGGACGTGGCGGGGGGGAGGGTGTAAGTGTCTTGAGATGCTGAGCCCATTATGACGACAGCCGGCTTTTTTTTCCCTCTTCTCTTTCTATAGGTAGGTAGGTACCTAAATATATGAAAAGTGCGGGATGAGTTAAGCAAGCAGGTGAACCAACCGCTCTCTCAAATTATATGCACTATATATCGTAGCTGCTAAAGGGACAAGAAGCAGTTTCTTCGTCGGTAGAGCTTAGCGAATGACGTTTTTCTGCGAGGACTTAGTAACAGCTCGAAAGACGCTTAAAGCAAGCCAAGCTGAATATGTCTCGGAAACATGCCAGTGCGTTGGCAACGCCAGACTGCTGGGTGAGACAAAGAGAAACTAGCCTGGTTTATTGCTTCTTTTTTATAAAGGACAGAAAAAAAAAGGAAAAAAAAAAAGAAACATGACATGTGATCAAGTACGGCCAACAGAATATATATACACATGCCAGTAAGTAGGTATGTATATACTACAAGGCAGCCCTGACGTACAAGTCCCAGACCAGCCAGGCCAGGCGATATATGCACTGCACTGCACGTACGCTCGGCCAACTAGCGGACCACGGCGAGACGAAAAGGGAAGAAAAGGAGGGGACATATGATGGTCTAGTACTACATGGGCCAAGGCTCCAACGGGGAGTTTTTATGTAACGAAATGGATATTATTCGAGGAGAGAGGAAAAAAAAGAAAGAAAGCCGGTGAATGAACGCTACCGGCCGCTCCCCCTCAGCTCCGGCCTTTTCGAATCTTCGGACCGGGGGTTTTCGGCGGAGGGGACCCAAAAAGGGGGAAACGATGTAAAATCAGATAACTATTGGGACTACGCCTATCTTTTTCGGCGTATTGAGAAGTGACGGCATAAGAGAAATATCCGAAAATACAGACAAACACATACCTTTTTTAATTTCTTTTTATCGGGAGGATCCAAAATGGGGGAGGAAGTCTACGGTTGGTACGAAATGGCGGACTAATAATACCTATATACCTACCTCATAAGCTGAAGCGGGCTGGGGCTTTCGAGGCAAAGGGGTGGGTCTTTCTCGGTTATTAGGTACTGCGAAGGTTTGTGGAGGCTAAGGTATCGTGCCGATGCAACCCGCCTCGAAAGTTACCTGGTACGATACGTAGGTGTAATTATAGCAGGTGGACTTTTAAAACGTACATGCGGAATGGGTTCTGCTGACCTTGGTTCACTACGAATTATACTCCATCGTCACGCCGCACGGACTGGAATGCTGCCACTGAGACGCTAATGTAGGTGGGAACTTAGGTTGATTGATTAGGTTGATTTTTGCTTTGGATCCGGGATTTGGGTTGTGTCTTAAAAACCCCCATCTTTCTTATTAGGAATACACCTTCCCGCGGCCACCTTCGTTTTCCCTTTTATTTCTTATCAGTGGCCATGTCCATCATCCGGCTCTCCCCTCTCTTCCGGATCCAGCTTGATCAGGGTATCAATCCTCATTATACTGATACACGCCTCCACCGCACTCTTCAGCTGCCGAACCTTGCTTATGCTCGGTTCTAACACACCCGCCTTAACTTCGTCCACTACTTTTCCCTTCATGAGATCCAGACCGTAGTTCTTGTAGTTCTTCTTTTTCGCAATCGTCTTCTCGTCCTCGTTGGCTTCTCCGTCTTGTGTCCGCTGCGATAGAGCGTGCCGAGACCGTAATTGTGCCACTAATTCGCTTGCATCCTTTGCCGCGTTGACAGCCAAGGTCTTGGGGATAACGAGGAGCGACTGTGCGAACTCTCCGATTGCTAGCTGCTCCCTTGAACCAACTGTGCCTGCAAACTCTTCCAAGTAGATGTGCAGTGCTGTTTCCACTGCTCCACCACCAGGTACAATACTGCCACTCTCTAGAGTTCGCTTAACCGCACATAACGAATCGTGAACCGAACGCTCCATCTCGTCCAGCGTGAAGTCGTTTGGTCCTCGAAGAAGGATAGAGGCTGAAGAGTGTGTCTTAGTTCCCTTAACCAAGATGCACTCATCGTCTGAAATACGTTCCTGAACAACTTCTTCGGCGTAGCCTAGGTAAGAAGGCTCAAAACGCTCATCGCCGTTCAGGTCAGAGAGCGTGCTCAGTAGGGTTGCGCCGGTGGCCTTTGCAATTCGTCGCAAGTCTTCCTTCTTGCATCGCCTTACAGCCATAGCGCCGCGCTCGATAAAAAGCTTCAAGCACATGTCGTCGATACCCTTGGTCGTTAGAATAACGTTGGCTCCGGCCTTAAGTATCATCTCAACCCTCTCGATAACCATTCCCGACTCTCGTGCGCGGATCTGTTCGAGCTGTTGAGGGTCATCTACCGTAATTTGTACACCCAGCTTCATCCTCTCCTTCTGCAGGTTCATGTCGAGGACTGCAATCTTAGCATCCTGTATTCTCGTAGTCATTGCCTGCGATGCAACGGTGCAGTTCAAAGCATAGCCCTTAACTAAGACGGATTCTAAGACACCCTTTCCATGTGCTTTTAGAATATTGACTGCCTTAACGGGGTATTTAACCTCGCTGCGGTTATTTGTCGTCTTAACTGCTTGGAGAGCATCGACAACCATGTTGGCAAAGAAGTCAGAGTCGGCACCGATAATCTTGCTAGACATTGACGTCTTGGCAATGCTGAGTAACGATTCACGGCTGAGGTTTTCTACTTTAGTGCTAACATTTTCGTTCATGTATTTGATAGCCTCTCTCAAAGCAAGTCTGTAGCCGGTGATAATAGTCGTGGGGTGTATCCGGTTTTTCATTAGCTCGTTTGCTCGTCGTAGGAGTTCGGCAGCAATAAGCACGACCGAAGTCGTACCATCACCGACTTCTTTATCTTGTTGCTGCGCTAGGTCGACGAGAATCTTTCCAGCGGGGTGTTCGACATCTAGTAAACTTAGGATAGTGGCGCCATCGTTGGTCACTGTGACATCCTATAACAGTCAGCCATGAAGCACCCACATAGAAGACCACGGGTGTCCATACTCCAATATCGTCCACCATCATCTTATCCAGACCGCTCGGGCCAAAAGAGCTCTTGACGACGTTCGCTATAGCTTGGGTAGCAAGAACTATATATATGCTCGAGTTAGAAATATATACCATAGCAGCCTCAAGGAGCAGGGGAGAGCTATGTGAGCTATGAGAGCTATACCATTCTGATCCCTGATATCTGCACCAGAAATCTTCTGGCCACCGAGGAACAAAGTCCCATTCGAGGGTTGTTCAAACATGGAAGCCATCTTTTAAAAAGCTTTGTTATTTACACCTGGGACGAAAAACGGACGAACTTCCAACGTAGTCGATAAAAGGAGGGGATTCTGTATAATCGGAGCTGCCAGGCTGCTTCGATATTTTGTTAGGTGAAGCTTCTAAGCAACCCACTTGCCTCCAAGGGCTTTGGGTAACTTTTTTGCGGAAGTAATGGTTATTCCTAGTCCGATAATAGGTACTTCAGGTGGACACGCACAGACCTAGGGACCCATACTTTTCCCTTATCTGCCCCTCCTGCCCTCTAAAGATTTTATACATAGAAGATCCCTGGAAGGTTGGAAGGCTGGAACCCCTCCATTGGGAGAAAAGGAAATCGCGGGGCACCATTTGAAATTCTATCTCGCGTTTCCAATTAGTTTATTACTTATCAGGTACGAGGTTAGGTACACCTCGTTTTATTTTTATCCAAGGTGGGCATCCTTCGTCTTTCGTCCTTCACATCTAACACCTACTTAATATCCGCTCCGGTGTGACTCAACTACTTGACGTTCCTAAAGGTTACTACATCGAGTTTGTTCTGTGGTAACAAATTCATCTTATTCTAAATTCAATCATTCTTAAGAGAGGCCTATCGTCATAAAAGATAACGAGTCGATAACCATGGAGGAGAACAAGCCAGCCGAGCAATCCAAGAGCGCCCTTAAAAAGGCTGAAAAGGAGGCAAAGAAGGCCGCCGAAAAGGCTGCAAAGGCGGCAAAGCAATCCACTCTCCCGGTTGTGGGTGGAAAGAAGTCAGACGATATCATTGGAATCACCACTTCCAAGGCCGATAACTTTGCGCAATGGTATCAAGAAGTCGTGCTCAAGGCCGAGCTGGTCGAGTACTACACCGAAATTTCGGGGTTCTATATCATGCGCCCTGCGACCATGTATATCTGGAACGTCATTCGCAAGTGGTTTACCGAGCGCATCGAGGCTATGGGTGTTGAGGAGACCAACTTTCCCATGTTCTTATCCCAGAAGTCCCTAGAGAAGGAGAAGGACCATGTTGAAGGTTTCGCCCCCGAACTCGCATGGGTCACAAAAGCGTGAGTCAGAATATAATTCTCATATTAACGCGAACCTATTCCAGCAATATACTATCGCCGGAATGGTCTATGTCGGATAGCAGCTAATTCTAGGTTGTCTCATAGTGGAGATAAGAACCTCGAGGTTCCAGTCGCAGTTCGCCCTACCTCCGAAGCAGTCATGTACCCTTACTACGCAAAATGGATTCGCAGTCACAGAGATCTTCCCTTTAGATTGAACCAATGGAACTCGGTCGTGCGATGGGAAGCAAAGCAAACTACCCCTTTCCTAAGAGCACGAGAATTTTTGTGGCAAGAGGGCCACACTGCACACTTGACCGAAGAGCTTGCTGGAAAGGAGGTCTTGGAGATCCTGGAACTCTATGCTGGCGTATATGAACAGCTCCTAGCAGTCCCTGTCGTGCGAGGGCGAAAGACTGAGAATGAGAAGTTTGCTGGTGGATACTACACGACTACGGTAGAGGGTTATATCCCTTCCAACGGACGAGGAATTCAAGGCGCCACCTCCCATTGCCTTGGCCAAAACTTCAGCAAGATGTTTGACATCACCGTTGAAGACCCGAATGAGAAGGGAAAGCACATCAACGTTTGGCAGAACTCGTGGGGTCTGTCAACCCGTGTTATTGGTGTGATGGTTATGATACACGGTGACGACAAGGGCCTGGTCCTTCCTCCACGAATTGCCAAGGTTCAGACCGTTCTAATCCCTGTCGGAATTACCAAGAGCACTACTCCCGAGGACAAGGCTAAGCACAGCGAAAAGTTCGCTGATATTAAGGAGACCCTCAAGAAGGCAGGTGTGCGCGTCGAGGATGACTTGAGGGAGGGCTACACCCCGGCGTGGAAGTTCAACGACTGGGAGCTGAAAGGTGTCCCTCTCCGTCTAGAATTTGGACCTAAGGATGCGGCCAAGGAAGTGGTTAGCTTTGCTCGCCGAGATACCGGTGAGAAAGGTACCATCCCTCTTTCCGACCTTTCCACGAAGGTCCCCGAACTCCTCGAAACCATCCAGAGCGATATGTACACCAAGGCGGAGAAGGCTTACAAAGATCACATTGTTATGATCAACAAGTGGGATGACGTCGTTCCGGCTCTGGATGCCAAGAACGTCGTCCTCATCCCCTTCTGTCTGGACGGCAAGTGTGAGGACCGAATCAAGGAACTCACGACTGGTCGCACGGATGAGGACCCCGACACACCGGAAGCGCAGAAAGCTCCATCGATGGGAATGAAGAGCTTGTGCATCCCCTTCGAGCAGCCGGCAGGCCTAGTTAAGGGTGAGACCAAGTGTCTGAACCCAGAGTGCGAACGGCTAGCTCAAGAGTTCGTCATGTTCGGGCGAAGCTACTAAGCAATCTATTGCGAAAGAAAAATGCTTCTTATATCTCATCGCGGAGGTGTATGTGGAGTCGGTTTGGGTAGGTGCGGTTAAGATATCACATGTAGCAGCGACGTGCGCTCTCGAGTTACAGAGTTTGGTAGTTCTGCTTTAGGAATGATAAAAAAAAGTTACTAGCCGGACGCTTATCTCAAGACTTAGATGTAGCACTATTCCGTCTAGTCGAGCGTAACATCTAGGTAGCTAACCCCTAAAAAGCAAAAGGGCCGTAGAGGTGATATGCTATCCGATACGGTTGGGTTTCTAGATTGCCAATCTAAGAAATTGCGATATTTGATCGGGATCGTGCGTGGGAACTCTCTACTAAACCATCGTAGCATAGGTAGCTTTACTTTCGACATACCTAAGCGAGAGACAAATACAAGGTATATACTGAAACTGGCGTTGTTTAGTTTACGGGTCTCCGTAATCTCGATAGTTTTCTTCATCATCAGGCCATGACGTATTGACGCCCAAAACAGCCATCTTATACCACACCTGAAGAGTCCGGTTTTACACAATAGATAGCCTTTAAAAAATTTAGCACAAGGGGGCTTGTGGAGGCGCTTCACCGGCCACTCACGAACGCCAATATATCAACCAATTAATATGCATGAAAGTCGGATAAGCATAAGAGTTTATATTATACGAGGTGATGACTTCCGAGGTAGATATCTAACACACAAGGCGTTGTTGGAAACCTGCTCAAAGCCTCACCGGTTGGGGTCCAGCTGACACGACGTCGGTAGCGTGTGTCTTAGTGCTGAGGTTCCAAGCCGAGAACGTGATTCGACCTTGTTCTTTTGGGCGTGCGTACTATGATATGATGATATGTATTGTGCTGTTGTGTGTTGTGTGTTGTGTGTTTTGGGTGGGTGTGGCTTATGGGAAGAAAAAGAAAAAGCAAAAGAAAAAGCAAAGCTCGGTTACACTTATATGGATCATATCGACAGCGTCGATTTTTGATTTGTCGTCGGAGAATTCTGATCGTACAGTATTTTGTGCTGATCTGGGATAGGTAATAGAACGGGGATTTTTTGTTTCTATAGGTAATGCTGACCTAGGCATAGAATAGGCTAGTATTTATGTATGACGCGGATGTGTATTGCCGATGAGAACAGGCGATGGCATAAGAAGAGGTAGGTGTTCGGTCGAGGAGCCATGTTGTGACTCTCCAGAGCTTTCTACTACACACACCTACATATAAGGTACCTACCTAGGTAGGTATATATATCATTGATTTACTTAAGCAATACCCAATAAGTGTTTTAGTTATATATGCCGCCCTTGAAAATGTCGAGTCTTATGAATATCCTCGCTGTGAACACGACGACAGCTGACTCCTTTTCAATCGCTGGAAAAATCGCCGTCGTTACCGGTAGTGGTCGTGGGAACGGGATAGGGGCTGCCACGGCCAGGGTGTTAGCCCGTAATGGTGCCTCCGTAGCGATTACCTACATGTCGGAGAGCTCGGCTCAGGGGGCGTACGAGATAGCCCAGTCGATCCGGGACGACTACGGGGTCGGCGTAGCATGCATACAAGGAGACGTATCCACGCCGAAAGGGTCACGGAAGATCATCCTCGAAACTATGGAGCAGCTCGGGGTAAACCACATCGATATCCTCGGTACTACCTAAAGGCTCTCCCCCCATAAGATCATCCCATATACTGTAATAGAAAGAAGACGAAAAAAGAAGTAAATAAAGAAAAGCACATATGGACTAACAGCACGATGCTCCCTATTGTAGTGAATAACGCCGGTTACGGGGTAACCCGACTCCTCCGCGAAACCGACTTCGAGCTGTGCCAGCGCACCTTCGCCACCAACGTCTACGGCCAGCTGTTCATGACCCAGGCGGCCGTCGACCAGGGCCGCATGCCCCCCGGGGGACGCATCATCAACATCGGCAGCATATCGTCCCGGATCCAGCCCGCTCTCGTCGGGATATACGCGGCGTCGAAAGCGGCGCAGGACAGTCTCACTACGTCGTGGGCCGGCGAGGTGAGTGAATCAGAAGCAGAAGCAAAAGCAAAAGCAGCTTCCTATTCTTGAAGCTATTCGAGATTGGATTATGAGAGCTAATGGCGGGCGTGTTGATTATTATCAATGTAGCTCGGCCGAACGCACGGCATCACGGTCAACACGGTGGCGCCGGGCCCCGTCGTTACGGAGATAACTAAGGACTCGCCGGAAGTACTTGACCCGCTGGTCCTGCTGCAGCGAGGGACGGAACGTAGGGGTGCGCCGGAGGATATTGCTGATGCGGTGCTGCTGCTTGCGTCGGAGAAGAGCCATTGGATCACGGGTCAGTTTATCGCTGCCGACGCTGGTATTACCGGAATCAGGTAGAAGGTACCTATATACAAGGAAGATGATGGATAGAAGGAAAGACTACCTACCTACTCTAATATTAATTTAAATTAGACGGAGTGTAGAGGTGGTATACCTAAGGTAGAGCGGCCAGTGAGGTATTTATTTTGTCATATATTATTAGCGACCAGCCGTATAGGGGTATCCCCAACATAATTATTTCGTTATATTTTTCCCTTCATAACAATTTCTAATCCGACGATGATCCACATAGTAGTCAGAGAGCAGGCTCCTTCACCTGCTACCACCTCCTGAAAGACTAAGCAGACATCCAGGCGATGCCTAAGGAGGTACCTTCTATTGCAACGCACTCGCTTCCAAATACCCATCAACCTCACGACAAAGCGCCGTCGACCTCCCCATATCAATCGCATCCACCCAAATAACCCCCCTCGCAACCGCAACCGCCTCCTCCCCCTTCCTCAACCCCATCATCTGCATGATCCCCACAATAGTCAGGATATGCCACGCCCGACTCGGGCTCCCCCCCTCCCCCTCCCCCGTCTCCTGCATCCCGCTCACCACGTGCGCCCACAGATTCAGCTCCGGCACCACGCCCCAGTCCACCAGCGGCAGCTGCGAGATCTGCCGGAACGCGTCGAGGTGCGCGCGCATCTCGCGCGCCCCGGCGCCCATCCGCGCCTTCACCGCGCCCAGGAACACCAGCGCCGCGCGGCGGAATGCCTCCCGCGCCGCCGTCGCCGAGTATCCCGGGTCCGCGGGGTCGTCGGGCAGCGCGCGGCCGTCGAGCGACAGGACCGCGTGGAACGCGGGGCCGAGCACCCGCGCGATCGTCACGTCGTCGGTCCAGAACCCGTCGGTCAACGGCCGCCGGTCGATGTAGCTTGCCGCGGCCGCCATCGCGCGCATCGCGCCCATGATGTCGCCCAGCGCGGGGCAGTCCGCGTCCCACGACGCCAGCAGCCGCTCGAGGTACCGCGTCTCGGCGCCGTCCGTGTCGACGGCCCGGATGGATCCCGCGGGGATGCTGAAGCGCGGCTTGGCGTTGTGGTATGTGGCGCCGAGGAGGTCGTACCTGTGTCTCGCGTTAGTTGGGTGGCTGGCTGGCTAGGTACCTAACCTAGCATAGTAGATAGATATTAGTATAACTATGCGTAGGTAAACAGAGAACTTACCAAGATATCATGAATCGCAGGAACGGACTGCTTAAACTGTCCAGACCACCTTTTCTGTTGATCAAACGCTGGAGCCCGTCCATGTGTATACAGAAGCGGTCAAAGTTCCCTAACGTAGCCTACATGTACCCTTTTTAGCACCGGTTAACATTAAAGTAGCATTATGTACCTATCTAACGTAGTAGGTACGTACGTCGTGGCAGACGAAACCAGTAACAGCAACGATGAGGCCCTCGCTATCTTTCTCATCAGGATCTGCGAGCCTCTTAGTGATAGACGCCAGCGACAGCGTATACCACTTCATCGCCTCGACGCTGCAGGCATACTCAGCCGTCACGGAGTCCTGGCTGGCCTTGCGGAACGAGGCCGCGTTCGCAAGCGTGATTTGCCAGGCCGCCGCGTCGGACAGTCCCACCGTTAGCCAGGTGAAGCGGAACGGTCTATAATGCGATTTCGCTTCATCGACGACTATTTGATACCAAATATACGTTAGAACCGGACACAATATAAACCATGCACCCGTGCAGCATCCAGCTGTCCGTTCCTCTTTAGGTACTGACTATACCGGATCAGACTCAGCCGTTCCTCGTTCATATCGATCGGATACGGCAGAGTCTGTAGTAAGCTGTCCGCCATCGGACTCGGCAGAGTCAACGACGACGACAAAGACGAAGACGAGCTTCCCTCATCCCTGTTCCTATCTGCTGCAGCGGCGGACGAGCTGCTTTCTCCCATAACAGGTACTTCCCCGCGCGTCTTCTTGGACCGCGGTTTTCGACGCGCCTTGCCGATGTCTTTCATGACGTGCCGCCGGATCTTGGTGGAGTGGCGCTTGACGTCGCTGGGACGGGCTACGTTCACGAATTCGAACTCGGGCATGGTGTATATATATCGCCCCCTTCTCTCTCTTTCTCTCTCTCTCTCTTTATGAAAAATGAGACGTTGTTATGACCAACCCTGGCGCAATTTCATAAGTCGAGCTTCGTTTTATACAGTTAGTAGTTGAGATGGTTGTTTTAAATGCCAGGGCGTTATAACTTATAAGTTAGGTACCTAACCTTATCATAGGATACATAGAATAAGGCAGACGGGGACTGTATCGTCCAATGATTCGTCCCAATTGAGAGAGTTCATATCGAGCAATGATATCACCCCTTAGTTTTCCCCGTCAGCTCAGCTGTAACTGGAACTACGTAGCGTATGTACAATGCCTACAAGGGTCAGGTCACATCATGACAAAATTGCCGGGTTAATAATGCCCCGAACCAACTTAGCGGTGGAAAAGGATTCAAGATGATAAACTTTAGTTTGATACAAATGAAGCGTAACCATGCGTCCGAATAGCTTCATTTTTCTTTTCTTTTATCTCTTATAATGTCCTCAAGTCATCGAAGGCTGACCAGTCCCGTACATACGTAATCTTATGTACAAGTATAATTATTCCATTAGTTACCTGTTTAATAATTCATACAATAGGTAGCACAGTTATACAGGAAGTCTTCACTCACATCAACCCCATCAACACAACATCCATAGGTATTCCCCAATAATTAATTCATCACGAAACAGACATCGCCTTTGAATTGAAACCGCTTTATATCTCATATATAAATAATTAAATAGGTACATATATGGATGAATGACCCATCATAAAAATAAACCCTTGCCTGTTACCAAAGTAGACTTTCCCCCATCTCCCTTTTCTTCTTTCTTCCTCTTACCCCAGCCTTCTTAACGCGAAGTACGTACCTACCTACCTAAGGTAAGGTAAGTTTAAACTCCCAACGCGGCGTTAAATGCATCGGCAGCAGCTTGTCCGACCAACGAATCGGCGGCCTCGGCGCCCTCCTCGCACAGCGTGACGGCCTCCGGCGAAGCGCCGCACTTGCTCTCGAGCTGGCTGCAGATGAAGTCGGTGATGACGGCGGGCTTGAGGGCGGAGCCGTGGTTGAAGTCGGCGGTGTTGACGGGCGCGAACGCGGCCGCGTCCCCGCGGTCCTGCTGCGCGCCGAACGAGATCGCGGGCGAGCCGCACGAGCCCGTGTCCACGGCCTGCTGTCGGCGGCGGCGCTGGCTGTTGTTGTTGTTCTGCGCGACGCACTGCTGCTGCTGCGCGTCGCAGTCGCCTACCGTGATGCTCTTGTCCCCGCCGTTGGCCGCGTTCGCGCACGCGTTCTTCTGCACGTCGCACGCCCGCTGGATCGCCGCGCCTTTGTTCAGGAACTCGTTGCCGTTCACGGAGAAGGGCTTCGCGGCGGCGGCGGAGCTGATGACCGGGACGGGGGCGGAGCCGACGCTGCCGGTGAAGGCGTTGACGTTGACGCCGGTGGTGGCGGTACCTCCGTTGTTGTTATTGTTGTTGTTGTTGGCATTGTCGTTCGAAGAATCGTCAGCAGAGCCGTCATCCGCATCGCATCCTATAAGATCTTTGAATTAGTACTGGTTGAACACTAATAGCTAAAGGTCAAAGTATCGAGTAAATCCAGACTTACCGTCATCTTCAGCATCGTCAGCAGCGTTGCCGGCGTTGTCGTTTGAGGTGTTGTCAGCGGACCCATCATCAGGTTCGCAATCTATATACCCCCGATACTATTAGCAACCATACTCGATACTCCAAATGCAAAAAAGGCCTGACTCACCATCATCCTCGGACGCATCAGCAGAGCCATCATCGGGTTCGCAATCTGTATACCCCCAATACCATTAGCGACCACACTTGATATTTCAAATACAAAAAAGCCTGACTCACCGTCATCCTCGGACGTATCAGCGGTATCGTCGGCGTTGTTGTTACCACCAGCACTGGCATTTCCACCAGCCGCGGCAACAGCAGCGTCGATCTCCTCGGGAGTAGCGTCCTTGACGAGGAGGTTCTGGGTGAAGATGCAGCCCTCGGTGTCGTTCTGGTCGTCGCAAGTGTTACCCGCGCCGGTCGTGTCTCCGACCTGGCCGGGGGCAAAAGTTCCGGACTGGAGCGCGAGCTGGGGATCGGCGCCGATCGAGGCGAGCTGGACAGCCAGGGCGAGGGTGATCTTCTTGTTCAGCTCGGCGGCACCCGCGGAGGCGGGGTCCTGGTGCTGCTGGATGGCGGCGATCTCGGGGTTCTTGGCGGTCTCTGTACACAGGACGGAAGCTAGACCGACTGAGCCAGTATTCCTTTCCTAGAAGATGTTAGATATCGCAGAACTGTAACATCGCTGTGTGGGTGTGGGTGTGATACATACAAGAGCACGGAACATCAGCGCGTTGGTCATGCCCTCGACATCGTTAGCCGCTTTGGCGTTGGTGAAAGCCTGGTCAGCCACTCGCTGTTGGAGACAGTCCAGATCCTGAACTTGGCCAGCACCCTGAGCGGCGGCCTTGTTTCCAAGGAGAGCGAAGACAGGGTCTTGCACCTTGTCGACGTTGTTCAAGTTCAAGGCCTGAGCAACACCCTTAAGGAACTTCTCGTGCGAATGCTCCTCTATAACCGCATTAGTCTTTTCCTTCCCATATTGTTTTATCAACCGTGGAAATACTTACGAGGAACCTCGCGCCTGAACTTGGCCGACGCACCAATAGGAGCATCGGTCGTCCTGAATAACTTCACGGCATCGGGGCGGGCGGACGCCACACTCAAGAGAGCGAATAAAGCAGCACTCGTCTCAACCTTCATATTGTCTGATTTTTCGGAAGTATTAAACAACGGCTTCGGTCGTAACTACGGAGATGCGTGTATAATAGAAAAGTCTACTAAAGAGGCCCTGCCTGGTAAAGGAATATTATATGCCGAAGGGTTTAATAATAATGTTAAAGAACGTTATAGAATAAACGAAAAAAAGATTAGTTCCCAGAACTAGAAAAAGAACGTAACAGGGTCAGAAAAAAAAGCGGTGATGTCGTTGGATGAGGCAAGAAGAGAGAGAAGAGAAAGGGTTCTGCATGGTATAGGGAATGCCATGTCCCTATATACACAAGTACAGTATGTCACATAGAATATTAGAAGTCGTATCGTAGACGCCAAGCATGAGCCCCCGGCTAAGGGTATACGGGGTCTGATGAAGCTCTAGCGTGGTGGTATGCCAGGGTCGGCGGGAGGGCGAACATTTGTTCTCCGGTCGCCAAGGAAAACATCTAAGCTAACTGTCTCACCAGAAGAGGGTATATCGACCCTTGGCCCCAAAAGATCTCATCGCGCGCTCCCAAGATGAGATGTTGCTGGGCTGGAGAACAAGAAACGCCATGTCAATCCAATCTAGAATGAGCGTGCTAGGATTGGTAATTTAGCTCGCATCGGCTCGAGTAGAAGCCGGAGTGAGCTTGTCGAGGATTGGGACCAAATGCTTTGCGTATGGCATTTGCGCACAAGACATCATCAGACCCAGGATTAGATGGATACCATTACAGAAGGTATCTATCTAGATACCTAACCCAATGCTGGGTTCTAGGGCCGGCAAGCCGTTCCTACAAAATCGCGAAAGTAGCTGTCAACAAAAAATATCTGCACTACCTAGGCAGCTAGGTAAGCCTTGCAATCAGCTCATGTTTTCTTCCACCCAGGGGGGAAATATCCCATCTCGGGTACCTAGGTAGTCAATTGATAAAGCTCGTGTTAAGGACATGGGGCGGCTAGAACAGGTATGTCAGTGGGAACGACAGCCTTCAATTTCGAGTTTGAGACGGACGAAAAAGTTGGGATGAGACTGACTATCCAACCCGAAGTGTCTCAAAGGTTGGACGAGCCGCGTCCGGGGTCATGATAGGTCAGGATTAACCCATGCGAAGAAGCCCCCTGGCGCTTTCGCCTCAAGGCTTCTTTTTCTTCTTCTTCAACTCCACATGGACTTCCGCACGCCGAAGTTTGGAAATTTGACCAAAAGTCCAATTCTACTTCCTAACCTTGTATATTGGCCACGGATTACTGTACATACTACACGTCTGTTCTCCTATCCTGGACTTCATGTGGCTATCAAGGACTGAATACCAGGGGTTTAATGTCTCCATAGAGACATAGATCGCCGAGAGCGTAAACGGTAAACAACTTCCAAGGTAATTTATCTAGAAGGCGGATACGAAGTCAACTGATCTCAGATCGTATACTGATACCAGTTGAGTACTATGTAATCAAACCTGAGGAAAATTAAAGCGAAACTCTCTTCAAGGGTTTACAACTATCTTAACCTGATGCTCAAAGACTTACTTTCTACCTTAATGTTGTATCTGTTTACGTAGGTCTTCAGCTTTTTACAGACTTACGTTCAATATTCCAGCATCGCGTTTAACCATGCACGCAACCACCTGCGATGACGCCAAGTTCAACCCTCAGGTTTACCGCCCGGCAACGATGTCTTCCGGGGTACAGCGAATCTTTAACAATAACTGACTGAATAAGGTCCCATCCATAGGGCCATAGGTTGTCCTCCCCGCATAAAGTGTATCCTGTCCACCTGTATTGCTCTGACGTGCAGCATAAAGAATGGTACGTACGGGGTTCGTCGAGTTGTTTGTTGGGGTTGATTGATCGGCTCTTGGTGTCTCATCCAAACCGGCTCTTACGTGCCAGGTAGTCTAAGCGGCTGTCTTCCTGGCATAAATCATCTCATGATGACCTGTCGGATGTCATAAATATCCAGATTCTACGTCTAGGCGCATGACTTAACTATATGGAATCATGGCCTAGTTATACAAGATATAAATAATTCTTAACGCTCGTTATGATCCCGTTCCTGATCCATAGTAGTTCTGGCAATGACCTCCACACTTCCTTTTATGGTCCTAGGCATGCATTCCAAATAATTACGTCTATGGCACAACGCTATACAAAGCTATACATACTGCTATAGCAAGCTAATTACGAGCCCAGAAACCTGAACTGCTTCGTAAGTCAAGAAGGCGTAGTACGTATACCATATACGACAAACAGTCCTCGGAATGGCGATGCTTTTCTTTTCAAATCTCGACAAAGTCTCGAATTGCTTGTATGTGTGTGTGTGTGAATGTATGTGGTTTTTGTTTATACAGATCGGCTAGTTATGCCAAAGTTGAAACTCTTTTCTTCTTCTTTTCTAAAGAATTGCCACGATTGAAACCTCATAAAATACGATCTTGCCATTAACGTCTATCAAATGAGGCACGACCCGCCGCCAGTCTAGTAGGTGGTTGATGGTGATAATTGTACAAGCAGCAGGGGGTGGTGGTAGCTCCGCTTCTTCATCTTCTTTGCTTTACTTTGTATGTAGTTATATTTTTTTCTGATTTTAACCGATAACCAACTTGTCCTCCTCGGGGAACTCGTACAAGGGGATCTCGAGGTTTAGCGGGGCCGGTCCTTTCCTTATACGTCCCGAGATGTCGTAGTGCGATCCGTGGCACGGGCAGAACCATCCGCCGTATTCTCCCGCCTCGCCGATAGGCACACAACCCAGATGCGTGCAGACACCTATATATTGTAAATCCACTTGTTAGCCTTATGTTATCCTGTAGATACTTTGAATTCGACTATATCATATAAAGAATGGAAGCAGCCGTACCCAGCATGACCAGCCACTCAGGCTTCTTGACGCGCTCCTCGTCGGGCTGGGGATCCCGCAGCACGCGGAGGTCGACCGAATTGGCCTCCTTGATCTCGTCCTCGGTGCGATGTCGGATGAACACGGGCTTTCCTCTCCACTTGATGATGACGTTCTTGCCCTCGGGGATGGTGTTGAGGTCGACCTCGACCTTGGCCATGGCCAAGACGTCGGCGGAGGCGGACATGTTCTTTAAGAATTCTGTAACCCGAGATATTAGCGTTAATATCAGATATCAATACCAAATAGTTGTTAGATGTGAAATATTTCTTTCCCATGCTTGGCTCGCAAGCTAGATCCTGACCATAGCCCATAACAATTCCACCACTACTACTACCACTACCACAGCCGTAACCGTAACCATAACCGTAACAATCGAAATCCTCCTTCCTCCCAAAAAAAATATGAACGGAGCAACAAGAAACGCACCTTGCACGGTGGACTTGGCACCGGCGGCCGTGATAGCGCCCATGGTTCCGACCATGAAGTACTGGAAGAGCAGGTTGGTGTTGGGGTTGGCCTTGGCCATGTAGGGGCTGAAGTCGGGGACCTTGGTGTACTTGGACTCTCCCTTGAACGGGCTGATGTAGATGTCGGGGTCGGCCGCGGTGTCGTTAAGCCGGGCGGTAGTGCTGAGGGCGCGGGCGGCATTTAGTCGGGTAGTGGTGCTGCAGGATCTCGCTACTCCTCGCGCGAGCGCGCGGGACGCAATGGTCAGAGGCGCCATGGCGGGGGTTTGGTGGTTGGCGGGAAGGGAGGTTCAATTGGGTCGGGGAGATAGAGTCTTAAAAAAAAGGTTGAGGTCTTTTTTTGGGGACAATAACTAGGTATCGAAAGACTTCGGCAATGTTTCCAAGCTAAACGTGGTTATGCGAACTTCCCGTAATTGGCCTCAGGCAGGAAAAATTCAAGAGCTGTGAAATTCCTGTCGAATGATTGGTTCAATTCTTCGGTTTTAGCCCGACATCATTCCGCTGAGTCAGCAAATTTCGGAAGTCATGTGATTGGAGACCTTTGTAGGTGACGTCGCGTCCATGGATTAGGTAATGTTTGAACATTAGGTTAGATAAGGTACCTAGGTATACTTTATGTACATATAATAAATAGTATTAGTAGGTAGGACTTTTGTTAATCATTCTTAATTCAGTTGTATAACTTTGATTATTAAGAACTTTAGACGTCAGGTATTAGTGTGCATGTACCTTAGGTAATTACCTCTCCTAAGCTTTATTCGAGTATATCAGGTACAGGTACCTACATGTAGACAGCACTCCACCTTACGACATCAGCAAACAGAGAGAAATCGCAACTTGGAATATAACAATACTCCTTCACTTGCCTTAGTCCTTATAAGTGTTTTTTAATTTAACAATTTCTGAGCAGATATGGGCCATCTCGTAACAGTTGCGACATGTTCGCTAAACCAGTGGGCCCTTGATGTAAGTCTATAGCCGAATAGAACAAACTTGTATTTTAACCCGCAGCGCCGGGACTAACGATACCTCTATATTTCCGTAGTGGGAGGGAAACACCCAACGTATTATCGAGAGCATTCAAAAAGCGAAAGCTGCTGGTGCACGGCTGCGTGTTGGACCAGAGGTGAGGCCCTTATTATATCTGTTTTTGCTATTCAGGCTTGCCATTTGCCGCCATCCGACCCACGGCTAACCTGGAATGACAGCTGGAAATATGCGGCTATGGATGTCTCGATCACTTGATGGAGCAGGATCTCTACCTGCACTCTTTAGAGATGCTGAAAAGAATCCTACTTGATGAAACATGTCACGATATCCTACTAGATATTGGTATGCCTATCCAGCATAGGAACCAGCGATTCAACTGCCGAGTCATATGCCTCAACTCCAAGATCCTAATGATCAGACCAAAGATGTGGCTTGCAAACGACGGAAATTACAGGGAGATGAGGTTCTTCATCCCGTGGATGCACCCTCGGGAGGTCGAAGACTATCATCTCCCTCGGATGCTTCAGGAGATCCAAGGAGCCACCCATGTACCGTTTGGTGATGCCGTCATCTCCACCCCTGATACCTGCATGGGCGCAGAGACTTGCGAGGAGCTTTTTACGCCCGCCGCGCCTCATATCCCCATGAGCCTCGACGGTGTAGAGATAATCACAAATTCTAGCGGTTCGCATTTCGAGCTGCAAAAGCTCGAAACTCGGCTCCAACTTATTATGGAGGCTACCAGGAAGTGCGGGGGTTAGTATGCGTTTTAAAGTACAGTACACGATGCTTGAACAGATGCTAACTTTTGTCCGTGGCTTAGGCGTCTATCTTTATGCTAATCAACGTAAGTAAACCTAGTCTCCGTTGAAGAGCTGAAACTAATAAGGCTTTAACTTTTAGAGGGTTGTGATGGTGACCGGTTATACTACGATGGCTCGGCTATGATCATCGTGAATGGAAACGTAGTAGCTCAGGGCTCACAATTCAGTCTCAACGATGTCGAGGTGGTGACAGCAACAGTGGACCTCGATGAAGTCCGCGCCTACCGCTCGGCAATCTCTCGAGGGTTACAAGCTGCTAGTTCCACCGCCAAGTATAAGCGTATTCAGACTGCATTCGAGCTCAGCTCAGAACAGGATGATTTCGATATTGAAAAGTGCCCATCGCCCCCAGTCAAGCTTCGATATCATACTGTCGAAGAAGAGGTCGCACTGGCAGCAGGGTGCTACCTATGGGATTATCTAAGGCGGTCCGGGGTCGCAGGGTATCTTGTACCTCTAAGCGGTAAGTGGTATTCTATCCCTATCACCCCGACCATACTTACTACCTAAGGTAGCTAATCCGCATTTCGTCAAAAGGAGGCATCGATTCTTGCGCTACGGCTACTATCGTCTATGTATGTGATATCTTCTTATTGTTTCTCTCATGTTAGTTCGGCCTTAAACGCGGCAAATTCCTATAATGAGGATTCGATTTGCTCCTACCCTTGAGATGACATTATTCCAAGTAGAGTTCCCATGAGTACTGACGCATACCTCTACAGTCCATGTGCCGTATTGTGATGGAGGCGATCAAGGAAGGAAATCCTCAAGTGATCGATGATGTGAAACGCATTGCCAAATATAAAGGCGAGAATGTTCTACCTGAGACCCCCCAGGAACTCTGTAACCAGATTTTCTCGACCATCTATATGGGTATGAAGGCACAGAGTTCCCACGAGACGCGACAAAGAGCGAAGGATCTAGCAGAAGCTATCGGCAGCTACCATGTCAATCTAGACATTGATGATGCCTATAACGCTCAGAAGGCTCTTCTCGCCAACACGCTAAACTTCGAACCGAAGTTCAAGGTGCATGGTGGAAGCTACCAGGAGAACATCACATTGCAGTGTCTCCAAGCAAGAATCCGCATGGTCACAGCTTACGAATTTGGGCAAATCTTGCCGACGGCTCGAAACAGGCCGGGTGGTGGAAGCTTGCTCGTTCTCGGAAGCGCAAATGTGGGAGAATCTCTCCGTGGCTACCTGACAAAGTACGTCTTCAATCCCGTTTTATTCTTAACAGTATGCTGACAATGTCGTAAGATACGATTGTTCAAGGTCAGTATAGAATAATCCCCTTGGTTTAAAGCCGGTTATCTGCCCGAGTGTCCATCTTACGGCGTGTGTCACAACATCCACCGTACACTTACAATAGTTCTTGACCTCGCTACTCGTGATGTTTACTAATTCATATTATGGTCTAGCGCCGACATCAATCCAATTGGTTCCATAGACAGTACGTTATCTAACTTCCATTAACTTTCGTCTCACTTAACCCAAAACCCCTACTTCTGCTGTTCGGCAAGGATCTTATCTCTTTACTCCCGACGTATGAAGCTATTCGCAAAATCAATCACTAACACTAGATATTATATAGAGGCCGACCTAAAACGCTTCATCGCCTGGGCTGAGAAGAACTTCGACTTGCCCTGCCTGCATGATTTCCTAACCGCTACGCCGACCGCGGAACTTGAGCCCTTAACAGATACCTACGTCCAGAGCGACGAAGCGGACATGGGAATGACCTATGCAGAACTGACGATCTTCGGCAGACTGCGCAAGGAGAATAAGCTAGGGCCCTTTGGCATGTTCCAACGGCTTGTTCACGACTGGAGCGCCGACCGCGTCAAGGGGCCCGACGACGACGCCCCGGAGTACACGCCCGCCCAGGTGGCGGAGAAGGTCAAGCGCTTCTTCCATTTCTACGCTATCAACCGCCATAAAATGACGACCCTCACGCCCGCTTTGCACTGCAATCCTTACTCCCCCGACGACAACAGATTCGATCTTCGACCGTTCCTGTACCCTCCCTTTTGGAAGTCGTGGTCCTTCAAGAAGATCGATCGGGAGCTGGAGAAGATCGAGAAGCGGATGGCGAAGAAATAAGGGGGAGGGGGTTGGGGTTGTTTCTGTGGGAAGCAAATGGAAATGAATGGCCTCGCTCTTGTATGTATGTAGGAGGTATGTAGTAAGGTATTCAAGGTACATAGGTCTAATACTACATAGACGTATTTTAGAATATGTATTCCATTCAAGCACGCCTTGCTATTTTTGACCTACTCGGATCAATGCGAAGATGTATGACCATCGCACGTAGGTAGAGCTACCTACTGAGCCTCTGATACGAAAAGGGGCCCCGGATGATGGACGCGGCACTCCAATATCGACCTTGGTCTGTGGGGTTTCGTTCGTCTTCATTACCTACCAGGTGCCTAGGTACCTAGTCTTATCTAACCTCGACGGGATTTATCAACCAACCCCTTACAAAGACACTGTCGGAATGCCGTTAAAAAAAAGTTTAAGTGCCAGGTAGGCTAGGTAAACACCAATTATTTCCGTTACCAAACCTTTACCAACGAATACCAAGACAGGTACCTTAAGTATTTTAAATGCTGAAAAACAAATAAATTATTGCCACGTAGAACCAAAATGTGCTAATTATTTCTAACACTCATTTCCATTGTATATGAGATAATTTAGTGAAGTTATGCGGATAGCAGAACGACCTTGCTCGATAGTGGAATACGCACTTTTTGTGGGACGCTATTCTAAGTGTCTATCTACTACCTGATACATATTAGCACCAGCAGCTTCTCCTTGCCATCTTTATTTCTGATAGTAGATGCTTGCAAAGCAAGAGCCCAAATACAATCATAAGCTCGCAAGGAGTCGTGCGTTCGTGTTAGCATAACGCCTGGCCTGCGAAATCCCGTAATCCACGAGTACACCAACCAACCACCCCCCTTGAACTGAAGGTATATCAGGTACACCATAGGTACCTAGCCTTATAACATGGTCGATAAGGGGGGAGCCAACCCCCAAAGTTAGTGGATTCTCTTCAGCTCCTCGACCAGATTGCGCATAGCCTCGACGTCGGGCCCCAGGCCCGCGCAGATCTCCTCCTGGACCTTCTCGTCGATGTCCAGGAACCGCTCGAGGAACTCTCCGTCGATGAAGCGGAACGGCCCGTTCGTCTCGCGCGCTTCGTTCCTGAAAGACCGGTATCTGGAGAAAAGTATGTTGCCCATGGTCTCCACGACCTCCGCGAGCCTGTTCTGGAACCGGATCAGCAGGTCCTGATAATCGGAGGCGATAGTTCCGAATAAGTAGACGCCCCCTTCAACCTGTAATTCTCTTCGTTAGCAACGGCGTTCTCATATATATATATATATATATAGGTATATATATATGTATAGAACCGTGGGATAACTCACTGTGCCGAGAAATGCGCGCGGGACAACGACTGCATTCTCGCTTGCGTCTACTACTACCTTTCGGATCTTATTCACCATTTCGCCGAGGTTGATCTCACTAGTAATCTCCATGCGGCGCTTGTCCTCTATTGTGACGCCGGCCAGGTTTCGCCTTAGCACCAGTAAGTTTCCCTCCGAATCCGACTCCAGCCATGATTCCTGGTCTATGTGCGACACAGCGGTAGACCAAAAGGCTTGGTAATCTCTTGCGACTTCCACGAGCTTGGCCCTTTGGCCATTGGCGGGTGGAACATATTCGACTAGCGTCATAGATTTCATCAGGTCAGCGACCGCAATGATGTTACCCTCAATTGCTAGATCGACAGGATACGCAGCCGGCCGATATGATGCCAGTTTTCTCATCTCTACAGATACCGACGATATCTCATCGTATGAATACACCAGGACTGTCTTTGCTAAGGCTGCAACGACCATGTCTCCCATGATACTTAGACACCTACAGGCACCTCTCAAGTCCTTGGTGCCGATGAGGTAGGGGGCCCTTTCACTGTCAACCCCAATAACTAGAATTCTTCCCCTGATAAAGTTCTCTTGTGAGGTGCCTTCCGCTTTGTCGAGAAATGAAGTACCGACTAAAAACCTTTCAACTAGATTCCCATACGAATCGGGAAGTTCCGCTCGAATGACAGCTTCAACCACTTCAGTCCGTGGCGAGCTACTCAAAATCATTTCATTTCCGAGCTGCTTGAAAGCAACTTCGTCCACCAACTTAAACGAGCTGGTGATGATCTCCGCATTATCTGTCACTTCCCTTTTCAAGCAACCCAAGCCAAAGGCCCGCTCGCTACGAGAATAGGCTATGCGACGAATGGTTTCTCCCATAGGTAATGTCTGCACGTGTGTGCGGCGTTCCGTGTCTATTTGTGATATTTTAATTTCTTTTTCTGTTGCGACAGCAATAGAGTCTGGGAAAGCCTCGGTATCAAACGGGCACACACAAGTTGCATCGTCAGCCGTAACCGCGGAGTATACTATTCTACCCTCAGTTGCATAAATCACGCTGGGATGCTCGCTTGTGGCGAATACGTTGTAAATCCCCTCCGTCCGGGGGATTAGCTGCAATCCAGCTTGTCGTGTCCCTAGAACGACGCTCTTCCGCCCGGACAGAGAAAAGTCCGTCTTGGATACGTTGAAAGTAATGACAAAGCCATCCTCCATGGCTATAAACAATGTTGGCCCAGCTAACTGTGGTGGAAGAACTTGCGCTAGCACGATGTTCCGCGGTATAGACGCATTATTATCTTTCCGCCGCAAGCTCTCTCCGTGAAGAGACTGCAATGTTTTTATGTCAATGACAGATATCATTCCCGATTTCCAGAAGCCAATAACCCCAATCGAAGGGTATTCCGGAGGAAGGTGTACGCAAGCAACTTGATCTTGCTCTTCTAAATCGTTATACCCGACCCTGACTAGGTCCTGTTCTATCTGTAGGGATAGAAGAACCGACCCGTTGACAGACAGTAAAATCCATTCGTCATTTGCCGATGCGTTTGTTATGTGCCCTTGTGCCGGTTTCCACGTCGACACAACGACGCCACTCTCCAAATCCACCAACAGCGCAGTGGTCGTGGTGACCTGGAGTATTCGCCCATTAGGGAGGTTTCGGGCCAGTAGCGTCTGCTCCTCAAATATCATTCCTCCAAATTCGTCGAGTTCTTCAACCTCACCGCTAGGCGCAAACTTAAATATTCGAGTTTCCGTCAAGAAAGAAGCAACCAATGTATCGGTCTTGGGCGTCCCGTGGGACTTAAGGGGAAATAGTGCGCGAACGTTTTCCATATCGGAAATAACACCGATATCATCAAGTCCAACACCACTTCGTACACTACGTAGACTCCCGTCCTTATGGGCACCACTGCCGGTGACAATTCTTGCTTGACCAGATGAGTATTCATTAGTAGTCTGTCCCTCCCCTTCGCGATTCCCCATATCCATTATATTTAGGTCTAGAATCGGAGCAATGCTCTCCAAGGTTTGGACTAAACGTATCGACTTCGCATCAAGGTCGACATGGAAAACTTGCGAGTCCCCATATTGAGATCCGACAAATAGGACATCGTTTCCCGCGTAGACGAGGGTATACGCCCTCGAAGTCTCCCCAATTTTGGTCATTTCCAGGCCGGTTACCACAGGCCCATCAAGGAGAATTTCGAGAAGCCATAACACTCCATAGTCGTCGCCGATAAAGTAATGCGAAACGTCGTATTCGGCCCATGCTACGAAGATGGAAGATTCTTTTAACGGAGTTTCGACTTTCTTCTTTGCTGCATCATCGTAATATAGCAACCTAGTCTCGCCAACAACAATAACACCGCCGAGTTGGGCTCGCGCAGTAGCGGCATTTCGTATTATGTAGCGCTTCTGATCTTCTTCGCCTTTACCAACCGGGATTAATATTCTCGCGCCGGGGTCTGGAATTTCCAGACGATCAACCTGATCTCGGACTTCGAATCTGGAAACCTCAGTGTTTTTGTCGTCGGCGGTTAAGCGATATGTGACAAGTTGGGAGTCGGGGACGTCGGTTCGGGTTTGGTAGAGGAATGCGATCTTCGGATGGCCAGTTTCGACGTGTAGGAATGTTGCGCCTTTGATATAAAGCTCCGACACCCTTACTTGATCCATCCAGTGTAAGTTTTGTCTCTTGCTCTTCACGGTGTGCATTCGTAAGACATTAATAACGCCTTCCCAAAGAAAGACGACCATAAACCTCCCTGTCGGGTCGACCACGCACATATCCTGGCTCTGGGCATCGCGCATATGCTTTTCATGAATATCGAAGAAGGAGTCTACCGTTTCTAATCTTTCATTTGTAGCATTCCATCCAAAGGTGAAGTAATGAAATCTATCCGTGCCGACAAAAACCAACTCGGTCTTGGTATCGCGAGGTTGGAGCTTCTGTAATATGGATATGGTACCGTTCACTCGCTTCGTGTCCGTGTGGACCAAGGTGCCAGACTCGTGGAGCTTCCATATTTCTAGACGATTAGTCTTGCTGGTAAATAAGATAAAAAGTCAGTTTTCGCATTGCCAACGTAACGTCTCTTTGCTCTTCGGGCAGACCCACGCAAGAATCAAGCACTCGTCCTCACCAGGAAACAGGTTAACACGCAGTGCGTGCCGCACACTATTAGGCCGGTGGATAGGCGCTATGTATGCCATTGTTGCGAGATTCGCATTGTTCGCGGGGACTAGAACATGACAAGAAGTTCAACTATTACGACCTAGGTACGGATCCGTACTTGGAGTTGAATCTCTGAGCTTGAATAATAATTAGGTAGAAAGATGATGCAAAGGCCCGGCAATAAAGCCGCTGTCTCGCGGGGATTGGAGATAAAGCGATAAAGCTTGGATGTGGGACCGACAACCCCTGCTACCTTGTAGCTAGCTTGGCGCTATCCATCTATTAGTGTTAGCGTGACGAGCATTATACCTAGGGTTTATTTAATTCAAAATATCTAACCGTTAGATGCACTTATACACAACAACTATCCTCTCTTGACTAGAGACCTATAGATAGGGTAATCTTATGTTAGCTAAGTTACGTTCAAACTTGGTTTGTTGCTAGATTACCTACCTAGGTAGGTACCTAAGGTTAGGTTAGGTAAACTATATGATAAACGCCGACGTAGATGCGTACCGTATCTCATGCAGTATCTCCCGAGAAGAGTAGACAGTCCCTCGGGGGTTTGCATGCCGGACACTACATACCTATAACACCCGACATCAGGTGAATCTCCGATAGCTTGGGCACGTAGACACAGGATTGGCGACAAAAAATGGTATCGCAGAATCATCCTTCGTTGAGACTAAGAGAGTATAGTATAATTACTGTATATCTTCTAACGACAAACATTCATGATACTCGCCAAAGCCAACTTCTTCATCGTCCTTCGGTTCTGGTGAGCGCTTCCTATATCACAAGGTGGAAGTATTTAGCAATTGCTTCGGAACAGAACCGGAAGGTCGACGGCTTACTCGCTCGGTCCAGGTCCCGGCCTAGAAGAAAGTTTCTATTAGTTGTTTAATCGGTATGGGTGCAGTAGGATGATGTGCCTGGGAAATTTACATAAACATCTCGCGACCTGAAGAAGGCGTATATGAGATTATATGGGCCCAGTACTGGTAGAATATCAGTTACGGGCGTAGGATTGACTTCCATTTGCTTGATTTCATTTATGAGGTGATGTGTAACGAATAGGTTTGGTTTAAGACTACCTAGGTACCTGTAACAACTCGGCCATTGCATCGATGGAATTGTCCCAGTCTTCCTCCATGTCGTCATGCCGTGATGCAGGAAAACACATGAACCCAAGGTTAAATTAAAGGACGCCCCAATCTCTTCAAATAACGCGCGTCTCGGTTTCCCAAAACCAGGACCGCAACTCGAGCCGGATGTAAGGTATGTAACCGAAGTTAACCACTCACCTAACATAAATTTTTGGGAGATGTACTTTACGTTCCGATCATCCGGGAATGAGGAAAGGATATTATAGCCCGTAGTTTAGCGATGAACAACTTCTTCGCATGCTGTTTATACTATAGACCTTCTTTAAGTGCCTGGACGATATCACATAAAGAGATTTCATGTAGAGCAGGAGAGCGCGCGGGGGGATATCAAAGCTCCTTCTCAGGTTGCTTGCTTCTCATTGTAATCGCATCTATTATGTACAATTGGCTAAGACCCGGTCCCATTGGATTTTATCTGATCCAATCTAGTGCTTTGATTTCTCGTCCGCGTCGGCCTGCTTCAAGAAGTTCCTATTATTATTCCGTTAGCAGTGGTCCCGTCGCGGGATATCCGGGGCAGGGTAGCGCACTGGATGAAGTCGGCCTCGTCAGGGCTGGATGCGTTGATGGGAGGGGTCTGAGAGACCTTCTTGCTTCCGCCGCTGAGTGCGAGATAGCTACCGGTGAACAAGCTAGCGAGAACACCCATTGCGAGCTGGTGATAGCAAGATGATTAGCATTATTTATTTATTTTTTTTTACATTGGCTATAGAGGAGACATGTTGCGACCCACGTGATGGGAGCCGACCTGGCGGCCGAAGATAGTGTACATGGCAACCATCTTGACTGTATTTAACGAATTGACCGCGGGGGGGTGGATGGATACAGGGAATTTGTTCGGTGCGAATCGACGAAGGCGTAAAGTGTCGAAAAGGTATTTGTATGTACGAAGTACAGCCTTTCAAAATAACTGCTCAGAAAGCTCCGAAGGTTGAAATCCCCCAATCTGATCTAACTTAGAAACGTTAGTCAGAGCGGATATCAAAGTGCTTCGTTTGATTCGCCAGGAAATAGAGCTAATGCCGAAGTTTATCCCCCAAAAACATCCCGGGCAAACCCCGGCCTGGCAACCTGGGCTAACGGATCTCGCATGAGAGAGATAAGCTTTAAGCCGGGGGTAACGGGGTAGCGACGTCACCAAGAATTTATCGACGAGCTTCCACACTTTCCCGATTTAGCGATATTTAAAGTACGCTTGGGTCCCCATTATCGCGGAAACTTTGAGATTAGATTTTCGTGACTTGTAGATTATTACCCCTAATAACAATACCTAAACCTAAACCTATTATTATATTTTTATTTTATATTTAGTCTATTGCTTCCTCATCTCAGTCCTTACCTAACCTACCTGGGACCTTAGGTAGTCACGATGTTCTGGAGCAAAGGACCAGACAAGACTGAAGCTGCAAAAGATAATAAGACAACACCAGCTGCAGCTAACACCAGCTCGCGCAGCGATGTTAACGAGTCCGATCCCAATAAGCTCCCAGTGCAGCAAAAGCTGCCGAAAGGCTTACAAAAGATAGCCGAAAAGTCCGAAAAGGGCGAGAAAGTCCTGGAAGAAATTGTAGAAGGACAGTATGTTGCGCATGACATCTACCTGGTCGACTGGTCGTTGGGCTAATAGTCTGCCTTTTTTTTGCTTTTTTGCTTAGAGCGCCCGACACTACAGAAACCAAGTTACGATATGCCGCCTACGCGAACCGACTACGAACTATTATGCTCTCGGCCCACCGTTACGTGGCATATACCTCGGATATAGGAGAATCCTTCAGGCCAGTCGCACATCCGTGGCTAGTTAGAGCTGCATATGGTGTATCGTGGGCGTACATCGTAGGCGATGTCTCGTATGAAGGATACAAGGCCTATTTGAAAAACCAGCGGAAGATGAACCCGCAGCTAGTCTTGTCAGAAAGGCAACAGAAAGTTATCGGATTATCGACTCCTGCGCCCGCTGACGCCAAGCCCGAAGTTGTGTCGCCCTTAGAGGATTACCGGGTCGTCATGCTTCAGCGGGCTATTTTCCAGAGCGTTGCTTCCATGGGACTGCCTGCGTTCACGATCCATAGCGTCGTTAAATATTCGGGGAGGGCCATGAGGAACGTCAAGAATAAGACGCTTAGAGTATGGGGTCCTATAGGACTCGGTCTTGCCGTTGTGCCATTCTTACCAACGCTCTTTGACAAGCCGGTCGAGAATGCGGTTGAGTGGATGTTCCATAAAGGATTTGAGGCATATGGTGGACGTCAGTACGTTGGCGAATCCCCAACGACGGGACGAGAAGCCGCCTTAAAGCAGAGGCCACACCCTCAGTCGAAGGAAAAGGAACTGTAGGGGTATGGATATTAAGACAAAATAATAATAAAAAGTATATATAGTGTACAGGGAGTAAGATCGTCTCCACTCAAGGGGGGACATATTTTTATATCACCACAAAACCTGGATTAGGGATGATAAGAGATTACCGTAGAATGCATGTATACATTGCGCTTCAGGGCTATATCTATATAGCAACTCCATAAATACCAATCAAATGCTCTGCTCCCATTTATGAAGGTATCTCCGCTCCGTTTTTGAAATGCAAATCTTAGAAACGCCGCTTAAATGCAATAAAAATCGTATCTTATAAGGTTGGGTTTACAGCTCGATAAGATCAGGCGGTGGCCCTATACCTCGCAGTAACACTATCGTGTTACCACTCACGAGAGCAGAACCGACCTTCTCGTTGAATTCCAACACTCGCCCGCCTTCCACGTGGAATACTCGAAGCTTATCTCTCTCCTCGGAAGACTGGTTGTTGACGTTTTCGATCTGTAGGCTCCTGGCTGCGGCATCCAATACCCGGCCAATGACCCAGTCCTTCGAGTAGAAAAACTCGCCCTTGTAGTTCTTGGCCGTAGTCGTCTCGGCCTCCGCCTCTACAAAGAGGTACACCCTCTTCTCAGGTGGTAGTTTCGCATCGCCCTTAGCAACCTTCTTCAGATTATTGACCGCGACAAGGCGCGCCGACGCCGAGGTAGGTTTAGGCTTTGGCAGCGCCCGAGTGGCCACTTCTCTCTTGGCGGCGCCCCAGGCCTTCAATTTCGCGAACGCGGATTTCGTCTGTTCGGAGACGTCGAACTGGGGTCGCGCGCCGATGGGGATCTTGTTCTTGCAGTCGTGTTCCTCCTTTAGCCGGTGCTTGAGACAGTAGTCGCGATTGCAGGACGAGCAGTGGACTCCGGGCACCAGGGACGTGCCGACGACGGTCTTACAGTCTGTCGCGGCGCACGGCTTCTGCGAGACGAGATCGCGCATGCGCTTGCCCTCGCCCGCCGACGGTTTAGCCAGCTGCGCTTGTCGCCGCCGCTCGGCCCACGCGCCGGCGTTGGCGCATTTGTGAGCGGTCTCGGTCCGGTGGTCGAGGCAGAACGTCTTCTTGCAGCTCTGGCAGAAGAAAGGTAGGAAATCGAGCTGGTTGCAGTATTCGAGTTGGCAATGTTTGCCGATAAGCGACACGTCGGTTCCTTTATCCATTTTGACGTAGCTGGTATCTTCAGCCTCGATTGATGGAGATGCCATTTTTGAAAAATATGTAGAGGGGTCTTCTTATATACTTCTTTTCTATGAATAAAAATACTGGAAGAAAAATAAATAAATGATAGTAGGCAGATGGCGACTCGTAAGCCTCGAGGATGGCGAGGTTGATGATTAAGATGTTACAGAATAGTCTGGAAGCAGCTGTGAATTGGTACCTGTTAGGTATTAGGTACAATACCTGGTACAGGTAAAGTTACCGTGGCGGGGCTACAGGTACGCTGCGGCTGAATTAGGCGGGAGCTTACGCTACCTCTTAAGAGCCTAGAATTCCCAAGAGTTCACTAAAGCTCCGCTAACTAACCTAAATTAAGCCTTTAATTGAACCATACGGCGCCCCTTCGAGTCACGGGGTTTCGCGTTTTTGGATGATTTCGATGACGACAATTAATTCGTACCTACCTCTTACAAGTTTTGTCTTATCCAGGGTGGCGTCTTCATTATTCGGGAAAAAAACATGTAAACTGTTGCTTGATTTTTAATTCCGATTCACTTCCATACCTACACTACTACACTATGTAATGTCACCATTAAGATGCCTCCTTATGTACCGCGCAAGCGACTTCGCACCCCGCCAGCAGACCGCGACAATGCGGCTGCGAAGGAGTCGGTTAGGGGCAAAAGCACACCGGTAGCATCTGTGCCGCCTCGCAAGAATACCCTGTTTGACGATCTGGATTCAAGCTCTAAGAAAGGTTCGGCTGAAAAGACAAAGTCGGTCGTACAGCAAATGCATGAGGACGACGATGATAGTGATGATAGTTCCCTCACTTCCCTTTCGGATGCTGATTTCGAGGATGTACCAGCCGCTAAGCGGCAGAAGGTGAATCACGACTCGGAGGAATCAGAAGACGAAGATATGGAATTTGAAGATGTCCCTTCACACGAAGTTCAGCAACAGGACCCTGACTTGGGGGGTGACTTAGAATTGACATTACACCGAGAAAACGAAATTCCATTAATTAGCGAAATGGGCAAGAAAGGTCCCTCAAAAAAAGAAAAGGCCATTCGTATTTCAATACACTGTATGCATGTTCAACTCCTACTCTGGCATAACGCTATCCGGAATTCTTGGCTTTGTGATAAAGAAGTTCAAGCTATCATGATCTCACACTTGCCCCCGAGGTTATGGGATGAAGTGGATCGCTGGAGACAAAACAGCGGCTTAGATATCTCCGAAGAAACTCAAAAGAAGCCCACGAAGGGTAAAGCTGATCCAAAAGGAAAAGGAAAGGCAAAGGGCAAAGAGCGAGCTTCAGGATCAACAAGAAATTGGAGCAATGCAGCAGATCGACTTGAGAAAGGCATCCCTGATATGAGCCACGGTGATCCTTTGTTACGACTTATGAAATGTCTCGTATCATGGTGGAAGCAGAGGTTTCGGATAACTAGCCCTGGGTTGCGCAAAGTTGGTTACATGAACGCCAGAAGACTAGGAAAGTTAACTTCAAGTTTCGAAAAAGAAGGAGATGATCCCATTCGATTCGGAGAACGGATTAGGAATATCGAGGAATTCAGGCTACGTGCCCAGGATTGTACCGGGAGCTGCGACGTCGGAGCTCAGCTCTTCACTGCGTTATTGAGAGGTCTTGGACTAGAAGCGCGGATGGTAGCCAATCTTCAGCCACTTGGGTTCGGTTGGAGTAGAGTTGAGGAAGCAGATGATGAAGTCAATGCTCAAAAAGTCCGGGATGGTACAAGCACGCCAGCCGAATCTACACCGAAGAAACCGAACGGAAAGAAGAAGAAAGGTGTGAAGCCAGCAACCCGTCGAGTAAAGAAGGATGATAAGAATGCTTTAAAGATGGAATTGGATGACTCAGATGAATATGCCGATCCCCTTACCGATGAAAGTGATGACGACTCATCTATAGTTGATGTTACGGACACTGTTCGTCCAAAGCAAGCAGGAGCAAAGATTTATGACAAGGACCTTGAATTTCCTCACTATTGGTCGGAGGTTCTTTCTCCAACAACGAAGAAATATCTTCCGGTAGAACCTCTCGTAAAATCTGTTGTGGCTAGCAATAGAGACTTGGTTGAAACACTGGTACCGCGAGGGGGCAAAGCCGACAAAGCAAAGCAGGTTATGGCATATTGTATCGGGTTTTCCCAGGACGGCACAGCTAAAGATATTACGGTACGGTACCTCAAGAAAAATATATTCCCTGGTAAAACAAAAGGATTCAGGATGGCTGAAGAGAAAATACCAGTTTACAATGAACATGGGAAGGTCAAACGCTATGACCACTTCGATTGGTTCAAGTCAGTCATGAGAGGTTATACTCGAGGTGATGAAAGACATCCAATCACAGAAGTGGATGAGGCGGAAGAGTCTACCGATCTTAAACCGGCAAAGCCAGAGAAGAAAGAGGTCAAGGAAGGAGAGGAGACATTACAGTATTATAAGACCTCAAAGGAATACGTCTTAGAGAGGCATCTCAAGCGCGAAGAGGCTCTGCTGCCTGATGCTACTCCTGTCAAAGTGTTTCGGAATAAAGGGAAGGCGTCTAAAGTTGAAGAGGAAAATGTTTATCTCCGAAAGGACGTTGTAACAGTAAAGAGTGCTGAGACCTGGCACAAGCAAGGCCGAGCCCCTATAGAAGGTGTTCAGCCACTCAAGCATGCCCCTTATAGAGCGGCCACGACCAACAGACGGAGAGAGATTGCTGAGGCCGAGGCGGCGACAGGGCAGAAAGCCATGCAGCCCTTGTATAGTTTTGACCAGACGGATTGGATCATACCTCCCCCTATCCAGAACGGAGTAATTCCGAAGAACGAATATGGGTATGTAGAATGTCTGACTTACTACCGCACAGTTAAAGCTAATGTTGCCATAGGAATATTGATATGTTCGCAGAGCACATGTGTCCAGAAGGTAAGTCGTTCCATGTAATGCATCAACTCCTTAATTGACACAAACACAGGTGCCATTCACGTCCCATATCGCGGCGTGGTTCGTGTATGCAAGCGCTTAGGAGTTGATTACGCAGAAGCGGTTGTCGGTTTTGAATTTGGTCATCGGATGGCTGTACCTGGTATGTTTTTCCCTCTTTGATTTAGAGCCCAATGCGATGGTTATTAACTTTCGTTTACAGTTATTCAAGGCGTAGTTATTGCCGAGGAAAACTACGAACGTGTAATGGAGCAACTTGAGAAAGACGAGGCGGAACGGGCAAGAAAGGAGAACGAGAAGCGGCGCAAAGAGGTTCTCACCATGTGGCGGAAACTCTTGATGGGCTTGCGAATCGCAGAAAGATTCAAGCAGGATTATGGCTACCTGGACGAGTCGGTAGAAGTATTCGGGCACGCCCCCGATAATGACAACGCCTTCGAGGCCATGCGCGCTAGAGACGAGGATATGGCTGGCGGATTCTTGCCTGAAGGATACGAGGAGGAAGTGGCCGAGGAGAAAGAGGCCCCTCGTCAAACCTCTGGGTTCTTCCCAGCGGGTGGCGAGGAAGAAGATTCGGAGGACGAGGAGGACCCCTTCGAAGTAGATTATGGCAAGCAACAGGAGATAGAACAAGATGCTCCTGTCGAAGAGTCTCCCGAGCCGGAAGTCCCAGCTAAAGCAGCACCCAAAAAAGCCCTTCCGAAGCCCAAGGCTAAGCCGAAACAGTCTGCGCGAAGACGAACTCGAAGGAGGCGTGCGGTCTCTTCTGATGAGGATAGCGAGCAGGATGGCGACTTCGTGGCTGATGATAGCGAGTGATGTGAGGTATATTTACCTAGGTATATATAATGCTGAGACGAATTTTACGCATTGTTTAAAATACTTCTGTACTTCGTGCAATGATTGACGTATGAACCTTTAGCCTCTGTTTAGAATGACTACGTACGTCGTTGATGTATATTGGTATTGTTGTAACATTTCGATGAGGTTATTGTAAGTTTACAAGAGCCTCGCTGCATTGCTATATATCGTACAGGACCACAAGCATTCATTTCTCCCCTATACTCTCTGCCTACCTGTTAATGGCAATAATTGTGGGCTCGGCCGCTCAAAGTCTAAGGCAATGCTGACAGTAACGATCATAGGTCATATTGGTACGATTCGGTGGCAGTCTACGAATAACAGCAAGTATTTAAGCGTATTCCCACCTAGATCTATTTATTGATTAATAGATACGCGCAGGCGAGGCTTTGATGCTCAGGACATCTCTATTCCTCGGGCATCTGGATGTGTTTGTCCGAGATACCTCCTCTGTGATAGTGATATATGATACTAGGTAGGTTAGGTAGGCACAGTAAATGCGCGCAGAACGGTAGACCGTCTGCTCGGGATTCCTACCATTAGCCACGAACGCATCGCCTTGTAACAAGCGGAACATTCCTATGGCCCCATTCTCATCGGTATTCGTTTTTATAGAGGTGCCCGAGGTACCTAAGGTGGGTAAGTGGCAGAATCAAGCTCGTATCGGGTGGTCGCAGGTCCGGATCGTGTCTTCGTCCCATGCTGGGGGCCGGGGGAGGGGAGGAAGCCTGCTTCTTTGGTGATTGCAGGATCTTGAAGTAACGCTAGCATATTTAGATTAATGATACCATTACTGTCTACTACTTTACTACTTGGATACCGGGAGAACAAGGGGAGGGGGGGGAGGGAAGAGGGGGAACGGGGGTTAAGGTAAGGTAAGGTAAGATATTCCCCAGATCTCGGTAGGGGTCGCACAGATAGGGGTAGCACAAGCCAGTCTAATCTGACATCAAAGGATACCTGATCTCGCTTGGCGATATTAACTGCGTCCAACGCATGTAGGCACACGTAGGCCTTATGTAGGCACGATCTGCGCTACGCGGAATGCTTACCAGGAAGTTGGTTTGGCATGAAGTACGCCTAGGTACCCAATGTAGGGCCCTGTCTCCCTCAAAGGAAGGGGTGTTCGTACATGTCAGGAGGCTAAATGGATGTCGAGCCCGCATGTGGCGTATAGCAGTAAAGAAACATTTGCGTGATATATCGTATCTTCATTTGGGATTCTATTACCCCCATGCTCTTTTTCGTTTGAGTGTCTCAAGTGGCAATAATAGGGGGCGGACCGACAATAGCGGCCGCATATACATACGTCCTTGGGACTAAAATTGTTCGTAAAAATGGCATGAGTATCTCCTCTATTGCCGCCTCATCGAGATACCTACTATATCGTAAATCCGGGTTGTTCCATAGAGCCGCAGAAATGATACCGTAATGGGGATCCGGCTGCTTGCATCTGCAAAAGCCAATCGTAGCTCAAGTGACGCAGCCCTTTTACTCTCCGAATAGCATCCCGGAGACAAATGAGCGCTCGGTGGATACCTAACTTATAGAAAGCCCGATCCTAGCAATCTTGACTTGGGTACACACCTGCATGGTCTGTTTCCCCGACGATGATATAAAGGTTACGGTCCTGCTACGTTTCAGCTAGCCCCCATTCAGTCCTATGAGTTAACTTCGAGTGATGTATCATACAGACAGGCAGTGTGCTGTGAAGTGATACCATGCATCGTAAAGCCCTGAGAGAATGTGACTTCAGGATGCGGTGGCTTTGTATCAAAGCCGAGCTGCCGAACGCTCCTCTCGACGGTTTCCCCAAGCCAAAATCCTGCTTCGTGACACCGAACCACGAGGCTTGTGCATACCATAGCAGTGTGGAATGGGCCTCGTGTAGTGTAACGAGATACATCCGTAGAAGGTTGGGCCCGTGTCTCTTTAAATATCCTTGAACCTGCCAAGCCTATATTATTTCTGTACTGACCAATACACAAAAGCTTTACACTGCACGATATTATCACACCTCCTTTTTCCCTCGCACGTCAGCGAATATACATGACCAATGAAGAAGATCGTTCCGCTCACTGTAAATAGCCCATCGTAAGAAATAAAATTAGCCTTACGAGAATCACAATGAAGACACGCAGGAGCCCTGCTGCTGATATTAATAACGCACCGGACTGCCAAGTATCTCGACAAGCCCAGTTAATCAACTTCCAAAGCTATTTACGGGAGTTCGTAAACACGAGACTCCATGGCGCCATCTGAATCTTGCATCCACTAAGAAAAGAAGACGTCTCGGTACTTAAACTGTGTGAACAACTCTCGAGAACGTACTCGGAATGGCCCCCCGTCATCACAGCTTAAGGGTTAGTCAGGAGGTGATATCGAAGCCCCCCCATAACATGAGTAGGCCATGCCCAGATGGAGAGAAGCGCCATAGACGACTTTGTGCTACAGAAGTGAACCATGCCCTCCGCTTACTTTATCTATAAAGGAGCTAGGCTGGTAGCCCTCCTAGGATCTGGTACGGGATGGTAAATACACGAAAATAACCCTCGTACCTACGTCGAATCATGTTTAATGGGATATTATGCGGTAAGCTATGGATCCCTGAGCTAGCATCGCCCACACCGCCGTGTATACTACTCGCTATCTCAGCCCTAGCGAGATACAGATTTCGAAACGGCAGTCGTGACTAGAATGGAATGATGTGGTAGTTCAGCAAGTTGAGTAACCACCTAGTCGAGTTATCCAAGCCGTCAGTTCGCATGCCGTGACGGGGTTCCCCTTGCCTCTCCAGCTGTCGTGCTAACTAACGGCTCTTGAAGGCTAGCAATGCTCTTGTTAGGATTCGAGATGAGACATTCACATCAGAGGGACACATTACATATGTATAGCCACTCAGCACATAGCTTGATTAGAACTTGTTGCGGAACAATAAAGGTAGCTTCATACCGTGTTAGTTTTACCTCGTGATAATTAGCTCTTTTATATAAGCTAACCTCCTACTCGACATCGAGACATGTCTAACCTTTCAGTATTTACGCCTTTGGTGTAACAGATGTCTAACCTATACCCCTAGACTCAGATATCTAGTATAGCATACAAAACGTCCAGCATGACTTTGCTAATATATGTAGCCGTGACCTGCCTCCTCGTAGTGTGGGTCACTAACGTACTTTTGAACTGGTATCGACTTCGACATATCCCCGGGTCGTTCTGGATCTCTTCGACTAAAGCCTGGCAAGTTACGACACAGATAAGAGGGAAGTGGTATCTTGAATTAAGGAAGCTTGGTGATCAATATGGTATGTTGCTTACTCGCAGTTTCATAATCCCCTCTCTTCTTCCTTTCGACCCCTATTTTACTAAACTGCTCATAGGCGACCTTTTCCGCATTGGGCCAAACCAGCTCATGACTACCGACATCGAGGTTATTCATCGAATGGCCCATATTAGGTCAGCCTACACGAGAGCCCCGTTCTACCAGACGTTCAGGTTCAACCCGACGCAAGACAACTCTTTCTCGCTCCTCGACGACCGGGAACACACGCGCCGCAGAACGATTTTGGGCCAGGGCTACACGGGTAACGCGCACGTGGAAGCCTCTATTGATCGGCAATGTGCGCGCTTGGTGGATCTGATCGAGCGAAAATTCGTCTCGACTTCTACAGAGTACCGGCCCATGGACTTAACGGCAGTGTCGTTCTTCTTCTCGATGGACTGCGTAGGCGATCTGTCATACGGCAGGCCGTTCGGATGTCTAGACGATGGACAGGATGTGCACAAGTTCATAAAGTGGAACGAGAACTTCTTTAACACCGCTATCGTCATCTCGAACTTCAACTGGCTGACCAAGATCTTCTTCAAGCCCCCTTTTAACAAGATCTATCCGTCAAGTCTCGACGTTGATGGAGTCGGCAGGATTATGGCGTAAGTTAAAATACCCCCCCCCCCAATCAGTACACATGAGGCTTATACTAACTCTTAAACTAGTCTCGCGCAAGCCGCAGTCGAAAGGAGTATTGCCGACGACGAGGACCGGCGAAAAGATGCTCTCGGCTCTTTTCTCGAGCACGGCATTACCAGGGAAGAAGCTGTCAACGAGTTGATGCTGCAGGTGTAAGTATCCCCAAGAAAAACGCGCCAAGACGACTAATACTGACATGCTATAATAGTGTTGCTGGAACAGACTCAACCGCAGCGGGTATCCGCATGACTATTCTGCTCCTCGTCGCGAACCCCGTAGCATACAACAAGCTCAAGGCGGAGATAGACGACGGAATCGCGAAAGGAAACATCAGCTCGCCCATCAAAGACGCCGAGTCCCGACACCTGCCGTACCTGCAAGCCGTCATCAAGGAAGGGCTGCGCACGTTCCCCGTCGTCACAGCTACGTTCTTCAAGAAGGTGCCCGAGGGAGGAGACACCATCGGAGGCCACTTTGTGCCGGAGGGCACCGAGGTCGGTCATAACGTCTTGGGCGTCATGCGAGCGAAGAAGTACTGGGGCGACGACGCGGACGTGTTCCGTCCCGAAAGGTGGCTCGAGGCGGACAAGAACACCTTTGATATGATGGCGGACGTCTTGGAAACCCTGTGGGGATCGGGTCGGTATAAGTGCCTCGGCCGGACTGTCGCCCAGATGGAACTGAACAAAGTGTTTGTTGAGGTAAGTTTTGACTTAAATGGCATACACAAGGGCATTGAATTTTGCTCTATAATTACTCTCTTTCAACCGTATAGCTAACCAGACTCTTTCTAATAGTTACTTCGGCGCTTCGATTTCTCCATCGTCACCCCGCAGAACCCGGTCGAGATCGTGAATTCGGGATTCTTCCTCATGTCGGAAATGAAGATGCGAGTCACGAGAAGGGAGGCGGTTGTAAAAGGTAAAGAGACTTAAATAAGGCCAAAGAGAGAGGGATTGAAGCGTGATATGTTAGATGTATCTGTCCCAGATATTGCGAGATATAGAGTCCAGATTGAGTTCTGTCGACGCGTAGGATTTTGGAAATATTGTGGAAGAATATACCCAGTCGATATTAGGAAGACAATCATTATACCCCTTATCTGAACATTAGAAGAATTTACATAGATTAGGTTAGGTACTTACTCCTTTAATCTTACCTAATATGTATTCACAGTGCCTGTCTATTACCTCTTCTTTATCCACCACCCAACAGACGGCTGAAATTGGTTACTCCTATTGTGATATATAGCACTCAGAGTAAATCCATTACTTTTCATAGACAGGTATATAAAGCCTGCACGGCATAACAAGTAAGCAAACGTCACCGACACACCACTAAGACTAGCCCGTCAAATATCAACCGTCAAACTCCCCTTCATCACCACAACCGCCGTCCCACCCAGCCACAAATCCACCAACTCGACACTCCCATCAGCGCCCCGCCTAGTCGTAGTCTCAACACTGATATCGCTCTTCCTACCCATCTCGACCCCCTGCGTAACCCTAAACTTCCTACCCTCCTTCTCCTTCTCTTCCCCCCCCTCCCCCTTCAGCGAGAGATACGCCGCCAGCGCCGACGCCGCGCTCCCCGTCGCCGGGTCCTCGAACCCGGGCTCCACCATCCTCGCGCGGATATCCCTCGTGCCCTCCTCTTCTCCCTCTCCCACACCCACACCCATATCCACGTAATAGTACCTCATCACGAGACCCCCCTCCCCCCACGGGCCCTCGTCCCGCAGCCGCGTGAGGGGCACAGCGTCGAAGTCGAGCCGCCACGACGTGCTTACTTTCGCCAGCTGCTCGAGCGACGCCAGCCGCACCAGCACGAACGTCATGCCCTTGACGACGCTGAACACGGGCGCCGCGAGCTCCGCCGCCCTGATTTCCGGGTCGCGCGCGAGACCCACTCCCTCGGCGCCAGTGGCGCCGAGCACATCGGCCAGCGTCCGCGCGTGCAGGTGCGTGTCGTGCGGGATCTTGGCGCGGATGCGGTTCCCGGGCTGCGCCACGAGGCCGATGGGGCCGGCTTTGGTGACGAGCGTGTGCGTGTGCGCGCGCGGGTGCAGGTGGTACCTGGCGAGGACGGCGGCGCCGATGGTCGGGTGGCCGGCGAACGGGATCTCGCGCTCGGCGGTGAAAATATCGATATGCCGCTCCGGACTCTCGGCCCCCAACTCCGACTCCGGGGGCTCGTGCAGGAATACCGTCTCCGAGAGGTTGAACTCCTGCGCGATCTTCTGCTTCGTCGCGTGCGGCAGCGCGTCCTTGAGCGAGGCTGGGACCGTGACGACGGCCAGCGGGTTCCCTTGCAGTCGGGTCGACGTGAATACGTCGAGCGTGACGAATTGGAGTTCCATGGTTCTTGGTTTTCTTTAATAAGTGCTTTGGCGCGTAAATGGGTCTAATGATAGGGACTTGGATATCAAAGAACAGTTGTGAAACAGCTTCTATTTTATTGTATGTACCTAGGTAGATATGTAGATGTTACAACCACTTATATATATATTTATGTACAGGTTATAGGTTAGAATCGGCTTCGATGAGCTGAGTCAAATTGGAGAGGAATTGCCGCTTTCGGGAGAATCGGTGACTCTTATAGGCGGACGCACCAATGAGCTGCCCATTAATGAGGGTGTAAGTATGACGATGATTGGGTAGTATGAATTTAGCCCGGCGAAGGGCGCGGAGACCCACTCATTTCGGTATGAGGAGTTGCGAATAAGTATTTCCTATACTCGACGCATATACCGTATCGTATACTCTTACGTTCTAACCGTCTAGCTACCAGAACCAGACTGTAGCGCAACAACCAAAGCGGTAAGCTGGTCAATCTTCGCCGCCAACTCGGAGATCCGCTCTTCAATACCGCTTTGCGCTTCTCCCGCATTGCCCACGGACACTTTCTGTCGGGATCTTGGCTCGTGGATCTCCTCGGTGCTGGCAGCGCGCGCCATCGGCTTGCTCTCCGGTCGGTGTCCCGATTGTGGCATGCTCTCCGGTCGGTGTTCCGGCTGCGGCCTGCTCTCCGGTCTGCGTTCCGGTTGCGGCCTGCTCTCCTGTCGGCCGGGAGGCGATGTAGAGGGGCGTTCAGACGAGTTCTGCGGCGGGCCACTGAAGTTTTCGAAGCCGTTGAAGTCTTCGGGATTGAATTTGCAGGCGAACCACTCGTAGATTTGAATAATCAGGGCGATTGGCGCATGCGTTGCGCGGAGAAGCACAATGCGCGCTTGTCGGAACTTGTCGTCTGAAGGTAGGAATAGACGTAGCGGTCTGAAGATTGCTACTGCAATGAGATTGAACGGTGCTTGAATTTAAGTTAGCATAATAAGTCTAAATGGAAGGAAGACAAGTGAAAAACACTTACGGTAAAAGTGGGTGAGCCTATTGCTAGTCGACGCTTCAAGCACATATACGCTATAGACGTAAAGGTACTCTTCACGAGCGTGTATAATGACCCTCGAGAAGCTATTGCTGAGCATACCAGTCAGGGAGCCCGTAAGTAAAATCGAACTGAGCGTGATGAATATCAACATGAGAGGAGGGCCTAAAGCTGTTAGAAAGGGTAACCCCAATAAGTAAGGGGAAAAGATGAAATACCAAAGATGGGATCAATGTCTTTCATGACATCAAACCCGACATGACTAGACCCGAAAAAGATCTTGGTTACTATCATGGCCATATGCGTGAATGGAAACGTTTCTCTCCCGACGAGGGAAAACGTTGTCAAGAACCCCACATATATAATGACTACAAGAACCATGAACTTCAAGAAGTCCTTGCCCATCTCTTTGAGACAGGGAATAAGAGTACCCCAGTATGGGGATAAGCTAAATATGGAACAAACCCTGGGCACCATGAAGAGGGCCTCTAGTGATAAAATGTCAAAACCCATATCCACCAGGGTGTAATCGGCCTTATATAACCCAATGAATCCTATTGTCAAATGTCAGCTCACATTTACTAAGGTAGCGCGAGAACACTGTGTAGGATATACTTACTTAACATCGCAAAGAGAATTCCTATGGAAATCATGATGATATCGAATATGTTCCAAACATCGGCAGCGTAGAAAACCGATCCGGCGTCGATATATGAGCTAAGCTCGTCGTAAAAGAAAGCGGCGAACCAGACGTAAAGTAACATCTCCGGCAGCGTAATCGCATAACGGTTCTGCTCAATCAACACACTGGAATACAGCACTAAGAACCCGATGAGGAAGGCAACCTCGTAAGTTTTGAGATATTTCGGCACCCGAAGGCGCGAAAAGGGGTCGGCCGTATTCGGGTTGTAAAATCGAGCCTTCTTCCCCGAATGGACCGAAAGATGGTCCCAGAAGATGATCTGGCCGTTCCAGATACCCGTGATGATCTTCTGCACCACGTGCTGGCTAAGAAACCTCTTCGCATCAGCAATAGCCGCTATCTCCAGGGCATTAAGATTAGTAAATGGTTCCGTGATTTCATTTTCTAGATCTTCGTTCTCGCCTGTATGCCGACTTGTGGTCAGTTTCGAGATTGATTGGAACAATTGAATTCTTTTCAACGATCCAAAACGGCCATGTGAGCGGTGGTCCGGAGAGGGAGACCTAGGACGGCGACGCAAGAGAGCCGTCTGTTCATTGCTCTCTCCGCCATCTGCGGGCTCTTCGTGGGCCGGTGTACCGTTTTGAGCGCCATCTGTAACTTCGTGGAGACAAAATTCAACAGCTTCCCGCTCTGATATCCGAGTTAAAAATCGCCAAGCAACAATCTCGCAGGCATCTGCACGAGCCTCACTAATACCTCGACTGTCATTTACGGAGGCGTAATGCCATCTCAACGCCCTATGTTATCGTTAGTACGATTCTTATAGTCGATAAAATGACTTGTCTATTTGAAAGTTTCCGCTGTTATATATAGAATATCACAGCCCGTGCATGCTTAGTTACCTAGAACTGAGCAACCGTGTAAGAGAAATGCAAATGGAAATGGATTTAGATTATAGTAATAAATCATCTCACAGTAAAGCATTCACAATCGCGGGATTGGTGACACGGGTACTAATGTAGTCGACGAGGGTGTTTAGTTCGTCACCGGCCGAAGTGGTTCTTAGTTGTTCGATGGTGTTTGACGAATGGACTACGGTATTTACATATCTAGGTACAAATGGCAATTAGTGAAAGTCTCAAGTGCATTGCCGAGCAGAGCTAGGTATGTATTCAGCCTACATGGAAAGCTTCTTCACGACGTCGCGGAAGGCATCTTCTTGTGTGATATCAGGGAGGGGGGCTTCAGTGGGGGGGGAGACGGGCGACAAAGATCGATTCGGGTTTGGCAAGTTACGCGACTTGATGCGAATTGGCATCCTGATCAGATGGTTAGAGCTGACGTTGTTATAAGTTATTAACGTTAGAAGCTCATTCTTTATAAGAACTTTATGATTTACGCCCAAGTAATATAGCAATACAACAGTGTGTTGAGCGAAATAAACGCCAAGGTTATAAGACTTGGTGGCAGAATGGCAGAATGGATACCGAGTTGGTTGTAGGATCAAAGACACAACAACGGCTAGATCAACGGCTAGATCCTTCATCATACCTATCTTATCACCTACCTAGAAAGGGCAGATAGTAGGAGATTTCGCGATGGAGTCAACTGTACGTAGCTAAAACTTAGTCACCCTTCAAAACCCACCCGCGAAAGCAGATATCGTCATGATGAAGAAGACCCCTTACATAGTAGGCTAATATGGCATGGCACCTAGTGGTCAAGTGAAATAGCTTCGTTGGTTCAATTAGACCTAATATTAGAATATATGCACGTCTGCTGCAAGGGTTACCTCACTATGTACATTGCACATAATGTGGCTTGTTGCCACACCCGCCACAACTCGGTTTTTTTTTCTGTGGCGGTGCTATACCTCTCCCCGGGGCCCCCCCAGAACATTGAATCATGAATTCTCCAAGTTCTAATCTTATTCGTCTCAAGTGACGAATTACACTACATTTTTCCAAAGTTTTAATAGCAACTGTTTGACTCAAACTCGTTTACATATAGCCAATGGTAAACACGCTAGATTCGGGATTATTCGTATCCATATCCATCATCCCATCACCGCTTATTTTATTTTGTAGCGTCCAAGTCTGCGGGTCGGCTGTTGTCTTCGTCTTGTCTGCCGCCCATTTAGACAATCATCTGATCGGATAATTGATTGACTTAGCAAGTCAACTTTACCATCACAAACAAGTATGGTTGAAGGTTAACGGTTTGACGGTAAACGTTAATCCTTCTCCAATGGACATCCGCCCGGGGCCCGCCGGATTCTCGTTCCAATGTCGCTGTACCACACTATACTCAAAGTTCGCAAGCAGCGGCGTTTAACTACCTAGCCGCCATCTGCACATGGCATGCCGCATGGTAGGCGGGTCATTGCGTTTCCTCCCAATACCTGGCTCGGGAGATCGCATATTCCACTCTAAACCACATACACCGCGGAATAAGAACTCGAATTGATCGCGCCGATTTTCACCGCTAGTAACTTCATGCTATCTATAGCAGAATTCGTCCAACTAGTCACTACCTAAACTATACTGACTTATTACTATCACTATCATGTACCACTAAACCAACCCATGCAGGTACAGCGACATCTTACGATCTGCTTGCATCACACTCACTACCTTAGGTACCTAAGGTATGTAGCCCCAATATGCTCGGTCTAACTTTCCAAGAGATTCTAGACGCAGCACCTTGGTAGTTGGCTCAAGATAAAGTTACTTGAAAGGTTACTCTAGTATTCAGCTAAATTGACTCCTAAAGGGAGACCGAGATGTAGGATACGGTAACTAACAGCCCGGAACCTCCTCATACTATAATACCCATTCGGCCAGTATCACAGGTACACACCTTGTTCCACTTTATGTGGGTTGAACAAACACCGAAGCTGCAGAATTAGTACTCCTAAATGGCTTTTTCTTGGTCGCAGAAGCGAAGACCGAGCTGCTTGACCACATAGAAACTGTGACAACGACGAGTATCCGGGGAACAGTCCTCAGGGTTACAGTCACTATGTCATTGATATAACAATCTAGACCACCAAACAAAAGAAAGAAAAAAAAAGATCTTACCAAAAGTCATCAGAGGGGCAGGGCACGTACCCCCTGCGGGCCTGTCACCCCTGGAACCCTTTCATCGTCTTCCCGCCCGTGGCTGTGCGCATTCTACCACATCTACTTTAATTGGCCAGAAATGTCTATAAAAAGCTATTTTAGCGAATATACACTTTCTGATTCGCCATAGCCTTCCCCGTAAACCACCTGGCGCCAGGGCCCAGGGTCCGGCGGCATGTACCAAAGAACCCTGGGACCGATTGGCTTTCTTACAACAGATGCGCCGATCGCCGGTATCTTGTATTGGTGAACATACATAGTACTGACATAGGTAGAAGGAACTTGATTCTGCCGGTGGCAATGCTTCTGCCACAATTACCGTTGATAGGCAGTCTTCAAAGGCTTAAGAGAATGTTCCGATGTTTCTATCGGTAAGTATCAGATATCTTAGACGAGCACTTTGTTTTCTTTCTTTTCATCAAACTATCTTCATACACAGCTTACAGGACTTATGCCACCTGTGCTATGGATAGGAACCGCTAGATGCTGTCAGACGGTAGCAACGCTATAGGTACCTATTTCTAGATCACACCACGCAGACAAGAAGCACTCTTGAGCAAGCCTCAGCCTTGTTGTGTTACACCCCCGGACGTGCATGCACAGTCGTTGGCTGTTATCTTACCTTCGCCTCTTTTTCTTTAAGTCCCTTTTCGTCGACATCCATCCTTCTTGTTCCTTCTTGATCTTGATGCCAATTTGGGTTGAAATCTCTTGTACTCTTCCCATCGATCTTAACTTGGCTGGCTGTCTGGTCCTGGATTTGAGGATTTGATGAAACATGGCTCCCTCAGTTTCCAGCGCCGGCATTCTACGTCTACCGCCGGTTGCTGCTGCTCTATTCTTCAGCGCGGTGTTTGGCTTGACTAGTGGTCATGTGCTGCCCAGGCAGACCAAAACCGTTGAGCTGCACGAGTTGAATGTTGTTCCTTTTCCTCGGCCAACGGAGGCTCCAGACTTACTTTCCGACTTGCTGTTACGAAGACAAGGACAAAACACCGTGTGCGGCTTTATCGGGGGTGATCCAAACCTACCTGCGACATGCTCGGCAGGGTCCCATTGCGTATTGGAACAGGATCATGATGTGGTGGGCTGCTGCCCGGACGGCGGAAGTTGTTCGACGGGTATATTTACTGGTTGTGTCGACCGGAACAGCGATTTGCAGACTGAAATTAATCCTTATGTATATACGTGCCAAGGGACGGACGTGTGCTACAAGAATCGGTTTGCTGGAGGGTATTTCCAGTTTGGTTGCGGGACTGCATCATCGTTAGGCACTACTGTCGAAACGTCTGTCGATGGCATGACAAGCTTGGTGTTCGAAGAGACAACAGTCTCGCTGACGGCACTGCCTAGTGTTCTTACTGAGCCGACTTCTATTGGGTCACTTAGTGGAGGGACTTCTATCGGCTCACAACCGTCGAGTGCGACTGACGACCCTGACCTAGGTGCTGCTCCTAGTGGATCTGATACTATATCACCAACTTCATCAGAGCTTTCGGCAGACCCCTCAGTTACAGCAGACCCTTTGCCTACCTCCGAATCCTCCCCTGCACCACCAGAGTCGTCCTCCGCAGAGCCCTGGTCTCAACCTGCATCTTCAGTCGCATCTTCCTCTTCATTTACATCACCATCATCATCGTCATCATCAATATCATCAAGTTCTTCACTTACGTCTTCTTCCACAACATTATCTTCGTCAATTACAAGCACAAGTACCGGTCCGAGCATAACATCCTCATTCGGCACAGAAACACCCACGGATTCTAGCTCACCTACGTCGGGAGTAGGAGCTAATGGAACTAGTAGGGGGGCTATTATCGGAGGTTCCATCACTGGCGCTGCTATTCTAGTAGCAATAATTGTCGTCCTAGCCTTCTTCTTCCGAAAGAAGCGGCGTGGCAACGATCGCCAAGGTCCTGGGCCCTTGCCAACCGACGCACCGCCCAGGACTGGTTATATCAGGTGAGCCTCGAAGTCTAAACCACGTACCAAGAATCTAGCTAACAAATCATACAGTCCAATGAAAAGTCACGGCGCTGCATTTGCACCGCTCCCATCGTGGCAAGATGAAGAGGAAGATAGGAGACCTCTAACTCGATATACTAGCCAGCCATATCGCCCATTGCCGGAACCACCAACTGCACCACCAACAGGGCCTCTGCCACCACCACCGCCGCAAGCGCAAAAAGGCATGGCACCAATTCGAACCGTACCCACGAACCGCGCGTTTCCCCAGCCTCTGCGGTACCACCCGCCAACGATCCGGCTCGTGCCCCCCAGGGGCGTAGGTGGAGCGGGGCTCACGCCCGTAGCCGAAGAGGAAAACCCGCACGACCAGGACAGCAGCAGTAGCAGTAGCAGCAGTAGCAACAGCAATAGCAACAGCAACAGCAGCGATCGAGAGTACGAAGCCGGCAGCGGCCGGGGCCCGACGCCGTCCGAGATCGACGACTTCTCGCGCGCGTACATGAGCGCGGGGATCGGCACCCAGGACCTCGATGAGGATCGGCTGCCGCTGCGCTCGGATGCCGAGTCTCCCGGCGGCAGCTGCAGCCCTCCCCGGTCAAGCAGTAGCCCGGGTAACAGGCCGCTGTGGCAGCAGAATCGCCAGCAGGGGCGTAATTTGATGTGGATGTAATTTAATTAGGCGAGGCTGCTGCCACGGCTGCTACGGACGTACATATTATCACTTGCGAGCTTTTTACATACATAGGTACCTATCTAACCTCATACATATATGTGTAATGTTTTTTTTTCTTATCCGGTCGCTACGATTTAGCTACCTTTTTTTCCCTTTTTTTATGGTCACTTTACGACGCGATACCTTCACCTTACATAATGGGAGGTGTCTTTTATACTATACATTACATATACATATCAACAGGATTTCTATATTTACTTTGGACAGGGACGGGCTGGGTAGGGTAGAGGCAGAAGGGATGGGAAGGGATGAATAGTATGGCTCAGGGTATCATGGCGAAAAAGACTTACGATCCTTACGTAGCATGCACCTTATATCTATTTATGGACTGGACTGGACTGGGCTGGGTTGGGTTAGGTGGGAGGGTGGGCGGATGGGTGTCAGCAACTTTTGCATTTTCGGTGGCGTTTCGGGGTAGAGAGCTTAGGAGGTGCATTGCCTACCTCCTTTTGCACACACTTCACTACACATCACATACATTAGGTACATATTTCCTTCCTACATAGGTATATTATTATATGTCGCGGCTGTAGCGGCATCGGGTTAAAGGAGACAGACAGACGGGCGAGGCGGGGAGTCTGGTTGGCTGGCTGGCTGGCTATTTACTTCTTATAAATATACCATAGGCGAAACAGGCGGCGTTCTTCTGGGGGGAGGGGAGGGGAGTTTAGACAACGGAGTTTGGGGTTTGGATTTTGGAGTTCGGCTCGATGTATGTAATTACCTATTATTACAGGCATTATTGCCCTGAAGCTATCGATGCTTACCTGCCTATATTGCAGACTTACTACATAGTATAATAGAAACAGCAAAGAATACCTATAAACAAGCTTCTATTAACTACCTAGGTACGTAAGGTACCTTAGACCCAGATTTAGTTTCGATCTTAGGTATTATTCCGCCCTGGCTGTTTAGGTACTGGAAATGCTTGAGGTATTGTAGGTACGTAAATCTGTAAACCCATGCACGATAGCAATATTGAATATTCATTAAAACGGCTTTTCAACCCTGGAGCTTCTGAAAGGTGATACTTTAGATACCTCTTAGATACCTGGTATAGGTGGGGTCTGACATGCAACTTGGGCATTATTATGTGGTCTTTCACCACTTGCAGGTAAGAACATCGCCTACACTTACACTTACACTTTAAACAATCAAAAGGATGTAATCATCACGAGCAAAGCAGTAGGTAAGTTGTACCTACCTAGGTAGGTAGGTAGGTAGGTATATTACATATACCTAGACGTAAAGTAAGAAGCGGAAATCAAATGGTATTAAGGCCTATCCGAGCCGACGATGATGCACACTCATTCACCCCCCCACACACACATTCTCTCTCTCTCTGCCCGGCGTCTTTTTTCATGATCCCTTCCTTTCTTTCTTTCTTCGTTTCTGAGGTGGTTAATCTTACTCTTACTGTCTCCCCTACCGTGCATGGGCGTGGGCGTGGGCGTAAGAGCAGAGAGCATGTAGTAGTAGTAAAATAACTGAAAAACCAAGCCCCCCTTCATCCTTCCCTCCCTCTCTCACCCTTTTCCTCCTTTCCCCTCCCCTCCCCTCCCTTCCTTTCCCTCCTCCGTTATCTTGCCAGAATGGCGAGAGCCAAAAACGCCAGATTGCCATCCTCTGTAACGGCATATAATCAACTTAGGCCTTTAAGACCATTGCGCACCTAAGTAAGGTGTGTATCGCGAGTGCAATTTCCTATCTCGTATGCTGTGCTTCGTAGCCTGCACGGGGACAGAAATGAAAAACAAAAGAAGAAATAGAAAAAAAAAGAGAAAGAAAAAAGAAAAAAGAAAGGAGAAATCCGTCAACGCCTCATAGCCTCTGATTTCGTGACTTTGGTCATAGTTGTACAACAGAACAAAGGCCCCTTTTGGCCTAAAATGCAGTAGTGGTGATGTTATGGTGGTGGATGATAGTAGTGGTCAACAAAAGGACCTTTTGACTTCTGGGAATAAGAAGTCTTTCCCATAAAAAGTATTTCGATAGTGCCGCAAGGCTGATACCGATACCGATACCGATGACGACGACGATAACGATGAAGAAGAAGCTTGAGTGGTTTGTATTTATAAAAACCGATATCAACCTTCCTAGACGACGACGTGAGTGCTCATGTGTTCCACGGCCTCCTTAATGGTGCGAAGCATGCGCTGGTTAACGCAGAAGGGGCACCGGATAGGACGGTCGGCACCGCCCAGGGCGTTGCCGCTCGAGATGGGAGTCAGTGTCAGAGCGGGGTCTTCAGGTCCGGCAGGGGTGAAGCGTGCATTGGTGCGCTGCTGAGGAACAGGTGTTTGCAAGCTCGGCGCGATGGGGGGAAGACCTTGCTCTTGTCGCTCGCGCTGTTCACGGACAGCAGCAGCCTCCGCTTCGGCATCCTCTTCTTCTTGCTGCATGGCGCGCAGGGCGTTCTGTAGTACCACCTCGGGGTCTTCGGCGCCCGCGAAGGCGTTGGGCTCGGCAGGGTTGATAGACGCGCCGGCAAGGGTGGGGAGAGGGGCTGGAGTGGGGTTCTCGAGACGACGAACAACTTCGTCGCGAACCTGAGCACAGGTCGAAAGGCTAGCTTCAACGCCGACGATGCGAAGAACGGCGTCACGGATGGCAGCAGGACTAGTCTCTGCACTAATGTTCATGAAGCGCGGAACGGCGTCGATGAGGTAAGGAATATCGTCGGCAGGATTAGAAGCATTGCCATGACGACGTTGGCGTCGAATAAGAAGTCCGTAACGCTTCTTGAACCGATGGATCCAACCGGGAGAGAACTCAGGTGGCGTTTCGTCCTTATAACGAGGTAGCTGCTGAAAGATAGACTTGGCTTTCTCAGCAAGTTCCTCGTTGGAAGGGTTGCGTCCTGAAGCGACAACTTGGCTGTGCCAGAGAAGGACCAGCTTCTCTACGTCGGGCCAATTACCAAAACGTAAACGCGATCCGCTGAATTGATTATCATTGTCAAGACGGGCGTATTTGGGAGACAAGGAATGACTGATAGTGCTCTGGCTAATATTCTGGCCGTACTGGCTGTAAAACCATTCGATGCAAGCCTTGTGGGAGGGTCGGGTAGTTTGGGAGTGTGCCCAACGACGAAGAGCGCGACGCTGATCGAGGGTTAGGGAGTGTCGCTCTTTAGGCGTTGTCGTGCCGGTGGGAGTATCCGGAACGTCGGGGACAGCGGGAACGTCCGACATGTTGGATAGATGGCTAAGTCAGCTTTTAGAAGGGTTTTGATGATGTGAAATTCTTCAATTGATTCAATGAAATTCGCCGGCTAATCCTGTAAACGAAGCACGACCCGGGTTTTGGATGTAAAGGGGGTTAATGAAAGAAGAAGAAATCGGGGCGCGAAGTTTTGTGGTTTGAGAGGTTTTTTTGTGCAAGCAACCGGACGAGGTGGGACGGGGGCAGGGGCTATCCCTAATTTTCATCCAATAGATATGTGGGACTGACCGCTTACAGGGCATAAAAAAATCACGGGGCCGTGCACACATTGCATTGAGCAAATTTATGCTTAAAACTTCTCACGCTCACAGCGTTATTTCCTATGCAATCACCGCCAAGACACACCGATAGTGCCCTCAGTTAGGACATGCGCTATTAGTCACGTACCTGATAAACGGCGAGATACATGCAGGTGGGGGGACTCAGGGTGGATAACTCTTGCTACACCGTTATAAATTATGCCGTTCCTCACCGTGCACGGGAATAGGTAACCCTGGCATAAAAATATCGTCATAGCAGAACATGAACGTAGGCCACCTTCCGAGTCAGAGACTGCCTGATGCAATCGCTTTCTAGCCATAATTACATGTGCAATTAAGCAAGATCAAGGGTTTCACCTCGCCTTTTACCTAGACGCACCGATTTATCAGTATTGCTTACGGTTAAATTGATTTGATCATTTTTTATCTTAATATGTGTGAAAGTGCTATAGGGACTTAACGGCTGATATTTTTTAAATCAAATTTAAGATTTAATGGAAGAATTTATTCTTTTATATCCTAGCAACTTTCAAACTAGAAGAAGCTAGAATGGGATCACGAAGAATGAATAAATATTATTACCTCCCTTTACGTGTATACAACGTCGCTACCAAAAGCGGGAATATAAACTTTTACTTAATATTCATTTTCATTCGTTCCCTAGAGCTATCGTAGAAACATCCCGAGGGTAGGAAGCACACCTTCGTTACCTCATATATCATCTTGCCAACTAAATCCCCGGTTTCCTCGCCCATTTGACTAAGGGATTGCATTGCCTATACTTTCCATGCGTTCTTGAGAGTGCTTATCCTATGACGTGCCCTCTTCCTTAGATCCTTCTGGACGCTTTTTGCCTTTTGATAGCTCCGTCTTATCACCTACTCCATTATCCCATTCCATCGTTCGTCCATACTTGGAGGGAAAGGGTGTTGAAAAAAAAAGAAGAAGAAGCTGAGAAGTTGCGAATATAATAGAAGAAAACTCAAAAGATAACTGTCCCAGTAAGATATTGACCGCATTCGCGCCGAACCGTAAGGTATACCGTATAAATTTTTTAAAAAAAAGGAAGGCTGACCTATAACTACCATCTTCGACCTGGGCCGGTGATGGAAGAAAAAAAGATTTTAGAAGATTTCAGAAGAGAAAATGACCTTGTAAGGCCTATGAAATAGAAAACTGCATTAGACAGTCGCAGTAAGACTAACTCATCTCGAACCATTCAGTCATTCAACTACCTTAAGCGAATGAGCGTACCGCTAGATAACACTACTCTAACCACTATAACGCAAAGGTTTGCTATTTATTCCAAGAATGCACACAAATAGTGTATGCGTGCTGTAGTTTTGGGTAGGTAAGTATGCTAGGGTAGCTTCGCTAAGGGCTCGCAGGATTTAGGGATGTTTCCTGCATCCAATTCGAAAAGCAGCTGCGGAATCGTCGGGTGTAAATGCTAGTAGAACAAAGCGCATTGGGGTATATTGTATATGGAAATATTCTGGGGGGTATCGACCGTTCCTTAATGCCCTTATACCTGTTCGACAAAAACAACTAGCTTTTCGTTGTGCTCTAGAGCATAGTTAAGATCGTTGTTACTGAGGAGACTGAGCTTGTCACCACTCTGCTCATCTCGGTAGAAGAGCTGGATTTGGTCTCCGCTAGAAACCTTGGTACGTTCTCTAATCCTCTCATATAATTGTTGGAAATTAGTGTCAGACGGTACACGTATCAGAAACGTGTCGTCGTTGAAGTGTAATTTGACCTTGAGAGACGGTCCTCCCGGGGTGATCCCCGGAGATAACGATGATTGCGAGGGCTGGGAAAGTGATGATGTTTGCCGAGTCATCGGTGGCTGACCATTTTGCATCTGTCTTGGGGCTGCCGATAATCCGGAGTATCCATTCCCATTCAGATTATTCCTTGACGACTGCTGGGAGTTATCATCTCTTGGCGAGTCTACTGACGACCCACCAGACAGTCTGTATTCATCGTCGTTCGGCTCGATCTCATAATCACCCTCTCTTGGCGCGAAGAACTGCTTTACTAAGTTGCACTTTGAGATGTATGCCGGTTGTCCTAATAGGTTCTTTACGTATGCATCTAGATTGTGCAATCGTCCTTCTGTGATTGCGTCGGTCACATAGTTAACAGGACCAGGCATGTACGGTAATGTACGCTTATGTGTGCCGGTATTTCCAGCTTCGGCGGGGAACTCGGTTAGGAGCGCGATCTGGAAATCGTAAAAGTCTTCATAGTAACGCGATAGCTCCCAGTGCCGACCATCCTCTAACACTGCTTCGATCACAAACCAATACTTGTCCTCGGCAAAGCAATATCGCGGTATCCGGGCAGATATAGGTGCATATAATTGCGAACTTGACTTTGAAGCGTATTGATTCTGTTGCACAGCATTTGGGGGCTGCTGTTGGGCTTGTTGCTGGTATCCATTGTACTGCTGTTGCTGCTGTTGCTGCTGCTGTGGGCTTATGTTAGTAACGTCTGATGTGCACTTGTAGCGATTAACGACAACTTACGAAGGAAGGGCTCTGCTGTTGACTCTGGCGATTGGGACCAGGTTGCAAGCTCATCCGTTCCATGCCTTGTTCCAAACCCGGTTGACTACCTGCTTCAAATTTGCCTAGCGTGATGCTACTATTCTTGTAATCAGCTGCCATCTTCTTCCACTCTTCAACCTTAGGAACACCAGCTCGTTTTACAGCCTCGTGGGGATTCGGAACGGCCGTGTCTGTCGACATATCTCGAATTTCTACGAAGGAAACAGGAATGAGGCCAGGGCCTCCTAAGCGACCGATTGGTTTTGCAACAAACCATTCCGGGTTAGATTGCGCGATCACTATAATCGCTTCACCAGCTTTTGCTTCCAGTTCATCCGCCCTCTCTGCCTGAAAGTCGTACATCACAATCCCGTAAACCATAGCCCCATTTTTAGCGCCCGACTTAGAACTACGTTGGCTCAACGCCGGGGTGGGAGGCACCGTTGACGAATTAGTCTCGGAAAATCCGGAATCGTGATCCTCCTTCTTCAAGGTCAATGGGCGACCCAGATCCGACGAACCACTATCTCTTTCGGTACGCCCGAGTGCTTGGAAGAAGGCTACGGGAACGAGTCCTCGAGCATCAGGGAGCGCCGGATTGCATGCCTCATACCAATCCGAATCATTTTCTCGACCGATAACGTGAAAGAAATCACCCCTTGAGAAACTTAGCTCCTGGGAGGAAGCAGCCTCATAATCGTAAAGCGCTCGGATAACCTATGGATATTTCGGGCATCAGTATCGTGTCCATTATGACAAAAGCGGGCCAAGAAATAAACCAAAAATGGAAAAGAAAACACGGGTACAGGAGCGAAGATCGCGAACCTTTTTGGGGGGAACAATGGCAACTGCAGACTTGGGGGCGATGGAGACCTGAGGTCTATCCTTTTCGCCTTTGATGGATCTTCTCAGAGCCTGGATAGAGCGCATAACGTTAGCCACGGCATTTACGGATGCGACCAAGTCGCCATGTAGATTGGAACGCGACATGATTGCGACCGATGGCCAGGCACGTTTAAAGGCATGTTTAGCAGAAAAGGGAAAATAATGATGCAGGAGAGAATTCAAAGACAAACAGAGGAGGGGTTCTTGGGTTTAATGGCGCACCTTCATCGTTGTACAGATTCGGAAGCTTGTGGATTGCGAAGTCAAGTAAGTAGAAGGAGGCGGAGGCGGAGGCGGCGAAGGAGGATCCAAGAAGGAATGGGCGCAAGCCAGAAATGGCAGACTAGGCTATCCCCGAGGTTCAGGCACGGTTACGCGAACACACGAACACACGAACACACGAACACAAGAACACAGCGGAGTCTTGCGGTGTTGTTATACGGCGGGTCTGAATCAGTGCAACTACGTGTAATCGCAATGAAGCGAGAAAAGTCGCGGGAGTTCAGCCGGGTGGGATCGAAAATAGTTGTGAGGTGCGTCAAAGTGAGACCCTTTTCGCAATGCAATGGGAGCAATGGGAGGAAGAATTAGTTGACCCAAATCTTCAAAAGTTCGGGTTCCCTTTTTTTTCTCCCCTCTGCTTGTCGGCCACTCGGTATATAGAATAGAACAAATAAGTAGCGAAAAAGGGAACGGCTGCGATTGTCTTATTGTCCTAGGCCGATAGTGGTCAATAGCACACTGTCTACCTTGCGATAGTCTTTTCGCTATTTCTTTCTTTCCACGGCGTCGCCGTTTCTTTATATCCTTCCTAACACTCACAATAGTGGGTCGGGATATTAATTGTTTTGCTGGTTATGCGTGGCAGACACGCAGGGTTAGACTTGGCTCCCGCGTTGAATTGCTTAGGTTAGGTTAGGTAGATATCGTGTTTTCTGCTGTCGTCGGACCAGTTGTCGCTCTTATCGGCTTGATAGTAAAATGCACGAAGTTATCGACAGGCTATCTTTTGGCTATCTTTGGAGATTGAGGAGGTCAGGAGGACAGAAGAAGAGGAGGCGAGGACGAGACTGGCTAGATTTGAGAATGACTTGACTGCTTTGCGCTTAACTGGGATGGGTGGGTTTGAAGTGACTGGCTGAGAGAACAAGGTGGAAACGTCGAAAAAAGTGGGATAAATTAAGTCGGGCGTTAGCAGATTGGGTAGGCTGAGTTGTGGGTTGCTGTGGGTGCTGAGGGTGTGTGTGTGTGTGGACATGCCTGCCCTTCAATGCATTTTAGACGGGCGGGCTGGCGGGATAAGTCTGCATGCCATATGCCATTCACGTCCGAGCAGCCATGAGGAGCATTAGCAGCAAGGGCAGTCAGCACGGGCAAGGGTACGTACCTCTAGCCACCACCTGCATGACCCAAAAAGGGACAAGGGAGAATTCAATGTTCGAAAAGAACTTCACACATGGGTAGTGGGGTGCTTTCAAAAAAAGATCCGACTAAAGGAGCTAGGGCGCGACCTAGACTGCCGGGTACTCGCTAAAAGACACCTTAGCGCGTGCTAACCCTGTAGCTCAGGTACCTACTAGGTACAAAGAGCTAGCGAATAAGTCATCCAAACTTCCAGAGTCATTCAGTAGTTGTTCTAAGTATAATAAGGACCAAGGGACCTAAGATGCGAAGTCAAATATAGTATGTCAGATTGATTGTTAACTTGTGACTATAAGCATATCACGTATCACGTATAAAATAGAGAAGGAGCAAAAAAAACTAAGCAGATCCGAAAAAGGAATTTCCGATTAATAAGTCAACGGATTACCTATCCTGTTATCGCATGACATGACAAACTTATTTTCCACCAGGTGTGGTAGGAGGTACTTCATCCTTTAAGTTTAGCTACCCGTAGTGAAGCAACTAGCTCTCCATTCAGTACCCCTGAAATTGAATAGGTATTTCAGAGCTTGTTTTCAAAGTTTTCAAGGACGTTTGCCCCTCCACTTCCATTCTAGCCCCTCACCCCGCTATGTCAACTATGGTCGCTATGGTCACAGTGGTCACATTCCCCTCTAATAAGAAAAATAACAAAAAAATAGGAGGCCCCAAACAATCTTGACAATCATATCTGCTTGATCGACTGACGACACATGCACATGGAGATCGCATAAATCATCCCGAAAATCGTACACTCTAACAGGATCCACGTACTAGATTAGTAATATAGTACAATATATTCTGGATCATAATTCTTTAGTTATTGTTTTTTTCTTACCCGTTTGCTTTTTTACTAGCCAATTCGCACCTCAATCACCTGCTAGGAACTAGGAACAAAGCGTAACTCCGATAGGCTTTTTCATCACATCGTGGCTTCGTGGAGCCTCTAATCGGTTGGGCATTAGGCATTATTCAGGCTCGGAGTAGCTCTCGTATAATACCAGGGCACCCTAGAAAACAGCATCCCGCTCTATTACTCTACCAATAATTCCCCCCCTAACTAATATTTTTTTTTTTTATTCTTTTCCAGTTTTTGTTTAAATCCTCCACTCGGAGTCAAACATTCGGAAACGCATCCGCATCTCTCCAATACCGATAGCCGGGGAACCTTCCTTCAAACTCGGTCCTTCAACCCAAAACACGGCGTCGTAACCAGAAAGTGACCAGGGCGTCGTGCTCCACGCCCAGCAAACAGAAACCCATAGCTTTGGCCTAGATGCCCGAGCTTCAGGAACCTTTCCAGTGGGTACTCCACGGACGGAGAAATCTTTTCAACCAATTTCGATATCGTACCTTGCAGCGTGCATGGCCACTTACGTACATTTAATTTACATATGTACCTCATATGCATCTTGATGGCGAATTCGAAAATCGGCGTCTAATATCCAGATTCCGTATAGGTACTTACTTAATAGTTCCACTTGGTCACATTTGGATTTATTCTCCCTTGCAACGAATATAAAAGGCGATATATGACTTTCTCAAGAACATAGGTAGGTACCTCATAAAACGTTATTCGTCGACATTGAAAGTCTCATTAGACTCTAGAGACATCAGGATTACCAACGATGCTTTTTTATGCAACCCAATAGACCTGAGACTTGAAGCAAATGCGACTATAGAATATGCAGGGCGGCCCCTGAAACAGCACATGAACTTACTACACGCACTCTTCCACTTGCCTGGTCGCCGTTCCTGCATGCGACTTTTCTGATTTATAGCAGCCACTTAGATGCGGTGTTAAATTAGCATTTAAATATTTTATTGGCTATTCGAGCATTGCTAACTATTCACCAGATGCGACAGTTCCTCCTCTGTAGATACACCTGCTAAAATAGTGTTTATCTTGTCCGAGGTTTCACGCATATTAGTGAGACCGGAACTGTGGGATAAGGCTTCTTCTAGAAGAACATCGCCCATGCTTAGGGATAAACGCTACTAATATAAACTACAATAATCTAGCCATTACATGATGTACGTACTAGTATGCTAATATCCTTATATGCTAATATTCCTGGCCAGTCGGCGTTCTAATAGCGTACATGTAGTAGGTAATTAATGCATGAAAACAGCCCTTGTCCGGACCAGCTCCGGTCCACCCGGGACCCCTCCGGAACACTTCCAGAACGTCCAAGTTTAGCCATCAATTTACTTTAGATACTCGAACCAACACATACTAGGAAGGTAATCCATCCTCTGCGTGGCACATACATAAGTGCATAGCTTAATAACTCTAGCCGCACATTTACACGTGAAAAAAAAAGGAAAAGGAAAGCTTCCTAGTCGCGGAAGAAAATAGTTCGGAAACCGACACCAAAAATACCTATTTTTTTTTTCTTCATGCGCGGAAACCCGGATCATCTCGTCCCGACGGCGAGTCCCCGATATCGTGAAACTGGACCAAGCGCTGAAACAAAGTTACCGATGTTGAAAAAAAGACGGCCCGTCCTCGCAGGAATTTTACGTAGTGAGGGATGGGATATGCACGTCATTTGTTCACCATCTCATATTATCCCTCGATAGCTGCTGCTGCATGCCTCTCGCATACCAGGCCTCAAAGCAGTAGGTTAGTAGATCTTGGTCGTCTTGCATGTGATGTAGATAATCAGGCCACACGGTACAAGATCTCACAGATCTCTCACCCCCTCTCTCTTCTCTCTTTCTCTTTCTCTCCACGGGGGACCTGATGCCGTGAGATCCACCTAGCCCTAGGCAAGAACTCCAGATTTCCGCCCTGTCTCCTCTCATATCTCACGGACTAAGAGTCTACTAAGGGAAAGAGGGGGAGAAAGAGAATATGGGGAATGTGGAATTCGACTATCGGACTTCGTTCGCCCTCCCTCACAACTGTCGCACACCTTCGAGCTCTCAAGTCCTTCGACTCCCTCCTCCTCCTCCTCAGGCCACTTGCTAAGCGGCCAACCTAACCTAACCTACCTTTCCCTCGCACAGGGCAGGCGGGAAGAAGCACAAGCTCGAAAAAGTTCGAGGCGCACGAGACATCGTACTCGGGCCAACGGCAACCACCTATCTTCCCGTGTGGCAGGTCGAGCCGGATCAAGATCGAGAAAAGAAAAAAAAAAGAAAAAGAAAAACTTGGCCTAGTTGTCTCTTTACCTTACCTTACCTTGCCGTACCTTACCTTGCTTTACCTTGCTTTACACACATACATGAAAGATTAGGTAAGTACCTCCTATCTAACCTAGGTAGCATATACGTATGAAATATAGGTCACTTAGGTAGGTATGTAGCTAGGTATGTAGCTACCTGGAAAATACCCAAACGCACAGCAAAGACTGGATAGAAGCTGCAAAACACCAAACCAAATATCCTCTTCCTCACCCTGCCCCCCTACCCCACCACCACCACCACTCACCCTCCCTGTGCGCCTTCCCGTCGCGCTTGTGTGGCGAATTTCTTAGGCAGTGTATTGTACGTACGGGAGGACCCGCGGTGTCGAGGGCGCTGGTGCTGGTGCTGGGGGGGCGGGGGCGGGGGCGGTTGGTAACCCATTTCCATTTCGTTGGGGTCCCCGTATCGGGCCCTTCCAGCTATCAAGTCAAGTTCAAGGGCAAAAGCACAAGGCCGTGCGACCCGTCCCTCGCGCTTGCGTCGTGCGTTGGTGTAAGCGTTAGTGTAATGCAACGGTTGGCTGATCTCTACACAACACTACACAGCACTACACACTTATTACCTACTATAGGTAGCACACCCGTATCCATACTTAGGTAGGTATTGGGTATATTCATACACCTGCTTGCTTACCTACCTGTACCTACCTACTTATCTAACCTAGGTATATATCTCTGTACCTCTGGCTAAAATAAGATAAGCGGGAAAGGTAAGTTTTATGAGCAAGTAGTAACTACCTACCTAGGTACCTACATAAATAAGAAAGGGGGGGAAAGGAAGAAAAGAGAAAATGAAGAATACCTACTGGACTGGCCCGAGGCACGTGAGATGGGGATGGCGTCATACTCAACACGGCTGCATGTCTTAGGTTTGTAAAATTTCCGTCAGCTTCCTCTCTTTCTCTCTCTCTCTCTCTTTTCTTTTTCTTTTTCTCTCTTTTCCTCGGTGACTAGAAGGAAAAGGGGACTAGGTACCTAACTCCAGGAACAGCCTTGCTGTATCTGCCTGTGTATGTATGCATGTATGTATGTATGTGGGGTCTGAAAAAGAAGGCAAGATGATGATGGGCTGATCGCGAGGTATGTACGGTGCCGGGAACACGATACGTTTTACACACCTGCTTGATAATTGCTTATGCTGAAAACATCAAGTTCGTCTTACTACGTACGCTAGGTAGGAATCATGATTTTGTAATGTAATTCTTGTTTTTCAACTCATCTTCATTACTTATTGACCTTAGGTAGGAAGCTGCTATACTACCTGCTGATTCATATGCCAGAGTAATCCTTGGTCTTACGGGTGGCGACAGTCCAGACATTCTAGGATTGATGAATCTCCTCTTACATAGGTACCTTGATATCCAATATTAATGTAAGACGTCGACTACAGGTGAAAAACGCTTAAAATATCCAAAGCTATATGCTCTCATGACAGACCTCAACACTCTGTACACGAACACAAGCAGTAACTCAGCTCTATGAGGCGACAGAAAAAATAACACTTCCGATCAAGATCAGTATATCGAAACTCAAATTACACTATGGACAGCGTGATAAGTGCTTTCCGCAGGCTATTCTTACGGGAAGATCTTTATCTATGGCTCAACCGGTTCCTACCGCCGAACCCCCCTTTTTGTGGCTAAGAACTTCCCATGCAATCCCAGCCTTACGGGTAGCTGACGAAGTGACTAGAGCACATGACCAGTCCGTATCGTGTGAGGGTATAGGTTAAAAAGTAACTAGGCCACTCGGTCCAGAAACGCCCAAAACTCCTTACATGCTCAGAGCAGAACCTATATTGCGCCTCAACGATGATGATGACCGGGGTCCGCGAGGACCTTGTGCCGTAAAAACCTCGTCTTCGTGACCAACGCCAACATCGAAAAAGAAAATGCTAAACCTCCCCTATATCAGATATCCACCAGGCACCTATGCCAAGCCGGACCACAACCGTTTGTACTGTGATTGAAAGTCAATGTAAAGTAGTTCGTGGGTGGATGCGTTGCGCCACATGAGATCGATCGAACGAGATGCTCAATAGTAGCGTCACTGATTCATACTTGGGGAAAAGCCAAGTTCGATATCCAGAGCCGCCTTATCTCGAACGACATCGTCCCCTCAAATCAGGTAAGAATGCTGCTCGTCGAAAATAGGGAAAGGAATATCTACGAAGGAGGGATGTGTAGTGATGCGAGGCAGTCAGACCAGAAATGAAGCGTCGTATCGGAGGGAGGGGAAACAAAAGATATAAAAGAGAATTTAGGAGATCAAATCTGGCCCTTAAGGTCGACTCTACGGAATGCCTCTGCTCTAGCCGTCTCGAATAGCATCCCAGCCTTTCCTGTTAGAAAGGCAATGTGGTCTTGCCGTTCTTGAAGTAGATCGTGGCCGTTGCAGTCGATGATGAACTGCGCAGCTTCAGCATCAGACTCGAAGGCTAATTCCTCAGCAATATAACGAAGCTTTAACTCTGGCTTAAATCTGTTGTGAGGTTAACATCCAAACTGTTTCTCATCATAGGTAGGGATGGTACTTACGCCTTGCACATGTTTGCGAGTGCAGCAAGTCGTTCACGTTTGACAAACATATCCATCAGATACGCTCCCATGTTAGGGACGTCAAGGTATAGCTGAAAGAACTTATGGTAGTTGCCTAAAGCGAGGGCTGAACGTACGTCCAGAGCATGTTTAATGGGTCTCTCCTCTTTCTCTGCTGTGGTTAGATCTGCGATAGCGTCATTCAACGCCGACCGGTTTGCGGTATGGATGAAATACAAAATACGATACGCCTTGAACTCGATAGAATTGCCCTTCAGACCCGACTTGTAAAGGGCACGTAGCTGAGTCTGGCACTGATTATACTCACCGAGATCCCCCTTCTCCAAGGCAATTCTGGCATGGATTTCATAAACGGAAACAGTGAAGTCATTCCTAATGCGCTGTACTGTCAGATCTTGGCGCAGCGATTTAAACTGGTCACAAATGTAATTATAGTTGCCATCCTTGCGCCACTTCTTCTTAAGTAAGTCGAGCGTCTGGTGCAGAACACGTTCAGGTCGGACATCGGCTGCCTTTGGTGCAGCAGTTAAGCGTAGATACCTCTTCTCTAAGTTTTCGTTGAGTCCGACGATGGGTCCGGTGGAAGGTGGCGGGCTAGGAGATCGATAGGTAGACTGGTATCCACCATCCCCGCGACGCTGTCGCTTTTCGGCATTCTTCTGGAACTTACTTTTGGTCGGTAACGGGCCTTCCATCGACGGTTTGCTGATTCGATCTTCGAGAGTAAGCGCTCTGGTGCTACGCCACGGTACTGAGACGGTGCTGGTCTGTTCGGGTCCGCTGAGATCCGTAGACTTCCTCTTTTTGGGGTTAATAGGAGCGGCAACAGAGGTAGGCGTTGCCTCTGGCATCATAGGTGGCGCCATGGATTGCATCAACGCTTGTTGGCGTTCGGTTTTAATTAATGTTTGCGGTAACGGCATGTTATCCCAATCCGTAGTGTACATGGTTCCAGATTCCTGGTGGTACCTGATCGTATCCTTCAACTTGGCTTCCATCTCGGCACGGGTTACGGTGGGATCTAGATTTGATGACTGGAAGGACCTCTGCACATAAGTGCGCACTGATTGCGGCCAGTCAAACTTCTGCTGCTGAGGTTGCTGATTCGAAGCAGCCATCGGGGTTGTTGATTGAGGATTAGCAGGAGCGGCATAGTTATACTGAGATGGGGCTTGGTACGCTTGACCAAAGCCTTGACGAACTGGAACGGCAGTATATGCGGTATCTATGAAAGGGGATGACTGTCAGTATTCGTATTACGCTTATTAGGAGGGGGGGTGAAGAGGGGGTCGAGGAATTATCAGATAAGGGCTGAAGCACGTACTCATTGTAGTAGTATACGCGTAAGGCGTTACTTGGACGCCAGGCGGAGGTGGTGCTGCCCAAGACATGGTATGGTGATGATCGAGATGGGTTCAGTACGGAAGATTACCGAGAAGGATTTGAAAGTAAAAAGGTTAGTAAGAAACCTCCAAAGGAACCCTTTAGAAAAGAGGGATGCAAAGAGGCAAGTTAGTTTTATCGTGCTATAGACTCGAATGAGTAATAGGACAAAGACATTCACAAACGCGACGATGCGAAATGTAATATGTTGGGTGATAACAAAGGATGGGATGGATTAGATACAGAAATGCGTTGCGTTGCGTTGCGTTGCGAATGTGTGCATGTGTGTGCTTTTGTGTGTGTGTGAAAGGTAGGGAGGAGTTGAAAAACAAGGGCGGGAGCCACGGTAAGTTTAATTTCAGCGGTCTAATAAAGTGCAACTGGTCCGAGCGTTAAGTATCACGTAAGGCTAGGTTAGGTAGTGTAGGTACCTAGGTACATACCTAAGTGGTACTTGACGTGTCTACACAGCACAGTGTAGTAATTTGCTGTGCTGGCTTTGCAGGGCCTTTTGGGGTATGCATGGCGCTTTACCAAATAACGCTAAGCGTATCATCGGAGTATCATCGGAGTAGAAATGGGGTACTTCCACCATTCTTACGTACCCGACCTAACCTAACGCTTATGTACAAAGTACACATGTATTTCGTCCAGGTATCAATGGAGGTTACCTAACCTAGGTACCACCTTTTGCTCATTATCGGTGATCTCAGCTTGCGTCAGTACAACTATTTCAGGCGTCTATCTCCAGGTATCTATCTGTATCAAATTCATAAACAAAATATTCCAATATTCCCATTTTCCCATATTCACGACTTCTTGTCCTCCCAAATTTCAGTCTCTCGTTTAAACTAACCGATATGACGAATGTTTTTAAAACAAATAGACCTTACCACCGCCCTCAGGCCTTCCTATCTTCCGGACGAAGTGCTTCTCTTTGTCCAGGACAACGTGGGGCTCTATGAGGGGTGAGTCTGTCTGATGGTGACAGTGACGATCCATAATCCATAGTCCATAATCGATTGCAACGCCAATCATCTATCCCTTCTTGCAGTCACTAATCAAATATTGTCGTATTCTTCTTTATAGGAAATACAAACTACCGAACCAACAGAATGGTCAGGTTTATCTGACCTCGCATCGAATATGCTACGTGGACAAGCAAGAGCCAAGGAAATACTCCGTTGCTCTAGACTTGAAAGATGTAGAGAGATATGAGTTCTATGTAGGAGATGGCTCATACCTTTACCACCAGGAGTGTTCCTTGTTGCTAAGAGCTTTTCTTTACAGGCGGGATTTCTAAAGTCCTCTCCGAAAGTGACACTTTTCCCTAAGCCGGCGAAACGAGGTTCTCTCCAGTCAAGAGCAGCCGCCGCCACATCGAACGTCTCTCGTAGTAGTGGTGCATCGCCTTTACCAACAGCCGACTCTGTATTCCGCTCTACCTCCGCTAGTACACCACAGCCAAGTTCAGCAACCTGGATATGCACGATATGCAGCTTTCCAAATCCGGTTCCGTCCAATTTTGACCCAACAACGGCGAATGCTCATACTCCGTTACCATCATGTCTAGCTTGTGGTATCAAACCAGCATTAACACATATGCTTAAAGCCGCTATATCAAGTGTCACTAGTAGGCAAGTGACCTCTTCAGGTTCTATCCCACAGTCATCCTTTACATTGCCTTCTCGACCGCAAAGTCTAGCCAACGATCAATCCCGGGGTTTAGAAGCAGGTCTTTCGTCACGGGACAGTGCAGTTCGTTCGGCGAACTCGGACGGCTTTGAATGCCCGCGCTGCACTTTTTTAAACCATCCCTCTCTCTTAAGTTGTGAGATATGTGGCGCGCCCCTCATATCCCACGATGTTCCTTTGGCGGTGGCGCACGGCCAACCCAGAACAGATTCGCCAGGACCTACACTCAATTTATCCAGTGCTACCGGATTAGAGAACCCCGAGAGTGTTAAGTTGTCCTTTCGAAATGGTGGAGAGAAGATATTCTATGAACGGCTTAAGAGCTCCATGACCCAGCGTAAATGGCTCTTGCAAGAAGCGCCCCCTATTCCGAACGCGGGTTTTACAGATAACCGCGCGGACTCCTCGTCGATATCAAGGCCCGGTGCTAGCCGGAACAAGACCGCTGGTATCGCCGGGCTAGAGAAGATGGGACTTGATAGACGGAAGAACAATGAACTAGTTATCGGGAGTGCATTTGAGGATCTTGAAGCCTTGATGGCCTCTGCCAAGGAAATTGTTGCGCTCGCAGAGTCATTTGCCCGACAGGTCAACGGCGGCACCGAAAATGCGACGTCCGAAGCAAACGCATTACTTGCCGAGTCGGCTAGTCAGCTGGGCCTTATAACCACCAAAGACATTGTTGGTGGTGGAAGTAGCTCGGGATCGGAGTCGCTGTATCTATCCGAATTATCTCGGAATCTTGCAGAATTCTTAGCGGATGACGCTAGGGGTGTGCTTAGGAAGGCTGGCGGCATTATTAGTCTGGTCGACTTATGGGCCATGTTCAATCGCGCACGGGGAGGCGTCGAGCTTGTAAGTCCTAACGACTTTGAAAAGGCGGCCCGTTTGTGGGGCAAGCTGAGACTACCGGTCCGGCTGCGTACGTTCAAGAGCGGTGTAATGGTGGTCCAAAGTCGTGACCGGACGGACGACACTACAATCAAGGCGTTATTGGCGTGGCTACGAGACTTACACGATATACCCCCAGACAGAGATGTCCCTTGGGATTGGCAAGAGTTCGGTCGTGGTGTTACGGCGCAGGACGCTGCTGAGCGATTTGGATGGAGTATTGGCGTGGCCGAAGAGGAGCTTGAGATGGCCGAGGAGAGAGGTGTTCTTTGTCGAGAGGAAGGTATCGAAGGGCTCAAGTTCTGGGAGAACTACATCGATACCGGGGAATACCGCAATAAGCCACGAAAGAAGATGCCAGACGCGGAAGATAAAATCATGGAGGCGCTGAGTGCGGCTGGTCTTATATAATATCTAGTACAGATGAAATTTACAAGTGGAATACGTCTCACGTTAGCCTACTTCTATCAAATACCCCCCCCCCCCCCCCCCCAATGGAATTTCCCTTGTTACCGCCATCAGATCCTTCTAATATCGCGAAACACACTATTATCATCATTGAACCGCCAATCCCCCAAAGACCCACCTTGAAGTTCCTCGCCCAAACCCGCCGTCTAGTATACCTCTATAAACCGCTTTCTTTTAGATATCCGTCGTAGAAACCTATAATCCGTAATACCGTGCCAAGAACAAATACACTTCTCGGAAAGTACAAACCGCTACGAAGCCAACTTGGCTACTCTCTCTCTCTCTTTCTCTCTCTCTCTATATATATGCGTGTGTCTGTGTATCCTCAAGCAAGCTTCTCCATAAGATTTTTCCGTACCTTAGAGTTGACGGTGCCGCCGAGCCCGAACGCGGGGACTATCCTACAAATCCTGGCGGCGGCGCTGACGGCCCAGTTCTTGCGGACCTGGAGCCAGCGATCGCGCCAGGACGCTTGGCCCGCCGGCCGGTTGTACAGGTCGAGGCCGAGCAGGTGCACGGGGGTGGACAGGAGCTGGACGGCGGCGGGGGCGACGAACTGCGCGAGGGTGGTGCCGCCGACCCGGGAGCGCAGGGACGCGCCCAGGACGCGCTCGTCGAGGTACGGCCCCAGCACGGGCGGGACGTTGAAGGAGGCGAAGATGGTGAGGCAGTCGCGCAGCGTGAAGAGCAGGTAGCTCGGCAGGGGGACGGGGCGCGGGGGCCCGCGGTGCGCGGCGGGCGGGCCGAACATGCGCACGAACACCTGGTCCTTGTAGACGCACAGGCCGACGTTGGCGGCGCTCGAGGCGGCGAACTTGGCGGTCCCGCTCGTGACGCCGGCGGCGGGGGCGTTGCGCACCGTGGCCGTGGCCGTGTCCAGCGTGTTCGCCGTCAGGTACGTGCCGCCGTACAGCATGAAGACGAGGGCGACGGGCTTCGAGACGAGCACGGCGTGCGGGCGCCGGAGGAGCGTCCGCAGGGACGCCCGCAGGCTGTTGCCGAGCGTGTTCCGGCCGGACGCGTTCTCCATTATCGATCTGGAGCGAGGACGGTGGTCAGCGCGGAGGGTTATACACGCGGGGCGAGAAGGAGGGAGGAGGGGAGGAGGGGGAGGGGCAGCTGGTATTAACGTTCCTGTCAATGATGGCTATGAGCGGCGCGACTATCGACGCGGCGCACGCCGCACTCGTCAGGTCGGCGCCTAGTCTTAAGCCTAGGTTCTTCGTGTTCCATCGCTGCTGCTGGAGCCCGGACGGCGGCATTTCAACGGCGTCTTTGCGCGGGAGCGGGATGGGCGACGCCGGACTGATTAGCTTCTTGTCGATGCCGACGTCGTTTTTCATCGCGGCTTTCTGGGGGAGGAGTCCGTCTACTCTAGGTACTCTAAATACTCGACAAAAAAAAACAGGTATATATAAGGTATATATGGCTAAATAAGCGACCTCCGCTGTTTTTTTCGCTCGTATATTTATTTACTACTACTCCCTCGCAACTCGAAATCACGAAGATGAGAGATCTGGGAGACTCCGGGGGGGGGGGGGGGGGGGGGGGGGGGGGGGGAAATGCGGGGGGGGGGGTGGGGGGGTTGTGTTGAACGAGGGGCGGTGGGGGATTTAGAGCGCCACCCCGACGGCAGGGGCGTGGG